TACACATACATACCCCATCTCTTCAATAAGAGGGTACAACATCTTTTTTGTGTTCCTAGACATCACCATTTCCATCTCAACCCACCACATTCTACCCGACCAAAGATGAAACATCCATAACATTACAACATTATTAATGATGTTATTGAACAATATGTAATAGTACCACTTATTATCTCTGTCTTAACTAAACCAGTTATGGATTCATACTTATAGTTACTATACATCCCTTCTCATCTCTTTCACTCTAGAGACTCTTTTGAATCATCTAAAATAGATATGGCACTGCCCTGCCAACAGCAATGAGTACAATGATCCATTCCATAACTTTCCCAGTGTTCTACCCCCCTGACTAGTAGTACTCAAAAGAATAATCTAGATGTTCAAGACAGTAAAAACACAAGACGTAGGTCTCCGACAATAATCATAGTATTTTACTATGAAGGAACAATTTGTTTCTAAGATCTTCATTGCTAGAAACTAAGAAAGTTATTGCGACTTTTTGAAATGATCAGAAAAGAAAGATTTTAGACACTTTATCATACTTTCTTAAAAATGCATTTTAAAACATCCGAAAATGAGCTCTTAAGATCGCTCTGTAGTAAACACAAACAGTTTTAAGATATGCGCTTGAAATCCAACGCTAGTTTTTTCAGAGAGGTATAATAATTCAATATTCTTTTTGCCCTTTCCTAAGATAAAATTTCTTCTGAGTTTTTAAGTTAGGGTTAGTGGAAAGAGATTGAAATCTCTAAGAAACTTTGCATTAAGTCTTTTAGATGATCTTTATCATTCTGATTACTCCTGCTTACGAAAATATTGCTACTATCTTTTAAGTCTATTGTACAATGGTGATAATATATTCGAATATATCCATAAACTATTATCAAAACCTATTTATATATTATTTCCACATTTAACCAACTTGATGGGAAAAGGTTGTGATCGTGGGTTGATATAATGCTCGATTATAGTATTATTTCAATAGTCAATCGGTACAAAAAAGTTATGAAGGCCATTATGGCATTTCAATCCTTAATATAATAATATATAACCACTTCTTCAAACTATCGACTCCTAGAAACTATCACTTAATAAATCTTTTCCTCACATCTTCTACCCCTTATTTGTAATAAATTAACTTCAATTTATGCCCCACCCCTTTTATTTCTATTATCACCGTATGAATCCAGATATTCCAGAAGCATGTACAACTGATGATTTACTGAAGAACAAGGACCGAGTAGGAATATATTGGAAAACAGTCTTATATTGCTTTTCCACACCAATATCGATTGTGCTTCCTATAGTTGTTTATCTTTTGGCGGGAAAAAAAACCATTAAGAATAATCTACTCCTTAGGCTCATCACAATTTTTTTCCCTGTTCATACTCAGCAAAGAAATACTCTGACCTATTTCTTAATTCTAGGAAATCCCAATATAGGTCTTTACTCTACTTTATTCTTAATGGCCTTTTTCTTACACTCGCTATTACTTCTGTTCTTTTAATCATGGCTATCTACGAATGGGCGAACGAAGATCCTAATATTTTTTCCATGGTGATTCCCTCCATATTGGTTTTACCTCCCTATCTGTTATCCACCTCCTGTGATCTTAAGCCTTGTAAATTCTTTTTCACGGATACTGGTATTGACATACTTCTTAGTTTATTAGTGTTATTACATATTCCATTAGGCGTGGGGCTTCTGTGTGGGGGGACTAAGTATCAACTCTACTTTGCAATTACCTCTTTTTTCGCTACTCTTGCTAAGTCACTCAAAGAAGTATGTCTCCCATCTAGAAAGTATGAGGATTCTACTAGAAAATGGAGGTTGGCTATCCTTATTTTCATACTACTTTCTGCTGCAATTATCTGTGGAATTACAATATTTGTATTTTTAGAAACCTTTAAGAATTATTCTACAAGTATAAAGAAAACATCTGGCAATCTGAGAAACCTTTAGTAAACAATATTATTAATTTTGATCCCCTCGCGACTTCTGATTGTAATTTATCTCAATGGTTGAATTACACAATTTAAAGAAAATATGGTATTGTTAACAAACAAAGTGTCGGTATAAATGGCTCAGGACAATGATAATTTTTCTATTAATTCGCACAGCAACTATTCTCGTCCTTTTCCTTCATCTAAATACATCTTCTTATTTACCAAATAAGAAATATTCTCCAGTTTGGTTCTTATTCCTGCCCTAGACACCATTTCCTTGTAGTATGCTACATCCTTTTCTACCTCTTCATTTTGGATGTCCAAAAACACGACAAGCTCCTTGAGTTCCCTTTCTATTTCATCCTCAACAGAGCATATACCTGTCAAATACTTATTGATATCAAAGTCCATTTTTGGGAAGGAGATATCTTTCGGGATCTTTTCTTTACAGACGTCCGCTTTGTATATCAGTTCCTTCAGTGATGTTAATGTTTTCTGAACTCTCAGGGAGGCTTCTTCAAATGACTCTAATGTTGCATCAAAAATCATCAGGGCGTACCATCTGTTCTCTATGTATATTGCCAAAAAAAAACAATAAAATTTGTATATTTCTATGTAAAAAGGTACAAAACCCTTTAGAAATAGATAAGAAAAGGAATCAATTTTTATGCAATAATTCCCAACATATAGCAGAATAAATGATTTATTGAATTTCCTATGTATATGGTCTACCATTAGGTATCCTGTTTAAAGATAAGAATATTTTATGTATCTCTACAAACACTCCCTTGCATTGGTCTTTATTGTAAGGAGGCTCTCCCTTATGTTGTTGATGTCCTTAGGGTCAACGGCTCTTCTCTTTATCCCATCTAGCACTCCTTCAAGTGATTTCAATAGTAATTCAATACTTTCTATTGATTTCTTGTATTTTTCTGAGTCCATGAAAAAGTAGTGGGTACTTGGATTAACAAACTTAAAAGAAATTAATAAAATTCTCTTTTATTATGATCATGCAGGAACTCTTAATGGATTTGAGAAGCTCTTCTGAATGAGCTCAAGGTCTGCCTCATCTACCTCCTTCTTCTCATCAACAACCATCTTTGGGCTGTAGTAGTTCCTTATCTTTTCAAGGGTCCCAATACTGCTGACATCCTTTCTGTGCTGGTTAGGATATATGCTGGAGAATATTCTGGCAAACAGGTTGGCTGTGTAGTCCATTCGTGCCTCCCGGAACTCGTTGTCATCAGAAGAAGACTCGCTCCTCAGCTCCGCAAGCTTTTGGGACTTGAACTCAATTCCTGCAGTCAAGAAATTGAACAGATAGTATGCTCTTGAGTAAGCAAACGTTTCATACGGTGTTGCAGACACCTTGCCGTTGTTGATAAAGAACTTGTTGATGTCAGAATCAGATATCTTCTCAGAAAGTAGAACATCTCCATCTCCAGCACTCTCATCAAGCGCCTCAAGCGCATCTCTGATATTCTTCATCAGGTCGTCTCCAATCTTTTCTCCATCAAACAAATATCCCTTTCTCTTCTCCTCGTCGCTGGACATAATACTCGATATGGTCTTGATAAGTATGTTGCTTACAGTGAACCATGGATTCCCCTCGGAGTTGTTGTTTGGAAACAATATCTTCTGCATCTCACTGATGGACTTCCCACGGTAGTCTGCAAAAAACATTCCTCCTCCCTCCTTCTTCTTCTTCATTCGCTCCATCAGATCAGAGTGGCTCAGATTCATGTCCTCTTCCAGGCCCTCCGTCTCAACAATAAACCTCTCCCGGATCTTCAGAAAGTCTTCGTATCCAGGGAAGTTCAGCGTGAACTGATGCTCATGCCCACGGGGAAARTGCTCTGGTCKGTCAAATCGTATCAGATACGGCCCAGACTCATCCTGCGAAATCCTATAAAACCTCTTCCTGTCCTCAGTGTCCGGGTGCTCGTTCTTCTTGATGAGYTTGTATCTTCCATGCGTCATCAGCTTGTCTGCAAAGTTCACTCTCCAAGCATAGAAGTAGCTCCCATAATACTGAGGATCCAAGTACTTGATCCCAAAGATAAATAGAAGCACATAGTACGCAACAACCATCCCRACAAGTCCTAGGAACCCCAACTTCATCGTCTTGAAGGTTTTCTTCGATCCACCGCCGGTTTCTGTCCTCATCTTACCCCCTTGCCAAAAGAATATATTTATAACAAAATTTTATTAGTTCTTCATCATCCCTACACATGTAAACAACTCTATAACACCAATAACCCTGTAAAGGTTGTTGTTGGCTTGGGCTACAACATCCATTGCATTCTTTTCTTAATGGATTTGAGAAGCTCTTCTGAATGAGCTCAAGGTCTGCCTCATCTACCTCCTTCTTCTCATCAACAACCATCTTTGGGCTGTAGTAGTTCCTTATCTTTTCAAGGGTCCCAATACTGCTGACATCCTTTCTGTGCTGGTTAGGATATATGCTGGAGAATATTCTGGCAAACAGGTTGGCTGTGTAGTCCATTCGTGCCTCCCGGAACTCGTTGTCATCAGAAGAAGACTCGCTCCTCAGCTCCGCAAGCTTTTGGGACTTGAACTCAATTCCTGCAGTCAAGAAATTGAACAGATAGTATGCTCTTGAGTAAGCAAACGTTTCATACGGTGTTGCAGACACCTTGCCGTTGTTGATAAAGAACTTGTTGATGTCAGAATCAGATATCTTCTCAGAAAGTAGAACATCTCCATCTCCAGCACTCTCATCAAGCGCCTCAAGCGCATCTCTGATATTCTTCATCAGGTCGTCTCCAATCTTTTCTCCATCAAACAAATATCCCTTTCTCTTCTCCTCGTCGCTGGACATAATACTCGATATGGTCTTGATAAGTATGTTGCTTACAGTGAACCATGGATTCCCCTCGGAGTTGTTGTTTGGAAACAATATCTTCTGCATCTCACTGATGGACTTCCCACGGTAGTCTGCAAAAAACATTCCTCCTCCCTCCTTCTTCTTCTTCATTCGCTCCATCAGATCAGAGTGGCTCAGATTCATGTCCTCTTCCAGGCCCTCCGTCTCAACAATAAACCTCTCCCGGATCTTCAGAAAGTCTTCGTATCCAGGGAAGTTCAGCGTGAACTGATGCTCATGCCCACGGGGAAARTGCTCTGGTCKGTCAAATCGTATCAGATACGGCCCAGACTCATCCTGCGAAATCCTATAAAACCTCTTCCTGTCCTCAGTGTCCGGGTGCTCGTTCTTCTTGATGAGYTTGTATCTTCCATGCGTCATCAGCTTGTCTGCAAAGTTCACTCTCCAAGCATAGAAGTAGCTCCCATAATACTGAGGATCCAAGTACTTGATCCCAAAGATAAATAGAAGCACATAGTACGCAACAACCATCCCRACAAGTCCTAGGAACCCCAACTTCATCGTCTTGAAGGTTTTCTTCGATCCACCGCCGGTTTCTGTCCTCATCTTACCCCCTTGCCAAAAGAATATATTTATAACAAAATTTTATTAGTTCTTCATCATCCCTACACATGTAAACAACTCTATAACACCAATAACCCTGTAAAGGTTGTTGTTGGCTTGGGCTACAACATCCATTGCATTCTTTCAGTGTACTCGCCATGTATTTCTGATTCAAGTACTTCTCTTCTTCCAAGCTCTCTTCTTGTATCTTCTTGAATCTTACTTTTTTCTATAGCCTTTTCGGCCTCCCTGACCCTTATCTGTGTCTCGTATCTGCTCGGATGCCATTTCTTCTTACAGTTTATATTTGCTGGCATAAGAGGAATAAGGGTGAGTCTGTCATCTCTTAAATATTTATTCTTTTCCTATGCTTAAACAAGCACATTGGACAGAATTGTAGGAGTCAATGATGTAGAATGAAGTCTCCTTACCCCATTAGGCAGATTCATTGGTTGAATCTCCTTAAAATAATGTAGAAATCTTGTGATTTCCAAGGAGGCATGGCTTCATTTGAAAAAGCATCGCGAAGAATTATCAAGTTTATGATATTAGTGTTATTTAGCTACATAGTGCTGTCCATAAACTAGGTTTGTCTTCAGGTCTGATATAAGTAAGCTCACTTGCCAATGAAATCTTGACGGGTTTTGAGTTTTGTTTGTTGAAGCCGAACATTTGGGTAGACCTTGTTCTGCCCCGGGAAGAGGTATGGCAGAGCAAGGTCTAGATCGCTCGAGAGAGGATATTGAGTCTTTGGCCAGGAGGATAATAGCTGATCACATGAGATTTGTTTGTGCAGATAAGGCACTGATACTATGGAATAGAAGGTATCGAAAGGATAATGATGATCCAGAAAACGATAAAGAGCTCTATTCATCAATCTCTACAAGAAAAAGGATTTTATCTCTCATAGAGAAGAAGTGTACAAATGATGCTTTTAAAATATGCGAAGACTTAAAACTATTTGACCTAGGAATTGAGAATGAAGCTTCGGTAAAAGAGACTTTGTCAAAGCTAGTTTTTGTTGATTTTCTACGAGCAAGAAAACATATAGAAGCTATAGAATTTGCAAGGACATTTATAAATGATGAAAATGAAAATGACAAGCTATTTACTCTGATAGGATACGAAGATATAAATGACGCCAGATTTCTTGAAATTGCTGATTCTATCAAAAGAGAAAAGGTTGTGGAAATCCTAAACAAGCATTTGTTCGGGAAGGAAGTTGGAAGGCAGCTTTCCTTGCTATCCCTAGCTTTAAACCATTACAACTCAATTCTGAAATACCAAAGAAAGTAGTATGGGTGTTAAAAGCAAGATACTCCCGAAATTAAATGAAATACCATGTTTTATTTCATAATAAGATTCTCTATCGTTTCACTTGGGAAGATAGTAAGTGCCTTTTCTCGATCCCTGTCTGATTTGTACCACTTAAGGATTAGATCCCCAATTCTTGTATCATAGTCCTCATTTTTGAGCTCTTCAAACAACTCTTGGGATATTATCTTGGATACTCTCAGCTTTGTTATAAGCTCTGCATACTTCTTAGGAGATATAGGGAAGTCAATTTTCAATATCTCTAATTCGTTTTTAAGGCTTATAAGTGTTTCTTTCAACTGATCTTCGGTGACATTTGCTGCACTCCTAAACGAAATGAAAAAATCAAAAAACAGATCTGAGATCTTGTGGTTTGATATCGCTTCTTGGAAATATGATAAATAGAATGGGACAGCACCAAATTTCGTTTCTCCAACCCGCAAATTGTCCGAAAGAACCTTCTTGTCATCATCTTCATATGCTATAGATAATTCTTCTGACAACGATGACAAAAATGTAAGCACATTTTCCTTGTGTGATTCTTCAGGATTCTGTGGATTTCCATAGTCGTCTTCAACTTCCAAGCAAGAAAAAACGTTTCGAGCCTTCATTTCTTTTGGCTTCCAAGAGTTTTTCTTTTCAAGAAGATTTTCTATCATGTATCTGATTCTGTTCGCATAGTTGTCTTTCTTTTGCACAAGTCTAGAGCATATCATCGATATGATGTGTTCTTTTCCACTGACAACTAACTTTTCACCTATGTTTTCAATTAGATAGCATAACACCTCGATGCTCTCTGAATCAGAGGACCTCATTAATGTGTTTATACAAGCATTCATATGCACATAACTTATTACATTTAAAGAATATAGTGACGATAGAAAATCAACTGTCCCAAGTGTTCTTCTTTTCTTTATGTATCTTTCTGTCTCTGCTTCTTCAAGTTTTTCTTCATAAGCCATTCTTTCTTTAAACGTCATCTCCTTTTTCCTTTCATACTCATCTCCCCATTTCTCCTTGTTCTCGAATGTCTTTAGTGTTAAGGTAAGAAGTGTCCCAAAGAATACAGTCTGGTTTATATCTCTAGTCTTTTCTTCTTCAGACTGCCACACCTTCTTTAGGTCAAGAACAACCAATGCATAATACTTTACAAATGTAGGTTCGGAAATTGCCTTATCAAACAGGATATTTGCTATCTCCTTCATCTCCTCAATGGTTCCAACCCGAATGCCCTTAAGATTCTTTATGACAAAACCTACATTTTTAGCTGTGAGCCTGTTGAATTCCAGCCTTGCCTGCTCAATGCATGTGTCCTTTCTGCTGCTATCCGGCCTGTACACTCCCTTGACTTCCTTCTTAATTTTAAGCTTTAGTTCGAGAGGAATAGGCTGCCGTTCCTTTATACTAAAAATTTCACTAACTTTATAGCACGGACCTCTATTCTCAGCAACCTTTTCCGGGGAAAATTTCTTCAAAAGGTTGTCCAACATCAATGCTCTGCTCTCAAGACTAGGAACTGCTTGCTTTTGGATAGGTCTTTCATCCTTATATTCTGCCTTAGTCTCCTTATGAACATCAACTGTATCTTCTTTCAAAGAGATGTTTTTATCCCCCTCTTCTGTATCTATTGAGCTTTCGGTTAGTACCTCGCTATCTGTAGAATCTATTAAATCCTCTTCTCTTATAGGTGTTCCATCGGGTCTTGTAAACCTTACCACAGACTTGGACTCGACTTTTGAGGGCGACTCAAAGTTTATTTCAATTGGCGGAGCGCTCTTTACCCTAGGCCCATAGGGCAAAGACTCCTCTCTTCTAAACACAAAAAGCGGCTTCTTTGGTCTGTGAATGATCTTTTTTATCATAAGGGCATATGCAGGTGTATTTTTGAATCTCGCAGAGAAGGCTTAACTATATTATCAGACTCTGAAACATTCTATTTTGGTACGAGTGTAGGATTAAATTACCGTCTGCACATGATGGATATCAAATACAATAGGCCTTGAGATCGTATGTGCAGGAAATTCAGAGGAGATAAATTTTTAAATACTACACCCGTTAATGGTAGAGATGAAACACTCTGTAGCAGAAAATGCTCTCCAAAGACTCAATAAAGAAAGAAAGGCCTACGAGGATGAGCTGGCTATTTTGAGAGGAAAACTTGCAGCCATGAGCGGGGATGACGACAAATATAAAAGAAAATTGATCGAAGACCAGATAAAGGAGACCTGTGAAGTACTGGAAGTGGTAGAGAAGCAGGTGTTGAAGTTTTCATACTCACAAGGGGAGAAATAAATCTTCAAAACTCTAGAGCCCTGTAATGTCATACTCAGACATCCTGAGTCTTTTTCCACAACTCAAACATGTTTTACCTTCAATTCAACATCATAATCATTCCAAAAATGGGGTACATGATTAGAACTGCCCTATTCAGCAGTGATATTTTGCACATAGAATTCATAGAATGCGATTTGTTTATGTGTGTCGGAAGCACTCTTTACATATTGAACATGAAAGGATTAATAAGAGAAGATGTAAGTCTCCCCTCAAATGAGGTGAGGGAGATATTTAAGTTCAAGGATGTTGTGTTTCTTCAAATTGAGAAGCATGGATATTATTACTTCAAGATAGATAGTCCTATGCTTACAAAGGCTAGATGGGGGATAGAAAAGATGCATGTCAACAGCAATGCAATTTTTTCCCATGGATGTGTTATATTCTTTCTCGATTCCTCGACACTTCAGCCTAATCATATCGTAACTATGCCCAGTAAAATAATAGACTTTGCTGAAGTTGGATCAGACATATATGTTCTAGTTGAGACACATTTATGCATGATTCAGAATTGGAAGCTGAACAGAGAGAATGTGCTGATAAAGTCTATTGAATTTCTAAGCCATTTGAAGTTTGTTTCTGTAGTTTCTAATGGGCTTGACCTTCTGGTTCTCGAGAACAGCTACGAGATGGTTGTTTATGGAAAAGAGGTACTCAGACCGATAAAGAAAAAAAGCAACTACCAAGGATTCAAAGTCTTTGGAACTCTATTTATACTTCTACTATCGGACAGCGTGGAGTTATATTGCTCTGTCACCCATAAGATGCTTACAAAGCTGTGTTTTACACCCAAAGCAATCGCCTATGATTCCTATAGAAGAAGACTATGGTTACACTCTGACTTTCTGTATGAAATAGATGTTTCAAAAATCACTATATGAGAAGATCATAAAGTGAATATTTACCTCATCATATTACACCAAATAATGTTTATTTAAGGTAAAGTTTTGTGAAATAATTAATACTATCTCCCGATCGGAGATATCAAAGGAATATTGATTGATATGTTTAATGTTAATTTCCCATCAGGTATCAATGACTTGAGCTCATAAAGCCCTCTGTCCTATGTATGATTTGCAAAAGACAAATAAGTAAAATTTATTCTTCTCCGTCCCTGTTTATTTCCCCTATTTAACAAAAGGAGGTTATGGAAAGTACAAGGAATTCTCATCATTTTTAAAGTGTGTTACATTGAAGAACAATCTCTTTGTGAGCTTTTTTATAAAGATTTGGCGTCACCTATATCTTAATTAATTATAAACATTGATTTGCTCTATTATTTAGTAATTTAAAGGAGAACCTTTTCCTATAAAAAGAAGCGCTTAGGAGTAAGAGCATGGGGTTATGCCTAGAGAAAATAGAGAAGTCTATCTCCTACATGGATGATACTTATGATGCAAACTTTGGGGAGTGGATAAGAAACGAAGACAATGCACGTATAGTTGCATACAATATGAAGAAGTATGTTGATAACTACAAGACATCAGACTTCATAATTGTTGTGAAGTGGATTGTCAAGGATTGGACATTGAAGTCTATAATAATCTTCTCCAAGAAGATGCTAGTCGAAGATATCAAGGTTCTAAGCTTTAGGAAATCCGAAGAAGACAAAGACAGGTACAACAAAAGAATCAAGATAATCTCTGGGCTTATTTTTACATGGAATCCCGTATTTATCACGGAGTTCATAGTTTCAATAACACGATCGTTTGGGACCAATGAGAAGTGCAAACTACTGATAAACTTATTAGAGGTTTTTGAGGCTCGAAAGCTCTCAGAGATCCTATCCCAGTTGGAGGCGAAGATCGAGCAGAAAACTTGGAACGAACTCTTCAAAACTTTCAATGACGAGGCATCTAAGAAATCCAGGCCAAGAAGTAAAAGAACTGCTAGTATACTGCGGGCATATAACTTATCTTAATCGAAATCAGAACAGTATTGTATTTTAAAATTAAATTTCACAACATTATGCTCTGGCTTTACTCAAGTTCTAAGACTCTCGGCCGTTTTTAGTCTCCTTTTTCTATCCCTCTTTGTGTGTAATGATTCTTACCGACGAAGCATTTTCCGAGTTTAAGCGCTCAAAGCCTTTAGGATTGAGCATTTCTCCAGAAGAGGTAGAGTATTCAACAGACGGACTTGTGCTAAGTAGTACACAAGGCAATGTATTGAGACTATACTCATCGATATCAGGGAATATTCAGAATATTATTCATGTTCCAAGCATACAAAAGTACAAATTCATGTATCCTAATGCAATCATTCATTCTGCATCCAACTCACTACACCTTTTATCTGTTTTTGACAATAGGTATGTCTCCACCTTTTCTGGCCATAAGAGCCAAATAAATGCACTTTCTGTATGTCCAGGGGAAGATACAGTTCTATCCTCATCCTACGACTCCACCAACTACTGGGATACAAGAAAGAAAAACCCTGTATATAGAATTAATGCACCCAACTCCATAAGCTGCCTGTCGTTGTCAAATGATTATGCAATACTAATCAATGGCACCCTACTCAAGATTTATGATAAAAGAAACACAAAAGGGCCAAAAAGTACTTCGTCACTTCCAGAAAAAAGATACAAAGAAATATACTACTCTCCGGACGGAAGTTTTATAATAGCATCTGAAGAAAAAAGTCATCTCTTTCTCAGCTCAGATGGTACAATAAGGAATTCAATAAATTTGGAAAGAGGAGGAAGCGGATGCATCACCCCAGACTCAAAATTCTTTCTTTGCTGTGAAAGTAGTTCAATACTTGTCTATCATCTTAGAACTAAGAGAAAGATACATGCATTTAAGACACCTGGATTTGATAACATGAAAGCCCGCTTCAACCCATGCTATGCCCAATTCGTTTCATCGTCTAATCTTCTGAACATTTGGGCTATCAAAGAACATCCAGAGCAGTCTTCAGCCTGATCCACCCGTTAATCCAGGAGCTTTTAAAAGGATTTAATTAGTCAATAAAGAAGAGCCTTAAGACTTCTCCCTCTCCTCGGCTGCGCCATCCCCAGAGGCTTCTACATTGCTATTCACCACATTTGATGGCTCCCGATATATGCCCTTGTCAATGTTCTGTGCCTTTCCAGTAACAATAAACCCAACAACACCATTTTTCTTGTTTAAAATAACTTTGGAATCGTCTAGTCTATAGATTTGTAGTCTTTCCTTAGTATTAATACTGCAATAAGATATCTGAGACTTATGGACCAACCTTCCAAGGGATTTGATTGCCTCCTTCAATCTCACCTTTCCATCCCCAGCCCCCTTATTAAGATTATTCTTAACATATCTTCTTCCTCCAATAGTAACAACCGTCGGAAGTTTCCTCTCCATTTTGGGGCTCCTTCAAGGACAGAATTAACACTCACACCCAAATTTACTGAAAACAAAATATAAGATGTATTACTTTAATCTTACTCCTCGGGTGCCATCTTCGCCGCCTGCTCCATATAATCAATATATTTAGTTTCCTCAGGACTATGATAATCATAATTGACATCAGTCGGCTCAAGGTTCACATTAGATACGAATATAAGGTCTGGTCTCCCAGTGAAAATCCGAGCTAGATGTAAAAATGGGAGTCCAAAGTTGTGCGCCGTCTTGGCACTGATCTCAAAGTACTCGTAGTTCTTTCCCTTAAGAACCTCCATCACCAGCTTTTTACTTATCTTTTGCCTATTCTTTATGTCGATCTTATTGGCACAAATAACTATAGGTGCTTCGTTTCCAACAACCGCCTGGAACTCTTTGACCCACCGTGCAAGGTTCTGGCATGTGATCCTAGATGTTACATCAAAGAAAAAGATGGCTCCGCTAGCACCTATGTAGTATACGTCCTTCAACACTGCCTTCTTCTCTTGCCCCGCTGTGTCCCAAACATTAAATTTTATCACATTTCCCTGGTCATCAAGAAACGTCACAGGATGATTCACTGCTCCAACCGTTGCATTGTAATTCTTTTCAAATCTCCCATCAAGTACCCTATTTATATACGTTGTTTTTCCAACACCCCCATCTCCTATCAAACATATCTTGTATGTCAGTTCTCTTCTCTCCATCTGGGGTACAAAAATTTTCAGTTTTTCTTTCTGAATATTACATCAACCTAATAAAGCCATCCTTACATTATTACCATCTACCATACAGGTATGGTCAGATGCAATCAGATAGAACCCTGGGTATGTTTATTGCGTACAAAGATCAACATTGAAGTTGTATATCAGAGAAACAAAGTCATTTGACACCAACTTCTCAGAGCTGAATACCTCTACTTCAATCTCAAACTTTCTCTTCTCCTTCTCATCCTTATCTCCAGAAAGAATAGCCTCTGTAAAGTCAAATCCATAAGGCTCTATAAAATATGTTTCCCTTCTTCTGACTCTTTTCACAATGGGCTTCTTTTTACTGGCACGCTTGAATCCTTCATTCTCTTCGCTCAGAACAAGTCTCACATCATATTTCTTCCCAGGAATGAATATGTCAAGTTTCTGAGATCTTGTTTTCTTTTCAACCTTCTTTAGCACTCCATCCTCATATGTTTCCCTCCCATCCTCATTGATTATAACTACGTCATTCTTAGCCTCACTCTTGAGAGTGCTAAACTGCTTTTTAAGAATATTAAAATCACTAAGGTCAACTGCACTTTCAAACCTATAGTCCATAGGAATACTTCTAAACACAACAGGTGCCACTGTATCAACTCTCATTCTGCTTCCATCCTCCTTGCTAATTATTTTCCCCAGCCTTATCTCCAGTTCCTTCCTCTCATTCTTGAAAGCCAAAATGAACTTTCTCAAATACTCAGAATGATCCTTCACAGGTCCTTTTAATATCTTTGTAAGGTCCTCCTCCATCTAGGGTATAAGGCCCATCATAAAATATTATCCCAAAAAGCTCAGCATAAAAACATTATTGATACTACACATTTATTCCTTCTTTTTCTTCTCTACAGGTGTCATGAAAATAGTGCATATGGAGTAAACCATGTATGCAATGATGGCACTGAACCCAAGGTTTATAATCCACCCAGGAATTACATCCAAGACCACATATGACTTCTGCATAACCTTGAAGAAAGCACAATTTGCAGTAGAGTATAGATTAATGAAATACGAATCTAAGTCCATCCACCGCCTTACAGGCTTAAATTGAGTCCATCTTTTGTTTCTTACTATCTCTTCCAGCTCTTCAAAGTCATCCACATCTAGATGGTAGCTACGGCCCTTGTCTCTGATTACAAAAGATGGAAATATAAATGAATAGAAGCACGATGCTACTTTTGGGTCCTCAAAGAAATTTATTTTCTTCACAGGAATATACTTCTGGAGCTTGGAAATATTTCGATTAAATGATTCACAGGCGGGGCAGTGAACATTAGGCCTTGAATAGTAGATATACACAAGAAAAGTGCTATCCAGAGGTACATCTTCCTTGGTGAACACAGGCAATAGTGAAAATGCATCCGACATCACCTTTCCTAGTAAAAGAAAGAAAATCCTCATAAGGGTCAACTAAAAACAAAACAAATCTGCCATATCCTATCAAAGTGTTGTGTCAACTACACCTCTCAATGGTCTCAATCCCAAAATCGAGACCAAATCAATTGTCTGGAAGTTACTTTTCTATAAAATTTTGCCGACGACAAAATTAGCTCTATTTCAGCCTCTTCCCATTCCCTTTGATATATACTCTGTAAAAGCAGAATGTTGTGAGAAAAGGTGTTTTCAATCAGGACAGGCTTGAGTCTCATCAGAAGAGCCACTCCAAAGTACAGCAATGACTCGTTAATGTTATCAGAAGCAAAAACAGTATCTAAAACCTTCAGCAGTATAGGAATCTTAAATTCACGGGCAAAGAAACAATTAAACCATCGGAATGCAAACATATGTATTTCCAAGCCAATATCTTTCAGAAATTTGTGGAAGTCTGGATCCACAGTTTGCAAGACAAGATCTACCCCTTTAATCATTCCGGCCTGGAGATCTATTATATTGTGTTGTATCTCATCCAACAAACGAGCATAGCAGAAATAGGCGTTGCTCTCTGCTGTCTCAACGCTCTCATCCGAAAAAACAAGAACAAACGGAACCAAAATATCAGCCATCCCTTGCACATATCCAAGCTGCGGTCTTCTCCGCGCAATCAGCCACAATATGTGATAGTACATATATGATATGTCTATCCCTGAATAAGTTTTGTATCTCGGATCTATCCTTTTTATGTCAAGATCAATTTGGTGTGCTATTTTTTCAGGCAGTCCAATCTTGCCGTAATGATATATCCCATTCAGCTTCATAAGGCCGTTTTTACCCATAGGATCCTTCATAGAATACCTATCTGCATCCTTCACCCAAGAACATCCCATTTTCGTAGCCATCGAAATGTATTTCCTCTGTCTGGCCTCAATCTCATTCATGTGCAATTGTTTCCTCAGTCCAATAACTTGGAAGATTATCCTCCATGCAATACATCTATATTCGCTTCTCACCCCTCCAAAACACAGTTTTCTCACTAATTTCTCGTCGATAATATTCTCGCCGAAGACTTTATTGTCCGGCGAGTTCTCCATGGAATATAGGGGTTTCCTTCCGGCCCATTTCACTGAGTAGGCAGCCATTTCTATTTTTCAATATTCCAGAGCCTATTGATATCAAGCCTCCTTTTCCCCTGGATAACAGCCGGAGAAAGCATATTGCATACATCCCTGATTCTATACAAGAATTTTCCAATCTTGCTCATATCCAGCACTAGGGGTCTCATTCCTTTACATTCCTCTCCAACATAAAATAGTTCCTCACACTCAATATTCACAAGTTCGTCCATCACAACAACAACGCCCTTTCCCTTCACGTCATCTCCATGTTTCACGACGGTTAGGTCTAACTTAAAAATCTTTGAGAACATATTCATCTTTTCTACACTCTTACATACAATCCACATATTTTTGTAAATCTTGTGCAATGCAAATATTACGGCATATCTCTCGTCTCCCTTTGCCCTTATAAAATGCCTACTGTTTGACAGAAGGACAGGATTCTCGGCAAACCGAGGAGCCTTTTGAGCATTCAAAAGAATAAATGAAATGTTTTTGCCTCTCAAATCTATCAAATCAGGTAAATACCCAAAGTCCTCCATTAGTTCACAGTTCTCCACAACCACATGCCCACCATTCATCCTGTCCAAGTTTTTTGATAAATCCCTCGGTGTCATTATGATGTCATTTCCATCCCTCCAGCATATCAAAGCAGAGCATCTGCTCTTATAGGGCGTCAAAATTATAATTGGCCTGGGAAGCCGAAGTGTACATTCAATATCTTTTCTAGATCCACAAAAGATATAATCTGTTCCTTTTACCAATTCCATCGTTATCTACTACCCCGGACTAGAAATTCTATTTATCTTATAAGCAAGAAAACTATCTTTTCATCCTTGTTATTGAAATCGATTTAATTAGCTCACCGGACCATCCGACGTATTGGTCTTGATGGGCTTCCCCCCACAAGTAACCCTAACACCTTTAAAAGTAAGGAAATGTCCCACAACCTTGAATGATTCCAAAGCATGAGCATATCCGCTCTTCCTCATGTCAACTTTACCAGGACTAAAGTCCTCAAGAATCGTATCAAACCCCTCTAGCTCTAATCTAGACCCGTTTATTATATCTTTTGATATCTCAATAGGCTCAATATTTCCATCTTTGTCCTTCACGCATAGAATCATTCCCTCGGAAACTTGCCCTTTGAATTTGGCTGGTTTCATATTTGTAACAAAAAGAAACTTGTTTCCTAGTAACCCTTCCTTCCTCACATGTCCTCTCAGCCCACTCAGAATTTGCATCTTTTTCTTTCCAACAACCTCTTCGGAATAAAGCTTGTCAAGACCTTGAACGTCTCCAATATTTACTATCTCTCCAACTTGTATGTCCAGCAATTGAAAATCTGGATCAAGTTTCATGCATGGTGCAATCTTCTCTACCATCTGATCAATAAACAGTTTATTCTTCAATACTCCCTGCGTGATCATTTGACAATATAAACCATAAAACGATATTAGGTTTGATATCGACACTTCTACCTTTCTTACCTCTGGATTTGCTCTTAATTTTTTTGCTTCCTTTATGTTTTTATAGTCACAATCCTGCTCATACATCTTGTATAAAGCACCTAGAACATCATCCAACCCTTCATGTTTTTCATCTCCATTGAAAAGCTTCAGTCCACTTTCCACCTTTTCTAGGTTAGCATCTCGATTGAAGTATCGCAAAACAAATGCCAAATCCCTAAAACTATCCGAAAACTCGAGCTTCATAAGGCTTCGAAAAATAGAAAATTATACCTTAGACAGAATAAATTTTGAAAAATAGAGTCCTTAGAATGGGCGTCTTTGTTTTCGGATCAAATGCCATATCCCAGTTGGGACTAGGAGAAGACGAGGGAAGCACTCATGTTCCAACAAGGCTTTCTTTCTTTGATGGATTGTCTCCGGCCAAGGTTAGATGTGGGTCATTACACACATTGATACTTGATTCTGATGGGACGTTATATTCTTGGGGATGTAATGATGAAGGCGCGTTAGGAAGAGATGGTGACGAATCTACCCCCAAAAAAGTTTGTCTTAGAGAAAAGGTTGTGGATATGGACTGTGGCGCTTCCATCTCTGCAGCATTGACTTCTAGTGGGCATGTATACGTCTGGGGAACATTTAGATCGACCAACGGTGCCTTTGGATTAACCCCAAGAGAGAGCATTTCTTTCGTCCCCATAAAGGTTCCTCTCAAAAATATAAGAGCTTTGAGTGCCGGCCAAAGCTTTATAGCAGCACTTGACCTGAAAGATGCAATTTTCACCTTTGGCTCAAACGAATTTGGAGAACTTGGAAGAAGGACATCTGAAAGAAACAAGCTAAGAGCTCTTATACCAGACGCAGTAACGACGCCTAGAAAGCGTTTACAAAATTATAGATTCAAATCGATCGGATGCGGCCTGAACCACTTGATAGCGCTGAATGCAGATGGAGAAGCCTATTGCTGGGGATCGAACTTATATGGGCAGTTGGGGCATGACAAAGCCGAAAGCACTTTTAATAAGTACAAGGTGCCTCTGGATGGGATAGTTCAGGCGGTTGGAGGGGAAAACCATAGCTTGTTTATCACCCGAGACGGGAGTCTATATGGGTGTGGCAGGAATAAGGAGGGACAGCTCGGCATCCAATCAACAGAAAGCATAAGATCACCCGTAAGGCTTGGGCTTGATGGGGTGGAAGCAGTCCGTTCTTATAATAGCTTTAACATATGTAAGATTGGAAACGAATTATATTCATGGGGAACAGGATTCAATGGTGCACTGGGGCACGAGGAAGAGACCTTATTTTCACCAAAAAAAATTCCGTTCGACTTCCCTAGTGTGATAGACTTTGATGTTGGGAATGATTTTTCTGTTATAGTGACTAAGTAAGGGCTACTCATATAATAAATATTTATGGCTCATGCAGGTTACATGCTAATAGATGTTTTGGACATACTAGAAGACAGATGATTATATCCTTGGTGACAGAAAGGTTTATAGGAATACTGCCAACACTTCTCAATGACCTGGTAGTGGCTCTTGAACGTGACTAAAGTTTTTAATTTGGAAACCCCTTGCAAAGTTGTGATGGGGGATCATACCTACAAGAAGAAGGACTCTGGCATTTACGATGCACTGAACATGCTGGTGTATGACTACTTATTAAAGATGAAGTACGAGGGATCAGCAAAGATATTTTTCGGTGAGGCTGGGCTGGGAGACTTCAAACCTACAGAAGGTATGCCTATACTCGCCCAATGGTATGCAGCATTCCATGATATTTCAGCAGTTAGATCAGGTCTGTCATCAAATGCTCAGGACCTGAACAGAATAGAAGGGATAATGATGAAGCTAGAAAATGAAAAGAGACGGTACCAGCGCATAGGAAGGGTTGACCCGACCAGCATGGGATATGGTGGATCGATGGATCCTTATAAACAATACCCTATGTATTATCAGCCTCAGCAATTTGATCAGAGAAAGATGTATGAGATGTATGGGCATGTATCACCACCGGTAGATGCAACTCCGGGGTTCTACGATCCAAGGAAGGTAGGGATGGGCACGCCTGGATACAAGACAAGCCAGGGTTACTCTAGATATCCTAGGTTTGAAGACCAGAATACACCTTCTACTAAGATGCCTTCAAGACAATTCAGAGATGAAGGAAGGAACGGTAGTGCACCTAGTCCCTCTATGTCTGCAGCCCAGGGCAACAATAGCCCTCTATTTGAATCTGCACTTGGGACAAGTGATAGGCAGTTTGGTTTAAAGGAGGTGATGACATTTATGCCTAATGAGCACACGACTGTATGCTCTGTAGTGGCAAGGGACCATAAACTTCTGTTTATTGCATCTTCTAATAAGACCATTACAGCCATCAACCTGTTATCCGGAAAGAGCGAATCGGTTGTAGAAACGGACGAAAGGCAAGTGATAGAAATGAAGATAAAAGAATGCGAAGGGATCATAACAATAGTATGTGGGATTGGAGGAAATGAGCTTCTACTGGTAAGATGCATTATCAAGGAATCCACGAGCTTAGAGGTTTTTGGAACTTTAAAAGGGCATACAGCCCCAATAGTTAGCTATGAAGTCCTCGACTCTATTCATTCCCTTGATAGCGGGGGAATGATGAGAAAATGGAGTCTTGAAGGCGTGTTTGAACGAGAAGAAGTCCTTAGTGGAGAGATCCTTCATATATGCTGTATATCTGAGGATAACTTTATGTTTGCTGATAGACAAAGGGTTTATGTATATGACTTTGAACTTAACATAGAAATGATGGAGATACTTAAAGGCCAGGCCTTAGAGATAAAACGTATTAAGGAGGGATTTATTGTAGTATTTAGAAACCAGGCCATCTGGTTAGATAAGCGTATCCAAAAGGTCAAGCTACTAAATGTAAATGAAAATATAAACACAGCTGCTCTGATCGATGAAGATATTGTGGCAGCTTCATCCCAAAGCGCTTGGTTTGACAATGGAAAGTCCTTGGCCAAAATGAAGCTTCACGAAACAAATATAATAAGTCTAGACGGTGTAAATGTATTTAGAAAGCCAAGCGTTGTTAGCTGTAGTGCTAATGGAGAGTGTAAGATATGGATCAGATATATTGGAGATTAAACTATCATGTCCACATAGCCCTTATACTTTATTTGATTGGGTATTCTTTATCTTTTATTGGTTCCACTGGCCTGTTCACATTTCCATCTATATGGGCAGGACCGAAAATTCCACCAATATCAAGACTGGTGTGCCTTGTCTCTATTGGACGAAGGTATGAGAAAAGGGAATTTAAGCGGCCTTGGAAGGATGCCCTTGATGAGTGACGGAGAAGGATATGAAGAGGTATTGAAGAACAACATTAGCGAAAGCAGCATGAAATGTGCAAGCTGCGGATGGTCAGGAAAGATGAAGATTGTCGATCTTAGTGATGTGACAGAAAATGTGATATGTGCCTTTGTCTGTAAAAAGTGTGGAGACAAGTCTGTCAACTTTCTTGAGAAAACATGTGACCCGAGAGGAAGTGTCAGGATTGAATGTTTCTTTGATGATAAGGAGGATCTCAGTAGGGAAGTTAACCTAAGTCAACTAGCATCTGTCGAGATAATCTCAGACGATCTTTCTTTTAAGCTCTCAAGTACCTATCCCAGCATCCAGAACGTCGAGTCCTTCTTGATACAAGGGAAGGATCAGATTAAAAATCTGTGTGGGAAGGAAGACATAACCAGCGGAGCAGGCGGAGGAAATGTTCTAGCAGATGGAGACATTTCTAAGGAAACCTGTGAGAAGAAGTTGGATGACTTCCAAAAACTCATGGCCAACCCAAAGTTCAAACTAATCATTGAAGATGACTTTGGACTTTCCAGGGTTGCCCCAGCAGGCAAAAACGTGCTTGAGTTACGTGATGCCGATGTCAAAGAGCTTAACGACGAGAAGGTCAAGCACATCTTCAGGAAGAAATCGGAATAAAGTCTTTTTATCCAACTGACTAAGTACATTTATTTACATATTCTTTAGTAAAAATCCTTCTACTAAAGCTCACTGCTTTGCACCTGATAGATAATGCCCTCGAACCGTTTCAGATTAAAACAATGTAGTCACAAGTACCTTGATATAAATAAGACAAGAACGTGTACTAAATGAATGACGTCTTCAGGTTATTGCTTGCTTCTTCATCATTTGTTTTATTGTTTGGAATGATTTCAAAATACATCAAGAACAATCTATTTCTATCGGAATCATTAATTTCAGTGCTCGTAGGAATAGTTCTTGGCCATCACGGATTGAATGTTTTTGACACGAATTACGTCTATTCCAAAATCATGATGTACAATTTTTCAAGGATTGTTCTCTGTATCCAGACAATGACTGTTGCAATGTCCTTACCAAAAAACTATGTGGTTGTGAAATGGCAATCCATCTTTTTTCTTGTTATCGTAGTAGGCATAATCAAATGCTCATTTTCATTCTGTCTGGTATATCTCTTCACAAACTACAACAAATCTATCTCATGGTCATTAGCCTCCTGCCTGACTCCTACAGATCCTATCCTAAGCTCCAGTATAATACATGGAAAACTTGCAATGAAGATGGTTCCAGAAAGAATCAGACTACTTCTTGCCGCAGAAAGTGGAATAAATGATGGAATGGGGATTTTCCTCCTCTTTCTTGGGCTGGATTTACTTGGGCATGGACTAGAGAATGGGATTTATCCATTCATCATAAATAGCATACTCATCAGAGTGCTATTTTCTGCAGTTATAGGCCTTTCCGTTGGCATTCTGTCAAGGCAAGGTCTGAAGTATTGCTATACAAGAAGATTGGTAGGTGTTGAATCCTTTCTTGCTCATGGTATAATCCTTGCTGTGTTTTCAATGGCACTTATGGAGTTTATAGGCGGAAGCGAGCTGATATGCATATTCTTTGCTGGAATAATGTTTCCCTTTGACGAGTGGTTTGTGCTGGAGACCAAGAACTCAAGCCTGCAAGAAATAACAGACACAATCCTCAGCACCTCGTTCTTCTTGTTTTTCGGCTCCAGAATAGATTTTGGAAGATTTACGTTATCAAATGTAATTGTATCACTTGTCATAATTTTCATCAGAAGGCCTGTCATATGTTGCCTTACGTATCGTCAAATCCCCGAGCTAAGGTCTCGAAGAGAGGCCTTGTTTGTAGGGTGGTTTGGCCCTATCGGCGTAGGTGCACTGTACTATGCACTTCTTACTGACAAGATCCAGGAGACGCTTACAATCGACTTTGTCAGCTGTACTGTGTTTCTGAGTGTAATGATACATGGATTGACAGTCCCCATATATACCTACATGAAAAGAGAGAGCTTGAATTTCAATTATGAAGGGGAAGAACGCTCAAATGTTCTCTGGCACGAAGGCTGGGGACCTTAGATGAAAATATCTATTATCCGCAGCCTATTTCAGAAGTCAATATAAAACCTAGGTCTTCCATCAACCCGAAAATCCAGTACAGGCTCATCAATGATAACATCAACTTCTCCATCAAACCCGGGATTGCTTCCTAAAGGAAGATTGAAATATAGGAAATATGTTACAATACTCCAGTAAACCTGCGGATTCTTTTCAAGAAGGTCTTCAGAACCATAAAATTTCAGTGCTAGGCTTATATTTTCCGGAATTAGCAAAAAGCAAAGAAATCTATATTCTGGCCCAGTGACTAGTATGGCAGATTTACTAGCTCTGCATCCACATTTTTCTTTCTGAGGATCAAAAAGCTCTTGGTTCATTTTTTCTAACATCTCCTTCACTTCTTTTCTAACAATATCCATCAGCCCTTGTTTCTTTCTCCACTCGGAATCCTCTACACAGTGAAGCTCCTTAAGGTCTAAAGCTTTACAGTCGCAAGCTTTCAAATGATATACACTATAAAAGTAAAGGTCTTTGAAAATAACCTTGGGCATTTTAGAGACAACGTTAATATTCATGTACATTTCATGAGTTGGAGATGAAATGTATGGGAGAATAGCGTCGATCTTACCATGATCTTCTTTATAGCTCAGCCGCCTGAAAACTATCTCTGCAACATCTGAAAGGAGATCGTTCCTAATGAGATTTTCAATTACAGGCTCCAAATCTCCATCAAACAGCTCTATCCACAGCCGTAAGACTTTTGTATACATGTGCTTGTTCAGCCATGCATATGGCAAAAGTATAACAGAACATCCACTTCCTATCTCAACCAAATACCTGCACAAGTAATCACGCTCCTCTGTTATGAAAGCTAAGAACATCCTGGTCCTGAAAAAATCATTATAAAACCGATGGGTTCTTCCTATAAATTCCAGGGGATTGTTTGGTATTTTTGTTATTATCTTACACCCCCATCTTTTTATCATATGTTCTCTCCACAGTAATATTTCTGTTGCTATCAATTCTATGCAATTCCTTATCTCCCTTAGACCATTCTTTGCTGTTTCATTTTTTATTTTCTTATTAGGCAGCAGAGCATGCTTTTTGGAACTACATATTTTTAGAGAGTCCAGATCCACAAGAGTTACTCCTTCTATTTTCAACCTTTTGCTTAGGCATGTGATAAAAGGCAAAGGGCTCTCAAGAATCTCCTCCATTCCAGAAAGAAGAGGTAGGCATATTATGTGTGGCCATCGGAAAGGTTTCATAAGTTCCATGATCTGCAGCACTCTCAGCGAGGAATCTGTAGAGGAATAGAACACTATCCTTTCTTCAAGTAGTACTAAACTTATGACCTCCAGAAGAAATTTGGGAGGATAGCACCAGGTAAATTCATATGAATTAGACTCATAGATCTTCTGCCATTGATGGCTAATTGTGAAGTTTGTGTGAGGAAAGTATGGAATCCCATACACCAATCGGAGGTATGCTTGATTTGAGAAGAGTTCATTGAAATTGAGGAATAGAGGAGATGTCAGGGTGTGGAATATCATGGCACCGTCTGCCCAGGAAGCTAAAACCTGGCCGTATATGGCTTCCACATTTGAGACATAGAAGTATAGGAATTGTGCATGGTACTGAGGCTTTATACTCTTTAAAAAACACAAAACCACTTGGCTATGTGCTTCTGATTTACACTTTCCAAATTCCTCTTGGATGTTTTCTGGAGAGATAGAGAAGTCAACCTCCTTTTCTTTCAGGGCACCTTCGGAGAAGATAAGATACTTTGTTGGGGCATCTGATTCTTCCATGAGTACATAGAAGTACTTGCCGCCCATTAGAATAGCTGCCTTCCCTATAGTACCTTCAGCAAGTCGGAACCTTCTATTTTTATCTCCGAGCTTGTATTTCAAATATCCCTTGAACCAAACCTTACTATCATTTCTGATGCATTTGAACATCGGAATTCTTCCTCTGCCATCAGTTATCAGGTACTCATCGGGGTTGCAATGCTCAAGTATGGTTGAAATATACACCTCGGATATTGCATTGCTCCCAATTTCCTTGATTTTCCTTGTATGCTTGAAGTACCCAGTAATAAGGTTCATTCTTGGGGCTACCCCATCACAATTGTCTCAAGAATTTTTAATCCTGCCTCAGTAAATGGTCAAGTTCAAGCTTGTTAAGACTGTGACATATGTGGGAATAAGCCCGGAGTTCCTTGGAAACCCTGGGAGGGCTGTGTCAAAGTATATATCACCCAAGCTATTGATATACTCTCATAAAATCAATGGAGTTCCTCTATCGTTTGACATTAAGAAGATTGGGTGTGCTGAAGCTTCGGTTTGTGAAACAGGAGACGTGATTACTCCTGTGTCTGTGGAATACGTGGTGCTCATGGTGCCAATTGGTGAAATGCTAAATTCCATAGAAGGAAGAGCGTTTGGCATCTTCGACACAGATGTCGATGGGAACAAGGAATACACAGGAAACTTCATAGTCAAAGAAATAAGACTAAAATCAAGGTCCTTTTTCACAATAGTAGGTACACAACCCTGATTCCCTGCTGAAAGATTATTAACAATAAAGAATTTATTTGTTTTCTGTCTCTCGTGGGTCGTCGAATGGATTATGTCTTTTTGTATTGTATTAATACAGGATATATATTGTTGAATGCCTGGTAAATGTCATCTCTCACCTTTGCGCCAGTAAGAACGATCTTTCCAGAAACAAATATTAGAAGTACAATCTTAGGCTTGACCATCCTGTATATCAGCCCAGGGAAGAGCTCCGGCTCGTAGCTGCAGTAATTGCTATGGGCGTATGCCAATCCCTCCAACCTGATGCTGAATTTGATGTCACAAGACGAAACTATGTTCTGTATCTTGAAGTCATCGAATGTTGCGTTAAACCCTAGCTTGTGTATTATCTTTGCATATCTCTGAGCTGCCATTTTCGAGCTTTTCTCGCTTTTTGCTCCTGTTATAACCATCTTTCCCGAGGCAAAAATCAGCGCAGTGGTTTTTGGCTCTCTTATCCTCATTATCACGGCAGCAAATCTTTTCGGATTGTATTCCGCATTTCTAGCTCGAAGGGCTATATTCTTCAAATCAAGCTTACAGTTCAGATTGACCGTTGCAACAACGTTCTGAAGGGTGGGGATTATTCCAGATCTGTTCGGAACGGATGTATCCTGATGCTCATAAGTAATATCTGGTGCGTCCATCCGGAATTATTTATTTCAAGGGTTAAGTTTTTTTTCCTTGATTTTTATTAACCTTGGATTTAATAAATAATAACAAGGTCACCTCCCCTACTCTTCCTTCTCTAGTTTTATGGTACTCTAGATTTTTGCATAGCTATATGAGCAGGGTGTCACCTTATATGCCCATATTTCTTCATAAATCTTATCTTTGCATCACTCCATCTGTCTTCGTCCAAGTTGCCTTCATAAACGATTCCTGTATCTTCTTTCTTGGTGCTACTGGAAAGGCCTTCTATGGCTTCTATCAGCCTATCAAGCAGCATTCTTCTACTGCTCTTTCGGAAATCGCCAGAGTAGAGCTGAGACATTTGTTTATGGTCTAGAAATTAGAACATATTTTATAGAGTTCTCCAGCCCATTATGATCAATGACTCCCATGATATAGACTATCAGCACCTTAAAGATGAAACAGTGAGGATGATAAACGAAATACAGACGGCCTTGCCTCTTGATGGCGGTGGAGAGCCAAATACCCTATCCAACGCAGAGGCAAGCCTTATCGGGCTCTGGAAAAATATACTTTTGGAGGACAATAAGCCTGTGGAGTCAGACATAGAAATAGGAGGCCAGATATACCCAAACAGTGCACAAACCGTGACATGTCTCATAGCATATTATCTCCTTGAAAACAATTGTGCCGATGTTGTTGAGAAGTTAATATGTGAAATGAAAGATGGAAAAGAAGAAGTGATAAAAATCAGGGACGACCATGCTAGGTTCAAAGAAATTGTATTTGAAATATCAGAAGATTCCACAAGACTTTTGGAGAATTTTCTTGAGAGTTACCCAAGTAAGATGCTTGAGCTGTATCTTGTATCCCATGAATTCTTGCTGCTCATACATAATGGAAGATATGACGAGGCCCTCAAGTTGTGCCTTAAGAAACTGAAGTCGTTTGTTCCTACATACATTCGGGATGTCAAGCCGCTTCTCAAGTTCTTAGTAAACCCTGTGAATGTTGAGGAGGCTTTAGAAAAAAACAGAGAAAGACTTATTGAGAATTTCAAGTCTGAATACCTGGAGGTGACTGGAATCCCAAACAGGTGTTATCTTGAAGAACTTTTCGAGACAGGAACCTCTGCATTCCTTCAGCTTTCTAGCTCTGGAAACTTGTTTTTCGATAAGGACGATCAAACTCTTCCTGTGGAAATAAAGCTAGAGAAAGGAAGAAACTACCATTCACTTTTTATATGCCCAGTGTTAAAGACGCTTTGTGTGGGTGAAAACATCCCCGTAATGCTTGAATGTGGACATGTGATATCTCTGGAGGCTGCAAATGTACTTTCTCAAGAAGGTGTTCTTAACTCCTTTAAATGCCCTTACTGCCCAGAGATGTCCAGATATGAGAATATTCTGAGGCTCAGAATTTAGAACTGGGATGTGATAATCGTAAAGCTATACAGCCCCATGAAATCCAATAAGCTCCCTGGATTTGATGAGCATCCAGAACCCATTCGCAAGCTGATGGAGTCCATGGGAATCTCCAATATGATCCCGAGAAAGGAGCTGATAGAAGCGATATTGGAATCAAAAGAGTTTAAGGATTATAACTCTCTCGATAGAAAAAAGAATATACAATTCTAAAATGAAAAATAATATCTGCAGTAAGAAAGAGGTGTTGTTGTGCTCATATGTAAGAAATAAAGCATTTATTCTATTTCTTCTAGATTTTGAGATATACAGCAATATCTAACAGCTCCAGAGCTTCTTCATCACTAACCTTGAACTCCTCAGGCTCTTTACTCGGATTGGAAGTACGCTTAAATGCTAGAAACTCAACAATTCTTTTAAGATAACGTGCCTTTATCGGGAGTTTTGCTTTCCTGGAAATAGATTCCACGAACATTTCAGGCCGATTGAAAAAAGTCCTAAGAGTCTGGCTTTGAGCTGCAACATCATAGTCAAGAGCAAATTCCTTATTATCAGAAGAAATAATCTTCACTTTATTTTCCATTTGTCTTGTAAATAAACATCAAACAAATTAGTCACTTGTGGACTCCTGGTTATCCAGGAAATCAGTAAACACAACCCCATCGAACACAAACTTCTCCCCGTTAGGACTTACAGCGTATATTCTGCCGTCATTGAGGACATATTCACCTTCCTCAACCCCAATTCCAAAAATCACCTTCATCTCATCGCCTAATGCACCCGAGCTTCTCACGGCTCTTACGTCCTCAATGTTAACCACAACATCGATTGACTTCTCGACATCAATTCCATAGAATAGTCTTTGGATTCCAGAAGAGCTATAAAAAAGTGTTGACGAGTACACAGCAACAGTGACCTCTTCGCTAGAATATACTCTGATTTCAGAAGATTTTAAAGATCTAATAACCTCCTCCCCGTACCTGGAGAGGTAATCATAATACTTAATTTCTCTTGTATACACTTCATCAAAAACCGCATATAATTTGCCATCCTTCTTCTTCACATAGAAATGTATGTATGCGTCTTTCTTCAGAAGACTATTAATGGTTGAGTCCTTGATGATGATATTTACCCTTCTTGCCTCGCCGTCTTCAAATAACTTTCCTGCCAAGAAGTCCTGGCAAGCATCCTTATATGTATCATTCTGCTTGTCCTTTATATGCTCGAGCTTTATTTCGTTCCTCCCCTCGGGACCTGTGCCTACCTCATCCTTGATGTGTATTATCCTTTCCTTAGTCTTAGTCAAGAATAGATCGCTTACTACGTTTTCTACCTCATGGACCTTAGAGACGAGGGCAAATTTGTCCTCAAAGAACGTCTTGTCTGAATTCATTGAAAGACATAGAAACGGATATGGAAGGTCATGCTTAAGTCTTTTTTTAAGCTTGGTTGTGAGTACATTTGCTTGGTAGTCACAGGATCTTGGAATAGTATTTGGCCCTACAAACAAAGGCTTATTTGGCAAATACATATACTGTAACTGGGATCGTGTTCTTGGAAACAGCGGAGGCTCTTCTTTGAATCTCTTTACATGAATTACCGGTATTTCACCTTGTTCAGTACTTGAGGAGCAAAGTGTATATTCTTCCATGGGGATAGAGATATAAAAATGGTTATTTGTAGAACAAAGCAAGCTTATTCTTGCTAACGAACAATAATGAAATAGCAAAAGGGCTCGGCCAGGATTTGAACCTGGAGCCCTCCGCACCCAAAGCGGAGATCATACCCTTAGACCACCGAGCCTACAACGCCATCTCACACACCATTGCTTATCAAATGCATGATCTAAATATGAAACTCCATTCCACAAATATTTCTAACATGGAAAGAACAAACAAACATTCAGTTTTACAATGATAATTTTGATGATTATAGGATATCTGCATGCAATCCAGAATGAGTTGACAGCCAGATGCCGAAGATATGGAATAAGCCTGAATGACTGCCTAAATTCAGTATACCTTCCGAAAAAGGAATATGATGAGTATCTTCAAAGCTTTAATCTACCAATAGTACGTGATTCAAGCTGTAATAAAGGAAGATGTATGGCTGTAGTCTATAAGGACGTGAATCGATGCATGAATTGCAGGAAGGGGGAGTGCAAGGATGAATGCAGAGAGTTTGAGTGGATGAGAGAAAGCCTTGCTAATAGAGCAATCGATTCATATAAAAGAGATTCTGAGCCTCAGTTTCCATTTATTCATGTAATTCACCATAGAGAGGAAAGTGGGAATGACAGAATGATTACGTCCAAAACCATAGAGCCACCGTCAGTATCCTACAAGAGTGTTACAGTAATTGAAACAAAGACAGAGACGGTCTCAGAGAAGCCCATGACAACCTCGAAAAGTGAAGATAAGCGAGATACCCCCATCGCATCTGAAGCCTCTAAAACTTGTGAAACCCAAAGAGAAGAGGTGAAAACCGTCTTAAAAACTGTAGAGGTCCCAAAAATGATAGAAAAAACGTCCTGTGCTCTTTATTCTGGAAATCAAGAGAAGCAAAAGAAGTTCGAAGACAACAACTCTAAGGTTTCAGCCGAAGATATTGAGAAGCCTTACTCCATTCCTACTTCAATAAGACGTTCTAAATTCAAAGACACTTCATGCGACGAAGAGAAAACAGGCTATGAAGAAGAGGGAGAAAAAGACTCTGAAGACAAATATAGGAATGAACCAACCGTTGTAACTGTTACTAGAGTATTTTCCAAAACAATTACTACTGAAAAACCTATTACGTTGTATAGAGAGGTAACAACAACAATTAAGAGTGAAGTACCCATTATCAACTATAAGCTAACAACTGTTAGAGAGACATCTACCATAACAAAGATAGAAAGTAGTACAAAAACAGAAACTGTTGTACAGACACAGTACTCTACCATTGTATCCACAAAGACTCAATATGCTCAGGAGCCATCAGCGACAAAAGAATCAAGCATACCTATAGCAACGCATACAATTTCCGGTGGAGCATCAAAAAGGGACGAACCCATTAAGGATGTAAAAACAACGGAAACTTCTACAGGAAAACAAAACACTACCGAATCTCCCAGTGTAGTGTATAGAACCGTGACACAACCTAGTATTTCAATCCTTACAGTTACAAAGACACAAGAGAATACAGTACAACTAAGTTCGAAAAACGACGGAGCCCTAAGTTCTGCACCCCAGAAAATGGAAGGTATTTCCACTAGCTCTGGGGGTCCTGGTGTGGGCTCTTTGATATGTACAGAGAAATGTTCTACTGTTGGTGCCTCCGAGGTTCCAGAGAAGAAGGGAACCATCTCCAGTGTGGTTGTTTCCCCGTTAGCTGCTCAAAGCTCCTCACTTGTTGGAAGACAGGATATAATAGCAGAGCTTCTTCCGTTAGTTAGAAAGGTCTTGGTTGAGGATTCCGAGGAAACAAAATCTTCAAAGGCCTCTAAAAATACTCTTGTAGAAAAAGCAAGTGATGTAGTAAAGACAGTGACAAGAACAGTAGTAAGAACAGTAGGCTTGGAAGCGAGAAATAGAGGTAGGCACAAGATTGTCTACAATACGATTTTTTCATACAAGAAGAAACCCAATTGCAAAAAAGGAGTGGAGGGAGGGAAAAGCAAGGGATGTAAGGATTCCGAGGAAGTTGTCGTCACTACGGCCTATGTTTGATTCATTTTACAATAAAGCCGGGTTTTTATTTAAAGATCGAGATTAAGAGATTTCTGTGGCCAAAGAGGGAAAAAGAATATAGCATGGGTGGGATTCGAACCACACAACCTCTGGGTTATGAGCCCAGCGCGCTTCCGTTGCGCTACCATGCTTTGGTCTGAATGCCCAAGCAGAGCTTCTCACCGATCCTCAGCGTGCTTTCAATTCAAGCACTTAAAGGCCCCTCTTCAAATGGTTATGAAATTTCATCCAAAAAAGATATCATTTGGATTATACTCCGACGAGGAAATAGAAAGAGCCAGCTGTATGGAGGTTGTGATACCGGCTTCTTTCGATAGGTTTGGACATCCTGTCCAAGGGGGATTGTACGACTTGAGGATGGGGCCAACAGACCTTTCATCGAACTGCAAAACTTGCAATTTGTCGCTTTTAAGTTGCCCAGGACATTTTGGACATATAAAGCTCCCAAGACCTGTTTTCAATCCCATGCTGTTTGACACATTGCTTTCAATAGTTAAGTGCTGTTGCTTTCAATGTAAGCACTTTAGAATAACGAACTATGATAGGCTTATACTCTTCTGTAAGCTTTCTCTCCTTAAAAATGGGGAGGAAATCAACGGGCTAGATGAGTTGTATATGGTAGAAGAGGAGGAAGAGCTGTATAGGATTGTTACCGAGAAAGTGGAGTCATCAAAGAAAAGAAAAACCGCATCCTCAACTGAAAGACATCAAGAGGTAGTACATAAGTTCCTCTCGAATACCGGCTCCAGAAGAAAGTGTGTGAGGTGTGGACACAGTAATCCTTGGATTACCAAAGGATCAAACATGAAAATACTAAAGAATTTCCGGAACAAAGAGGAAAAGGAAGAAGAGGAAAAGGACTTTGAACTACTTCTACCGGATGTTATCAAGGAGCTTATAGAAAATTTATTTTTAAATGAAGCAGATCTGATCGAGTCCATTTTCTCCACAAGAGACCCAGGGTTCTTCTTTATGTCCAACATACCAGTCATCCCCAACAGATTCCGTCCCATAAATATCGTAAACGGAAAAAAGATAGAGAATCCTCAAAGTATTTACCTCAATGACATTCTTAAGATCTGCATATCGATGGTAAAGGATTTATCGTACTGGCCTGAACTTCAGGGTGCTGTTCTTTCATCTTTTGATAATTCAAACATAAAGAAATGGCATCATTCTTCAACAATTCCACCTGGACATAAGCAGATCCTCGAAAGAAAGGATGGCCTATTCCGTAGAAACATAATGGGGAAGAGGGTTAACTTTGCAGGGCGTACTGTTATATCTCCGGACCCCAACCTCGAGACCAGGGAAATAGGTATTCCTTCTATATTTGCAGAGGCTCTGACCTTCCCGGAAGGAGTGACTAGTTTCAATGTAAGTAGGCTGAAAAAGGCTGTTGTGAACGGGCCTATTTATCCAGGAAGCTTATATCTTCAGGATGGAAACGTAATGCTTAGTCTGAAACATATGGCCGATGAGAAAAGATATGCTCTGGCCAACCAGCTTTTGGATGGCAAAAAGGTTGTTTGGAGACATCTGGTGGATGGAGATGTAGTCCTTGTGAATAGACAGCCGACCCTCCACAGACCAAGTATAATGGCTCACAAATGTAGAGTGTTAAAGGGTGAAAGGACAATAAGGATGCACTATGCTAATTGTAAGTCCTACAATGCTGATTTTGATGGCGATGAAATGAACATTCATTTTCCACAAACCTGTGTATCTGAAGCAGAGGCAAGGCATATAGTCATGAACGATTTCAACTATTTGGCCCCCACTGATGGAAACCCAATAAGAGGGCTTACCCAGGACCACATTATTGTTGCAACCATTTTGACAATGAAAGGCTCGTTTTTTTCTGAAGAAGATTACTTTACACTAGTAAACTCCGGACTTAATGGAAAGCGAATTGTTCTAGATAAGCCTTGTATCCTCAAGCCCATAAGGTTATACTCTGGAAAGCAGGTAATTTCGACGATAATAAAGAATCTTGGGCTAGCGGTGAATGTTGAAATTGAAACCAAAATTCCGGCAGACACATGGAAAGAACATTCAGAAGAAAGCACATTAAGAATTAATGAAGGGGATATTATCACTGGAATCTTGGATAAGAACTCACTAGGGCCAACCTTCAAATCTCTTGCCCATGCTTGCGGAGAGGTCAAAGGATTTGCAGCTTCAAACGATTTATTAACATATGTAGGAAGAGTTTCCAATAGATTTCTTCAAATGTATGGATTTACAGTAGGAATAGACGATCTTATTCTTGACAGGAAGGCGGATATAAAAAGGAAAATGGTTATAGATGCTGAAGATAAAGAGGCTCGGAATCTTCAAAAGAAATATGTGGAAGCAAATCCGGACTTCTATCTCTATGATGACAAAAAGGCTTATTTGGATTCAGTTATGAGGGCTGAGATGAATAAAGTGACCACCTCTATAGTCGATGCATCTGTCCCATCTGGATTAAAGAAAAGCTTCCCAAACAATGGTATGGAGCTGATCATTACTGTGGGTGCTAAAGGTTCGATTGTCAACCTGAGTCAGATTTCAGGTGCTTTGGGGCAGCAGGAGCTAGAGGGCAAGAGAGTTCCAATAATGATCAGTGGAAAGACCTTGCCTTGTTTCAAGTCTTTGGATTTTGGCCCATCTTCTGGAGGATATATATACCAAGGGTTTTTAAATGGCATTGACCTACCGCAATACTTCTTTCATTGCATGGCTGGAAGGGAAGGGCTTATTGATACAGCAGTCAAGACGGCAAATTCTGGGTATCTACAGAGATGCTTGGTTAAGCATATGGAAGAAGTGAAGGTAGAATACGACATGTCTGCCAGAATGGGGAGTAAAGTAGTTCAGTTCATTTATGGGGAAGATGGGCTTGACTGCACTAAGTCCAGTTATCTGGACGACATTGAGTTCTTCCGAAAAAACACTGTTCTCTTTAAAGAAAAGGAATCTGGTATTTCTAAGCTTGGGGACATATCCAAGGGTTTCCTATCCAAAAAGTTCAAAGATCAGATAGAAAAGCTTGATGATGAACTCAAAAGATTTCTAACAAGCAGATATGTTTGTTCTTTAGCAGATCCCGGCGAGTCTGTGGGGATTATAGCTGCACAATCAGTAGGAGAGCCTTCCACTCAAATGACACTCAATACTTTCCATCTTGCAGGTGTTGGAGCAAAGAATGTGACACTTGGGGTTCCTAGGCTTAGGGAGATCTTATTGGTAGCATCCAGATCCATAAAGACTCCTCTAATCGTTGTTCCAATTAAAAGGAACGTGGGCTTCGATATAGCTGGATGCCTAAAAAAGGTAACATTAAAGGATTGTGTCAAGAAATTCGGGGTGGCTGAGGAAATAGTGATGATTGATGGGGTATTCCAGAAGAAAGTCAAGATAGTGTTTGAGCTGAGCAATTTTGTGGACCTTGCAAGTGAGGCCTTGAATAAGAAGTTTCTAAAACTATTTGGAAAGAAGATGAGAGGGTTGTGCAAGGCAAAATATAAGCTAGGGGTGTCAGAAGTGGGCAAAAAAGGCCTCCCGGAAGTTGATGAAAATAAGGAGAATGAAAGCGAGGACCAGAATGAAAGTGATAGCGACAAGGAAAGCATCACAAAAAGCGATGATTTATGTGTAGAAGTCACTAGTAACGAAAGCAACGAAAAAGATAGTGATGATAACACTACTGCATATCCCGACATTGATAGGGAAGATGAACAGATGGATGAACCAAGCAATCCCTCAGAAGAGGAAATTATGAATTTTACAAAGAATTCAAGAAATGTCCTTTCTTTTGAAATGCTGTATCCCACTGGGCTTAATGAAGTGATTTCTTCAGCCATTGAATCCATTCTACCTACGATTATAGTAAGAGAGATCAAGGGCGTGGAAAAAGCCTCTGTCTCGGGAGACATGCTCTTTGTAGAGAGCTCTTCCATCTTTTCTCTAACCAGAAGAATAGAAACAAGCCCTGGTGTTTATGAAGATCTGATGAGCTTTTTGGATATCTATAAAGCTGAGTCAAATGATATATACAACGTATACTCAACACTTGGGATTGAAGCAGCAAGGTATGCAATAATCAATGAAATAGTGAAGGTTTTTGATGTTTATGGAATTACCATTGATTCTCGTCATCTTCTTCTTGTAGCTGACTATATGACAAGAAAAGGAAGCTATTCTCCTTTCAGTAGACATGGGTTTGGAGATGAGGACTCTCTTATCCAGAGGATGAGTTTTGAAAGTTGTTATTCTAGATTCAAGGTGGCTGCTGCATTCCATTTGGAAGACAGATTATCGAACCCTTCAGCCTCCATAACTGTGGGTAATCCTGTGGGCTGTGGAACAAGCTGTTTCGATTTAATATACAATGGAGACTTTCCTAATAAAGTCTAGAAGTTATTTCTTTTCATACATAGCCTATGCGTTTATTATAAAGATTATCTTTTGAACGGAACCAAGGTTTTTCCAAACTCCCTCAGCTGAAATAGCTTTTGGATACGGTCACTAGGCATATCACAAATTCTTTTGAACACAGAAGAGTTATAGTAAAATAGCCTAGTGTTTGGGCATGTGTATGGCGCAGGAAGGCCTGTTAGATCACAGAGTCTTATTCCGGGTTTTACAGATATTCTATTTGAGATTTGGACGTATTTGTGATCTTTTTCAATAAGACTTGGGATCATCTGTTTCAATGTCTTAAACTTCATCCCCTTGTTTATGTAGGTGTTCCTCTTGTAGCATATCTTCTGCTTTTTCATTCAAGGGCGCAAAGAGAACAAGAAATATTGTAATAGAGTTAAGGGCCTTTAATACTTTATGCAAACATGGCTAGCTTCTTGTTTACTTCATCCTCAAAGGACTTATCTTTCTTCAGTTTTTCCGCCTCCTTGCATACCTCTTCCTTTTTCAAAAACGCCTGCTTTTCCCTTTCTCTTAGTTCTTCCGTAAGACTTTTGGCTGCCTCAGCATGCTTCCATCCGAACATACTCAGGAGCTTCCCGAGAGTAACATGATTATTAGGATTTCCTGTATACTTGGCTAGTGCACAAGTAACTTTATGTCTTGGTAACCCTTCAAGCTCTCTTGGAATTCCTTCATAGGTGGCGAGTTTACTCATTGCTATTTTCCCTCTAGCCTTCTTATACGAGATCATCCGCCTGATTATCTTTGCCAGGTGCATCCTTGGCTCACGAAAATGAAAAGGCCCTCTTCTTGGGTTAACAATGCATCTTTTATTAAGATATGCCTTGAACTTATCCATAGACCTTTTTAGACTCCCCATAAACACAGCTTCCTCAGAGCACACAACACTCACACGAACTCCCTCAAGAAGGAGCTTGGTGACCTTTGCCGCAAGCTTTCCTGCCACTTGTCCAGTGGCATCAATTATGACATGCTCCTTCTTTTCCATTGAAGGGATAAATTTTTCAAGACACAAAAATCCACAAGGTCCTTAGCCCGGGATTATAAAACCCTGCACTCTATGTTAGAATAAGAACGGTCTTGGTATGCTTGCAAGACTCCATCCCCAAGTAGTTTTAGGAGTGACAAAAACATTCTACCTTTCTCATGTCTACTATGCCCAATAGTAAGTTCGTTGAAAATAAATCTATCAGGTAGTTTCTCTACATCAAGGCTTTCTTCAATAGTGATTTCCTCAGATGCTTGTGATTCAACAACCTGATCACCGAAGCTAATGTCCCCGTAGGACTCTAATAGTGTTAGGTCACGGGCTCCTTCTACACTTTCCCTTGGATGTATCTCCCTATGGCAAATCCTAGATAATATCTCAGGTGCAATCGAAAGCTTAGAGGCAAGCTCATCCCTTATATCAAGGGCCTTTTCCTTACATACTATATCCCTTGTGTTTCTAAGATTCTCTCTAAACACCTGAGCATCAAATTCCAGCTCAGAATCCTCGATAATCTTCCTTCTTTTCTCTCTACGCTCCCCTAAAGGAATCTGAGTGACCTCTGTAGTTGTAGAAACTCTAGTGTTATCTTCACCTTCAAATCTACCTTCTTCAACATGAGAAATATCATTGAATTCATTAAAGCTGAAATCTACACCTTCGTGGGCATCACAATCATTATCCTCCTCCGGAAGAATCACAAACTCTTCAGGACTTATCATTTGGTCATCGATATAAAGGCTTTCAAGGTCTAACCCCAATGTTATCCCCTTTGAGGATGGCTGCTTAAGACCTCTTCCTCTATCCCCGCCCTTCTGATAGATTTTGTGAACAGTGTCACTACATTCATCCTGTAGGTATTTTAGCTTCCTTACAAAAATCCTGGTAAGACCTAACACAACGAGCCCGCCATCCTTAACAGAAACGGACTCATCCATCACTTTAAGAACAATTGCGGATATTGAAACCTCCTTCAAATTATGCTTAGAGAGCCTCCTTTCCATGAATATTGCTTTGAAAAGAGCATCCTGAGTATTTACAAGACCTAGAATACCTATAGCCCCAGGCATTTGAGCGCTTTAGAAATCACGAATATTAAGTCCTTTTTGGAGGGAATCCCCATGCCATCCTTGCTTATTGTTTTTACAACATACCCAACTAAGGAGTCTGCTGAAAAGGTCTCATATGAGCTGTTAGCCAGAAAGCTTGCTGTATGCTGCCAAATATCTCAGGTAGCATCCATTTACTCCTGGAAAGGAAGTGTGGAGAAAGAAACAGAATATAAATTGACTATAAAGACATCATCCTCTTTATTTGATAAGATCCAGAGGTTTATGGAAGAAAGTCATCCATACGAAGTCCCAGAAATCATTGGTATAGAAGCTCGCTCAGCATCCAAAGAATATCTAGAGTGGCTGCACCTCCAGATAGACAATCTTTAGCAAGATACGCCATGGCTGGATTTAATTCAGCAGTACTTGTTACAGAGGCTTTATATTTTCTCCATCAAAGCCTAGAATGGCGTGTATCAAGAGAAGACTAGACAAGATGATTGAAGATAGAATGATTAAGGCATTTTCAAAGAATGTTGGATCGTAGAATAATGGCTATAAATTATGCAAATGCAACTTACTCTTATAACAAGTGTGTAGAATACACATCCATATGCTATTGTTGATGTTACCGTCAATAGACATACGTTCACCATAAAGGGCCGACGAGATGCTGTTCAAATTCTTGACTGAATAAACATAAAAAAAAATTTGTTCAGGGGCTTTGAGAAGGTAAGTGATTCGGCTATGTAGAAATGCTAATTTATAGAGCAATGTTAATACCAACACCAAACAAGTATAAGATAAAAAGGCGTCTGCTTGAGAAGAAGGCGCTCTTGCTTGAGGACACTGTCCTTGGGAACCACAGGGATCTCGAGATTCCTAATCTGCAGCTGAAAGTATTTATGAAGACCATGATCTCTCACGGATATGTCCAAAAGGTTCACATATGGAGACATTCATATTTTCTGCTAACTTCACTTGGGGAATCCAGGCTGAGAGAGGAGTTGGTTTTTACTGATGAGGGTATGGCTAACCAAGAAGCATCAGCAGCGGTAGCCTGAAATAAACATCTTCTTTATTGTCGAGCTATATTTGTGATTACTCTTTTTGATTTTTGTAGAGTGGCCCTGAATGGAGGGTTGTAGCCATTTGTCTATTTCTAGAGGTGTTTGTACATCCTGTGGGCTATGCTTGGAGTCTGAATATGGTTACATGGCATCATATGCCCTCTACTCATTCGTGGCACCAAAAAAGATGAAGTATCTTGCCAGTGATAAATCGGGAAGGTATAGCAAAAACGTGAAGTCATTGGTCAACATTTTGAATGTGCCGGGATATTATGACGAAGTTAAGCAACTCTTGGAAACAAAAAGGTTCAGAGACAGAATTGGGGCTAACGACAAGATATTAGCAATAATATACAACGTACTTAGAAGGCATCAGTATCCAATATCATATAGTGATCTAGAGCCTTTCACAGAAAAGACAAGTTCAAGGTTTAAGAGAATCCTTCTAAGAGAATTTGAATATGTGGAAACATCTTTGGAATATCTTTCAGCTATCTTCGATAGAGTTAGAGACTTTTATCTCACACAGGGATTTAAGGGAAACCGTTCTCTAAGGGATTTTGTTTCAATATCTAGGAGTAACAAGAACATAAATCCCTATTACCTTTGTCTGGCATACTTTATCAAGGATGAAGACTTGTTAAACACCTGCAAAAAGTTTGAGCTTGACGAGATTGTAAGCATGTCCTCTTTGAAAAGGATTTTAAAGAAGATTCAGAAGGCAGAAGATCCAACTGTGGTGCCTATGATGAAAAAAAGATTGAGAATCAAGGATAACGCAAGAAAGTATCTTATGAAGAGGTTACAGGATCTGCCGTATGAAAGAAGATAGATTTTTATTTTGGGATCAAACAGCTAGATTTCTAGTCTTGGGAATGAAATGTCGGTCAAAGAGAGAAGCTTTGGTCTGCTCTTGGCATGCACCGCCTCCCGCTTGATCAGATTGACGATTTTTTTGATTCCCTCCAGGGATTCACCTAATATATCAAGCTCAAATAGATATGGTTGAAAACTGTCCATTTCAATGGATACAGCCCATTCAAGGTCCTTTCTGAAACTCTCTTTCCTCGCCATTACATATGTCATCGGATGGAATCTCATGATCCATAGTATTGTCCAGAGTATCTTATGGCAATGGGAAGATTTTACTTGTAAAGAAATGTTGCATAACTTCTTAATGAAGGCCTTTGCTACTGCCAATGGAGTGGAACCATCCTCCAATGTCATTAGAATAAAGAGCAACTTTTTCTCTATATCCTCCTCGATATTTCTAGATGTTATGCAATCAAAAAGAGTACTGTGGAAGCCATCAAATTCAAACCCGAAGTCTCTCTTCATCACAAACACTACTTTAGCGACATCTATTGAAAAGTCACACTCGGGATTGAAGTATCTCTCGATTGCTGGGAAGATGTTTCTTGGATCTCTCATACATGAAACAAGATCTGGAAGCATTTCTACAAATCTTTTGTGATCTTCACAGACTGTTTTATCAAAGGATTCGGTGAGCATTTCATCTAGCTCATAGTTTGCAATTTCCTCATATGAACTTCCCAAAATTGACTTTACAAGGCCCTCCAGTGCCTCCATTACCATTTTAGATTTGTTTTCGGCTCTACTTTCTAGAATTAGCCCTAGGTTGGCAACGGCCTGTTCCATTCTTAGGGAGTGCACAGAAAAAATAGAAAACAGGCCCATTGAGTAACTTTCAGTCATTTATTCTATGCACCTTCGGAAAGTTCCTTTTCAAAAAGTTTTATGAATGATTCAAACATTCGGCCATTAATCAAAAACAATCTGAATGTGTTCCCATTCACTACAATCTGCTTCTTAGCGATATAGGATGACAACAGCAATATTTCCTCTCCTCTCACAGGTATGTAGCTTAAGTCTGATGGATCATACTCCTTGAAGTCTTCCATCAGATCTTTTGCTTCTGATTTTCCACATACTTTAACTCTTGAGACGAATACCATGTACTTGAAATCTATAAACGAAAGGCTTTTGTATAGATCGAGGATCATTTCTAGGGGAATGTTGGCAGCTCTCTCTGTGCAGAAGACATAGACCTTGTCTTTTATGATCTCCTTACTTCCTGATGTTGAGATCAAGGTGTTCAAGGCCTTTTTGAGCTTTTTCTGGGGTATACCAAGCATTCTAGACAATTGAAGAAATCCACAGAAGGAGAGGATGGTATCTCCACTGGTTAAGACTTTGGAGATGGTAAATGACGAGAGGAACTCTTCAGAAAATGGAAATATCTTGGACTGTTCCATAATCGTAGATATGCCAGAAAGATTAGATGAGGAGGGGTCAGTCACTTCATAGGAAATCTCATCACATGAAGATACCTCCGAAACAGAGTAGGATTCACTCATCCCCTCTTCCAGAATCTCGTCTGAGTTTTCGACAGGTGTTTCGGTTTTATGTCTCTTACCGTTATCCATAGGGCTGTGGAGAATAGTACTACATAAATTAGTGAAGGCGACTATGCTTCGGAGTTAACTAAATCTTTATTCATAGAAGACTTTCTCGTTGCCATCCACAATGGTGAAGTTTGGTAGTACCTTGTAAAAGACAGATCCACTGCAAACGCCATCGATAATAGTTTCCTCGATATGGGAAACGAGGGCAATTCCATCTCCTATTCTAAACAGAAAGTAGGAATCTGAACAAATAACCACAAGTTCGTCTTTTCCCTTTCCCATAGATTTCACAACACTTGTGCCTTCTGGGAGTTCAAATATAAAGCTTGAGGAATATTCCTTATCGTATAGAACTATTTGCTTGTTGCTTATTGAAACCAGAGCTCCGTTGATACATTCTAGAGATACTATGGGCCCACACCCGAATCTGTACCCCAATATTTTCCCATCCATTCCACTGATACGAATCCTTCCATACTTATCACTAAGCAGAATTCTCCCATTGTGTATCGCCATTCCTGTTAGATAAGATAAGGTCCCAAGCACATACTCGTATCTCTCACCTCTAATTCTATGGACATCTCCAAATCTATCTGCAACATATACTTCGTTTTCATACTCGACCAAGCAAAAGATACATCTGTTGAGTTTCAGGACATTCCTTAGTGTAGGCCCTTCAATAAAATGTAGATTTTTTTCTCCATCAGCTAGATACTTTCCAGACATAAAAGATATCCGGCTTGGTGCATCTATCTTTTCTATGGCACCAGTGGCAATGTCTCTTACCACCAAAGTTTTGTTCTTGTGAAAAACAATATTCCCATTGGTAGCAGATATCAAGTTCATTCAATGGGAAAGGATATTCCTCGGTATTAATAAATCCACTTATGGAATAAAGAAGTAAAGTGCCAGAAGGTTTATTCCTCGATTTCTTGAACAAGGCGTGCATTTCCGTTCAGCAAGCAAATTCCAAGCTCCTTGGCTCGGTTGACAATGGCTATTCTCTTCCTAGCACCCACTGCATGCGCAATCTCTCCACAATAAAATCTGTTCAGGGATGCCAATGGTGTAAGATCATTGATGTTGAATATCCTGACCTTTCGGAGCCCGTTTGGTAAAAGATGCCTAATCTCCTTTGGCTTTTTGTATTTGATGGATGGCATCTCTCTCTGTCCTTTGCATCTCTTCCTAACCTTACTATCAATCCCATGAGGCTTTCTCCAGGATGGTTTTACCCTTTTGTACCTGTCGGAGTGGTGGCGGATGAACTTCTTTTCCTTTCTGTAAGCCTCTTTTATCTCAACAAGCGGCTTTATATCAAAAAGCTCCTCGCTCATCTGTTCAGGGTAAATTTTTTCTTGTTTTAACAGATGGAATATGATGCACTGCGGGCAGACGAGAGTATTACAAGCATATTCAATAAATGATATAATGCAGCAGAGTCAAGGATGCCTTATTTCTTTGAATATGTTAGCCCATTGGAAGATATAGTATGAGGGACCGCATGAAAAAGAAAGGAGGAGGCAAGCATAAGCTCAAGTGCAAAGAGAAGAGCAAGAGACACTGCAGAGATATAAGTAATATAAGTAATATAAGTCACACTGAAGAAAGAAAAAAAAACGCGAGAGGGAGGAGTATGTGCAAGAAGATCTCCAAAGAGGATGATGAAACTGATAAGAAGAGAAGAAGATACCAAAAGATTGAGTTTGATGAGGCTACATGTTCTGTTACAGTGAAGGGGAATTCTACTTTAGGAGACATAAAGAAGACATTCAAAAACTTCAAGGATATGAAGAGCGGGGAAGATGGATTCGTTCTGGAGTATCCTAGTAAGGAGCATGCACTTGTAGACATAAAAGCAAACAGGAGGCAGGGAGGAGAAAAAAAGGAGGATAGCAGCAGGTATCTGAGCAACAAATATATACTCACAAATCTTTCTTATAAGGAGGATAAGGAATCAATATCGAAAGTGTTTAAGAAGTATGGGGAGATTGAGAGAATAACAATAAAAAAGAACAAGGACAATATATCTACAGGTAAGGCGATTATAACTTTCAAGAAAAGGGCGGTGATAAAAGAAGAAATTGTAATGAGCAACAAGCCGATTTACATAGAGAGGATTAAGAAGCCTTTGGAAAACAAAACCAGATTCTTCCTTGGAAAGCTGACGAAATCTCTTTCGATAGTTGAGATAAGAAAAATATTTGCAAAAGTCGAATGCAAGCCAAAGGATATAAGGATATTGTACGGGGAAAACAAAAGGAACAGAGGATATGGATTTATAGAGTATGCCAATGAGAAAGATGCAAATGTATTCATTGAAAGGTTCGAGAAGATCAAAAGCTTGTTAGGCCCTGAGTGCTATTATGAATACTCCAACGAGAAGGTCTCTTCAAAGAAAAAGTAAGTGACTAGCTAATAAATCTTAATAAATCCGTATCAAATGACAACTATCTAATGCTTGGTACAGTGAAAAGGATCCCTGAAATATATCTGGCAATGGTTAACCCATGAACCAAGAGCTGGAAGAGACAAAGAATAGGAATGACACCGGTATGGAAGGCAAAGGGGCCTGGAAAAAGCATTCAGTGATGGTAAAACAGGATTGGATCCCTTCAGACTATTCAAAGTATGTTGATGAAAGAATTCTAAACATCGATTTTGAAACAGATACTTTCCAGAAGCAAGCATTTTATTTTCTGAGCAGAGAGTCATCGGTTTTTGTATCTGCCCATACAAGCTCTGGAAAGACCCTAGTTGCCGAGTATGCAATCTCTCTGTCACAGAAACATGGAACAAGGACCATTTATACATCACCCATCAAGGCATTGAGCAATCAAAAGTACCACGACTTCAAGCAGAAGTATGATGATGTTGGGATTATTACAGGCGATGTCCAAGTCAACCCCACTGCAAAATGCCTTGTGATGACTACGGAGATTCTTCGGAATCTTGTGTATAGAAATGGAGATCTTTTAAGAGATACCGAATTTGTTGTATTTGATGAGGTTCATTACATTAACGATTCTGAAAGAGGGGTGGTGTGGGAAGAATGCATAATCATGCTTCCTCGTAACATAAGCTTTATCATGCTGAGTGCAACAATTCCTAACAGCCTTGAGTTCAGTGAGTGGGTTGGAAGGACGAAGAATCGAACGATATATGTGATTTCGACCAGTAAAAGGGCAGTTCCTTTGGAGCATGTGATATATTGCGATTGGAATGTGTACTCCATCGACGAAGGAGGAAAGATAAAAAACCCGTCCAATTTCAAGGGGGACCTGGTTCCCTTTAGTAAGAAGAACAGGCCTACTGGAAGATTTAAGATTCTAGACCTAGCCAATTTCATTGTGAAGAAAAAGCTCACGCCATCCATATTTTTCTGCTTTTCAAAAAGAAGATGTGAGGACTATGCAGAGATACTCAGGACTCTGGACCTAAATGATGCAAGGAGTAGAGAGGAGGTGAAGTTATTCCTTAGTGAAGCGACCAGGTGCCTTTCTCCAGAAGATAAAAACCTCCCACAGGTTCTTAGCATGTCATCGATGGTACTAAATGGCATTGCTGTTCATCATGGATCTCTGCTTCCTTTTGTAAAGGAATGTGTAGAACTTCTGTTTTCGATGAACTTGGTCAAACTCCTCATAGCCACCGAGACGTTTGCAATGGGGGTGAACATGCCTGCAAAGTGCTGTGTGTTTCTGTCTCTCAGCAAGATTGATAGTGGAGTTTTTAGATATGTCTCGTCTGGAGAGTACATACAGATGAGTGGAAGGGCCGGAAGAAGAGGGATGGATACCGTTGGAACTGTGGTGATAGCAGACCCAAAGATGCCTCCGCTTTCTACTATTCGAGGAATTATACACGGAACTCCGTTCAGCTTATCTAGCCAATTTAAGCTGAGTTTTGGACTTATTCTTATATCTCTAAGATCAAATATCAAGGTTGAGGATCTTATGAGAAGGAGTTACGGAGAGCACCGGAGCCAGAGAAACTACGAAAAGGATATGAAAAGGTTATCTGAGTTGGAGCGTGAACGAGATGACACATGCAATGTGTGTGGCGATTTGACTAATTATATTGATGCCGTAGAGGAGATATGTTCTAAAAATTGGAAACTGATTGCAAAACACAATGTTCTAAATAAAGGGACTAGAGTTTTGCTGAAGAACAACGCTGTGGGAACTGTCGAGAAGATTTCAGGGACGACTGTCTTTCTGGAGACGGAGCATGGAATCTTAAATAATAGTGATCCTCTTCCAATCAAATTTCTGTCTCATCCCCTGAGCATTAGAAAGCCTTTGGACAGGAGTAAGGTCAACTTAGAGCACATTTTCTGTGTTCTCAATGATGGCCAAGCTTGCTGGGATTACAACACAACAAATGTGATGGATGTGTTGGAGATAAGGAGGTTGAGGAGCTTATATGATTCTTTAATATCCGAGAAAAAAGACTGCAAGGAATTTGACTTGCATTATTCAAATGCATTGAAGACATCGCATAAAAGGAAGGAAATAGAGGAGATAAAGATCAAATACAATGTCTGTAGCCTTGGAATGATAGATGAGTACAACAAAAGAATAGAATTCCTCAAAAGAAGAGGTTTTGTTGAAGAAGCAATAACGATGAAAGGAAGGGCAGCAGCTGAGATACACACAGTGAACGAGGTCTTGGTTGTTGAGATGATATTCTCTAATGAGTTCAGGGAGATGGATGGACGAAAGATCATTTCATTGATGTCCTCGATGATACATGAGGAACCTGATGAGCAGGAGCCAGGAGAAACCCTTTACGTTGAATGCAAGAAGATGAAGGAGTATTTTGCAGAGTTATCTAAGGATCTAGAAGAACTAATGATTCCCCCGTTTGCACCTCTAACCTTTTCGCTTGTGGAAGCAGTTTACGACTGGTGCAGTGGATCATCACTGGCAAAGATAGTATCCAACCACGGTGTTCTCGAGGGCACTTTTGTAAGGCTTATACTGAGACTTGAAGAATGCTGCAGAGAATTGATGGGCGTGTCTGCAATGATAGGAGATAAAGCCTTAGAGGAGAAAATTAGAGATGCTTCCATGTCTATGAAGAGAGATATTATATTTCTGCCAAGCCTGTATCTTTAAGAATAAACTTGAAACAACCTTTTATTTATTTTTCTTTTGTGGCGTTACTATTCCATTTCGTTATCAATGTATCTTTTCTTTCGAAGCTTTTGTAGAGAAACTTCTCATAGTCATCTATTTCATCAATTGAAACCACTCTGATGTCACAGTTGAATATCCCTGTTGTGTCACAGAAAAGAAACTTCCATAGAGGAGGAACCTCATTTTCTGAGTAGGAGAATGTGACGTCCACGATTTTCTTTATTCTTGAGTTTTTGAGGTTCTCGCATATGAGCTTGAATCCTTTATATCTAGGGAAAAGAACATTATTCAGCCTTGCCATGCCTTTCTCGTCGGAATATTTCCAGCTCTTTAGCTTCAGCTCCTCGGAGAACCTGGACCCTTCCGGATAAAATACAAACCAAATTGGAATCCCTGAGGTGTTAAAAAACTCTAAGTATCTGATGATCTTCTTCTTATCTTTCTCAAAGCTTCTTTTTAGAACAAGAAACCCTACATAAACTATTATCTGGTAAAACACGGGGAAAACCCGAAGGCCATCCTTAACCGCATACTTCACATGGCTAATCATCCCGCTTTTCCTAGCTATTTCATTGATCAAAATAAAATCCACAGATCCTATGTGGTTACTGATTACAAAGTAACTTTCATTCCCAATATCTATACTTCCATGGACAGTACTTGAGAGGTTAAACATCCAACTTATCAAAGTCCACAGGGTGTATGTGAAGAATGTCGACAGGCGGATACACAAAGGCTTGTTTAGTATATGCAACGGATATGCCAGTATAGAAAACGGAGCACCTAGAATAAACATACCCATTACACCTAGGAATATGATCAGTTTCACCAATATCTTGAAAACCTTTTTCATGGGCCTTATGATTCCATAATCATTTACAGAGACCCTTATAGTAGGATGAAATCTATCTCTGGCTGTCCAATGCGGTTTGAATCTTTGAAGGTCTTCTTCAAGATAGTAAGAAATGAAAGCTACTTTAAGATTCAGATTATAACTCTCGAATCCTTGGACATATTTGAAGCGGCTTTGAGGGAAGAAAAGATAGACTATTCAAAGCACTTTAGCTCCATGATCAAGAAGTCGGAGTCCCTTTCTCTCATACTTAGAGACTCGGATATATGTCTTCCAGGCCCTGGCAAATACGTTCTGTTCAGTAACACGCGTCACAGGGAGTTCGTTCAGATCGTATTCATCCCAACTCTGGAGGAGAAGCTTTCCATAGTTGGGGATAAGTATATTGTTCAAGCATACAAGTACAAGAATATCAATGAGCTTCTAAAGATTGCTTCTAAAGAGGAGTCCAGAATAGAGAGTCATTTTGGAAGTGGATTAGACTATTTTGAAAGTGTGATAATGCTTGTTGTAAGCAGTAAGAGTAAGTTTAAGGAAATCTTGAGCAGCTCTAGGGAAATGGATAGCAAGCTGGGAAATAGTTTTTTTCTGCAGATGAAGCTTAATGGATTGGTTGACAAGCTTCTTGTAGTTAGGAATGGAGACAGGTACAGAGTAAATACAAGCAAATCTGTTTTGAGACACATAGGAAAGAGGATAGGATATGATGCAGACTCTGTTGTCTAGACCCTGGATTCCAGAATTAACTCATCGTTGACGGGAATGACCCGAGGCCTCATTAATCCCCTGTTTCTGATGGAGGATTTAAGGACGAGGTACGAAAGATTGTTAGAGGCACGGAAGAATGCCAAGACAAGTGAGAATATGGTTGGGGAATGTATGACGTTCTGCCCTGAGCTCGAAGGGTTGGAACGAGTACTCAACAATGATGTATCGCCCTATGAAACAGAAGTAATGATTAAGAAGTACCGCAAGGTATCTTCAGAAACACCCTGCATTCTCCCAGAGGACATAAGACCAATGGAGGTGTTGTTGAGTGTAATTAACCATGTTATTAGGTTGTGTGCTAGTGACCAGAGCCTGCAAATGTATAGATTTGCAGAGAACAGGACCCGGGCAATTATATCGGATATGAAAATTCAGGGAGAGAGGGGAAAGGATGCAATCGAGGTACTTGAAAAGATCGTTAGATTTTACATCGTTTTTCGGTATCTTTTATATGACCATCCTCACTTCAATAAGGATATGAATTTAGGCCAGCTTAAGGTGGTGATGGATAGTCTCGTAAAGTTGTATGACTTGGAGGAGGCTGGATGGTGCGAAAAGGATAGGAAGGAAGAGTTTTATTGCTATCATATTATAGCCACAATGGGGGAGAGATGTCCCTTTCGGATCCAGAGATGGGATGATGGGCCAAGAGTCAGGTTGTCTATGGAAATCACAAGGAAATACATGCAAAAAAATGGAGCGGGGTTCTTCAAGCTCCTAAGAAAGCTTGACTGCATTGCATTCTGCTTAGCACAATCTTTTGCAGGAGAAGTTAGGGCGAGGTGTATACAGATGTTCCGAAAGTCTTTAGCAGAAAAAGTGAGTATTGAGTTCCTTGAAGATATTTTGTGGGCCAGGGGATCGGAGGCCGAGGAGTTTCTGAGGAGGAATGGAATTGTAGTGAAATCTGGAAAGGCGGATTTTGAAGAAAGAAGAGGAGGTGAGGAGTACGAGAAAGAGGGCCTCTATAGTAGAAGAATAGAAATAAACATAAAAAGGCCCGAGATGTTTATGCTGCATGGATGTGTTGATTATAGGATCTTGAGCATCATTCTCTCTGCATTGCTTTGGAAAAAGCTAAGGGACTCTAAACTGACTTCCCACGCCCAGTGTCCACAAAGTCAAGGAAAGTATCATTCTATGGAAAGTAGGGCTGTAGTAAGGAAAATGTGTGTTGTTATACTTGAAGAGGTTGTAAAAAAAATTGCTGTGCAAGTATTCTCCAGAGTCATGCTTTTGAATACGCTGAAGGGATATCTTATTAAATGGAAAGAGTTAGCAAAAAGAAAGCATGATAGTGCTTTGGACGAGAATAAGTACCTGCTATTGATAATTTTGGACAAAGAGATACCTTCTGTTTCCTTCATAGGATGTATTAACACTTCTGTACTGAAAAGCCTTGCACCTGTAATAACATACATTGAAAAGGTAAGTGTGGATGAAATGCTGATGTACAATCTATGTGTCTTTTCGACTTTGAAGAACAAACATGAAGAACTATATGCCAGGTATCGGATGATCAACCTTATTGTTGGGACTCCGCAAAGCCTGTCTAGAAGAGTACATGAGATTTATGAAAGAGCGGTAAATGCATCTAAGACAAAGAAGTCTACCTTATTTACTCTTATTGATGGGATGAACAAAGTGCAAACTATAGAAACAATAGTCAAGCTTATAGATAATGGAAAGAATGGAGATATCATGGAAAGAAATCTCGCTTTATTGTATGAAGGAAAGCCGCTTATTGAGTGCGATGTGTACTATGAAGAGGGGAGAACGGCTTAATGCCACTCTATCCCACAAGGATTTTGATGGAAGCTTTAATTAAAATGTTAACTTATAGATTTTAAGGTCTATCATTATAGATCCATGCCATTATACAGCAGCCTCAAGACAAGCACATTACCTAAATGAAAGACTGTCTCTTCTTGTGGATGGCTTCTCGGAGTTGAATATCTTCCAGAACTTCAAGTTCTCATCTGCAGACACAGAAGCCAATTCAGACCCATCAGGGCTCAAGGCCACATGCAGAACTCTTGATCCATGCTTTCCAAAAGAAGAAATTAAGTTCATTGTTGAGGCTTTCCATATTCGAATATCATTCTCAATGTATCCATGCGAGGATATAATCTCCTTATATTTCGGCAGATATGTAAGAGTACATACTTGAGATTGTGTATCTATGCTCCTCTCTAATTTATTCTCTGCAACGTCCCAGAACTTTATAGTCATGTCTTTTGCTCCTCCTCCAGAAGTCAGTATCCCTGACCTCCATGGACACCACGCAAGGGCTTTTACAGCCGACTTATGCCCCGAAAGTGTTTGAGGGTTGTTATTCCCCAGCTGCCATATTCTTATCACATTATCATTTCCTCCACTTGCTAAATACTTTGTATCTGTACTCCACTCCAATCCGCATATTTCCTGAGAATGCCCCTCAACCATGGAGATTCTTCCAGATCTTATGTCGAAGTTGCATAGCTTTCCCGTCTTGTCTCCACTGCTTATGACATTTCCATTCCAGCTCAGAGATGAGACCCTAGCATTATGGTTTCTCATTGTATGCACCTCTTTATTTACTGAGATGTCTATTAGCCGCATTGTTCCATCTGAGGCTCCAATACAAAGAATGTCTCCATTGCTCTTTACCGATGATATGTAGTTCTCTCCAGAATGTATGTCGAGTACAGATTTATCGTTAACATTATATCCATACACCGATTCTCCCAAGCCTATGATCACAAGGTTTGTGGAGCTCCAGTCCAACAGGTTGAGATAGTAATCATCCAGCATACCTGGTGCATCCAGTATTCTATGGGGAGATGTATCTATGTGTCTGTTTTCTATGCGGGAGCTTCTAGAAGAAGTCATCAGCTTTATGCTAACCAAAACATCTGTGTGTATCCCCATTGTACTCTTGGTGTACCTGTCTTCCTTTTGCGTTTGCCTTCTTCTTGATGTTGAAAATATATCGCCTAGATTTATGCTCATCGATGCACTATGTTCAAGGGTAAACATGCGAATCCAAGGTCGATAATTTTGTTTTATTGCCTCATACAGAGGACTCCGACACTGCTTAGCTCTAGAGAAGGATAGAGAAAGACGCGAGCATTTATTTTTGCTTGTACATCTAGTTGCAATTTTTTACCCACAAATGAGAGTGAAGCACCCCAGTGAAAGAAAGACCTTGCTTTCTGTTATCTGTAGTGATAAGGGAGAAAAGATCCAAAGAGAGATAGGAGTTATCAGAGGAGACACTGTCCATATACATGAGAAGGTAAATCCCTTTGACTGCGCAGAGCAGATAGAAAAGCTGATGAAGAAGAAGAAGTCTGGGATGTTCATTTCCATAACTAAGGACAGCCTCCTTGTTATTGGACGTACCTTCAATGACGAGATTATAGACATGGTTGAATTCAAGATAAATAGATACTTGTCTGTGACCGACTTTGAGTGTGTTGGGCCCGAATTGCACATGAAATATTTTGTAGTCTTGCAGAATATTAACAATAAGCGACTAGAGAATCTGATAGTGGATTTTTTCAACAAGAAAAGCAGCAAGGTCTGCTTAGAAGGAATTAGATACTCTTGGGTCTTTACCAAGACAGAAGACGGATATGTGCTTAAGTATGTGAGGGTTCTTAAGGATCTCAATGTTGAGGACTGCGGGCCTTTGCTTGAAATGGAGCTTGTGAGAAGCTACCACTGCAGTGATGAGCTTTATAAGAAGGCGTTGGACGAGCCTAAAAAGCCGAAAAAGAATATAAGCAAGAATTTGTTCAACGATAAGATAGGAACGCTCCACATTGACAAGCAAGATCTTAGAGATATCAGGCTCAAGAAAAGCAAAGGATATAAAAGAACTTCAAGCAGGAGTTAGTTAATTTCTTGAGTTTGAAAACAGATAATAAAGTTGGGTCACTCTATATAATACCTATCCCTTTTTCTTTTAGAATGAATCCCGAGAATGAAGTTACCATTCAGGTGAATGTTATGGAGCCTAAAGAAATTGATCTTAGGAAGAAGGAAAAGCAAAAGAAGAGGAGACAAAGAACCGATGAGTATGATTACAATGATCCGTTTATAGAGCCCTTTGAAGGAGAGACACAGATGGTCATGATAGAGAGTAGCCTTGAGGATTTCTTTGTGTATAAGGGCGAGTTACCATATAGTGCGAAGAAGGTACTAAGTGTACATAAAGCAAGGGAGAGAGCCAAGCTTATGAAGAGCTCATCCATAGATGTTTCTGGCCAAAAGGCCGAAAAAAGAGGGAAGGATCCAAAAAGATTGAGGATATCGGTTGGTAAGGGAAGGCGTAGAAGAATACCAAAAAGTGATACTAAGATCTGTGATTGTCTTGCTAGCCTTATAAAATCTGAAGTTGGTAATACAGGGGAGGTACCAAGGGATGAAAGCGACTATATGGAGTATTATGTATCTCTGAAGGTCCTTGAGGCATTCCAAAAGGAAAGAGAAGTCGATTGGCGCATACAGAACTTAGATGCCCTTAAGAAACCATCAGATGAAGAAATAGCTAGGTATCTGAAGAAGAGTGAATCGGCCATGAATGAGCTATTTAATACAATCGCTGGAGAAATCCAGAACTACCAGCTCTACTCGGAAGATCTTTCTCTGTTCAAAGGCTTCCAAAAAGAAAGCTTCCTCTTTAACACTTGTAAATACTTTTTGCTCTTTATTAAGATATCGTTTATGGGACAAGAGGGTATGACCTTCAACAAGGCAAGGAAAGAGGCATATAATAATGTCCTTGGGCTGTTTCCTAACACATGTAAAAACTCAACACAGACTCAGTACTACCTTGCAAAGCGCATTTCACAAACTTGCGAAATGAAAGACTTCGCTGAATGCAATAATAAGGAACATAAAAAAGGAAATGAAGATCGCAATGTATCTTCAAATCTAGAAAGTATTGTTGAATAAGGAGTTTGAATACTGGAAACATCCTTAAGAAATGGCACCTCATCGTCTATTCTATCAGATGCCAATAAGCCTCGCTACTCAAATATCTTTTTTTTCACAATTTCGATAATCTCATCTATAGGAAGTGTTCCATCGACAATAAAGACATTTTTTTCTTCTTTAAGAAGTATTTGATATGCAAGGAAAACTTTCTTTAGAAATGTGATACTATCATGGATTTCCTTTCCAAATTCTTTTCTTCTGCATATCTCGTCCATGGGGACATCTATGAACACCGTTAGGTCGGGTTTAGGAAGAAGAGATTCAGACATGGCACACCAATCCAGGCTCAGGCCCTTGGCCACAGAGTATGCTACCCCACTCATAGAGTAGCGATCGCAGAGGACTATGCTGTCCTTCCTGAGTTCTTCGATCATGGCTTTGTGCTCATATCTATCTGCACTAAACAGCAAATGAATGGTTTCGTTCTTCAGACTAATCTTCTTTTGAAGATATTCATCTATAACCTTCCCTACACACCCATTTCTATTTGGAAATCTGATCTTGTTGACAGATACTGTTGGAAGTAGACTTTCATACAGAGTGTTAACTATCGTTGTCTTTCCAGACCTATCCAGTCCTTCAAATACAACAAATTTTCCTTTGGACATCAATTCAGGGGGTTTTCAGACCAGGTTCGCAATATAAAAAATGAGCATTTGATGCCGCCAACAGAGGTTTCCTGATTACAGACAATAAAACACTCAACCCTCCCTGTCATTGTTATCACAGCCATAATGCTTGTCTATCTTTTCTTTGAGTTCAGTATCCTCTACGACCATGTCTTCGGTAAGAGGCATTCTATTGAATGGGTCTATCCCTCCATTCATCATCAGCATGTCGTATGTAGACTTATCCACAGTCACCTTTGAGGTCAGAAGCTTTACAGGGTTCCTTATCGGGTTGAATGTCAAAGGATCGATGAATTCGTCAGGAACACACTCGATCTTTTCGATCACCTCAACTTTCTCTAGCTTACTTATGAGACTCCTCAGCTCCTCCATCTGTGATTCATTGATGAGATATTTACTTTCACATATTCGAAGAGCAGTGCGGAAGAATTCAATGTCAAAGTACATCTTGTCACTAGCTACCATCTCAACAAACTTATCACTGCGAATCTTTATGTATATCATAACCATCCGTCTTAAGAGGTTTTTTGCATCGAAGCCATATTGTTCTGGGGATCTTATCACAAGATCAGTACATCTAGGCCCGGTGATTACTTTCAGATTGCAGTTCAAAACTCTCACAAAATTCGAGATCATCTCATTCACCAAAAATAGGTCGGGCTTTTCATCAAGGATGTGCATAAACAAGTCAAAGCATCCATCAACATACAGAAAAGAGTTTCTTGCTTTGTTTTTCGAGAACCGGATGCTCTTCTTTATTGACCCTATCCTCTCACTAATGGACTCGGCTTTCTCCATCTCAGCATTGTTTTTCTTAACCTCCTCCAATTCCTTAGTGAGATCCTCGACAGTTTTCATATCCTCTTTTATGTCCTTAATGGAAGAAAGGCCTTCGGATAGACTGTACTCAAAGTCCTTCATCATGCAGTTGATGAATGTGATATTTCTCTTGCAAACATTCATTCTAGAGAATACTCTTCCTTCCTTGAAGATCGAGTGGATAATACTTCTGGGCTCCATTCTCGTCTCATCCTTTCCCAAAGAGTTATAGTAATCTATCACCTTATTGAGCATTGTAAATTTGATTGCATTACTTCTGTGGCTCAGTATCTTCACAACTTCTTTTTTGAACATAGGACTTCTCCAGTCCATGATGGTTTCCATCACCTTGTTCAGTGAACTCGAAATGGTCGATGATTTTATCAGGTCAATTGTCATCTCCTGCATCCATAGAAGTGTTCTATAGTAGTTGTCTGGCCATGGATACTCGGTCTCGCTAGTGTATTCCGTCATGAAATCAGTAAATGCTTTTTCGTCTGCAAAAAAGTCTGTCATATAAAGAAGTCCGTTCAGAGCACTTATCTTCGAATCTATTCTTTTCCTGTATGCTTCCAATCTTTCCCCTCCGTCCCCCTCAAGAAGTCTATATTCATATGCAAGGCTTTTGATATATTCTCCAAACTTCACACAAGATGTAAACAGTAGGTGAATCTTTGAAAAGTAGCAGAACGTCGGAAACGATGTCAAGGAGATCTCTTCCACGTTTTCAGGATTTATTTTGTCAATCATGTTTCCATCTATTATCTTTCTGTTGAACCTACTCATAACCATGGACATGTTGTATGCAAATCCATCACTTATGCTTACTCTCCAGTTAAAGATGGTCTTACTCCTCTCTTTGCTTACAGATATAACATTACAAACATACCTCATGAAATTAGTCCTCAGCTCCTTAGAGGACTTTATAATAGAATATATTATATGGTGCATCTTGTATGAATGATCGCACAAGGCATGGTACGACCTTCTGGACTTCTCCACTACCTCCCTCATCGAGATCCCAAGGTAATCCTGAGCAGGTGATGAATAGTCACACTTCTTGTATATAAAAGGTTCGAAAAACCCATCAAGGAAGCAAGGAAAATTGCACAGAAACCCGTAGTATATGGGAAAATCGAAAACGACATCCTTTCCAGGCCCAGAATCTCCCAATCCCCAATAGACTTCGCTCTTAAGCTCTTCAAGAACACCATGAAGCCCAGTCAATGCTTCAAGTGCAGATGTGTGACCGGCTATATCCGACATAGCATCCAACTGTGAACACTTGAATGAAAGCCCGTAGATCATGGGGAGGAGCATCTTTCTTGATATTCCCTCGACTTCACTTAACCTCTCTAGGCAATCCATAATATCGAAATACGATGGGCCAAAGGAACTCATAACAAGAGATATAAGGGAAATAGGGCTGAAAGTAAATCCTGCCATCTTTGGATTGTCCACAATCATTGCTATTGTTTCAATAAAGAATCTAATCCCCTCTTGGGTATAGGACGATTTGTATCTTGGAATCAGGTTGAGAAGGATGTCTTTACCAGAGTTGTTGGTAATATACGATAGCCGAACGTACTCTGCTTCGTCTGCTTCCACAGGACCCATATCTTCAGCCTCTCCGTAATTAAACATTTCATATAATTCTTTTCTGTTCATTCCAGGGTATTCTATGAAAACAATTGAATGAGCATAAGAGATATAAGTGCCTTCATAGGCTGAAGCATCCTGTGAATATGCCTCTTCCAGGAACCCATAGTAAAATATTTTGCTTTGCATAACACGCATTCGAATATCTCTTTCTCTTCATACCCCAGTTCCAAGGGAATGACCACCTTGTATGACAAGTTACAAAGCATTGAAGAAGAGGTTGACAGACTGTGTCTAGCAAGAAAACTGAATATGGAGGCAGAGTATCTCAAAAGAATCAAGTGCAAGAAGTACCTCAGATGTTATGTCCAAGTTGCTATAAAGAAGGGCACATTTATACGTCTTGATAGCAGGGTGATCAATGACTACAAAAATGGGGGAGAGATGAAGTTTTCAGATGTTGTGAAGAGGTTTTGTGTTATATTTGATAGCAATCTTGCCACGACAACCGAGACTCATTTTGGAGGCCGCAAGGCATCGAGTGAGGACGGTGAAGGTACAGAGCACCCTGGGATAGTTAACGGGGATGGGAACCTACCGAAATCGGTATGCAACGGAGGCATATCCATGGAAGGGTTCTTTGAATGGACTAAATGCTGTGGAGATACCGAAGCGTTTGAGATAAACAGTGACAAAAAACCAAAGAATATAAAACTCCTGTTTGACCTTGAGAACCCAAGAGAAATCTTCAGGTTGTCTACAAAATTGAGTAACCTTCTGATGAAGTATACGGACACAAAGCCAAATGTGGTAACACATCTATGGAGATATGTAAATAGGAATGGGCTTATGTCTATTGATTCAGACATAGTTGAATGTGACTTACCGCTAAAAGACATCCTCGGAGTAGAAAGATTTGAATTCCCTCAGCTTCCAGACCTTATAGTACCGCATCTATGGCCCTTAGACTATCTAGTGGTTGATATCCCTTCGGTCGACGGCCATACAGAAATCTTTGACATCCCATTTGAGTGGGACGACCTATATCAGTGCCCCACCTTGTACACCAAAAGGATCTATGCTCTTGACAGAAAAATAGAAGCTCTCAAACATCTGCTAAAAAGGTGCGAAAATAGAGAGGATGTACTAAGTGAGTTTGAAAAGGATCCCGCAGCATTCATTAACAAATGGATATGTATCGACACGAGCGACGTGTGCCACAGAACATCTCTTTTTCGTAACAAAGACATGCAAGAGAAGATTTTTGGGTTGTTGAAGAAACTAGAATAATTTGACCTTTCTCACTCAGCTCAACAAAAATTTAATTAAATTCATCAACCCTCCTAAAAAGCTACGAAATACTACCAAAGCACCTTCTAGAGATTAATTTAAATATAAATCATTATGGATATATTATGTTATATGACATGTAAATCATCGATAATATACTGCCAATAATCACGGCAATAGACAGGATAGACATAAGATCCATCCTCTTTCTGAAATATAGGTAGTAAATGGAAGGATAAGTAAATGATACCAGGTTGATTGCAGTGGCTCCTACCATTTGCAATACAGTATCAATATTAAGCTTTTCCATCATCCCCAGGAATAAAAACATAAGCATCAGTACAAAGACCACCTTTTTCCTTATCAGGTCTGTGTTTCGTCCTTCTTGGATGAAGTAGCTGAGAGGTATCCCAGCCAATGGGTTCATTTGAACGGGAAATGCCCCAAACAGGACAAGCATTGCTCCAATACAAGCTATCTTCGAAGATAAAGCATACTTGTCAATGGTGCTATTCATAAGATATACATTAATTCCGGCTTTAGGATTGATTAATATATCAATTATCGAACTTTCTATGGTATTCCCAAATACAAAATACCCACAGAGCCCAACACTTCCATAAATGAGAGTTCCAAGAAATGAAGCCCCCATTGCAACCTTGATGATGTTGCCTGGGGATTTGTGCTCCAGCTCCGTGTATGTCTTGACCATATTTGCCTGGCACGACAATGCAAGCATAAAGCAGGAAATACCGCTCGAAAACTGGGATTCAAATTTCCGGGCAGGCTCTTCCACACATCTTTCCCCAATGAATAAGTAATACCCTCCCATCAACATTGCAAGGTAGGTTACAGAAGCAACAGTTATATAAGATGTCACCTTAAGGCTAGATAAATCCTTTTTTAGCGATAACAGAAGAAAGGGAACAGCAAGGACTCCAACAATTATCTTCCTCCACACCTCAGGGTCAACATACCTATTCATTGGGAACATCACTGTGATAAGCCCTGTAAGATATCTATAGAAGACAATATTCACACCAAAACATGAACTAAATATAGATAAATCTACTAAAATTTTGAGGTATTTTGAAATTCGTGTTGATAGCGATGAATAGGTTGGACTTGGGTCCTTGGACATATTTGCTGCAATAGAAATTGCATACAGAGAAAAAAACGTCAATATACCAACGCCGTTTATCAGAAGAATCCCTCTGGCATATCCAACACTTTTAAATGCATAGGGCATGTAATTAATTCCAGTTCCCATCATCGACGTTACCATTGTTACTATCGCAGACTTAACGCTTAAGCCACCTTTCATTTAGGGTTAGCCATTTTTCGATTTTAAAGGCGGAGCTGGCTACCATAAAAGGAAGGACCCTTATTTAACAGGCTTTTCCAAATTGGCTTTTAGCCAAATTACTCTCCATTAATTCAGGCTATAGGCTCATTTCCTTTCTTGTATGAAGTGTCTCCTCGTTTTCAAGATAGAGAGAGGAGGATAAAAGGATTTGGTGAGCCCTTAAACATCAATATGGGAAGGATTTACTTTGCAACAACTAATTTAAAGAAACTGAAGGAGGTCAGAAGGCCTTTTAATACAGATATAGTCCACATGAACGTTTCAATGGTTGAAATTCAGGCATCCCAAGAGAGAGTAGTCCATAACAAGCTGGACCAAGTAATGGCACTTATAAGCAAGGAAGACGCGGTGATTGTTGATGATACAGGAGTTTTCCTTGATAGCCTGTGTGGGTTTCCTGGTGTCTACATCAAAGATTTCCTTAAGATAGGCTCCCAAAAAATATTAGAGATTCTAAAGAAGGTGGAGGATAACAATGCAACAGTATCTTATACTTTGGGAATTGCTCACTACAAAGACGGACAGATTGCCAAGAAGGCATTTTCAGGAGAGATTAAAGGCACGATTATGGAGTCTAAGGAGGAAGGCTCGGCAGAACTTGATGGGATTTTTATTCCAGACGAGTTTAAAGCTTCTCTCAAAAGCATGTCCATTGATGAGAAAAATTGTATAAGCCATCGAAGGATTGCAACTGAAAACCTAACTGATTACATGGTATCGATTGGTATAATTAAAGCCTCATCCGCCTAGGTTCCTATAGGCCTTGCGGACTTTCTAGTGTTGCGTGTGATAAAATTGCTATGGATTCCAGGGGTGGATGAAAGGAAGGAAAGGAAGATTTACTAACGACCGAGCCTTGGTATTTGCAGAGGAAGAGGGGACTGTATATGGGCAAATAATATGTCCTCTTGGCCAAGGGCAGTTTAAGGTAAGCTGTTCTGACGGGATTTACAGGACTGCAAAGGTCCGTGGGAGAGATTACAGGCGGGTTAGAATGATACCAGGCGACATAGTTCTTCTGCGTGTCAGAGATGGTGATGAGAAAAGAGCTGACATCGATAGGAAATATATGCCAAAGGAAATCAAGATACTGAAGGAGGATGGAGAGATAAATGATGATACATTTGCTGCCAATGACGGAGGCAGTGGATTGGTTGAGTTCGAGGAGCTTCTTTAGAGAAAAATTAAAGATTTATTTTATCGCTCTCTGCCATTTTTGTAAATATTTATGACAGAGCTCACAACGTCCAAGTATGTTGGGAACGCCATTCTTTCCACTTCTTCCGAGTAGGGTGTTGGAACATCTTCTCCATTTATTCTTTGAACAGGCACCGCCAGGTCCCCAAAACATTGTTCATGTATTATTGCAGAGACCTCCGAAGCAACACTAAATGATGGCCAGGAAAAGTCAACCACAAATACATGTTTTGTCTTCTTGGCAGAGCTCAACAGTGTTTTTTTATCTATAGGTCTGATTGATACAAGGTTGATTACCTCACAAGAAATCCCCACATCTTTCAGTGCTTCTGCAGCCTCCATGCATACCTTCACAGAGAGAGAAATCCCAATAAGAGTAATGTCATTACCCTCAACCTCAATAACAGCCCTGTCCAATGGCTGAATGTATCCTTCTTCTATATCATCATAAATATCATTATAAAGTGTCTCATTTTCTAGAAACACAACAGGGTTGTCATCTCTTATTGCACATTTCAGTAGCCCTTTGTGGTCTCTAGCTGTACACGGAGCAACAACCTTGAGCCCAGGAACAGCTCCATAATAATTGCAGAAGTCTTGTGTGTGCTGGGCTGCATACCCTGGATTGAATCCATTAGGCCCTCTGAATACAACAGGACAACTAATCTTTCCGCCAGACATATACAGCGTCTTTGCACATGAGTTGATTATGTGATCAATGGACTGCAATGCAAAATTCCACGTCATAAATTCAACTATTGGTCTAAGGCCAAGGTAAGAGGCCCCAACAGCCAGGCCTGTGAATCCCATCTCACTTATAGGCGTATCCAAGACCCTCCATTTCCCGTACTTCTCATACAATCCTTTGGTAACCTCATTGTTTCCTCCGGATACTCCTACCTCTTCTCCAAGAACAAATACTCTTTCGTCTCTTTCCATCTCCTCATCTATAGCTTGGTTCAGAGCTTCTCTGACAGTTATCATTTCCCAGGTTTTTCTTACAGATAGACTTATATCCTCATAATTGTTTCAACTATTACAGTGTAACCTCGTGTTATTTAATACATCACATGAAACACTTCAGGCTTCTCCATCTAAATACCATTTGATCCCCTAACCCTTCTAAGAGAAATGCCACAGCTAAGCTCTACTAAAAAAACATGGATGCTATTAAACATGCTGTTTGGAGCAAATTACACACTATATATCACGCTTCATCTGATCCGAATTCCGATATACCCACTGCCAAACTTTGTCAACATTCTGTGCTTGATATCATCATATTCAATCTCCCTACTTCCACATTTCTCGTCCATAGGAGAGATCTTGTCGCAACCGAACATCTACTGCATTATGGTGTTCCTCACATTCCCTCACGAGATTCTTCTCCTTCCATTTTATCTTTTGTCGATATACCATCTCAGCTCTTTTGTACTGTCCAACAAGAAGATTTTCGAAAGAACGGTCATATACCCAGCATGTGTTTCTCTGTCTGCATATCATGTTTCCCTCGGGAGGCTAGCCTTGTTCACAGAGGCTCTTACTGTCCCTCTTTCCTTTTTAATGATATTCCTTAGAAAGTCAAGTCTTGTCACTTTCACGGCGTTTATTGCTATGGTGAGGCAACAATACTTCAACAATCCATCAATGAGAAGTGTTTTTGGTGAGATACGTGTGTCCTTGGATAGATGGATTCTCAGTTGCCCACGTGATGTACAAGAGTATTATCGAAGGGGAAGGGACTTTCTGGTTTCAACCCATTCAACTAAGAAGTTAAATTAAAAGGCTTTATTCATTTACTTATCAGTTCCTATTCGTTCTGCTTGTCTCACAAACACCCTTGAACCCCCGATTTTCTCATGCTCATCAGCCTCAGCATCGTCCGTCGTCTTGAACTCAGTAATCTTCTTGCATAGTAAGGATATAAAACCTAGGTCATTAGAACAGACATCTTCTCCAGGAACAATCTCCACTGAAACCTTACTCCATCCATTAGACTCTGCTTTTGCCCTTATATACTTTACTATCTGGAGAGTCATAGAAAATTTGTTTTCATGCTCAGATCCATCCACCTTAGGATATGATGAAACAGAAATAGAATCATTAGAATAGTTCGAAAACACCTCCTCCGTGATGAATGGCATGAATGGATGAAGCATCTTCATCGAATCTATAAATACACTTAGCAATGTACTAATATATCTTTCGTCCCTGTTCTTCTTGACAACCTCGATGAAAACATCACATAGATCATAGATAAAGAATTGGTGAATTGCCTGTGTGGCAGCCATAAAGTTAAACGAGTCGAGCATTCTTCGTATTGTCTCAATAGCCTCGTTCCTTTTCTTAAGGATCCATTCAATAGGCCCCTGTCCAGAAGGAGTTACAAGATCATTGGAGGAAAGGATGTATTTTTCATACTTCTTCTTATATACAGCCTCTTGACTACTCCCATCCATTATTTCATCTACCATCATCTTTACAAATTTATGAGCATTCCATATCTTATTGCAGAATCTTCGGTATCCTTCTACCCTGAGTACATCAAGATTGACATCTTTCATTCCAGAGGTATAGGAAAGTAAGGTGAACCTGAGTGCATCAGCCCCGCATCTAGGTATTCCGTTTGGGAAGTCTTGCCGCAGAGCTGCCTCCGCCCTCTTCATCTCCTTCTCATCAAGATTACCACTTCTCATTGTTGAAATAAGATTTTCAAGAGAGCATCCATCAATCACAAAAATTGGATCAATGACATTTCCAAGGCTTTTGCTCATCTTTCTTCCATGTGCATCCCTTACTATTCCATGAAGAAAAACTTGGCTAAAAGGTGCCTTTACTGTTAGCTCAAGTCCTAGCATCACCATTCTTGCAACCCAGAAGAAAAGGATGTCGCTCCCAGTTTCCAACAAGGTATTGGGATAGTATCTCAAAAAATCGTCTGTCTTCTTAGGCCATCCTAAAATCGCAAATGGCCATAGTCCAGAGGAAAACCAAGTGTCCAGGACGTCTTCGTCTTGACAGAACTCATCAAGATTGCATGAAGATTCCAAACATTCGCTCTTCATCTTTGAAAATGCATCCATCTTGGACCTTCCGACATACCATCTCCCTTCTGGTGTTCTATAAGCGGGTATCCGATGTCCCCACCACAACTGTCTAGACAAGCACCAATCCCTGATGTTTTCAAGCCATCTATACCATTGCCTTTCAGCCCCCTCCGGCAATATCCTGATCTTCCCATCAACAACAGCTTCTATGGCTCTCTTGGCCATTTCCTTACAATTCAGCCACCACTGACTTTTGATAATGGGCTCTATAATGTCATTAGACCTTGAACATCTTGGAATCACTTGAGAATACCCTTTCTTTTCAATAAATAAGCCAATGTCCTTAAGCTTTGAGACAACCGCCTTTCTTGCCTCAAATCTCTTCATCCCTTTAAACTCCCCTTCAGAAATCACCTTGTTTTGCTCATCAAGCACAGCCTTGCAAGCGAGATTGTGCCTTTTGGATACATCAAAGTCATTTGCATCGTGTGCAGGTGTTATCTTCACTATCCCCGTCCCAAAACTCATATCCGCATAGTCGTCGAAAATTACAGGAATCACTTCCCTAGTCAATGGATTCACTCCATAAATATTGCATTCACATGGTACATCCCCAAAGATTTCTCTTATTCCCTCAGGACTGAATCTTCTGTCCTTCCTATTTACACATATTCCAGTATCTCCAAGAATGGTTTCCGGCCTTGTTGTTGCAACCTCAATGGTGGGTAGAGACAGGTAGTCCCCAGAAAACTCTTTATCAGTAGTTACCGGGTATCTGAAGTGATAAATCACTCCAAACTCATACTTTCCTCCATCTACTTGTAGATACGTGTTCGGCATCACTTCTTCATGGTTCACCTCCAGGTCGCTTATAGTTGTCGATAACTTTCCACACCAATTCACAATCTTCAACTCCCGGTATATAAGTCCCTTCTCATATAGACTTACAAATGCATCAACAACAGCTTCATTCATCCCGGGATCCAATGTAAACCTTTCTCTGCTAAAATCCACACTTGTCCCTAGCCTCTTGAATTGCTCATATATTCTCGATCCATGCTTGCCCTTCCATTCCCAGGCCTTCTTCAGAAACATCTCCCTATCTACACGGATCCCCTCCTTCTCCATTTGCTTAGACACAACATTTTGAGTTGCTATTCCGGCATGGTCTGTCCCAGGAATGTACAAAACTTCGTACCCACACATCCTTTTGTATCTGCACAGAGTGTCTTGAATGGAAACCATCATCGCATGTCCTATATGGAGGTTCCCCGTCACATTCGGCGGAGGGATTGGAATGATGTACTTCGGCCCTCCCTCAACAGGCTTGAAAAGTCCCTTCTCCTCCCAATACCTGTACCACTTACTTTCAACCTCTAGTGGATCATATCCATCTCCTTTGTAATCTCTCTTGGGCTTCGAAACACTGACCTCTTGTGTCTTCTTTGCCAGAAACTTCTCAAGCTTCTGTTTCCTCTTTTCTTCTTTCAACATCCTTTTCTTTTCCCTCAAGGCTTCTTTCTCAGAATCCATCTTTCTATCGGGACAAAAATAAACCAAAAATATCTTTCCACCAATTTTATTATTTCTGAGTATACTTTCAGGCTCTTCCATCACAAAAGAGATTTTATGTACATCCCCAGGCATGTGTTCGAAGATATATCCATCGAATCCGTGATGCTGCACTTGCACTTCGATTTCATCGATGCCTCCCTTGGGCAGTGGCGGAACGGAGGGTGCTCGTATCCTATATCACTGAAAAAATGGATCTCGTCCTTATCCAAAAAAAGAGATGCTGCAATGCTATGCACAGGCGCATCTCCCCACCTCTCATAGAAAAAGCCTCCAGCTCTATCTAACCAATCAAAATACTTTTGATATGTCTCACTTCTGAAAAAACCAAAGTTTGCTATCTCAAAATTCGACCAGAAGTGACATCCGTTATACGATCCGTCCTTGTTCAGTATGAATCTATTTCCATTGGCCTTCTTTATTAGATTTAGATTCTTTGTTGCAAATTTTATCGCTTCTCCAAAAAGGCTAGGAATCGTCTCCATGAACTCGACAAGAGATATCACAAATCCATATTGTTTGTTGTTTTCCCTCAGATATGTAAATGGGTCGTACTCTATCTGGCATAGAAACTTCACATCTGGTTCTATCCTCCAATAATAGTCATACTTCTGAACCAGCTTGTTCTTATAAAAGAACCCTGAAAAGAATCTACACATCTTCCTATATGACAGAGACCCTCCATAAATAATCTTTCTTTCTTCCAAGTTCTTCATTCCTTGTTTTGCTTTTTCCATATCTATCCATGGTGGAACCTCCCATTCTTCAGGATCAAGCTTTCCAAATTCAACACTGCTAGATGTAATGCCCTTTATGGATTTCTTGAAGTCTTCGGTAAACTCCTCGTCATTCAGGAACACGTACGGATACCCAAAGTTTTTGTTAAACATCTCCTCAAAGTTCTTTATCGTTTCTGTTATTCCGTTCTTGTCACTGTTCCTACAAAGAATCAGGATTACAGCATTTTCCTTGCAAATCCCCATTCCAATAATCACAAGAAGCAGAAGCATTATTTTCCTACAGAAGTGTTGATACCTCATTATTTATTATTTATTATTTATTATTTACGCTTTAGATCATTGATCTATCATGCAACCCAACCATCTACCAGGCTAATCAAATTAATAGATTCTAGAAATATGACCTTCTCCTCAAAAAAATCAACGGTGCAAAATAAAACCCTGGTGAGAAGGTTTACAAAATTTTGTTTGAGCTAAGGGAATTCACAAGCGATCTTTCGAATGTTTCATTCCTATTCTCCTCGCCATTAATCCGAATGAATCTTCTCAATACGCTCGATAGTGCATACAAACTTTGTGGAATCCTGGATGTGATCAGAGTTCCTATTCTTCTTCCATCCCATGTTACAGGCCCTGCATCCACTTCCATATAATGCCCGTCAGAAAATGGCTTGTCTGCCGTCATATTCCTCGCTGGGCTTTTAGTGCTGAATCTAAAAAACACGACAGTAACTTCCTTCTCCTTTGGTACTTCAATATCAAACCCTCTAGACTCAAGCTCAAAAGCGCCGTCTTCCATCAAATACATCTCTCCTCCATTTCCTTCCACCAGGAACACTGGATCCTTTGATTTGTATTTGGACACGCGGTATGCCACTCCTGCATCTCTGCTCTGTGCCATGCATAAATCCCCAAGGAGCTTCTTGACACTCTCGTATACCTCTTTAGTGTATATCATGCAGGCACAGGGATTCATTATTCCAGATTTATGCTACCAATGACATCTACCTCCACCAAAATATCCAAATCGCTAAGATATAGCACACTGAAGCTTCTAACGGATCTCAAGTCAAGAACTCTTGTGGTGAGAATCAGACTCCATGAGATAATTATTGAGATGCAAGAGTCTGGAATTTCCAGAAACGAAAGAGAGATCTTTTATATGGATGTAAATGTATTCAGAACACAAACCACTGTCAAAAGGATGATATCTAGCATTGCTTCGGAGCTTCGGGTCTCAAAATATGAGCTTGGTGTGAGGAATACTCTTAAAGGAACCTTTATTGGGAGGCTAACTTTCATTAAATGCGGCAGCCTCAGTGCAATGGAGATATGCTCACCGGAGAACACACCACAGCTCATTCCAGATATGTCAAAGGTAAAAGAAGTACTCTGCGATTATAAAAAAGTTTTAGTTGTTGAGAAGGATACAATATTGCAGCGAATAGCCTCTGAGATTGGAAGAGAAAGATGTCTTGAAGGAGTATTGCTTGTCTGCGGAAGAGGATATCCCTGTAAAAACACAATGCTACTACTGAAAATGATAGAGAACAAGACAACTATCTCAGGATTCTTTGACTTTGATCCATTTGGTATTCACATTTTTTGCATTTACAAGCATGGAAGTAGGATGGATCCAGATACAAGGGTTGAGACTATTACAAGGATCGGAGTGTGTGTAGAAGACGCCCTTGAGAGAAATAAATGGGAAGGTGGTTTTTTAGAGCTGAGCGACCATGACTTGAAAATGATAGATAAACTCATGAAATTCAAGGATCTAGCCAGCGATCTACTATTCCTGAAGAAGACCAATAAAAAAATCGAAATGGAAGCTTTCTTCAGCAAAACCTCAGAAGAACTAAGGCATTTCCTTTGCAAAGCTTTAAGAAGAATGAAGAATTAATAAAAGAAGTTTAATGGAGTTACTTCTTTCTTAGGAAGAAAGATTACTCATGCCTTCTTCTTAGAAGCCTTTTTGGCTGCCTTAGGGTCTTCAGCTATATCAATCTCGTAATCCTCAAGAAGTTGCTCACGGGTAAGAGGCTCCATAACGTTTCCAATAGCCACAACACCGTTGCTATCCATAAGAGCAAACTTTGATAAGTTCTGGAACCTTTCCATCTTGTCAATAACCAGTGGCTTCTGGAAGACAACAATTCCAATAAATGCCTCCCCATTTATAATTTTCTCTGGGTTTTCATGGCCTTTTTTTTTAACTACTTTGGAAAGAATTTTGGCAACTCTTGCTGGGGAGCGGCAGATTCCGAAGTTAATCTGTGGAGTGTATCCTACTTCCATCCCATTCGGTTTTTCAACAACAATGATTTTTACCTTTGCTCCAGGGTATGCTATGGCTTTGTTCTCATCGTTAGCAGAGATCACATGTCCTGCATCCACCTTACTAAGGTCTCCCGTAACACCCCCCTTGAGCGCAACTCCACAGTTTTCTCCACATGGAATCATAGACCTTGGCTTGTTGTGGATTTCAACAGATCTGATTTCTCCAACCACTCCTGCAGGCTGAATAGAAATCTTAAGGTTTGGTGTAATGGTACCATACTCCACACGCCCAGTAAAGATCTTACCGACACCTGAAATAGAGCAGACCTTGGTAATTGGCATTCTCAGAGGCTTATCATTATGTCTCTTGGGGACATCCTGGTAGTCAAGAGCCTCCTCAAGCGTATATATAGCTTGCGCTCCTTCCTTCTCCCTCCATCCCTCAAACCACTTGAAACTATCTCCCTTCTTAGTAAGGTTGAGCCCCATAAGCCCAGATATCGGGAGAATAATAGGATTCTTATCCTTGTGGCTTCTCGTGACAATCCTAAGCATCTCGTCAGACACCTCTTTGAACTTCTCCTTTCTCTTGTCCTCAGAAATCATGTCCATCTTGTTGACACATATAATCAACTTCTCACATCCAAGGATTCCAGAAATCATAATATGTGTCTTCAACATCCCTCCAACCCCAATGCATGACTCAAACCCAGATGCAGGGACAATCACCACCGCAACATCAGCTTGAGATGCACCAGTTACCATGTTCTTCACAAAGTCCTTGTGCCCAGGGCAATCAAGAATGTTAACGTTGAACTTTTCTGTAGGGAGAGTAACAAGTGTAGTTGTAATCGTAATTCCTCTCTTCCTCTCGGCTTCGGTCTTATCTGTCAAGTATGCAAGATAAAACGTATCCTTGTTATTCATGGCTGCTTCTTTCTCGTACTTCTCCAACTCTCTCTTATCAATTACTCCCATCTGGTGTGAAAGCATCCCCACAGTAGTACTCTTTCCAGAGTCCACATGCCCTATAAAGCAAACATTCAGACGTGGTTTATTGTCATCCTCAACCTTTGTAGCCATTTAGGGGGTAAGCATGTAAAAATTTTTTATATTTTTTAAAGTACAAAATAGAGTTCAAAAACCTTGAGATTCCATGCTTGGGTTTTATTCGAATAAATCACACAGCTTCTACAATCCATTCGCATTTCTTTCTATCCAAAATACTTTCTCCGTACTCCTCATAGTCTCTAACCCCAATATGAAAACTTCTTGCACTTCCCATAGAACCAATCACACACCCTCCTTGGAATGTGCTAAATCGACTTCTTTCAACGCTCACTTTCACTTTCCATCTACCCCGTTCCTTGCCAATCTCATCACAAATAAAACTGTCAATCCCCCCAATTCCTCCGCATCCTCCTCCGACTAATATATTTCCGCTTAGAACAGATCGTATCTCCATCCCATTCGATTCAATAACCTCAACTATCATCTTTATAACTCCTCCTAGCTTGATTTCCATTGCCTTACAATATTCCTCAGCATCAATCTCCTTTCCGTCGGGTAACACATACCTTCCATTCGCTTCTTCACTTCTTAACCTCAGGACACTTTCTTTTACATGCCTGGAAAACTCTTTCTTCTCAAACTCCACTCTCCTTTCATATAAAGTCTCACCATTCTTTACATCAATGAATTTCCCTAGGTCAGACCCAAAGCTTTCTAGGATTCTCATGAATTCCAACGTCAAATCCATTCCTCCGACATCTATCTGTCTTCTGCACGTAATAAGCCCATCAACAACACTGCAGATCTGGCTTGACCCTCCTCCAAGATTGACAACTACACCGGTTGTCTTTCCATATGAAAATGCATCGAGAATCCCACTTCTGACAAACAAGACAGACTCGCACAATCGTCCTTCCATAAGATACCCTAGAATCTCCTTCTTCACTCCTCCTGCCTCCATTGTGTTCTCGGAAATCACTAAAGACTGCGCATCTCCTGGCACATGGTCACTTAGGATTCTAAGATAAGATCCAACGTCACTGACAACAGATCTAGTCACAGGCGGCACATATTCATTTTTCCATGTCATACTGGAGCAAAATACCGTCGGTAGGAGCCCATCTGAATATCCAATCTTAACCGTCTCACTCCCTATATCAACAACACCCGTGGTGACGTCTCCTACAACATACATCAAAAGGGATATCCCCCACCCTAACAAACAATTCAAAATAATCCATTTAATCCCATATTTGGACGCCATTCTTGTAGAGTCCAAAACTCATTCCTTCCCCATCAGGTACCCAAAGAGTTTTATCCCGCACACAAATAACCCAATAACAAGTATAGACATGACAACTATATATAGTATAAGAACAACCTTGGCATCCTTTCTTCTCTTCTGTACAATCTCTTTGAACTGCTCGTCCAAGTAAACAACATAAGGAATTAGTTTTTTGCTTTCTAACTTCTCCATATTCTCTGCATACATCATAATATCCTTAACATTCACAACAGGCATGTCCTTAGGTAGAACCTCCTTTGAAGAAGACTCCTTAGTCTCAGATCCCTGCTGTGGTCTTACTTGCGGAAGAGCCTCAGACAGAATGGTTGCTTCAGGCATTCATATTCTCCTGTAGAGAACTTTTATACTTTAAAAGGAGGGCTTGTGACCAGATTGAACCTTAAAAGGGGAATGCAAATGTTGTTAAAGGAGAAGCTCTCAACTCTCCCATTGAAAGAACTTACAAGGTTTGTATGCCTTCTTGCATTTGTAGAACTTCCTTCCTCTATTGTTTTCTGTATTTGCAACAAGTAGCTGGGGCTCAAACCCACAGAAGCACTTCACCTCTTCATCTTTTCGGGATCCCTCACACTCACACCATTGGAAGAAATAACAGCTCTTTGGGGTCCTTCCACAGCTGTAGAACTCTTTCCCAGCATTATCTCCCTTCTTAACCTTTAGAACTTTGGCCTCCGCTTTGCAATCACATTCCATTCTTTTTATACCTTTCTCTTTGCTACTAGCCTTGCCTACACCATTGCTCTTCCTGCCTTCTATGCTTCTTCTCCCCTGTACGCCCTTCTTTGTCTCCTTGCTTTCTACTGGACTCGTTCGGCTTGCATCCTCATCAATGCCCTTTCTGAGAATCCCAACGAACTCCTTTATGTTTCGTTTGAGAAGAACGTATATATCCTTATAGGCCAGAATCCCTTCATACACAACACTCCTTCCATCTATCTCTCCATGGGATATTCTCTTCAGATTGATCTCTAGATTCTTTCGAAGCGAGGGCTTGCTAACATTCAATCCAAACCTTTCATATCCATCAATAAGAGCCATTCCAAGCCCCAAAGGCCTTATCTCCTCCCCAACTTTGATGGCATACCCTCTTTCTTGAATCTTTTGAATATGCTCATGTATTGTTGCATCTGTTCCTATTCCGTTCTTGTCCATAAGGCTTATGAGCTCGGCTTCACTAAGATATTTCGGAGCAGTTGTTTTTCCTTCGGAAATATGAAGATCCCCAGAAACTATCTCTTCCATTACAAAGTCACTAACCTCCTTATTGTCCCATTTATCATAGTAATACACTTCAAGGTAATTCTTTTCAACCACTCTTATTCCGCTTAGATCAAATGTCTCCATCCCAACCTTTAGCTCATATCGTGTTTCAAGGCCTTTGGCATCCTCCGATATACACCCGAGAAACCTTCTACATATAAAATCATAAATGTCTCTATCACTCCCAGAAAGCCCGACTCCTTCCTTCAGTGGATATATCGGCAGATGCGCCATGTCGTTATTCTTTCCATTCCTAGGATATTTAAACACTCTCCCTAATCTTTCAGCATACTCCCCAACCTTAGAATCCTTGCTTAATTTGTTTAGTATGTATTTGAAATCAAACTTCTTATCGAATACATCCGTTTCCGTCCTAGGATAGCTTATATACCCTCTGTTGTAAAGTCCTTCAGCAACCTCCATAACCTTATGCCCGCTTAGCCTAAAGTATGACGAGCATTTCTTCTGCAGCTCAACAGTTCTGAGCGGAAGCGGCCTGTATTTGATTCTTTCTTTCATCTCTTTCAGTACTATCTTGGCCTTCTCTCCAACCAATCCCTTGTGAAAGTATATAACACAGTTCTTGTCAAAGACAGATCCTCTTCTCCATGTAAACTCATCTTCAAGCTTCTTGTTCCTAACCTTGAACTTCAATGTCCAGAACATCTCAGGGACAAAGCTTTCTCTTTCCCTGGCTCTTTCCACTACAAATCCTAATGTAGGCACTTGACATGGCCCAAAGCTCAGTATCTTTTTCTCTTGTCCTACCTTTCCTAACGATAGGGTCTGTAGCCTTGTAAATGCAGACCCTATTCTAAGATCCAACTCCATACGCACGTCAACCGCCTCGGCTTCGGCCTCATTTATCTCTCCTAAGTTTCGAAGCGCTTCCTCTATATCCTTCAGGGTAATCCCAGAAAACCTTGCACGCTTCACATTAACATTCTTCACCTTTAGGACAATATCTCGTATCTGTCTTCCAATATTCTCTCCTTCTCTATCACAGTCAGTCCAAATAACCACCATGTCACACTTTAAAACCTCTCTCTCAATGTTCTCCTTGATCTTTACAAACTCTGGCTGCACAAATTTGACTATTCTTTCTGTAAACAGCATCTCCGGATCAATCTCATCCCATCTGCTCTTCCTCTCAAAGTCACTTGACAGAAGATGTCCTAGAACACTTGTAAAGATCATTTCGTCGCCCAGATCAAACTGAATGTTCGGGCAATACTGGTGAAGTCCCCTTCGGACGCTTATCTCTTTCGACAAAATCGAGGATATCGATCTTGCAACAGAAGGTTTCTCAGCAACATTCAATATCCTCATCCAAGGGATTCAAGAATCCTAGACTTACACTTAGACATTACAGCTCCACAGTTTAATTAGACACTGAAAAACAGCAAGACTATCGTTCTTAAGTACATCACAATCTCCATCAAAGACAGCTTCGACTCTCCTCTTCTTCTATCATGGAAAACTATTGGACACTCAGATATTGTAAATCCATGTCTCTTTGCCAAGCACATCAGCTCCATCTGAAAAGAATATCCTGTAGACACAGACTTCTCAACCAATGCTCTGAATGCCTCTGTTTTATATAATCGAAAGCTTCCTGTAACGTCAGATACATTTATGTTAAGGAATGTCCTGGCAAGATTGTTTGCACCCAGGCTTATGATTTTTCTCTTCATAGACCACCCATACACTCCCCCTCCTTCGGCGTACCGACTTCCTACAACTATCTCGGCCCCTTTCCTTTGAAGCTCAATCATAGTCTTGATATACATGGGATCATGAGATAAATCTCCGTCCATCACAATAGTAAATGGGTATTCACAGTGCCCGAGGGCTGTCCTATATGCACTTCCGAGTCCAAGTTTCTTCTTCCTTGATAAAAGACACACGTTGGGGAGCCCCATCGACTCTACAACCACACGAGTGCCATCAGGGCTGTTATCATCCACAACAATTATTTTGAACGGTTTCCCTTCTTCCTTCATGACATCTGAAACCATCCGTAGCAGAACCTTAATATTCTCTCTTTCATTATATGTTGGTATTATAACATTGTACATGGGCTGGATGCAAAAAATATGGCTTTAATAAGGATTAGAATGGCTTCTGGACATATAAGAAGAAATACATGGGAACAGCCAAAAGGCCAAGAAAATACCATTTCCGGCTCCTCTTTTTTGTTGGAAGTCTTTCATATTCCTCCCATGCCTTTAAAACATTTCTTACAATTCTCTTTCCATTACTACTCCCTCTTGATGTGATTATCCTAGTCTTGTCTCTAAGGGAAGAAAGGAATGCTTCATCTGTTGTCATAAAGGAGTCATTGGCATTGGTGTCTTCGTTATATTCAAACTTCCTAAGCTCGTTCTCTTCTAGACATCTATCATCATAGCGACCCTCGTCTTTACAGGAAATGTCATTTATGCTGAACGAATCCTTTAGGAAATCCGTTCTCCATTTCCGCATCAGTCGAAGTAGCCTTGGAACCGTGTATTCCTCTTCCTTCTCCCATTTTCCTATCTCATCTCTCTCTATAACATTGCTCTCAACAGCTTCATTCAATATACTTTCAACCTCTTCTTTTGGAATCACCCCAGTCCCATACCTCTCTATAAGCCTCATTTCAAAGTCTGTGCTCTTCATCCTAGGGATATCGATTAGAGCAACATTTCAACCTATGAATCCAAACCTGTAAGAAATGTTAGAGAGATACAGTGGTCTACTTCAACTTAAAGGTATCAGATTGCGAATAATACAAGCACCCTATCAGCCTGTGCATGGAAATAACCTTTTTCTTTGAAAACTTGAAGTCTGGCAAGACCTCGTATTTAACAGAGAATCCTTGTATTTGTAGGAATAATATGTAGCAGAGGATAGCAAGTTTATCTCTGCATAATGGTGTCAGCATCTTGTTTTCTACCTCATTTTCTATCACAGCAAAGAAGCTTGAATATCCAGAATCATTCAAGCAATCATTGGTAATATACTTCTTCTCCATAAGCTTGATTATACAATCTGCAAGTAGAAAGTGGGTTTTATAGCTCATGTTCTGCTTCAGCCCCATTAGATCTGGATGTAGCAGCACAGAATCCACCTTTATCTCCTCAAAGCTTGATAGCACCTCCTTTGGGAACATCCTTTCCAATACAAACCTCTTCTTAGGGCATTCTGCCTCTTCATCCATAGGTGGAAGTATCTGGTCCTTGAACTTAAAGCTCGATGTAAAGACCCTCTTAGAGTATCCGTCGATTTCCTTTCTTCTGTGATACCCTGCAAGTCTTTTCCCTCCGAAGGTGAAGGCCAGCTCTTTGAGGCTTGTCTTCTTATGTGACACACCTGTCTCATAAACAGTCTCAAACACTACTATCCTGGCCTCCTCGGCCCTGCCCAAGTCAATCACACCATTCGAAGACTCAACAACACAGTAGTAGCAGGGGGAATTCCATTCAGACCCCTTGTACTCTATCCCTTCAAAATCTCCCTTCAGAAAAACTCTCCCGTTGACTTTGGAAGCTTCAAAGTTCATTTCCCTACTTATATTCGTCAAAATTAGCATCTTAAGGGTCTGCATCAAAATACAGCTTTTAACTGTATCAATGAGAAATATTATATCAAAATGTAGACGCATGTTCCATCGATCAGAAATATGCGGGCTTGTTTTTGCTTTATATAGCACCCGTCCTCCACTTGAAGGCGGGCGACTCAAAAAGCAGGGCACTTTTTCTAAAGGTTTAAATGATCTCGGAGATGGAAATAGTTTCATATCTTAAATTTAAAAGACACAAAATTTTTTATTACCTCGTTATTAAATGTATCTAAGTGTTCTGGCCTTATCACCATATTAAATTACAATAACGCAGATGTGTCTTCGATTCAAAGAAAGTATCTTTCTTGGGGAGGAAAGTCAAAAGGACACATCGCCTGATAGTTCATTCTGCCATGCTCATGTTCCTTGCCTTCAATCCTTGTACTTCCATTCCTCCTCTTGCAGTTATCCCTAGCTATCTTTTCCTTGGCTCTCCTATTCTGGAACCATATTTGTATGTTCTTAAAAGGTATACTGAGTGTGTTTGCCAGTAGACTCTTAGTGGTACTGTTCGGATGGCTGTCGATCTTGAAGTTGGACTCCAGGATATCAATCTGATGCCCACTTAATTTGAGCCTTGATCTTTTATTGGAATCAGTTTTATTTAGATGCTTTATTATCTCCTCGGTTGAATCAATGAACTTCACAACTTTTTTTTCGTCTTTGTTAAATCTTGAGCGAGTCGACATTCGAGTCTTTGAGCCCATCTTTTGAACCACATTTTATATATCCTCTGTTTTTAGTGGAGCTAAAGAGACCTCCTATTACGGGTGCTACAACCACACCACATTATAGAATTCAGGTACACCTTATATACCCCAATGGTCACTGGACATCCCTCGGATACATAAAAAGTAGCCATTCTCCTTTTATCTTGCCAACACACACCATGGATAATATTTTCCCGACATCACTTTTTTACAGACATCCTTCATATTAAAAGAGAGATTTAATCATAACTACCGTGCAGGTACAGGATCCGCTCCATAGGCTCCTTTAGTGATCCTCATCCCAGTTCTGGTTATTTCTGGGAGTAATGTTCATAGCCTCAGGCTTTCCGATAAGATAGTCGCTGGTTTCAAACAATGTGGAGATAAACTCGATAGAGTACTTCAATGCCTTCACCTTAGAATTGTACACATCATAGATTTCTGCATCAGAAGACCCAAATCCTCCAAGCACCTTTCCAATGCATTTGTATACAAGACCCTTTCCCTCCTTTGAAGCAGCAGATCTCTCCAGAAATATCTTTGACAATCTTTTCTCAAATCTCCCTGCCCCATCAACTAAGTCGATCTTGTTTTCCTTAGTGTTTTTACTTAAAACATTCAGTGCCTTCTGTACCATTCTCTCTTGTTCATCCAATTCTGCTTGCACAGAATTCTTAAGAACCAAGGTATATACCTTCTTACTTCCAGAAATAAACTTCGTATACTCACAGATGCCTTCAGTGAAAGTAACAACCTCTTCGACAAACCCCATAGACTCTTCGCTTTGTGATCCAAGGCTAGATAAAATATGCCCTCCTAACAACTCCCTGATCCTTCTCAAGTCATACTTGCTAGTAATCCGGAAAACAAGCTTCCTACTCTTATTCAAGAAGTCAAGATATATCTTATCCCCTTCCCGCTGCATATCACAACATCCCCATCCATGGACTCCACCGCCTTCTTAGTCCTTTTATTCTCGTCCTTACTGAAAGACAAAAGCTCAGAGGCCGTCCTCATTAGAACAGTTCCCTTCAGCTCAGTCCTTGATATATCCAATGGACAGTTGTATATAGATGTCTTTCCTTTCAACACATGCTTCACTTCTCCTTCAGGCGATCTATTAAACACCATTCCTTGGACAACATAGCTATCTTCCACGGATCCGCATGCAACCTTACAAACCCTAATATTTTCGGAATTGAAACTTCTAGTAAGCGATATCCCTTCACTAACCATCTTTTCTAGATTACTGTCTTTCAAAATTCCTCTCAGAACTTTTGATATGCTCTCCCGGTCCTCAAATCTAATAATGTGTTCAACCCGAAGCCCCTTTGTAAGATCCTCGACTTCCTTATGGACCTCTCGAAGCATGTGGCTAAGGTACGTAGGCTTCATACCCTTCCCAATAATATCTATGGTCTCCTGAATTAGTTCAGACACAAGGACTACAAAAAAGGTTGCCCCGTCTCCAACAACATCCATCTTCTTGACATAATCCTGTAGCAACTTCACAAGAGGATGGTTCATCTTGATATTATCGTAAATAACACCAGGCTGAGAAGAAAGGAGAACCTGCCCATATCCATTCACTATGAGCTTTGTCCGGTGAGATCTTCCGTACAAGCTCTTGACAAGGTTGCATGTCATCCTTACCTTCGATCCTACAATGTGATACCTTACCTTTTCATCCTGTTGAGCATTCGATATTAGCCCGCCTAGGTGCGTTTGCCCGATATCCATCAGGGCTTGAAAAATTTTCCAACTTTGACCTCTGTAGGTAAGACAAAAACAGTGGAGATAAAGTCTTTAATCAATGTTCCTTACGATCCTCTTGAACTCACAGTTTGGAGACACAACGGCACGGCCTCCAGAGGATGTCAGAATTATATCCCCGCACCCAGGGCATGAGATGTTTGTCTGGGAGTGCGAATAACAGCATGTCGTGTGCCTGCATCCTCCACACCTGACATACATGAAAAACCCATTTCCTTCCCTATAAAGGCGATCCTTCTTGTAGGTCGATGCAATTTGTTCTCTTGTAGGAAATGCTAAATCAGATGGCATTCTCTTAGGGTCCCGACTTAAAAATTTTCTTGTAGCTAGAACAGACAATCAAGAGCACATCCATAAGCCTGTTGCTAATCCTCATCATCCGGAAAAATAACAATCTCTTCGCCTTGGGCCTTGATGTAAGGAAGAAATGCTGTCTTGTCATGTATCTCTTCGTTTTCATTCTCTTTAATCTCCACCAAGTCTATGGCAGTCCCATCCAAATCCCGAATTATAGAATAGTACTTCACAACCTTCTTACTCTTGTTGATGTATTGAACATTGGCAAACACCTCCACAACCTCATTGAAGTAATACTTCATCCATCTAATATCGTCATATGAAAAGCATTCCTTATGGATGCTGTATATCCCTTCCACCGTCAAAACATCTTCTATTGTCTCTAAAGACACCTCCTCTATATCCATAACTTTCAAAGACCGGAAAAGCTTCCGAGATATAAGCAGTGAGGGGACTTCAAACGTATCAATCACCAAAGCCATTCTAGGGCCTTAGGCAAGACTCACATACATAAACAGAGTAAACTCGAAAATAACGTTTATTTTCTTGAAATAGATGCATTCCACAACCCCGCAGCCTCCTCAATCCTCATCATGGTTGCCGGATGTAGGCCTAGAAACTCCGAAAAGTTCGGCATTCTAGGTTTCTTGATTCCATTTCGGTGATCCTTTCTGTTCTGATTGTGGTTGGTGTGGTTCTTCCTCTTAGCCATGAGATAGGGGCACAAATTTTTCATAACATTAACAAAAGGCAGTAATACTCTCCACGCCTATAGTCATATCCTTTTCTTTCGCCCTCCTCCAACAATCTTAAGGAATCTTACCATCTCCCTCTCCTCTTCAAGCTCTCTGCTCAGTCGATTCACAGCTAGCAGCTGGCATCCTAACTTCTTCTTCATCTCCAATGCCTTACCCTTACTTTCATCAATCTCTCCTCGAAGCCTCTCCACTTCGTCACGGAGCTTCTTATTAATGGCCATCTGGGATTTCTTCTCGTCTTTTGCTTTCGCCAGTTCATGCTCAGCAATCATCCTTTTACGGTCAAGTGCCTGGTACTTCTCCTTGTCACAGGTATATATAACAGAAGGACTTCTTTCTCCATTAAATGCTCCCACAATTTCATCTTTAAACCTTGTACATCGTTTCAAGGTGGAAATCTCAGACTCGTACATAGAAATCATGTCCCGTCTATGCGCTTCTATCTCTCGGAGAACACAAACCTCTCCTTCAAGCTGCTCAATCCTCAGTGAATCCTTCATCTTCTCATCCAAGAGGCTCTGATGTTCTTCTTGCAGATCGTCAAATCTTTTCATCAGTTGTCCATTTATTTCTTCCAAAGCCTTGAGTTTTCTCTTCTCTCCCTCAAGAGCATACTGTACACTCTCCTCAATCCTTGCTCTATACTTCTCGTCAAGCTTCCTTATCCCTATTAGGCCTCCATTCATCCCTTCCTCGAGACTCTCGACATATCTCCTTCTCTCCTCATCACATTTATGAAGCCTTTCAATCTCATCGTCAATCCTACATGCTAAATCCTTAAACTTCTTATCATACTCCCCATATTTCTCGTCATATTTCTTGATCTCATCTTCCTTCAAGGACACAGACATCTCAAGAGAATTACATTTCGCACCCAAGGATGCAACTTCGCTCATGGCACTGTTGTACTGTTTCATCAGCTCTTCAACCTTCACATTCATCTCATCTTCAGTTGCTCTCCTTTCTTCAACCTCGTGGCTCAGACTCAAAATCCGATCGTTCAACTCCTCAATCGCATGATCCTTAGCCCCCAGCAATTCTTTGCATTCCTTGAGGTTTGCTTTGTATTCTTCAAGAGTGTTGAAGTACAGCCCATTGAATCCCTCAATAACAATGCTCATCTCATTTCCAAGATCCTCAATCTCCTTCCTAACCCCAGAAATCATTCTACGTATCCCGGCTTCTTTTTCCTGCCCTCTCATCATATCCTCCTTGCTTCTTTTCTCCATTTCAATCATCTCCCTCAACATCTCCACTTCACTACTTAATATCACATTCTTGTTCTCTTGTTCAGATATCTGGTGCTCAGCTTCCTTTCTTTTCCTCCTCTCTTCTTCAATCATCCCATAGAACTTCTCCATCGCCGAGATACTCTCCTCACTGGCTTCCCCCATGCACTTCGATTCCATCACCTCCATCCCTAGTCTCTGATTCTCCATCTCTAGTCTCTGGATCTCCATCTGAAGATTCTTTTTGACACTGTTGAACATCGCCTCTCTGTCAAAAATCTCATCCAACTTCGATTGTTGTAAAATATGAATCTGCTTATACATCTCATCCTTCTCATTCATAAGTTGCTTATTTGCAATCTCCTCACTCTTAAGCTTCTCACTAAGGCTCTTGACCCTTCTCTCAAGATTCCTCGTCTTTTCTAGTAAGGACTCTTGTGTTGAATCCCTGGACTGCTTTTCTTTCTGGAGCTGTTCTTCTGCAGCCAGGTATTCCCCTCTCAACTCCTGGAATGCCTTTTCAAGCTTCTTCCCCCGGTTCCTTTCAAATTCAAGATCATCTCGAAGCTTCTTCTGCATGCTTTCTAGCTCCTCCCGCTCCTTCTCCATCTTCCGAATCTCATTGTGCAGTCTATCATTCTCTAATACCATATCCTCGGCCTCATCTTTCAACTTCCTTTGCATCACCTCATAGTCCTTCCTTAGCTCTCCACACTCGTCCTTCCATTTTTTCATGCTTATGCAGTTTGCCTTAAGCTCGTCAATAATCATCTCTTTCTCTTTCAACTCTCTCCTTCTTTCCTCATCTTCCACTTCACTCTTTTTCATCCTTTCAAGTATATTTTTAACTTCGCAATCCTTCTCTTTGATCTTCTCCTTCAACAGACATACTTCCCTATCCCTCTCTCTAAGCATCTTTTCCACCATTGCATCCTTCTCACTCGACTTGCTCACTACTTCTTCTCGAAGAGAGGAAATCTCACGTTCGTGTAATGAAATCACATTATTCTGTTCCTCCACTTCCTTCTTCAACTTAGAAATCTCAGATTCTTTTCTTTCTAGCATCTCAATCGCCTCCCTCAACTGATCCTCAGATAATTTCTTCTCATCACAGATATTATCAGCCTCCTTTCGGATCCTCTCAATCTCTTGGCCCATCTCATCAGCTTTGTATCTCAAGGCCATCAGAAGTTCGTCCTTTTCCATCGAAAACCTCTTTTCATCTTCAACACACTTCTCAAGCCCCTCCTTCTTCAGGTTCATCTCTTTCAGCATATCTTCAACCTCCTTTCTCCTGCTCTTCTCAGCATCAAGCATTCGTATATATTCCTGAATCATCGCCTCCTTCTCCTTCATCTCACTGTCTCTTTTCCTAACATCCAGCAAAGGCTTGATCTTTTGATAAAGCTTCCACCAGTTCCATCTCTGTAACTCACAGCATATCCTACTGTTCCTTTGAATAATAAGAATCCCTTGTGTCCTTCTTTGCGTCAAGTTATACTTTCTAAATGTAAGCCTTCTTCTGACAAGAGCCTGGATTTCCTTGATCACCTCAGAAACTTTACTGTCTCTCATATCCTCAATGTCTGCAAGAACCCCTTGTCTAAAAAATACCTTTGTTCGTCCCATCCTGTATTGGTTTGCACTAATCCCAATCCCTGACAAAATCTGTTCGCCCATCTCCTTACAAACCTCCATACACATATCATCGTCCCAAGACTCGGTTTCTCGGACTTTATCCTTCATCATTATCCTGTACCTTCGTACAAACTCTTGATATCCCATCCTAGACGGAAATCCTTGTCTGCTGATCCTTATCCCTTCAAGAACTCCATTGCATTTCAATTGTCCCAGAACCACTCCATTGTCCAATCGATCTCCATTCTTCTCTAGGTTCGGAATTATGCATCGCACAAAATGTGGGTTTGTTCCACGGAGCTCACACATCAATGATCCAAGCTGTTCCTTATGCTTCTGGGAGACAGTCCGGAAAAATCCTTTCTTAATCGTTTCCTCTTCTAAGCTTAACCTAGAAACCGTCTCGCTGTTAGACATTCGGATCAACGATGTTAATGCCTCAGAATGAGAGTCCTTATTCTTCGAAAGCCAGTCATCAACCGTATACTCAACATCTCCTGCATAATGGTTCAAAACAAAGGCATCCTTGATCTTGTCAACCTCAAATTTCTCATGACGAATGTTCTTCATCAATTTCCTAAGAAATGTCTTCTCCGTTGCCATCGGCATCACACACTCTTCGTCCAGGTAACTTAGAATCCCAATCGGATTGCTCTTTTCTATCAGATCAATCGTCGGCTGCAGGTCAAGTCCAAAATCAATGAAGTCCCATTCAATCCTTTCTTGTCTGTATACCTCCTGCTCAAGAATAAACATGTGGTGATTGAAGAACTGCTGCAGCTTCTCGTTTGTGTAGTTTATACAAAGCTGCTCAAATGAGTTCTTGCCGAAGATCTCAAACCCAGCTATGTCGAGAACTCCGATGAAGTTACCTTTATGAGGGGAGCTAAGCGACATGTTGATTCGGTCTATTACATTGTCAAACATCTTGTCATAAAGTATCCTGGCTAGCCCATCAACAATCTTGAGAGCTTGCTCTTTGTTCCTGCTGTGTGCAACATATTCATTTCCAGCCTTAATCATAGGATGGATGAGCCGCTTGATAAATTCAGTAAGAGGAATGCTGAGGAGCTTACAGACTTTCTCCGCAACCTCAAGATTGGCTATCTCAGCTGCCCCATCTTTCTCTCTGAACTCTATATTTCCAAGGTGGAGAATCGCAGACACAATCTCAAAATACCCTATCTGCTCCTCTTTCTTGATGTTCAAAACATCCATCGATTTCCTGAGTCTTCTGAATTCCTCTGCATCATCAATATCTTGGATCTTAAACCGAGAGTTTCTAAGGAACCTGTAGTCCTTAGGATCTCCATCCAAAAGCAACTGCTTCTTAAGCCCCAAGTCATCGCACCCAAGGAGCTGATAGAATATATGATAGTTCCTTTCATCTCTACTCTGATTCGTTACTCTTGATTTCTCCAGGAGATACTTTTCAATATGTGCACCGCAAATGTTCCCCCCATTGAACTTAATCTTAATAAACTTCCCGAATCTACTAGAATTGTCATTCTTCACTGTTTGTGCATTTCCAAATGCTTCTAGAATAGGGTTTGCATCTATTATCTTGCGGTCAATACTAGCCTCTTCCCCTCTGCATCCCCCAACAGTCGCAAGAAACTCAACCACTCTCTTGGTGTTCTCAGTCTTTCCTGCTCCTGACTCCCCTGTAATCAGAATCGATTGGTTCTCCCTATTCGAAACCATCAGCTTATATGCTTCGTTTGCAACTGCAAAAATATGAGGCTCTAGCTCATACTTCTTGCTTAAGGTATATTTTCTTATGTCTTTCTCCCCATATATCCGAAGGTCTTTATATGGATTGATTGCAAGGAGAAACAGTCCTGAATATGTATATATGCGCCCGTTCTGGTATCTTCTTCTAAGATTGTGGAGTACCCCCGGCTCATTAAGATAACTCAATTCTGCAAGGTCGTCGATCATGTCGAACTTCGGAGGATTCATTCTAAATATCTCGCAGCTCTTACATCTTGTGATAATGCCTCCGCAGTCTATCTCAAGGACATCTCCCTCCTCCTTCACCACAAACCCGCTTACATAACCATCCTTGCTCTTTGGAACCCACACCCATCTTTTCTCTGTAAACCTCCTCTGCATCTCGTCGCTAATGCTCACTTCCTCACCAAGTCGAAGACTTGCATCGCTTACGTGTTTGTTTGTTGATCCTTCCATTTTTAATGCCCTTAGGAAGCTTAGGAAATAAGGTTTCTCCAATATTTTTGGCTTTGTGAGGATCCCAGGAAATGACAGCAGAAGGGGGCAATGACGAGATGATAGAAGAAAGCTCGATCACCGTATCTTCAGGCATAGCAGATGAGAGCGTTGCATTTCCTAGAGACGGGTCTCCGAAGAATCAGAAGAAATCAAGGTCTTGCTTCCCAAAAAGGCTTTGGATAAAGAGGGATGTCGATTATGACCTAGATCTGTCATATTGCGACAAGATTCTTAATAGGTTTATTTTCCATGTAAATACATTGAAAGAAGGAGGAACATATGAAAGAGACATAAACGAAGATGCCTTTTACTACAAATACATGCCAATCTCTCCCTGTGATATCGAAACCATTAAAGACTCTCCTGATCTCCGAGACAAAATGAGCTGTAGAAGACTAAGAGAAATGTCTCTTCAGTTGATTGACCTCTGCATGAAGCTCAATAGAGATGGAGAAGGCCTGATTGATCTAGAGACAACTACATCAGAACTCTCGGAGGATACCAGAGCTCTCATCAGAGACTCCATCCTGAAGAAAAAAAGAATTTTAAATCTCTTGCATAAGGTTAGGAATTACATCGGAGAAATAATACTTATGGGAGAGAAGTGCTATAATCACATTGAGAAATCAAGCGCTATAGCCTTTAAACAAATCTTATCCCTCGAAGATTAAATTTCCGGGTGTAATGGATCATTAGAAATGGCTTAAAGTGTAAGTAAACTTCAATTCAAGGTATTTTTACTCAAAAGGTAATTAAACGACGCTTCTTATTATAGTCAGAACATCGAGCTCATGCGATCGAGAAGGTCCTTTGGTAGAATATTTTTTGCTTGCTCTTTCAACTTTGCTTTTTGAGATAAGCTTATGGACGATGGGTTTCCCATCATATTTTCAATCCCGGGAATGGAACTGAACTTTTGCATCATTGCATGAACTTTCTTAAACTGTGAAAGAATCTCAGTCACACCCTGGACAGATGTTCCGCTTCCTCTGGCCACTCTCACAACCCTAGTTGGCTCTCTTTCAAAGATTTGTCCTGTGGAGTCCAGCTCTCCACGGCTCATAGAATCAAATACATATATGAGCTTTTTGAAAGACTCCTCGTCAGGTAGAGAAAGCCCAGAAAACCCTGGTATCATTTCAAGTAGCTTTGAAATTGGCCCAAGACTCAGAATCTTCTGGAATTGGTCATAGAAGTCTCCAAGAGTAAACCTCCCTTGCTTCAGCTTCTTAACAACCTCCTTCTCGTCAATCCCGAGACTTCCAACTTTTTCCATTAGTCCTTCAACGTCTCCCATCCCAAGCATCCGTGACACAAACCTTCTTGCATCAAACATCTCGAGATCTTCCATGCCCTCTCCGGTACCGACAAACTCAATGGGGCATTTTGTTGCTGCCACAGAACTCAATGCTCCTCCTGCCTTGCTTGTCCCATCAATCTTCGTAAGCAGTATAGACCCAACATCCACCGCCCTTTTAAACCCAACCGCTTGATCCTCTGCAGACTGCCCTATCCCGGCATCCATCACAAATACAATACTGTTTGGGCCAACCTCCCTAATAATGTCTTTCATCTCCAGAAACAGCTCGCTCTCCTGCGTATGCCTTCCACTTGTGTCGACAAGGATGAGTTCAAACTTCTCCTTTCTGAATCTTTCCACACCAGCCCCTGCAACCTTTACAGGGTCTACCTCGGAACTCCCGAAGAATGGAACCTTGATCTTCAAAGCATTCTGCTTAACCTGATCAAATGCACCTGCTCTAAACGTGTCTGCACACACTATTCCAACCTTGTATCCCTTTTTCTTGTAAAAGTTGGCATACTTGCATATGCTGGTTGTCTTTCCAGAACCCTGAAGTCCTACAAACACAACAACATTTGTCTTTCCCTTCTCGATTTTGTATCCTTCAGTCTTTGGATCCAGAAGATCAACCAGCCTCTCATATACGGCGTTCTGAACCATCTTTGCTTTGTTGAATCCCGGTGGCATCCCTTTTGGATCCAGCTCCGCTCTTAGCGAGTTTTTCAAATCGTTCACATACTTTGGATTCACATTCGAAAGAATCAGCGAGTTGCATATTTCTTTTATTGCTGTGTCGATGTCCTGGTCTGTGGTGTGTGAACTCAGGAGGTTAGATAAAGTGTTTGTTATTGATCTTCCAAGCTCTGTGATCATACCTACTCTTTGAGGGCGGGGTTGATGATGATTTATTGATCCCCGGCACAGGGCTATGGTTTAAAACCATGCATCGCTTGGGCTGAAGACTTCTTATCTTTCCATTCAGTATTTGTAATATTGGAATTCTTCTGTAAAGGCCAGTGCATTTACATCTAGACCTCTATATCCAACTTCTTTTTCACTAGCCATCCCCTCCATCTCCTCATAGGAAGACTTTTCCCGTGCACGCCTGTTCTGAAACCAGATCTTAATGTTCTTTATGGGAACCTTTGTTTTCAGAAACAAGTTATACTTCTCTATTCTGTCTGGGTATGGATTTATTCTAAAGCTATGCTCCAGCATCATGCTTTGCCATTCATGGAGCAATATCCTACTTCTCTTCGGCTTTCTTCTGGGTTCATAGCTCCTTGCTATATCCTTTTCAGAATCAACGAGTTTGTACTCTACTATCTTCTTATTCATTACCTCAAGGCCGAGATGGAATGTTTTTAATTAGGAGACAGCCAGTTGATTCCATAATTTTCTTCCTTTACTCCGTACTACTCCTATTCATGCCCTTACTCTCTGGCTCCTTCACCCTTTAATCCAAGGAGTTCCCCTTGGCACTTGCCCAGGAGATCCAAGGCCCGAAGGGGAGAGGGTATGGCGGCTCTCTGCTACTTTTGATGTATTGTAATTTATTTCATGGAGATCCTCCCTCAATGATTAGGCTTCCGGGAGACGGAGTAGATGTCTTAACATACAATGATCAGCCACTTATGATCGCAATGTTTCCCGAGATAGGATGCAAGGCCAGAGCCAGAATCGTCAAGGTAACATTCACTCAAGTGATTGTACAGATCTTCGAGGTAGAAAAGAGGAAAACAACAATCGAGTACAAAGGGATCTTCCGACCTGCAGATTTCAATCCAAACGAGTGGCTGTGTGATAAGTTTGGGAAAGACGATGTTGTTGAATGCACTATTCTATCGTATGGAGACAGTGGGATATTTGTGAATTTTGACATGAAGATCGTTGAAAGACCCTTGGGATGAGAGAGAGTAGGAAAGTGAGCTTCATGAAAGACATAAAGGTCATGATGTATGGGTATGGAGATGTGATTGCGCCTAGGTATGACACAGCAGAAGCTCTCCATGGATATGTGCTGGACTACATGAGTATCTTGCTGACAAATACTCACAACATGGCGCAGGTGAAGGGAAAGACAAAGACAGAGGATCTCCTATATTATCTTAAGAGAGACAGGAAGAAATACTCACGGGTTAGGCATTTGTTGATAACAAACGAGGAGATAAAGCTTGCAAAGAAGGCCTTCGATCCCAAAGATTATGAAAAGGAGTAATTTTGTGGAATTAAATTACTTCTAGATAGTTACTCTGGACACCATCTTTTTATTTTAGGCATCAAACAAATTGTGTTCTCTGGAGCCCATTGAAATGATTCTTTTGTTGGCGATGATTCTGTCGACCATGATCTTGATGTTTTCCTTTATAAAGAGAATTAACAGAAGAAAGACGCCTATCGAAGAAAATCCAAATACGGAGCTTGAGATGTACTTCCTTCAGAAGTCTGAGGGAGCACCATCCTCTGTGCTTCTTAAACAACTTGTCAAGGCAGCAGCTTGTTTCAAAGAAAGGGTGATGAAGTTGGAAAAGGACATGGAGATTCTCGGTACTTTGTATGAAGACAGGATGATCAGCGAGGAGCACTGGGAAAGAATTAACGAAGAGAGTAAGAACTGTGAGGTAGAGAGGATATGCATTGAATCGGAGGCAAATATAATCAAACCTGGATATGGGGAGGAGATCTTCAAGGATGCTTCGAAGATCAGCATAACGAATACAAAGAAAGGAAAGAGTTCTGGAGACAACAACGCCTTGTACCAAAAGAAGAAAGAAGCGCTTGAGTTTGAGTTAATGAGGAAGCTAGGGGTTAATAAGTGATGTATGTAAAGGTGTTTATACCTTGAGTCCCCACAAATAAAAGATTAAATGAAGTGAACACGTAAATATAGCTTTAATTACTACTCAATCAGCCTATAGGTGAGAATCTTGCTTGCATCCTCATGTGGGTCCTTGTATACCCCAACCAGCCCATCGCCGTGTTGAAACAAAGATGGCTTCAGAGTAATAAGGATAAATTGGGCAGTGGATGAGATTATAAAAGATACAATCCTTGACACATTAGCCTTGTCCAAGGCAGAGTCCACTTCATCAAATAAATAAAAGGGAGCAGGCCTGTATGCATGAAACGAGAAGAGCAATGACAGAACAGCCATAGTCCTCTCTCCTCCAGAAAGAAGTCGGACCTCTCTAAATCGCTTGTTTGGAGGCATCAGGTGGAATCTAACACCTTCCTTGAAAGGTTCAGATGTATTTTCAAGAGCTAAATACGCATTTCCTTCAGATGTCTCGGTCATTGTGAGACATTTATATATCCTTGATAACTCCTTATTGACCTTTTCAAAGCATTCCATAAATATGTGTGTCCTTCTTTTCTTTATCTCATTGAATTCGTTCTTGGCAGAAATTGCTGCAGCTTTTTGCCTCTCATACTCCGCACTGATTTTCACATATCTGGAGCAGTCTCCATCCTTTTCACCTACCCTTATCAACGGCGCCTGGCTGCTTATCTTTTGGTTGATCTCCTCAAGTTCTCTCCGAAGCTCTTCAACACTTCTCTCCAGTCCAGAAAAGTCTATTTCATCTATGGAGACCTTTCCCACACATTTCCTTCCTGCACAAGGAATCTCGATCTCTTCAAGTACTGCAAAGCTCAAGGTATTCTTTATCTCCTCTTCAATCCGTTCCTTTGCAGATGCACAATAAATTATCCCTTGATCCAGCTCATTTTTCTTTCCCATAAGCCTTTTGAATTCTTCATTAATCTCCTTGAACTCATCTCGGGCCTTCTCAAAGGCCTCGAGTTTCCTTTTTCTTTTCTCAGAGAGAATAGCAAGTTCTGAGGTGTCCTCAGACATATCCTCTCCATCATTACCCTCCACAACTCTTAACTCTTCTACTCTCTCCCTTAGTACTCTAATCTCCTTTTCTAGGCCTTCTACTTCCCGCTCTAGTGTCCCAATCCTAAGCTCTATCCTTCCTCTTACACTTTCATATTCCATTCTTTTCAGCTCGAAAGACTCGCAATCTCTTGCCTCTTTATATTCCTCAAAGCTTTTGAACCAAGCATTTGGAAACACTCCACAGAATAAAGAACATTCAACCTCCTCAACCTTCTGGCGGAGCTCCTTCATTTTCCCTTCACACATCTCCATCTCCTCCAAAACGTGCCTTAGGGATTCTTCTGCCTCCTTCAGTAACTTGCTGTTCTCTGCCACTTCTGACTCTAGCTCTTCAATGCAAATGTCCAGGTCCTTCATTACTTCCATTTCCATTGCTCTGCTCCTTCTCCACATCTCTATCCTTTCCTTGCATATCTCGACATAAGAAAGGTCATTCTTACTGTCCTGAATCCTTCTGACATCATCTAATATCCTCGTCCTTCTCTTCACAAGCTCGTCGAGATCCTCCTCTTGGAATTTGTTTCTTCCGATCTCTCCTCCGCTTATAAGATACCCTCCTCCATGTATGTAAATCCCATCTAGCGTACATACACTCACTTTCGTTCCTTTCCCATAACAAATATCTCTAGCTATCTCTAGGTTGTCTACTATCAGTTTCTCCTTCAGCAAAAACGACATCACCTTCCTGTATCTTCCATCATATCTAATGGTATCCACTCCTCGTCTCACTCCTCCACCATACTCTTGGATAACATCTTCTATACCCCTCATCTCATCTCCATCCCTGATGTTCTGAATGGGAAGAAATGTCATCTTGCATAGCCTCTTCTCCTTTATAAAGTTGATGCATGACATAGCTGTCGTTTCCGAATCAACAACAACAGACTGGCTATGCCTCCCTAAAAGGACAGACAATCCAATCTCATATTTATTCTGAGTGGGCTCAACCAGGTCAACAACCCTTCCATAAACACCAGGAAACATTCCTTTAAGCGTCTCCACAGTACTAACTATCATGGATCTTCTCCCATCAATCCTTCTCTTTCCCTTGATCCGTAGTATCTCCCCAAGAATCCATGAAAGCTCTTCGTTCTTCTGCTTCTCCTCAGAAACAAGCCTCTTATATCTTTCTTCATGGTGCAATATCTTCCTACTCAACTCAACCTCAGATCTCTCAAGCGCATCTATCTTCACCTTTGTGTTTCCTCTAATCACCTTCTTCTCCTTGATCTTACTTTTTAGTTCCTCGTCTTTCTCTCTCAGTTCCTTCACTTTTCTTTTGTAATCATCCCTCATCATCCTATGAGAAAACATCTCTAGATCCAGGGTGTTCATATTCTCTTTGTCCTCCCCACACATCTCAAGAAGTTCCTTTTCTTTCTCCTCAATAACTTCCTTCTCTTCCTTCACCGAACCTAAACGTCTTCTTCTTTCTTCCTCTTCCTTGCATAGCTCAGCGTATTCTCCCTCAATACCCTTCATCTCTTTCCTTCTTCTGTCAATCTCCCTTCTCTTTCCATTAATCATTTCCTCTTTGCTCTTGATCTCCATCTCAGCTTCCACAATCAGGATCCTTCTTTTCTCTCTCTCCTGCTCAGCTTCATACTTCCATGCTCTTCTCTCCGCCACCACCTCCTTCTCCTTCGACATCAGAGCATCAACCTCAAAATATTCTCTCCTTATCTCATTTATCTTATTCCTGTACATCTCAACTTCCTTTTCCTTGCTGTCTATTAGCTCTTGCACTTCCTTGCTTTCTAACTCCAGCCTAATCACCTCATCATTGATATCCTTCCTTCTACTTCTTCTTTCCATCAACTCGTGTAGAACTATTTCTTTTTGTATCTCATGCTTTCTTTCCACAAGCCTTTTAAACATCCCTTCTTGCTCCCTAACCTCCTCAGCCTCCTTCATCCTGCTCATCACCTCCTTCTTCTCCTCGTATAATGAACTACATTCACTCACAGCCTTCGCCTGCTCCCTTTGCTTCTCCTCATACACCTCTTTCAACTTTATGCTTCCACTCATCTCCTCAAATAACCTTGTGAGTTCCATAGGCATCATGCTTCCTATTGCATTGACATCTCCCTGGAACACCAAGAAATTCCGAGCGTCAATCAACAAGTTCATCCCTTCTACAGCCTCCCTAAACCTTTCATATCCAACATTCTCCAGATCAATAAAGTACAAACTACGTCCATCATTATTCACATGCCTCTTGAATCCTTTTCTTTCTCCATCCAATTCAATGTATAGTGTCACACTAGCATGGGTGCACTTGCTGTTGATCAAGCCCTTAGCATTGCTGGCACGAAGGTGTCGCGCCCCAATCCCAAGACAGAACGTTACTGCATCCATGATATTACTCTTTCCAGATCCATTCGGCCCGATTATGCAAGTAAACCGGTCAAAGGGCCCAATCACATGCCTTCCCACATACGACTTGAAATTCTCCACTTCAATTCTTTCCAGTCCCATGACCTGCTAACAAATATTTTTTTTAACCCAAAAACCTTTTCCTTCAACTCCTTCCAGCATGTTATCTACAATGGCTAAGATGGCTGTAGCAGGATGTGCCATCTATAAGATCTACAGAAAGGCCGAGAAGGTGATGAAGAATGATGAAGAATATCTCATGAGAATAACAGGTTACACCAGAGGGCTGGCAGAAAGAATGATTGATGAGGCAAAAAAACATTCTAGGGATAAGGAATATGAACTGTCTGCAGAGTATTTCTATTATGCATATAAGTATTTAGATTCCTCTTGGGAATACGTCGTAACCCAAATCGATTCTCAAGAAGTATACAAGCTCTTGCATGCTAAGAAATCTCAAGATAAATGAAAGATGTGGCCATGATATGAATCCTATAAAATAAGTTTAATTCACGATTGAAAACTCACCCAAAGATCATAAATGCAGCAACCACACAACTAATAAAGAATATTGCTGCACTAAGCTCAATCACCCCAAAAGTATCAGCTGCATCCACAAGGAGTATAGCAGTATCTAATTTCATCTTTTCCTCTTCTGTTTTGCATCGATTGTAAGCTTTTTCGAATTCTAATTTTCTTTCTACCCGGGATAACTTACTTTGTAATTCCTGAGTTTCTACCCATGATGGCTTTACTGCATCTTTTATTTCCGTTGCAATTAGAAGAAGTCTTACTAATGTAATCAGTGCATATCTATCTTTTGCTTCCTCTACATAATAAGCCGGCGCCCACGGGTCATTTTGAAGCTCAGTTTGGATAATCTGTGCTATGTAGCTCTCGTTATCAAAGCTCCACTCTGGTATAAAGCATAGCTTTCCATTCAGAAGCAGAAGGATCTCAGGAGAGCAAAGAACCTTGGAGTTCAATTCCTTCAACCACAAGTGCTTCTTATAATCACTGTTCAGCCAGCTAGACCTGGCAAAATCAACAACCTCTACCATATCGTTCCATTTCTTTATGTTCTCTGCTGGATTGTTCTTTGCGAAATAGCCCTTTAGATACTTATCAAATCCCTTGCACACACTTGATTCAAAGCCACCGTATCCTTGGAAGTAAGAAAAATTCCTTTTTGTGCTTTTCTTCCATTCTTCCACATTGGACAGCAATCTTCTCATCTCTTCTCCTGCTTTGTAAGTCCCTCTCTTGAGTTCTTCACATGCATTCTTATAATTGCCATCGTAATGATATCGAGCGACTTTCTCTGTTATGATCACAGGTGTATGTTGATGTTCCACCATCATCTTCAAATGCTTCGACAGAAGATCGAGGAGATGAAACACCATCATGATGGCTGTATTTCTATAACCAGGCATGTTTCTCATGGTACTATATAACTCAACATTGTCCATTTGTAGGGGCTCTGCTGGATTATACATTTTGAAAAAAATTATGGAAGCAGGCAGTTCTTGACGTGGATCCGGAGGGGGCGGGTTCTGAGGGACTTTGGCCGAGTGGTCTAAGGCGTTCGACTCAAGATCGAATACGGTAACGTGCGGGGGTTCGAATCCCCCAGGTCCCATTTTGTCTTGTCCATCCATAGATAAGATTTTAATCATGCAGTAGGGACTTCTAATACTTTTATGGCTCTCACCCTAAATGATCGAAGACAAATACTTCGATATCCTTAACGAAGGCCTACCATCGCAAGACATTGTTATTCCCGAAAGACTAGAGAAAAGAACCATGGTGACCGATAAGGTGGATAGAAATGGAACGCGCCATGAAGCTGTCATCCCCGTTGGCACGGCTTATACTCCTTTGCCGAAAGAGTTTGCTGCTCCATCGGCAAAGAACTACTTATTTGAATTGGACGACTTCCAGAAGATTTCTGTATGTAGTCTTGAAAGAGATGAAAGTGTCCTTGTAAGTGCACATACAAGTTCTGGGAAAACTGTTGTTGCAGAATACGCCATTGCAATGTCATTGAAGAGTAAGCAAAGAGTTGTGTACACATCTCCGATCAAAGCATTATCTAACCAGAAGTACAGGGAGCTTCTTTCCGAGTTTGGCGATGTGGGCCTAATGACAGGAGATGTCACCATCAACCCGACAGCAACGTGCCTTGTGATGACGACAGAGATTCTTCGTAACATGCTCTATAAGGGAGGCGAGGTGGTTCGTGAGATCCACTGGATTATCTTTGACGAGATACATTATATGAGAGACAAAGAAAGAGGAGTTGTCTGGGAGGAGACCATCATATTGCTTCCAAGGCATGTTCGGATGGTGTTTCTCAGTGCAACGATTCCAAATGCATTAGAGTTTGCAGAATGGATATGCCATATCCAAAATCAGGTTGTTCATGTTGTTTACACCGAGAAGAGGGTGACACCTCTTGTCCATTACTTCCGCACAAATAAGCTGTACAAGATCAAGGACAAGAAGTTCCACAAATCAAGTTTTTTATCTGCAATGAGATCGATCCAGAAGAGAGCTGTCGGGCCCCGAGAGGTAAGCGAAGCAATAAGTGATGCATCTCTTCCTGTTGTTGTGTTTTCATTCAGAAGAAAGGACTGCGAGAAGTTTGCGATGAAGCTAGACAAAAGCTATCTCGGGGACTCCGAAGCAAAGATGGTACAGACGATATTTACTAATGCCATCATGTCTCTCCGAAAGGAGGATCGAGAGATTCCGATTATCCAAAACATCCTTCCTCTTCTTATGAGAGGAATTGGGATTCATCACTCCGGGCTTCTTCCCATAATCAAGGAGGTTGTGGAGATACTGTTTCAGGAAGGGTTACTGAAGGTACTCTTTGCAACAGAGACATTTTCGATTGGGCTCAATATGCCTGCAAAGTCTGTGGTGTTTACTGCACTGAAGAAATTTGATGGAGAATCCATGAGGCTGGTGAGTTCTGGAGAGTATATTCAAATGAGCGGAAGGGCAGGGAGAAGAGGAATAGATAGCATGGGGATTGTGATAAGTATAATATCCGAGCCCATTACCTACAAAGAGGTTTGTAAGCTCTTTTCCTCATCCTCGGATAATCTTGTGAGTGCATTCCGACTGACATATAACATGTTATTGAACCTGATGAGGGTTGAAGGCCTTGACCCGTTATATCTGATCAGTAGAAGCTTCCATCATTTCCAATCATACAAGAAGGCTCTAGCCGAGGAGGAAACTTTGTACTCGATGCACCGACAACTAGAAAACATTTGCCCCAACGGGATTGTGACACTGTATAGAATAAGAGAGGAAAAGAAGGTTGAAAGAAACAAAAGACTATCTGAGGAATTCAGCAAGTATTTGAAGAAGGGAAGGGTTGTTGATTTGTTTATACCTAGGAATGGGCCATCCATCACAATAAGGAATGCGATAGTCAGCAAGGTCCAGGAGAAGGTCCTTTGCATGGTTGGGACTGATGAAGGAGTGTACATGTGTGGGTTTCCCTTGTACTACGTTGACTGTGTATACGATAGTAGAGTGAAGTTAGATATGAGAGTGTTTACTCGGAGCTTTGAGAAGATTACAGTTGAAGATGAGTTAGACAAGGAGATAGGAGAGATAGAGTCTAAAATATTGTCCATAGATCCTAAGTGGAGTTTTGACTTCTGTATGATATGCGGAAAGCCCTCCATGGGATGCTTAGTCTCGTGCAGTAAGGAGTTGATTAGTAAAGATGCAGTTATGGTCCAAGTTCCTGAGAACGGAAGGAATTACAGGGAGAATCCCAAGCAGTCGAGATGGTTAGATACAAAGATGAAAGGTGAGATAGGAGAAGCAAGGTCGTACTTCATGAATGAGATACTGAAGCAGCAATGTATGGATAAACTTCTTGAGCTCAAAGGCCTTAAAGAGATTTATCACATGAGAGAATGCAAGAAAATGATCGAGGTTTTGAAGAAGCTTGAATACTGCAACGACACTAGCGTACTTATAAAGGGAAGAATGGCATGTGAGATTTCATCTGGTGACGAGCTTGTTCTTACGGAAATGATATTCAATGGAGACTTTGCAGGAATTCCAGTGGAGCACTTTGTTCCATTGCTGTCATGCATTGTATTTGAGGAATGGGACTCCGATAACTTTGTCTTGAGTGACGAAAACAAGCTATATTACAAATTGCTGTCTTCCTCTGTAGAGAAGGTTTGTGGTGTTCTGAAGTCATGTTCTATTGATGTAGATCCTGCAGCATATCTCAGAAGGTTTTCTTATGAGCTGATGGATGTTGTTCGGATGTGGGTGTGTGGACATACGTTTGTCAGTATCTGTAGCCGGACAAATATATTTGAGGGAAGTATCATCAGGACGTTTAAGAGGCTTGAGGAGCTTCTTAGGCAATTGAGTAGCGCAGCCAGAGTCATAGGCAACACTGAATTGGAGAACATGTTTGCATTGGGAATAGCAAAGATCAAGAGAGACATAGTCTTTGCTAACTCTCTTTATATTTAGAACCTTAAATTTTATATCACCTCATAGTTTATCCTTTTTAATTCACTTCTGTGTAGACAGAAAATAACTTTTCAATATCTATTTCAAGGAAGGATGCTGCGTATGGGACCTTGAAAGTTCTACATATTTCTGGGTTGCATACTCCTATTGACCCGATGACAATGTTTCTTACAATTACCAATGCACCTTGATTCTTGAGATATCTAACAGGATCGTCATAGGGACTGTATGAAGGCTGCATTCCACACTTTTCTAAGAGAAGAGACAAGGAGCCTTGGATCTCTTCAAGGCATGGAGAATGTCCGGAGTACAGGATTGCAAGTCTTCTTGAATTCCTTGCCCCACACTCGTTTTCTTTGTCTAGAAGAACAATGTCTGAGATCTCAAATAACCTAAAGGGAATTTTCATATGTAGATTCGAGGCAACCGTCTTCATCAATCCTGGAATAAGAGATGTCCTACACATCTCATAGCCAGCAGACTTTGGATTCATGAGGACAACTCCTCGATCTGCATCGATTATATTTTCCTCATGGGACAAAAGGGTAAGAGTCAAGGCCTCGTCAAACCCCATCATAGAGACCTCTACTCGGAGCTTATCAGAGAACCTATTCAAAGGAACCTCAGACCCAACAGTGAAAAGAGAGGGTAATTCTCTCTTAAAGTTATTGAACCCATGAGCAACAGCTACATCTTCTATCAAATCACATTTGTGGATGACATCTGACCTGACATCATGCACTTTAACCCTAAGAGTATTTTCATTGACTACACTTGCACAGTGCATCATCTTCTCCATATATCCCCTTGCCACCTCCAACGATATATCCAGTCCCAGCTTCTTATTAATCTCTTCCAGTCCAATTGTATACGAATGGTTGTACATGACCGGCGTCCTAGTCCTTTTGTCTCCATCCCGAATCTCAACGCTTTCTATTCTCTTTCCTCGGAAGCACGCCAGTAGCAGCTTCAATGACGTATTAACCCTGTGGAAGTCGGTCCCTGTTATGTCGATGAATATATTTTTGGTTTCCGGACTTATCTTGGTTGCGTCGGAGTTTATTACTGGAGGCAGTGACAAGACAGTCCCCTTAGAGTCAGAGAAGTAAGGATACTTCTCATTCTTCTCATTAAGCTTCATATACTTCCCTATTTTACTTCCAGGAGGAAAGAAGGTGCCTAATTCCTGGGCACTCATTTCCTTATCTCCATTCAAAGGCTTGAATATAATCTTATCTGGTACCTCACTCTTGTAGAACACAGGCCCTTGGATTTTGTCAAGGTCGTGTGTTCCCATTGATACTAATGTTCTATTTCTCCCAATAGTCAGGTGAAGCTTGTCCTGATAATCAATAAAGCTTTTGTAGGCGCCCTCAGATAGAAGATCCACTCCTTTGACAACTGCACAAGCTATGCATGGCCTTTCTTCTCCCCCAGCCTTATAAACAATAATCTCCCCTTCCTTAACCTCTATATCTTCATACTTTTCTATCGAGAGAAACGCTTTCAATGCATAGCAAAGTCCTTCTGTGCAGAGGAGATCATATCGGTTTGCTGGAATATCTATTCTGTACACAGCTTTTCCCTCCTCTTCCGTGACACCATCTAGCTCCAGCCCAAAGTCAAACAGGGTCCTTTCAAACTGGCTATCATCAAGCTCCATCTGGAGTAGATCCTTTATTCTTTGCTTCTCTGCTACAAGCGTTGGCATAGGGTTCAAAAATTTCGTCGGCCTTCTTTTCCCCTAATGAAGATCAGGGCAGGACTACTGGTGGGCTACGACGGAAGTAGATACCATGGGCTTCAGTTTAACAAAGAGTTGGACACAATTGAGAAGAGGGTTGTGGAATGTCTGCTTCAAGTGGAGGCTATTAGTGAAAGAAACGCAGACGACCCGAAGAAAATCCATATCAAATCGTCCTCAAGGACCGACAAAGGCGTTCATGCTGCGCTCAATCTCATTTCTGTGAAGATAGAGATTTGCATCACTTCAGAGTTAGTTTCCAGGCTTAGGACACTGCTTGCAAAGGAGGGGATTCATCTATATAACATTGTGCGGCTTACAAAAAGTACTGTTCCCTCTAGGCAGGCAATCTCGAGGACTTATGAATACATTGTCCCAACATTCTTTCTTACAAAAGGAGATCTCACCGAAGAAGCAGAGGCACTGAAGCAGAAGGATGGAGAGCACAGGATCAGGGATACAAAGAGAGATTATCCGGAGAATATAGTGGAGAGTGTAGTTGGACACAAGTCCTCTGAGGATGACATCAAGGCCTTTGGTTCCATTCTTCAGAAGTACATAGGAACTAAAGATTTCCATAACTTCACTAAGCTTAACAATGAGAAAGGCTCCAAGAGATACATCAAGTCCATCACGGTTACAGACCCATATGTGAGTGAAGGAGTGGAGTATGTGAGGATATCAATCACTGGGCAAAGCTTTTTACTCCATCAAATCAGGAAAATGGTACTTTTTGCTGTTTTATTGTGTAAGTACTCCAGGAGTTCCGTAGATCCAAAGTTCAACATGGTATTCAGCAAGCAGAATGTCCATGTCCCAAAAGGCCCATCGGGGTATCTTCTCCTTGACAAGCCTGTGTTCCATAAACTAAGAAGGGGGGAGGGCTCCACCGAGGACATAGGCGTCAGCGACAGTCACCGAGAGGAGTATAAAAGAAATGTTATATACCCGAGAATTCATCAAAGAAAGAACCTCATTGGGTTCTTTGCTTGTCTGGACTCTGTAAGGTTTCACAAGGAGAATATAGGATTTATTGAATAGTCAATCAGGTGTTTCAAATAATAGCAATAAAAACTCTTCAATAAGTTTCTCCTTGTCCTTGTATTTGGATGTTTTCCTTACTTTCTTTCCATCCTCAATAGCTTTTGTAAGTCTTTCAATCACAGGCGTTTTCTCTATATCTAAATGAGGCCTCAAGAAGCATCCAATCTTAACTCCAAAGACCTCCACCTCTTCCTCACTGAAGAAAACAATCTGAAATCTTCTTTCTCTACACGTGTATCTAAGTGCCCTTTTATTCACACAAGTCTTAATATCCCACTTATTATCAAGCTTTATTCTTTCCAATATCACCAACTCTTGCCTGACAGCTGAAACAACATAGAGCCTTACTTCCAGCATTGATGGGGACAATATCAACTCTAATGTCTTGCTTCCCTCCGTGAACACATGAAGCCATCTCTCCTTCTTAATTCCTTGGCTATCTGGCTGTGAATGAAGTATCACCTGACTCATCGTCTCCAAATCAACCCCACAGAAGGACTTCTCATCTCCTTCTTTTTCCATTCTTCTCGAGTACTTGAAAACTCTCCATCCGTTCATCATTCATGCTTTTAGATTACATTATATCCCAGACCTACCCATCTCTAATCCTTCTAAGTAAAGACATTTTGAGCCTTGACTTCTCCAGGCCTTGCTCCAGGATTATACACTCATTCGTCGTTAATGAAGAAACAAAGTAAATGAGGACGGCGTCATATAGAAACGTCTTCTTTTGCTCAACGATCCCTTTCATACCTCTGAAAACAACTTTCTCTATGTCAATTCCTCTTTTTGCCATACTACACTTCGAGCCTATGAGCTTTCCAACACCCTTGTCTACGTCCTTCTCTTCCACATCCATAAGATATCTGAAGTACCCAGAAACTAAGTTCATTTTCGACTTACTTTTGTTCAGAAACTCAGAGATCAGCTCCACCCCGCATTCCCTGAATATAATGTAAGAGTAATCAAGAAGAAGGCCCTCATCGACAAGCTTGAACAAAGAGATACACGACCCTGGATCAATAAAAACACTTTCGGCCTTGGAATGTATAAGAGCAAATAGCTTGTCGTACATCACCTTGAAGCATTCCCCTTGATCAGAGGCTTGTTCAACCTTCAGGTTCATCATACCAAACTCTATACACTTTTCCTTGAAGAAGATCAGGAAGTCACAAAGCACACCTGGGTTATCGATGTCTTTAAGTTCGTATTTGTTAACTCTCTCGTAGTCATTTGCCATTGTTCTCCACAATGCAGCATAGCACTTGATCTCACTTGGGTGCTCATTTCCAACTCCCTTGGATATATCGAACGATTTGATTGTACATCGTAAAAACTCTATGCAGGAGGATCCAGAAGACTCTACAATAGGATAGACAGACACCGGAAAATCACTTTCAAGCTTCTTCAAAAGACACACAAGACTAGAAAACATCTCTTCACATTTGTATTGGATCGAAAGCTCTCTCATCATTTCAAGAAGGTCGTTGGTAATGTCAGGCTGTCTTTTAAACACCTTAAGGCCCAACTTTGAAGCCGATGCCATGGCCTCTCTTGTGTTTTCCCTATTGTCTCTGACTGTTTCAAGAATACTGTAGTACTTCCTAAGATCCACCATATTGACGGAAAGGACTCCAAGAATCTTTAAGTAGCACAAGGTTCTAGATTGGCAGCAAGAACTCTTTGTCCTCAAGAAGTCCAGGATAAAGTCTATGAACCCTTCAACATCCTTATCACTGTGAGGAATGCAGGAGCATAGGAACAAGGAGGTGTTGGAAAAAAGCTCATGTAAGCCCTCATGGTTATCCAGTAGGCATTCATCGCTTGATCCTTCCCTCTTGAGTATCTTCCTGATGGTATCTTCTACTAGCAACTTCTTATCTTTTTCATTCATCGATCCCAACACTTTATATACATCATCCTTAGAAATCATCCCATTGATGTACAGGCTCATGCATAGTACCTTTCCTTCTCCCCTCAACCCAAAGTTTCTGTCGTACAAAGACAGCTCAATCATTCTATTTTTAAAGCGGGACACAAATGTCTGAATATCGACCTTCTTCCGCACAAGCTTGATGCACGCCCCAACCCCTTTTCTTCTAACATTATCGTTCTTGTCACTAAGAGACCATCCAATATACTTCAAGTAACAGGGGAAGTTGAATATCTCAGGGGCAGAGACAATCCATTCACACATAAACCCCACACAAATGCTCCTTATGTTGAAGTCCACATCCCGGAACCTGACCAAAAACACCTCATCATACATGGTCTCCACAACTTCAAACCCTCTTCCATCCACAACCCATTGCTTTATTTTGTCGAGCATGAGGTATGTCGATACATATCTTAGCATTCTATTTGCATCCCTAGTGAGTTCTACTATCGAATCAGTGTTGTAGTTAGATACAGAGTTGAAAACCTTGCATAGTTTTTTCATCTTGCATTGATTTACATGGATGGATTTGATGATCTTGATGATGTCCTTGGTGCAATCCTCATGTCCCCTGAGTCTATCTGTTAATGCCTCGGGGGTGAATACGTCAAAAGGGCAGCATCCATCTTCTGAAGTCTCAAAAGGGTTGTGGGTTGTAGTATCACAGGCCGTTCCTGGGACTTCCGACTCATTTACATTGTTCTCTTTCTCCATTAAAGGCTCTGTGCTGAAAATATTTTTAACAAGCAGACGGGAGACGTAGAGCATAAAAGTTTCTTCCGGTGACCCATCTGTTATGAGACTCAGCTTGGATGAGCAAAAGGATGTTATGAAGGAGTTTACCGACCCTGTGGAGTTTATAAGGGGATATATAGATGTTTATGAGAAGCAGAGGAGTGTCCCTGTAAAGGTATATTTGGAAGACATTTCGTACTATGAAAGGTTTGAGCCGATGTTTCTTGATCTGGTCCTTGGAAAGGCTCTTTCTGAAGGGCCGGATCTGAATTTTCCGGAGGTTGAAGAGTTGCTGCAAACCTTCTGCAACAAAGAATTTTATGATGAGAGATTCTATCTTGAGTCCACTCTGGTTCTTATCAAGGGAATAGCCGTACTGATAGACAGGGTAGATCAGGAAGTACAGAGAAGAAAGTTTGATAATGTGCAGTATTTGTATTATTACACAACAGAGCCCATTGATCTAACAAGAGTCCTTGTTGATCCTTACACCAGGTACATTCAGGATCCACCAACTCTTGTCAGCAAGATGGCGGAGCTCCGAGAGATTGTAGAGTTTGTGAACAAGCAGTTGGAGGGAGTGGGGAACTCATTTCTAGTGAACGACAAGAGATTGAAGGAAAGGATGAATCTCTCTGACGGGATTCTTGGACAGAAAAGGATAGAGAAGTACAAGATAGAGGATGTTTATGGAAGTATATTTGACCTCCTCATGGTAAGAGCCACAGGAATGGATGTGGAGTCTGGATATATCTATATTATGGGGTTCTGTAGCGAGTTTCTTATGTCTGAGGTCGGGGATGAGAAGGCCATCCTTTGTCTAAAGGAATATGCAGGCGGGTTGCTGAATAAGAAAGAAGAGTGATTTCTACGAAGATCTGTAATAAAGTGGTCTGGTGTTTTTGATGATATCTTTGTTTCCATGGTTCCCCTTTATGGCGAAAAGAAGGCTTGAAGAGGATGAGAATATATCTGAAGAGGAAAAGGATCTAGGGATGGGCATTGTCGGGGAGCTCGGGAGTGAGGATATGGATGAGATCAAGGAGGAGTTGTATGAATCTGAAAGGGCGTTTGAATCAAGTGAGGTTGTGGAGCATTCTGATATTGAAGACTTCATAGGGCAGGAAGCGGAGAGCATAAGATCTGAGGACAACAGAGTGAGGAGGGAGACTGTGTCTGAGGATGAGTACGATGCAGAAGAGATACTCAAGGCACCTGAGGTAACAAAGGATTTTTTTGAGCAGGATTTCTTTAGAATCAAGTTGGTTAAAAAGTTCGTTTGTTTTTTTAACGAATTTAAGGGCAAGAAGTATGCTGCAAAGATTCGAAAGATGTGCTCTGAGAATCTCGAGAGTATAGAGGTGAGCTACCTAGACATCGAAGAAGAGTCGATGGATTTGATTAGACTTCTCAACCAGCATGCAGAGATGACTATCGAGGTGATGGACAAGGCTTTATCTGATGTAGTAAGGATGCACTTTCCTAACTACTACCTGATAAAGCCCAAGGTGCATGCAAGAATTACTGACCTTCCTGTTTGCGATACCATCCGATCACTAAGAAATAGCCATCTTGGAAGGTTGGTGAGGGTTAGCGGTGTTGTTACAAGAAGAAGTGGAGTATTTCCGCTTTACTCCATTGTGAAGTTCAGCTGTCTTAAGTGCAAATCTGTCTTCGGACCTTTTGTGGCATCTTCATTCAAGCCCACACATTGCTTTGAATGCCAGTCAAGAGGACCCTTTACAGTCAATACATCTGAAACCATCTATAAGGACTTCCAGAAACTAACGATTCAAGAAGTCCCTGGAAGTGTTCCTCCGGGGTCTCTTCCTAGATCGAAGGAAGTGTTACTATTCTATGACCTGATTGATTGTGCAAAGCCTGGGGAGGAAGTGGAGGTCACAGGGATATACAAGAACAACTTCAATGTATCTCTAAACATCAAGAACGGATTTCCCGTGTTTTTTACAGTAATCGAGGCCTGCTCCATTAGTAAAAGGGTTGGAAGGATTGAGATGACCGACGATGACATCAGGGAGATTAAGAAGATTGCAAGGCACCCGGAGATTAAAAGAATAGTGATCAACTCGATAGCACCGTCTGTTTACGGGCATGAGGAAGTGAAGAGAGCTGTGGCTTTGGCGATGCTTGGAGGAGTTGCTAAAGAAAGTACAAGCCATAGAATCAGAGGGGATATAAATGTCCTTCTACTAGGAGATCCCGGAATGGCCAAGTCCCAGTTTCTCAGGTACGTGGAGAATACATCCCATAGAGCTGTTCTAGCAACAGGGCAGGGGGCTTCGAGTGTGGGGCTTACTGCATCTGTTCGGAAGGATCCTGTTGTGAAGGAATGGACCCTTGAAGGAGGGGCATTAGTACTAGCCGATAAGGGAATATGTCTTATTGATGAGTTTGACAAGATGAATGAGCATGACAGAACGAGTATACATGAAGCAATGGAGCAACAGTCCATCTCCATATCGAAGGCTGGGATTGTTGCAACACTTCATGCAAGATGTAGTGTAATAGCAGCTGCAAACCCAATAAGAGGGAGGTACAATGGGTCCTTGACATTTTCTCAGAATGTAAATCTCAGTGATCCAATAATATCGAGGTTTGATATTCTTTGTGTTACAAAAGACAATATCGATGCCGGGGAGGACGAAAAAACAGCAAGGTTCATCATAGACTCGCATGGGGGATGTGGAAAGGAGAAGCCCCGTGGATTTGATGCAAAGAGAATGATGATGAGCCAAGACCTATTGAAGAAGTACATACTTTATGCAAGGACCAACGTTATGCCGGTTTTCAATGATGTTGATATCGACAAGATTTCGAGCTTATATTTGGAGCTCAGAAAGGAAAGCTTGCCTTCTGGGCTTCCTGTGACTGTAAGGCATGTGGAGAGCATTGTTCGGATCAGCGAAGCATTTGCAAAGATGAGACTTAGCTCGATTGTTTCTGCCGAAGACATTGATGAAGCTATTTCCGTTGTTCTGGATTCTTTTATGGGCGCTCAGAAATATTCCATGTCCAAGAGCCTGAGGAAGAAGTTTGTAAAGTATTTCAACAGGAGCAACACCGATGTCCTGGTCTTTCTTTTAAAAGAGATGTTTAATGAAAAGGTGAGGGCATTCCACTCGTATTCGGTGTCTGTGGACGAGTTCGAGCGTAGGATCTCTTCTTTTGGGTTTTCCGCCCCACCCAACTTCTATTTGTGCGATTTGTTCAAGAACAACGGATTCCGGCTTGACAGGGAGGCACGGCTAATATTAAGGAACACTTACTGATCCCAAGTCTTAGAGAATAAAATGCTAATGATGTCTCCCTACAGCTATATTTTCCCTTCCATTTTGAATATCCCACTTCCATACTGCATTGCCTTTTTTGGAACTTTAGAGACACATTCAAATCCTTCTCTTCTCAAAACCTCCCTTATCACAAACTTTCTGTCTCCATTCATCATGAGGATATCCCTTCCCACTCTTAAGGAATATTCCACCATTCCTGAATCTAGAAAAGGAAATCTACATTCAACTTGATTGTCTGAGATAACCCTGTCATCTCTACAAACATTGTGATGGGAAATAGTAAAAAGGTCAAAGAGCATGTCTCCCCGGAACTCTCCTCCTTTATATCTATGATATCCCCCAAACATCTCATCGGCCCCTGACCCAAGATACCCAATCTTACTGTATTTCCTCGACTCCCTTGCAGTGAAGAACAACGTTGCACCTATGTTAAAATCCATGCGTCCACACTTCGGATGTATCAACTTGTATATGTGCTCCTTAAATGCTCTGACCTCCTCTATGCTGACTTCGTTTGAAACAAAAATGAATGCCCTTTCCCTGAACCTTGAGCAAAGACTTTCAAACCCTCTTTTCCCCGTATCCCTGTCCCACGATGGCCCAAAAGATGTGTTTATCAAGTAAATCCTTTGGCAGGGATCTGTGGAATAATGTAAGAATATTGTCACAAGCATCGAATCCACTCCTCCGCTGAAAAACACACAGATGTTTCCCTCTGAAACCCTTCTTTCTACAGACTTCCTGAAGGCCTTGCCGAACTCCTTAACCACATCGTCGACGTTGTTTAGATCTTCCTTGTTCGCTTCCACACCGCTTGAAGCCAAGTACTTCTTCAGGTATTGGTACTTTTTTGAGTACTTCTCATTATTGAGGCGTTTCAGTATTACATCACTCATGGACATATACTTCTTAACAATCCTGCTACTTTTGGGCCATTCACTCAGACTTTTTGTTACCTTGTTGTACGAGTATATCAGCATGGGATTTATCTCCTCTAAGTACCCTACAGAAGAAACGTAGAATGGACTCAGTCCGTATCCCAGGCTTCTTCTTCCTATGTCGTCTTTAAAGAAATACACATAGTCTCCTATCATTAATATCATGGCCATTTCGTTTTCATATCTGTTGATTTCCTCGTAAATCCTGTCTATTGTGCTTTCCATACACGAATCTGCTCCATCGTTCAAGAGTTTATCGACTATACTTTTGATGAATAGTGTATCGCTAGGTTCCTTATTATAGACCTCACCATTGTAAAGGAGTATATATCTATGACCTACTACAGGCTGCTTAATAGACTCTCTTATTGCAAGCACTGAGGAAATTGCCACAATGTTCCCCATATGTATCCTGTTATAGTGGTCTTCTCCTCTGTTTCTCACAAGCAGGGCTATCTCTTCCCATGCAGAATTCTCCTCTTCAGAAAGAAGTATTCCACACATCAAGGATTGAAAGCATCCCAAGAAATATAGGTGAACAGTGAGGAGCCTGGGTGGATCGATTAATCCAACTCAGTGCCCTTGCATGAAGTCATTTGTAAGAAGTGCAGGCCAGAGAGGAATGGAAAAACTGTCAACAGGAATATCTGGGCTAGATGCCATACTCGGAGAATGCTTCACAAGAGGGACATCCATTCTTTTACTAGAAGACGAAAACTCTCGGATTCACTCGACAATCCTAAAGGTTTTTCTTTCCGAAGGTATCTACAACCAAGAAAGCACACTGGCTGTGGTGAAGGAGGGCGGGGATGTGGAGGTATATGACACCGGATCATCCATGGAGCAAGAGAACGAAGACAGGATGGTAATAGCCTGGAGGTATTCCAAGTTATCACTGGGAAGGCCTGCATTCAAATTCAATCTTTCCAAGAAAAAGAGGTTTGATGGAATTTTACTTTCTGGAAAGAAGGCAACACTAGAAAGCATTTTAGACATAGCAAGAGAAGAAAGGGAGCTAAGGATAGCAGTGTTCTCGCTTGGATCGCCAGCCTGGAGACTCTCTGGGTATGAGGAAAAGAAGATGATGAGGTTTCTTTTTGAACTTAGAAGACTTTCCAGGATCAACAACCACATATATATGGTTTCTGCCCCTGGATTCATGATGCCCGATGCAAACTTCAGCCTGTACTTTGATACAGTGGCAGAGTTTGACTCAAATATATTCAGCCGTTTCTGTCCAAATTACAATGGGGTCCTGGAGTTTAAGAAGATCGGAGGCTATGGATGTCTTCGAATCAACTCTCTCGAAAGCTTGAAGTACGGTGTGAAAATAAGGAAGGAAAGCATCTGTGTGGAGAAAGTCGCCATGCCGCCGGAGGATGTTAAGCCGCCTGGGAATTCTTGTATTCAAGATAAAACCTTCTAAGGCTTGGCAGAGGTACACCTCTATTTTTTCTATTTTTTTCTACCGCTATTTATGATCTATTTGGTGGAGACTGTTGTTGGATATGCACTTCTTGACAAGGCAGAAAGGTCTGAGGAAGTGCAGCTTATTGAGAAATACAAGTTTGCGAGTATTGATGAGGCACTTGAGTCGTCTGCGCTACTCCTCAGAGGAGAGATCCCAGGCAATCTAGAAAACTTTGTGAGACTTGTGGAGGACAAAAGCAAGGACACTTTGGTTGTGAGCGATCAAAAGTTGGTAGAGCCTCTAGAAAAGATGTTTTCAAGAAAAGTTGTGTGTTCCCATGATGATGTCCTGAGGTCGATAAAGTTGGATGTACACAAGTATTTCGATATGAGCTGGGCCGAGTATTCTGAAAGGATCTTATGCTTAGCACATAAGATTTCTATGGAGAAGATCAATCTCGTACCTGAGAAGATCGACACGATGGTGATCCAGTCTGTATCTCTACTAGATGACATGGATAAGGACATAAATCTTCACTGCATGAGGCTCAAAGAATGGTATGGATTTCACTTCCCCGAGCTATCTTCGATTACAGATAACAACAGAGAGTATCTTAAGCTTGTTGTTGCAATTGGCAGGAAAGGAAGCATTGATGAAGAAAAGAAGAGGATGCTCAGAGATATGGTTGGAGATGACTGTGAAAAGATTGTAAAGCTGGCGGAAACGAGCATGGGTGTTGCAATGGACGAGGAGGATGTTCTGAACATATTGGAAGATGCAAAAGGTGTACTTCGGAGCTTTGAGTTTAGAGATGAGCTAGTGGAGTACATCCGAGTGAAAATGGAGGGGTTGGCACCTAACATAACGTCATTGGTTGGAGAAGTTATTGGAGCCAAGATGATAAGCAAGGCAGGGTCCTTATCCAATCTCGCAAGGATGCCTGGATCATCCATACAGATGATGGGGGCTGAGAAAGCTTTATTCCAGGCTCTGAAGTCAAAGACAAATACCCCAAAGTATGGGATTATCTACGGGTGCTCTCTCCTAGGGCAAGTAGCTTCTCAGAATAAAGGAAGAATAGCTAGAAGCTTAGCTTCGAAGATTGCAATGGCAGCTAGAATTGATTCCTATGGAGAAGAGAGGACAAATAAGGTGGGGATAAGGATGAGAGAGAAAATTGAAAGAAGAATCAAGGATCTGGAGACAAGAAGCAACTCTGAGAAGAAGGTAGCTAAAAAGCTTAAGTATGAAGTGAAGCCAGACTTTTATGATGACTCGAAGGATTCCAAAAGGATCAAAACAAAATGACTACATTAAAGCACATTGCATTGGTATAGTATTTTAGTGGTTAGTTGCTGCTTTCCCTCTCTTAGCTAGAGAATGGAACTAGCATTTTAAATAGCTTTTCATTTCTTACGGAGAGTACCTTGAAGTCCTCGAAAGTGAGGAAGCTCTTGACGGTTCCAACGGAAGCAAAGATCTCGTCAGCTATTCCTTCGGAATCTATCGAGACATCGAGTGTGTGTGATGTCATGTCAGCAAGATATTGAATAACCTCGACTATTTCCTTTTTGGATACAACACCGTCGTTGTCCTTGTCATAGAATCTGAATATCCAACGCAGCTTTTCATGGTCACTCCCCTTAATCAGTATACTGTATGCTATCAACAGTTCATGGAAATCAATAGCTTCAGACTGGCTTATGTTGATGGTTTCAAAAAGCCTCTTGGAGAAGTTTGTGGGAGAACCAAAGGGAAAGAAGTCCCTGAAGATCGTTTCCAGATCATCTGATGTCATATAGCCGGTTGGGAACACTGATTTGAATGAAGAAGACCATTCTTGAATATCTTTTGGAGGAAAGTGAGAGAACTGCCTAGCATCTTCCTCTGCACTGCCAGGGATTGTGCTTGAACTTGATCCCATGGGGTGTTTTGTTTTAACCAACTAGGGATGGTAATTTAAACAAAAGAAAGATCGAGGAGCTAACCCATGCTATTCTTTTGTGTTATTTCGCTTGTAGTGTGCTCAAGGATTCAAAAGATACTGAGGCCCGGAGTCAAGGAGGTGTACTGGGCCATTCTTGACAACGAGGATGTGGAGCTTAACATCCAGTTGAACCAATACTCGGACATGCCTGTGTACTACAAAGTGATCAAGCCTGGAGAGGTCGAGGAAGACAGCGGGATCGGAGAAGAGCTTGTAGAGGGTGTTGATTTAAGATATACCACACCCGGGGCTTACAAGATCGAGGTCTACAACGACGGGTCTGAGAAGGCTTCCATAAGCGTTTACACCGATGTCATGTCCTCCGGGGATGTTGACAACGATAACCTGGCGATTAAGAACCTGTTTCTTGATCTAGAAGCCAAGCTCATGTCTCTGTACAGAACGAATACACGGCTGAAAACAATCCAGGAAAACAACATTGCAGAGGCCAAGAGAATCCGGAACGGATTATACATAATGTTTGCAATCCCGATCATGTATGTCATCATAGGACTTGCTAAGCTGCATACAACAAAGGCGATGTTTGCTCCGAAGAAAGGATCCCGAATTTAATAGTTCTCAATTAAATGGTCTATGGAAAGCTAACAAATGAATTATTGGTGGGACCTGTCCCGAATGTTTATTCTGATCTTCCTTGATGCACCCTGAAGATGAATGAAGCCTGTGACAAAAAACCCCCGAAAGAGAATCCAAAGCAGTTTCTTCAAAGAATGAAGAATAGAAATGTTTCTGTTTGTTTGAAGTGGGGACAAGTCTATGAGGGAGTTCTTGTCACATCAGACAATTACTTCAACGTACTTCTGGACGAATGTGTTGAGAAGGAAGGGGAAACAAGTACGAAAGTTGGAGAGGTTTCCATCAGATGCAACAACATCAAAAGTATATCTGAGGGGTGAAGTGCCTTCAAAAGAGTTCCTCGGGATGAAATGACGGCCTTGGTGAAAGTCTATTCCTGGTGGAAAATGAAAAATTCTCACAGGCCCATGTCATACAGAATAGATTTCGAAGGCAGCTCTGAGATAGGTGCATACATGACTCTCACCAATACATATTGTGTGGTTGGGAGGAGTCAATCGAATAATGTACTCAAGTTTCTTCAGGAGAATGTTTCAATTCCGATTGTTGAGACAACCATCAATAGCATTCGAAGTGTCGGATCACAGTGTAGAGGCAACAGACATGGGCTGCTTGTTCCGCATACAATAACAGACCAGGAGATAATGCACATAAGGAACACTCTACCGGAAAATGTTATAGTGAGGCGAATTGAGGAGAGGCTGAATGCTCTAGGAAACGTGATTCTTTGCAACGATCATGTTGCAATTATACATGCAGACCTTGATGAAGAATCTGAGAATCTTATCAAAGATGTCCTACAAGTTCCTGTCTATAGGCATAATATAGGACATGAGCCGCTTGTTGGAACCTTTGGAGCATTGAACAACCAAGGGATGCTAGTCCACCCCCTGACTAACCAGGAATGCCAAAAGGAGCTTAGTGAGCTTCTCGAAGTGAATGTGATTGCAGGAACGGTCAACGGGGGAAGCCCATGCATTGGAGGTGGTGTTGTTACTAATGACTGGATGTGTGTTGCTGGAGCCAAGACAACTAACGTGGAGATGACAGTGATTGAAAGTGTGTTTGATCTTAGTGGAGACCAGGATTTGGAAGCCCGAAGAAGAGCCATAGTGGACACCATTGTCAGATGAGGATCATAAATAAAAGTTATGCCTTTAAAGTTTTTAATTGGAAGGTGCATAACCTACCTAGGATGGAGAACTGCTCATTTCCTATAGTTCATTTCCTATAGTGGTTACCAAACATGAGAAGATCTTTTTTAAAGGACATATAATCTGGTACCAGATCTCTGTTCCTCGGCCTATCGATCATTCCCTGGAGAAGCATCAAGATGTTCATCAGTATATGTGCCATACTACTACTGTCTATCAACACATTTACCTTTTCGAGCTCATTAACCATCCCTATTCTTTTCATATGGTACTGGACAATGACTCTGAGGTCCTTTCTCCATGCCTCACCATTACTTTCATGCATCACGCCTCCTGCAATTCTATTGACAATTACTCTGTATTGGTTCTCCAAGGAAGCACTTGGCCCATCCACGTCCCTGTACCCCGAGAATCTGCTACCCATCAAAGAGGTCTTTAGAGGTGGATACTTCCCTCTTAGTCTATTTGGGTTGATGCCTTCCTGCCCCATGATATAGTGCTCCTCCTCCATTCTGTCTAGAAAGTCATCGAGCTCCCTTTCCTCATCGCTCATTCTGTGGTAGGACCTTCTTTTTTCCTTGTCTACAACTATATGGTGCCTTTTCTTGGATTCCGACATCCTGCTGGCTCCATCTAGGTTCCCTTGAGCTCTGTCGCGCCACTTACTCATGGCTTCTATGTGCTGTCTTATGATTCGTGGGTCAGTAGAGGGATAGAGCTGCCTATTATCCAGGGCATCTTCGGTTGCCCTAGCAATATCATCTATCTTTTTAATACTCCCAATATTCCAGTCATAGGATATGTATTGGCCTGAATATTCTACATCCTCTCCCTCTAGAAGCTTGTTCCTCAGTGCCATTTTTTCCATGTACAGCTTTCTTGCAATGTCAAACCTTAGATCCTTACAGAAATCAACGGGAGATGAATAACCATTCTTCTTATATGTCTCAAGCACCTCCTGATAAATCTCTTTCCATCTCTTTGGGTGAATGTATCCATACATTGTTGCAATATATTTTGTTACCGAAGCTTCATCCGAAACACCATAAATGTCTACTGCTTTGGAGACAACTAGCTTTTCTGTTGCTGTAGATTGTGTCCTGGCACCCATACCTTTCCTTGAGGGAAACAGGATTCTCGATTCAAAATCCTTGGAATATCTTTTAGAAAAGAGTATTTGGCTATTGAGGATTACCCTGCCATGGCACCTAATGTTAGGAAGGAGAGGATGCCGCCAGAGCATCTTAGAAGAATAATAAAGGTTTCAAGAGACATGCATCCCTCTTTTATGGGGGCAATGAGGTATGTGCCGTATGCTCTCCACAACCTCATGAGATCGATGCCCATGCCTTGGGAGTCTATCAGATATGTGGATGTTCTATACCACGTCTCTGGTCTAATTACCTTTGTCAATGAGAAGAGAAGAGTGGACGTGAAGGAGCATAGAATGAGATGGAGCCATGCAAGTGCAAGGTTCTCATCTGAGATGAAGAAAAGAGGGTTTGTACGTGTTCTAAGATATCCTGTGTTTGATGACGATGATCCTGTGGTAGATTACGGAAGCATAATGGGTCTTCCTGTTCCGGCTGCCATTGGGGACGAAGGGAAGGAATGGAGGGATGTTTTTGAAGATGTGGATGAAAAGTATATGTTTAATTGCAAGGCATTCTTAATAAGTAGGCACGTTGGAGCACAGATTGAGAATGGGCCTTATGTTGCTGAAAGCAGCTCTGGAGTGAGTGTGATGGAAAGAGATGTGGGGAGTGAAAGAATAGCTTATCCTTACCTCTATAACAGGAGCACAAGAATACAGGTTCTAGAGAAAGCTCATTTAGGACTCCGGAGTTCGTTTGGAAGTGAAGATGGAAAGGGTGGGACTCAAAGGAAGGAAAAACATCCTGTAGACATTCCATTGTTAAAGGGATATTGTTTTCAAGAACGACCGGGTGGCGAGCCCAAGGTTAGGAATCTTCTTAGAAACTATACAAGAAACATAGAGAGGAAGAGAAAAAGAAGGCCTTCTACACGTATTCTTAAGGAGTTAAAGAATACAAGGTACTTCCAAAGGACAGAAATAGATTGGGTTGAAGCAGGGCTCCAACTAGTATACCAAGGGCACAGGATGCTTAGCGAGATTCTGAGAAGGAAAAAGCTCAGCTACCTTGTCCTTGACTGGAATTTCAATCTGAAGCCCATTAGACAGCTGACAACAAAAGAAAGAAAGAAATCTAGGGTTGGTACGTCTTACCATCTAACGAGGGAAATGCTTAAGTTTGTTAAGCATCTTGTGGATATCCATGTTCTGTTCAGGCAAGGAAATATAGACTGTTATGAGCTGATGGGCAATGTAGACCATGTGTTTAATAATGTAGGGGTTATCACTGGGATATACCGATATAAATACAAGGTTATGAGGCAAATCAAGCAATGCAAGTCATGGAAGAGGCTTTCCAGCTATGTAAAGATTGAAGGATGGGGAGAGCAGTGGAGGACATGGTGTTTTATGTTTAGAGGGCATATTCCGTTGCTTGGAAGATACATCTCTGGGCTGGTCACAAGGATAGCTGAAGGAAGGGATTACAATCCAAAGCCTCTATCAAGGCAGAGAAGTGAAAGTGGATATGACATTGCATTGAAGAGGCAGATTGTGGAAGAGGTTTCATCGGTTCTTCATCATTCACAAGTAAAAAGGCTGCTCCAGCACTTTGGTGAGGCATGGAGGTGTTGGAAAGCAAATGTGCCTTACCACATTGTACACGAGCATATTATGGAGATAAGCACGAAAAGAGATGTTTCGACATCGCTTGAGAAGGAAGGCATTAAAGAGACCTCTGGGGGTATTGGCCCGAATTTGGAAAGCCTTAAGTCTACGATTGAGGTTATCAAGAAAGGGGAGGGGAATGCAGCGATATCTTCTTCCCAGAGCCTGGTTACGTTTTCAGATAGGTTTGTATCTGAGTTGGAGATGATAGGGAATGAGGTTGGAGTCAGGCATCAGAAAGAGCTTTTTGAATTACAAGAGATAATAGATAAGTATATTCGTCTGAAATCTGAATGGTATATTGAAAGTGCCACTAATATGGAAAAGAAGAGCAAAAAAGAAGAGAAGAAGCGGCTTGGGAAGATTTCAAGACTTTACATGAAGGAAAGAATGGCTGAGCAGGTGGAGTATCTAGGAAGCCCATTTCTTAATCCTTCTGAGGCCGTTGCTATTTACAGGTTATCGGCAGAGTATTTCCGGAGCAAGGAGATTGGAAAGATAACATTTCCTGAGAAGAATGAAGAGAAATTCTTAAGTATTGCTGTGGACAGGCTCAAGAAGAATGCAACGCCCGAGGAGTCTGATTTTTTTGATAAGGCATTGGAAGATTCAGCGGGCACCATTTTCAAGATAAAGAAATCACTTCTTACACAACGGTCGTTTAAAGAGGTTGGAGTTGTTTTGAAGAGATATGGAGACGGAGGTGCCGAATGTTACAGCGTCTCGTATATGGAAAGGCTTGTGGATGCATTTCTTTGTGCATATTTGTTCCATGAGTCCGATAGGCTTAACATCTTCCCTGAATTCATCAAGCCTGGGGATGAGATAGATATAAAGGCACTTCTGGACTTCTGCGAAAGGATATCCTCATTTAAACCAAGTGGATCTGAAAGATTCTTTCTTTACGAAGGAAGATATGAAGGGATCATGAGGATGGCTGATAACAACCTTCTCTCGAAGCTGTTTAAGCTTATTCTGGACCCTACTTTAGCAGACTACATTATAAGCAGAAATAATTGCCAGGTGTTTTACAAGGACATGGCATATACAAACCATGTTGGATTTATCAAGGGATTCCAACTCTCACCGTTTGTATATAAGTTTTATTCGTTTATTATTGACCTGTGTGTACTGGGCGAGGATATTTTCATGGATGATAGGAGTAATATAAAGATGTACTTCAGACATATGGACGACATCTACATTCTGCTGAAGCTTAAAAGAGAAGAAGAGGACACCTTGGTTGAAGACTATGGTATTGGAAGTGAAGGGATGGAAGAGATTGTGAAGGGACGAAGAAGGAATTATTTTGATGATGTATCCAGAGGTTTTGATGACGAAAGACAGGTTTCATTTTTCAGAGATGATGGAAATGAAAGACACCGAATTCTAGAGAAATGTATCCACGCTGAGATTGCAACAAGGCTATTGCCTTCTCTGGGAAAGATTAAGTTCAAAGGATGCAATGCATTTCCATTCATCAAGTTTTCGATGACTGGGATTGATGTACTTATTTCATCGGATAGGATCCATGAAAGAAGCTCATGGAAGCTATCGAATGGGATGTATGCAAGCCTAGCTGTGAGTGAGGAAGGCATAGAGATGTTTGAAAGCAATATATCACATATTGTGAGCACTAGTGGGTCTGCAACCTTTCTTAAGGTAGCAACAAGGTGGAATACACAGATTCTTGCATTTGTAGGGTATTACAGGGAGTGCATCCACGATACTAAGGGGCTGGGTGAGAGGCTTAGAAGATCGGAAGGATTGATCCAGAATGTGATAAAGAAAGGAATAAACTCGAAGATGCCTGTAAGGTTTCCTCCTGTTATGTTTTATGCGCCTAAGGAGATGGGGGGACTAGGGATGCTAAGTGTTGGAGGAGCAAGGGTTTTCCGAGATGACCTGAATGATTCTGAAGAGGAGAAGGACACCATACTGCCCATGATTATGGATTATATTGACAGATGGGATTATGAGTTCTCTGAGTCTAATAGGGTATGGAGGGAGTATGGCAGAAGTGGAAGGATGGAGCCCGAGAAGGGGATTCCACGAATGAGTACACTTCTCCAGAGGAGTAGGTGGCTACTTTATGACCGAGGATTCAGGATGATAAACATGTTCAGGAGATATTGGGGCAAGCCTGACTGGTTCTGGTTTACAGACACAAAGCATGATGGCAAGCTATGGAGCATGGAGAGATACACAGCAGATTGCTTGAAGAGTTTTGGAGGGGTTGAAGGGATTGCAAGCCATACACTTTTCGGAGCAACATATTTTAGAAGCTTCAGTAAAGTGTTTTGGGAAGATATGAGTGTTGAAGGAAACAGAAGACTGACAAACGCACAAAGGATGGGACTGAGCCAGGTTCCCAATAGAAGGTTCATTTTATGGTGGTCACCAACCATCAACCGAGGAAATGTGTATGTTGGGTATCAAGTCCAGCTAGACCAAACCGGGGTACTGATGCATGGAAAGTTACCTACGCTGAAGATTTCGTTTATTCAAATTTTCCGGAACCATCTATGGAGGAGGATACATGAGAGTATTACCGAGGACTTGTGTGGAGTATTCAAGAAGTACTGTGATGTTAAAAGATTAGAAGTGCATGGAAAGAAGAGTTATAGATTTGGAAGTAGCTGTGCAGATATTCTTTTATCGGGCGATTTTTATGTACACTCGCCAATGTCTATTTCCGAAGAAGCTAGTGGAGATCCAGTGAGGTGCGATGGGCTTTGGATTGATGTTCAGCTGCGATGGGGAGACTATGACAAAAGGGATTCTCATAAGTATGCAAAGGCAAGGTTTATGGAATGCACTGGAGACCCACAGACTCGATATCCTGCCGATAATGGATTTGTTGTGGTACTTGATTTGTGTTACAATACATGGAGTAGTTATGGAAACCTGAATGGAGAGCTGAGGGCTGTATTGGGAAGGTCTATGGAAAAGATTATAGTGGAGAATCCCATGCTCCATGTACTCCGAGAGAGGCTCAGAAAGGCACTTCAGCTGTATACTTCTGATGTCGAGGCTGTTAATGATAGTGCAGGCCTGTTCAACTCGGGACTCCTTGTTGACACTAAAGCCTTATTCAGGAAGGAGAAGACGGTGTTTATATTTGATCCTCATAGTGGGAATTTGTATTTCAAGAGTTATTATGGGGAGAGTAAGAAGATTAGACAGACAAGGTTGTTAGTAGCTAGGGACGTGTTTCTGATGGGGGAGGAGCTTAACAAAAGAAATGTTGTTGTGTCTGAAAGTATGATAAATGCAATGGAGAACCTCATTATAGACCACCCATCCATATGTGTCAAGACATGCCCATCAATACCATTATTTTCTAATGTGGCAAAGATCAAGGAGATTGGTATGGAAAAGAATGTCCGGAGTATTAATCTGTATGAAGGGTGGAAAGAAACGGGTAGATTCACAAACTTCTGTAGGGTTCTTCTAGTGATGCATGGAATGGATGTTGATGAAGCAAAGGTTAAGGATCTTGGAATCAATAGTATATGGCCTGAGATCAGTGATGACGAGTGGATAAAGAAGGAAATCCAGCTAAAGGATCTCATAGTTGACAAGTATTGCAGCATCCATGAGATGGAGCCCTCGAGTCTATCTCAGAATGAGATAAGAGATATAGTGTTTGGGTTCCAGGTGAGTGAAGGCGGAGGAGCGGATGAAGGGGTCATAGATGCAAGAGTCAAGAGCAAGAAGGCATTTAAGGGGTATGGGAATGTGTCTTTCATAGGAAATGACGGATGGAGAAAGAGATACATGACGTTAGACAGAATGGTCAAGAGTGGAGAGCTACAAAGGTGGATTTCGGATACTGTAAAAGAAGGATCTTACAAAACAAAGGCTGTGGATGGATGTGAAGTTAAAGAAGAAGCTCTAAAAATCCCGTTAAATTTGATTAGAGGATTCATGGAGTTGGTAGATCCTCATGCCTTGGCCTTTGGGCTGGTGATTGAAGGAAACCCCATTTCGATTGGACTAGTTCCTCAATTTACGTCGTTGTCGGAGATCCATTCTTCGTTGTTTGTTCCATCTGCTAATATTATCGGAATAGTGATGAACGGAAACGACCTAGCGATTGTAGACATTTTATGCGAAAGATACAAGATAATAGAGGGGATGGCAATACTGATAAGTAACAAGATCAAGGTGATGAAAAGAGATGAACGAGATTGGAATGAAGTAGAATTTGCGTTGAGTATGGACATAGGGGTTTTTTACACACCTGGGATGTGGAATTACAGTTTTGCAAGGCCTTTTTATGACGATAGATTGGAGTATGTGTGGAAGGTGGGGGCACCACACAGATTCTATGATGGGACTTGTAGAGTTGGACACTTCTCTGAGTTCTGGAAGGAGCAGGGAGTCGAGGAAGAACCACAAGAGAACTAAAGAAATATCTTTAGTTTGAAACTTGAATAAAATTGTTTGGGTGTATCCCTGGAGATGATTGACATTAACCTTATTAGAGACCCGAAGACTCGTGAAGAGGTTGTTGAAAGTGAGAAGAAGCGATTCCGAGACGGAACGGCTGTTGGAAAGGCCTATGAACTGGATAGAAAGAGGATAGAAACGGCGTTTAAGCTTGACCAGATCAACGCTCGAGTTAATCAGCTGAACCGAGAAGTAAAGTCTGGGTATAAGCAAGGAAAGAAGAAGGAGGATGAGGAGCTAGCCAAGAAGATTGACGAGATAAAAAACCTTTATGATGAGGCAAAGAATCTTAAGGAAGATTCTGGGAGAATCGAAGAAGAGTTGAATAAGGTTATGAAGGGGATAGGAAACATTATTTCTGAGGAGGTTGTGGTTAGCAACGATGAGAAGGATAACTTGATCGTAAGATCCTACAGAAGTGGGAGAAGTATACAGAGGAATCCTCAGCCTTTTTCTATGCTGATGAAAGATTTCACGCATTCGACTGCAGGAGCAAAAGTGATAGGGCATAGAGGATACTATCTATCTGGTAAGATGGCCCGACTGGCTCAAGCCCTTACAAGATATGCTATTGACTTTCTTGAAAACAAAGGCTACACTTACATCCAAACACCTGTGATGCTCAGGAGAGATGTAATGGCAAAAACATCACAGCTGAGTGATTTTGACGACCAGCTCTACAAGGTCGAGGATGACTTGTATCTAATAGCAACGTCTGAGCAGGCCCTTGCTGCATTGTATATGGATGAAAGAATGATTCCCCAGGAGGTTCCGAAAAAGCTCTGTGGGCAGTCTCTTTGCTTCAGGAAGGAGGCTGGAGCACATGGAAAGGATAATGCAGGGCTATTCAGGGTTCACCAGTTTGAAAAGATTGAACAGTTTGTGATATGTGAGCCTTCTGAGTCCCGAAAGCACCATGAGGAAATGATAAGAGTATGTGAGGAATTTTATCAGTCATTAGACATAAGCTATAACGTTGTGAGTATTGTATCTGGAGAGCTCAATGATGCAGCAGCCATAAAGTATGACCTTGAAGCGTATTTCCCAAATGCAGATAAGTACAGAGAATTGGTTTCTTGCTCGAATTGTACAGACTATCAGTCAAGAGAGCTTGAGATAAGGTATGGTGTAGTTAAGGAGAACAATCGTAAGGTTTATGTCCACCTACTGAATGGAACCATGTGTGCCATCCAAAGAGCATTGTGCTGCATTGTGGAAAACTATCAAAAGGAAAATGGAGTTGGTATCCCAGATGTCTTGCAAGGATACTTTGGTGCAGACTTTATTGAACTAAGCTCTTAAAGTCAAATATGGTTCCGGTGCCCGCTCTTCTGAAACCAAATTTTTTCACCCCAATAAGGTGAATGGCAACAGCATCTGAAAAGACCACAAGGAAATTTACTGTTGACTGCACAAAGCCTGCATCAGACAGCCTAATCTCCCCCTCAGACCTGGGGGCATTTCTTCAGCAGAAGATCAAATGCAATATGGGGAAGAAGGAAAAGCTCCTCCAGATAAATGTGAATGGAAACATTGTTGAGATAAGTGTTACCGGAGGATTCATAAGCAAGCAGGGGCTGAAATGGCAGACAGGGAGGTTTTTGCATATGAAAAAGCTCAGAGCTTTTATCAAGATTTTTGCACAAGGCCCAGATGGGTTTGAGCTCGGATACATTAATGTCGAAGAGGGCAAGGAAGAATAAAGTCGAGTTTTTTCTAAACTATTTGGTGTTCTCAGGTCTTTGGCTGAAAGGTATTAAACCCCTATGAATGTTTTATTTACAGAAGACTTTAATGGAGAGATATACAAGATTCTGAGGGAATACTGTGGAAAGAACCTGGCATTGATGATTTCCGGAGGATCGTTGCTCCAATGCCTTGATGATAAAAGATACACAGATTTGGATACCTCGAGATGGAAGATATTCTATTCAGATGAAAGGGAGGACCAGAATTACTTGAACTACACAGCATCAATGGGATTCATCAGTAAAACCAATGGGAAAGTGTATAAAATATGCACATCGAGGCCATTAGAAGAAGCCGCCAGGATGTATTCCACGGAACTGACAGATATCGATGTATGTCTTCTTGGAATAGGTGGAGATGGCCACATATGCTCTCTTCCTCCTGGATGCAAGGAGCTAGACTCCGATGACTATGTGGTAGCTTTGGAAGGAAACTTTCCCGTTTCTCCAAAAAGGGTGAGTATCACACCTAGGTTTATTAATAAGAAGATTAAGAAGTTATACTTCGTGGTTCCAAACAGCAAGAAAAAAGGGGTCCACAGTCCAGACAAAAGTATAACCCAGAGGATTACAAGAGGCTTTTCAGTAATCTTAGAGAAGTAAGGGATATCGTCTTATGTCCAGGAAATAAATGAATTGTTTATTAGATCAAATCACCTACAAAATAACAATCCATAGCACATTCCAACTGTCCATCCCAAGGAAATAAATTCGGCGATACAGTGAGTCAAGTAGAACCAGGTGTGGTTCCTATAGATGTAGATGTTCAGATTGGGAGATAGATTCTTAGTCTTGTCTTGATCATATGTATAAAGAACTATCATGTCGGCAAAGGTCAGAAATAACATTAAAATCATGTGTACCCACAGAAAGGCATTATTATCTTTCTTATCACTCCTCTTGAATGTCAAGGCCAGGAGAATTAGCTTGACCATCAATGGAAGCAACAATATGGGAGTACACATTACCCCACTTTTGAAAGCATAAAAGTTCACCCATGGATCATTTGGATTGTATTCCATTTTCAGAATGCCAGGAAAGTTGTGAATCTTATGCACAGCAGGATTGACAAAAATATGCTCGATCATATCAGACATACCTATCTCTAACACTTGATATACAAAAAACGCCATGACTGTTATGCATGGGATATACATAAAAATCGTAGGGGATTCCCGTTGGATTAATTATATAGATATATGAGTAATGATTTGAAGGTTATAAATTTGTATATTTTCATTCAAATTTGAGAGATTGTGATGTATACTTATGCTTCGTCATAACAACAAGATGGTTACCTAATCTCAATAAAATATGGGCACAATTGATAGAATAGATAACATTTTAATATAACTTCAAGTGGCCTGAGATGGGTGAGAGATTGGATCTCAATGCAGGACCAAGTATAAGGACTGTGTTTGCTCCTGGAGGGACCTGAGTTCTCCCAGCATCACACACCTTGTGATAGTATATGCCGTTCTTCTTGGCCAGCCTTATTATTTCTTGAATCTCATTCCCAGATGCCTTCAGCACTATCTTTGCCTCCCCATTTCTTTTCCACTCGTGAAGTAACTCTTCATTCCTAAACAAGTAGTACATCACACAAGACATCCCGTGGCAGATCTGGGAAATGACTTTGCCCTTGGACATAGAGTAATCCATGTTGATTATAATGTTCATTCCATACTCTCCTTTCTCAATAGGCTTCCTGGCCTTCCAGCACCCAACTCTCTTTATCTTCACTATATAGAGAATCAGAAGGAAGCAAGCCATCTTCCAGAAATTGTTGGCCATCACCATCGGAACCCCCATTTGAGGGTAGGAAGAGGAAAATTCTCTATAATGACTTTATTTAATTACACAGCAAGCAAGAGGTAATTCCTACAAATAGGATTTGATAGGAAATTATTATTAAAGACATTAATTCGGAACATCATATCCTTGGGAGAACTTATCTATTTTGCTTTTACAAAGGCTGTCAGTACATCCTGTCTTACTAGACTTACACTCTTGCCCCGAACATTTGCTAGAATACAGTACAATTCCTTGCCTCTTCCTTCCAGATTGAAGACTTTTATCCACATACTCCTCGAAGTCATTGCCCCAGCTGTCAAGAACATTATTCACTACAGTGTCCAGTGGATACTGGACTTTTGCTCCATGCATTCCCACCATCAATAGGAACCACCTTTTCATTGATCCTCGGAAGCCTATACTCCTTTTATCTGTTTTCTGAGGATGTGTTTAGGAATAAAAATGGTAGTTGGTGCTTTGGCAGCATATGAAACTGCATTAGATTAAACATTTACTTTCTTTGATAGTAAATCTTTACTGGTAATTACATATGAAAATTGAGCAACTAGTATCGTTTATTTGATCTAAATTTGTTTCTTTTATACAAATCTCTATAGTCAAGGCTGTCCATGGCCACATATCCTTTTGGGTCGCATAGCCCAGGATACTTGCTGTAAAACTTCCTATATCCACCCTCCATCACATACACTTCAGGAATGGTCAGAAGCGGATATGGGTTCTTCATTCTATCCATGTTCCGGAGGTGCTGTGCAAGCCTTGGCGCCCTGATGGATGAAAACTCACAATGGAAGATCAAGGCCTTTGGCTTCCTGAAGAGAAGGCCTAGCTCCCTGGTAGAGCTTATGTTTACTGCATTCATTATGTGTCCTCCTTGATATTCATATGGGAACCTACAGTCGATGACCAGGTAGTCGATGTTATACATTCCTTCAATAACCTGCTTGGTAACATCGACAGAAATCCTCTGGATACTATCGCTTTTTCCAGGTCCAAGTGTAGGAAGTGAGAACACCTCACCATTGCTGAAGTCCTTCCAGAAATCAATAAGATGCCTTCTCACAATGGGTGCAGAAGAAACTCTATTTTGATTCTGAGTCGCATGCAGAGACGTCCACATCCCCTTCTCTCTGAACTTTCCTTTCTTTACAAACAGTCCTGGACGTCCCATTTCAATCGAATCAAAAGCATCAATATCAACAAAAGGATCATTTGCAGGAGCCTCAAGCTCGATGTTATCACTGGAAGACCAAAGCATTTCATAGAAAGGCTTGATGTGCATCTGGTCTACTGCCGTAGGGTACTGATCGTTGTCGCTTGAAGTGAAGGCCGAGCTATTTGTCATAGTAGATAGATCCCTGAGGGTGTGCTTGGTAAAAGCTGAATATTATAAAAAGTCATTTGCAGAATTTAAATTAATGAAAACCAATCATATGCAAATAACCACCTGGGCTGGTTGGTTTCTGTGCAGTAGATGGCTCTGGTGTGCTTTCTAAACTTTCATGCACATGGCGTTCAGCTGTTGCTGTGGCTTGGAAAAACCTGGATTTGAAACATGAAGATGAAACAGAAAAAATATTTGAACCCTGAAGAGACAAGAGATGATCGAGGGCTATCTTGAAAGGCTGTTCAAATGTAATTTATTGACAGAGGCTGAAGTAAGGCACTTGTGTGATACAGCAACTGAAATGCTGATGAAAGAGGAGAATGTTGTCAATGTCAAGGCACCTGTGACTATATGTGGAGATGTTCATGGACAGTTTTATGACTTGATGGAATTGTTCAAGGTCGGCGGTCTTCCACCCTACACAAACTATCTATTCATGGGGGATTATGTAGACAGGGGGTATCATTCAGTTGAAACCATTTCGATTTTACTATGTTTAAAGGTAAAGTATCCTGATAGAGTATGGCTGTTGAGAGGAAACCACGAGAGTAGGCAGATAACTCAGGTTTATGGATTTTATGACGAATGTGTCAGGAAATACGGAACCTCTCTTGTATGGAGATACTTCACTGATCTTTTTGATTACTTACCTGTTGCTGCTGTTGTCGGAAATGATACATTCTGCTGCCATGGAGGGTTAAGCCCATCGTTTGACACATTAGATCAGCTGAAGGCTATTGACAGGAAGGTCGAGATTCCCCATGAGGGCCCCATGTGTGACCTTCTCTGGTCTGATCCCGATGAGAAGCTTGGATGGGGCCCTTCTCCTAGAGGAGCAGGATTTACTTTTGGCAAGGATATAACAGATTCCTTCAATGAAAGAAACGGATTGAAGATGATATGCAGGGCTCATCAGCTTGTGATGAATGGGTACAACTGGAGCCATGAGAAGGGGTGTGTCACAATATTCAGTGCACCAAACTATTGCTATAGATGTGGAAACTTAGCCACACTCATGGAAATGGATGAGTATGGAACATACAGTTTCACACAGTTTGAGCCTTCACCTACAAAGATCGAAACCCTTGTCTCTACCAAAATCCCAGACTACTTCCTGTGAGACCACATCTGTGTGTTATTGATATAAAATTTTATTAGATCTTTAATTTTTCTGGTTATTATGTTTCATTTCTTATGACTAGCTCTTGGTAACGTCTCTCTATTGCTAACCTCACCGAAGTTGAAAAAGAAGGTCTTTCAACAGAAATGCTGAACTCTCCGATCCTTAGTTTGTAGGTGTTCTCTTCAACAACTATACTTTCGAGATTCACATCAAGGATACTGATGGAATCAGACACTAGTAGTCTTTCGGTAGTCAGAATGAGCTGGCATCTTCCATTAAAGTCTCCAAATGTCCCGTCAATAAATCTTTCCTTTTCATGGGTCTTTTTGACAACAGCTGTGAATATATAAAACCCTTGATTCAAGCCTTCATCATGCCAGCCTGAAAACCTAGTGGGCCTTGGATATTGAATTCTTTTGATCTTGCCATTCATCGATGTCTTTATAACATCGGAAATGTCGGTTATAAGATCTGCAACTTCTGCAATGGGCCTAGTAAAGGCACCAAGGAGCCCTTTGCCCAGCCCTTTCACAACACCTGCAACTCCTTGTGAAGCCCCTTCAACAGGTGATATTGCTATTCCTGCCATTCCACGTGTTATGGAATCAAAGAAGTTCCCCGTCCCTTTGAGTATAGCTCTCATAGAACCTTTGGAGTTCCGAGTCTTAGGCACAAGAAGGCATGCGTCATATGAATAAGGATGATGAACCTTTGCATGTTTAAGATTTACATCACATCCCACAAATCTGGCACCTGTTCCTATACTTTTCGAGAACTTCCCAACAGTATTAGAAACACCATAGATAGTGTTCTTCAAGAAACTTTTCCCTCCTTTCACAATTCCATGTGTAACACTGGTATCTAGGGTGGGTTCGGTGAGAAGATCCTTGATCCCCATAGACACTGATTCAGTAAAGCTTCCTATGTTCCCAATAAGGTCGAGATGTGTAATAACTTTGTAAAGATTCTTTTTGAGCTGAGTCATGTAGAAAATGGTCAGAACATCCTTAAGCTCCTCAAAAGTGGTGTACAAGCAACTCTCCTTCATTCCATCTATTTCCAAAGAAAAGTCGCTGATATTGTTTATGAGAAGCCCCATAACATTAGAGATAAAGTCAGACTCCACGTCCTTGAGGAAATTGACTTTTGCTCTTATTCTTTCCATCTTTAGATTCTGGATCCTTATGTTTCCTTCCTGCCCTTTCACCCTGTCCTCTCCTTGTGCAAGCATCTTGCTAACATTCATGGCCAGGCTTTCCTCAATGTTCAATGCAAAGTCCTGTATTCTGCAATACAAATTCGACACTGAAACATGATGAGCTGAGCTTCCAACAGTAAGCTCAAACACAAGGAATTTATCATCACTTTTTCTCTTAGATCCCATTCTAAGGCTCTTATCGAGAGGATGGAGGATAACAGGAAACACACAAAATACATTCTGATTATCCACCTGTATGCTTTCAACAATGGCTCCAACCGTCCACTCTACATATTTCATACTCGATCCCCCTCTAGGCATCTCTATCTCTCTTAAAACACGCTCCAACGTGATCTCCATCCCTTTTAGGTGTCCGCAAACAACCTCATCTCCTTCCCTATCCACTAACGACATGGCCAAACCATCAACCACTATTTTCAGATAATCCCTAGTCTCATTACCAAGCATATCTCTTTTGGAAACCCGAACAATTCTTGTGGTGCCAGATTGGGCTATAGACACGATGATTCCAGATGTGAACAAAACCCCGTCCTTGTTCAAGTCCAGTTGAATCTTCTTATCTTCAATGCATAACAATATCACCGGATCAAGTACAAGACTGTCTAATACGTACTTATACACAGAATCCCTTAGCACGTCATGTTCGACAGTGTCATGGTTTTGTGTGAATTTCAGGTCTATGTCTGTATCATTGCATAACATATATGGCCAGTTCGTTTCTGTTCTTATGCTAAATACATACTGCCCAAAGCTTCTGGACTTGTTTACACTGAGTAGAACAGTCTCGGACCCTTGCAATTTGAAGTACTCTGTCGTTTTGATGTCTAACGGGATGAACGCTCCAGAAGACCTTAAGGATCTGTTGTCCATGCAATCCGGATCAAACAAGTAGAATCCATTTGTAGATGTATTGAAGATCACCTCTTCACAGGGCTCCACATAATAGCACACCTGTTCAGACACTGCTAGAAGTCTCATCTGAGTTTGGTTTTTTATCAAATGAGCATGTCTGAGCTCAATTGTTCTTCTCCCTGATTCTTCTTTGAACCCAAGAAGAAGGCGGATTGTCCTAGGGTAAACACCTATTCTTGGTCCAAGTCCTCCGAATATGGCCTCATTTGTCCACACAAGTCCCTCATGGATACTTTTAGGCTTCTGAATCCCATTACTCTTTCTTTCCAAGGCAATGGTTCGGACGAATTTCTTCCTAACGGTTATATGCACATCAGTACTATATTCTCCAGCACACAGCTTGTAGATAACTTTTATCTCGTCGCTGCATGAGGTTCCTGGGCAAAACTTGGTCCCATTAATGTAAACTTCATTCCCAAGATGATTTTCAACCACTATAAATGGCCAGATACCCATTCGAATCCTGTGTATAAGAGTATGCTTTCCAAAGAAAGTATCTATCTCACACTTCTCCTTTCTTATCTCTCCAGAATGTCCTGGCTCAATCAAGATAGATGGCTTGCTATGAAATATCCTGGCTTTGGATTGATTCCCGAGGTTCTGTATCCAAACCAATGGAATCTCAGAGAAGTCGATGTCATATACATCTTCTCTACAATCCTTTCCAATAAAAAATGGAATGTTCTTTCTCAAAACTCCTCCTTCGTCCACATATCCATCATCTTTGCCAACAGAAAACATTAGGTTCAGCGTGGATGTTGTTCTGTTCATCACTTCAAAGGTCGGATAAACAATTATCAGAATTGAAGACGTTCCAGAGGCATCCCTTATGATTATGTCAACCCCCACCACCATCCAGTCTAGCCTGCACACCGTTCCAAAAATCCTGCTTCCATCCCTTCCAATAGTATTTGCATCTATCTTCACAACACCAGAATACTTTCCGTATGCTCCTATCTCCAAGAAGAAGCCCTCTTCTTGCGGAATTGTATAATAAAGGCCGGGAGGCATTGCTACTTCTTCAATGGTTCCATCCAAACAGTGCATTCTTCCCATTATCTCCATCTTGCATAGGTTGAGAAACGATAACTTGTACGTAATTGTCATGATCCTTGACTTCCCGTTCCACAGCACATCAATCACAAAGGTCTTCCCTTCAGATACAAACAAAGATGTCCAGGTGTCTACAATGCAGATCGAAGCACCCGCCTCTCCTTCTCCGATACAAGTGTCATGTTCATCATAACCTATGGCAAAATCAGACTCCTCGTTTTTGATTCTTTTGACTTGCTTTTTAGTCTTAACCCACAGTGGTGTACAGGTTATGTTTCTTACATTGATTTTACAATAAAGTGGTTCTCTCTTAGACATTAGCCCATTCCTTTTGCTGCCAAAAAGACCAACAATTGCATTTGTAATTCCATGTAAATACAATATTCTTAGCTTTGAAAGTGCTCTGATGTCTAGGAGGGATCCACACTTCTTTACAACAAAGACATTCTCTTCAACAAAAGGAACGAATTCCATGGAATTCGGGTTGTAGACAGCAGATGAACAGAGGATCCTTCCTCTGAGTGAATGTAACTCCTGGATGTCAAAGTATCCAACAGGAAGATTGATTCTAAGAAGGGATGTGGAATCATCCACCATTACCGTAAGATCCATAACCAATACATGGAACCGTTCTTTTGACATCTGGATCCCGAACTTCTTGCATATCTTCATATATTCAGAGGAGCAGAAGGAGACAGTGGTGATCAAGGAATTCGCCTCATACCATCCACCTACCATAGATAGAAAAAAGCTCTCGGCCCCATTGCTATTCACTTTTTTATATGTCACTTTGCTTCCAGGCTCATTCGAAATAGAAAGATCCAAGGTTAGCTCTTCATTGTACTTTACATTTCTTATTCTTATTTCGGCCATTTCTTTGTTACTTATACATACTTCATCTATACGGACTTCTGTGCTTTCTGTGCAACTTACACCGTTTCCAGTGCTCAAGAGAGGATGAAGTGTTGAGGCAAACCTGAAAGGCTCAAGACACATCTCTATTCTACTTATAAAGAGTTCAGTAGCCCCTTCTCCATTCTTGGCATTAATCCCAAATAAACTTATATGCTCTCCATCATCAGACACAACAGATAATTCTTTCATGGATACTTCCCACCAATCCGTCTTTTTGAAGAGAATTAGCGGGCACTCTATCTTGAGATATCTCTCAGAAAACACCACTCCAAGAGATATGTCAAATAAAATACTACTCCTTTCCTCAGATGTACCTGATGGCATTGAAACCCCCTCTAGCTGATCTTTCATCTTGATGAGAACTCTTTCATCAATCTCTCCCCTAACACTCCCCTCAATAGTAGTTCCATCACAGGACTTTTCAAATCTGTTGATGCCTATCTTCATGGATTTCTTCCTATCAAATGATAGACCCAAAATGCCACTCATGTCCGTGTCAGATATTGAGATCTCAAAAGGACATACGGCCCCTATCACTTCATCTTTGAAAATCCGGAAGTCCTTCACTTCCATCTCCAACCCCTCTACCAGTCTGATCAGGAGTGCCCCTATAGTAGCTTTAAAGGTACTCACATCATTTCCCATTCTTCCAAGTATCCTTTCAAATGCCTTTAAGCTCTTGACATCCTCCTTGTTTATCACTACCATCGCAGACTTGCATTTGTACTCCTCTCCAACCTCAAGATCTTCTATATCAGCCATACTTTCGTCCAGGCTCATATTCACACTTCTAGCCAAACCCTCAAAATATTCACTCACACTAATATTCAAGGTCTTTCCTTTACATTTTATCGCCCCTTCTACCTTCCCAACCTTGAAAATAACTTGTGTAGACACTTCACTCTTTGGCATCCTTGGCATTCCGTGCACAAATCTGCTGATTCTTCTAGCCATGCCGCATATCCTTAGGTATTTGATATCCAAAAGCAGAACCTTTCCAATCCTGGCCTCAGCCTTCATCCTAGGAATACGGCACACGGTTCTTCCTGCCTCATTCAATATCTTTCCTCTAAAGATCTCTATATCAAATATGGTTCCCCCGTTTCCAGACATCCTGATCCTTCGGAGCTCGACCATTCCCTTCGGTCCGTTGATCCTTATGGCATCAGAACATACTTCGAAGTTTGGAACAACAAACCCGACAGGAAACACTACTCCGTTCCCTTCGAAACCATTCGGACATACTCCATGTGCATAGAGATCCACCATTGATGTTTTCACATAGAACACATTGTCAACAAGCAGAACAGATGTCTCAATTCTGTTTGAGAGAGCCTCTTTTTCTCTAGACACGGGGTTAATCCAATAAACAGAAGAAGATGATACAGTTAGTGATGCTGCCTTCTTAATGCTTATTCCGTCATTCACATACGAAAAAACCATTCCTCCACATTCAATGCCATATCTGTTTGATGGCTCGATCCCAACAAATCTTTCTAGATCAGACTCAAGGCCAATCATATCCACCTTGAGATCAATCCTTGTCTTACCTTTAGATCCCGATGATTGGTATGAGGGAACCCATGACTCCCTTACAACCTTCATAAGGTTCTCGAAACAATGAGGAAGTTCTCTTCTATAATTCAATACTCTCAACTCCCTAGCTATTCCTTTGGCATACATATTGGGTCCATCATGGGTAAGAGTCCCCCTTACATCCAGTAAGAAGGAAATCAACTCGTTGTGGGGCTCATATTCATTGCGCCTGGCATCAATGAAGTACAGCTTCCACTCATTTCCCTTGAAGTCGATTTTAAATGGTGAAAGTAAATTCTTTGTACTAACTCTTCCTTTGGGAATGACCATCTTGAATCCTTGGTGTTTCTCATCAGTAACCATCATACTTACCTCCCCTACATTGAATGAAGCCGGGATCCCTACCGATTCTCTTTTCTTACTACTCCCTTCTCTTATAAATGACAGAAGGTTCTTCCATGATTTCCTCTCAGAATCTCTGCAATGACTTCTTTTTATCTTCAATAGTCTCTCAAACTGTATCTCTTTCTCATATCTCTTCTTCCTTTCCACCTCACTAGGAGACAGCTTCGAAACCTTCAGAATTTCCCTGTACTCGTTTACCTTTATCACTATCTTACTTACATCCTCCAACAAAACACCTTTTGATTCAATGGCCTTCTTTTGTAGCTTGATAAGCCGCCTCCATATCTCTATCACTCCACTCCTTTCAGAGTTTGCTGGGTCTTTCTGGTCTTCCCATAAGTTCATTTCCCTAGCCGCTTTCATTATCTGTCTGTATTCCAAGTAATTTCTGAACAGCGTCCACCGTACTCTATCTTCAATGTATTCTCTACTACCTCTTAGGATCTTTTCAACCACTTGTTGCTTCATCTCTACATGAAAACCATCTAGATTCACCTCAATCTTCGGTTTCATATCTCTAGACGACATCCAAACCTTGCCACAAATATTGAAAGGCCCTGCCACCTTCGATCCTCCAGATACCTCTACTCCATTGATGTTCACCACTTTTCCATTCTTCATCTCCTTTGGGTCTTTTCTACTGAATTCCAGCTTCTGAATCTTAAGGCCGATCGACTCTCCACTCACATATTCCAAATTCACATTTTCAATCAGAATCCTGAATCCATCCTTCATAATCAAGTCCTCAAAAACTACAGGGCTCTCCTCTCGAGCATCAGACAGGACACTGAGCTTATCAAGCTTACTCATAAACTCATATTTCTCATACTTAACGCATTCTATGCAGGGCTTCTCATCAAGAAAGCACCAGCAGAACCCAGCTTTTCCGAGCTTGATATCAATGTCCTTTATGTATATCTCAATAGGCTTCCTAGAAAAGCTCTTCCATGGTACAAGAACTCGAAGAGTCCCTATACAGTTCGAAATAACCCTCCCTTCAAACAATCTTGAGATGACAGAAGACTTGATTCTTAGGTTGGATACAGACACATATCCCTTGAATATCCCAAGCTCAAGCTGGTGCTTATCTATGTTCTCTACATAACTTCCAAGAAATTTGTTCAGTGTTTTCAGAAGGATCTTCTTGAGCATCGGGGACCCAAACAAACTCTGCATTTATCCTTTACTGATGATAGATGGCGGAATGTTTTGGATGTGGTTTTAGATATCTTGATATTATAAATCCTAGATGTTTATTTGGCATGCCTGGAGTCACAAAGGGAGAGAATTTTGATTACCTATTCAAAATAGTTCTGATAGGAGACTCGGCTGTCGGAAAGACAAATCTTTTGGCGAAACTGACAAGAAATGAGTTCTATAAGGATTCAAAGGCAACAATAGGTGTTGAGTTTGGTACAATCACATTCAAGATAGGCGAAGACATCGTTAAGGCACAAATATGGGATACTGCAGGCCAGGAGCGATACCAGGCAATTGTTCAGGCATATTATAGAGGAACATCTGGTGCCGTCATCGTCTACGACATCACAAACAAGGATAGCCTTAAGAAGGCCACCAGTCTTTGGCTTAAGCAACTCAAAGACTTTTCTCCAAGCGAAATACCGATTGTGCTCATTGGAAACAAGAAGGACTTGGAAGATTACAGAGCAATAGCCACAGAGAAAGGGAAGGAGGAAGCAGTTGCAAACGAGCTGTCGTTCTTTGAAACCTCTGCATTGACTGGAGAAAACGTCCGGGAGGCATTTTTTGAGCTTGCCAAGACGATTCATAAGAAGATGAAAGCCCCAAAAGCTTCTGCAGGAAAGCGACGTCTCAAGAGTGTTGAGTTCAAGAAAGAGAACCTGAAGGAAGTGAAACCCAACCCCAAGAGAGGTTGTTGCTAGGGTTGAACCTCTTCAATATCTGAAAGTATAAAACTGCAAAAAGTGGGATGGATACGTTATCATTAATTGGAATAAGATACTCTGTAATCCCTATGAATACGAAGAATGGCACCATATCGATCTTTCTGTAGAGAGTGAAATAAACCATCGTTCCTGACACTGTACCTCCTATTGAACCCTGAATAGACTTCTCCGTCTTCCCTAGCCATTCCCCAATGATCGAGGCCATAGAGTCCTGGAAACAGATCGAAACCAAAACAGAGACATATTCCACATGTCTTATGAACAGTCTTGGATATATGCAAGCAGATAGAAGATATATATGGGATAGTACAGTTCTTCCCTTGTCATTCTTGCTAAGGTAGGGCTTGAATAAAGAATTAACATACTTGCATGACGATAAGAGGCCCAGAACGAGGAGGAGTCCTTCTCCGAGTACTAGTGACATCCTATATTCTTTGTAGAACACTAGGAATGCAAAGAAATGGAAGGTCTTTCTCTTGAGATTTGTCCAGGATGACCTGAATAGGAAGGTCTGCATTAAGAGACAGCCCAATGAAATGCACACGACCTCGATGAAAGCATAAGGCTCCTGTTTCATCTCATCTATGGTTCGAAAAATGTATTCGGGGATGTTAACTATTTGCAGACATTCAGATATCTTTGCAAGTAGCGGTTTACAGGGATCAGAGAAAATCGCATATCTTACTCCTAGGAGTGGAGATCTTATTTGTATCTTTTGTTCTATACATTTGAGTATTACTGCGGTTATCCATCTTTCTGGAACCTGTGAAGTGCTTCTGCATGTTTCTAATGAAGCTGTTTCTACTACAAGGTCGACAATATCTAATAGAATGATGTATGATAAGCTACTTCTCATAGAACTTAAGGGAAGGAGAAATAGATATTAGAGCAATCTTTAGGGATGATGAAACAGAATATAAACAAAAGGATGTTTGGATCTTATCTTCTTTATTATGCTTTTCCACTTCTTACAGGCATCTTTGTACAACAATACACATGAAACTATTCACAATGCTTTCTATCCTTCTGGTAGGATTCTGGAAAGTGGAACTGCCTCTAGCATTGATGCATTCCAAGAGTATGACCTAAACCTTATTGATAGGGTACGTCTTATGGAACTTGTTGAGATGGCCTCAAACACATATCACAGCCATGATTTAGACACCATACTGGACAAATTTGGATATGATGGAGATGGAGTAAGAGCAAAGGCCTTCAGATACAACGGAAGGGTAGCCATTGCATTCAAGGGAACAACACTCTCGGTGATGGGGGTGGGAATAGGAAGAACCTCTAAGAAAGACAAGCTTCTAGACAGGATCCTATACTCCATATGTAAAGACAAAGGATGTGAGGAAGAAAAGATTAGGGAATTTGATAGCATCGGATACTTCAGTGATGGTTTGAAGATAGTCGATTATGTCAAAAGAACATATCATGAAGATAAACCAATTCTTATTGGGCATTCTCTTGGAGGGACAATTGCATCACTACTTGGAATTAGATACAATCTCTCTGCAGTTGCCTTTTCTTCTCCTGGAGATGCACACATAGCAAGCATTCTTGGGTTCTATGATACAAAAAGAGATCATAGCAATATTCTACACATTGGGATGTGCAATGATGTTGTATTCCGTGGAGAATGCAGTAAGCCATACAGTCCTTGCAATATTCTTGGATATGCTATAGAAACAAGATGCCATGTTGGAAGATCTTTGTGTATAAAAGATGGAGAGTGGAACAGTCTGATTTATCATCCAATAGATGTGATGAGGGCAAAGATCATGATGCCGGAGGAATTAATACTAGTTGAAGATAATACGAGAACAAATTGTGTTTACTAGGCTTTCATACTCTTCATGGCCTTGCTATTCTATCTCCATCCCCAATTCCTCATGAACATCTTTTGCTGTTGTTTGCCTTAGATTAGCTATTTTGCCAATAAGCTCTTGTCCTATGTCCTTGATTTCGTTGTAACTGTTCAGAAGAAATATGAATCTCTTAATCTCTTTGTCTATGTCTTTTATATCCAAATATTCAGCTAACTCGTGGTTGACTTTCTTCCATAGCTCGGTCTCAACAGTCTTGCCATCCTTGGAAAGATAATAGAAACCATCCTTAACCTCGTCAATGAAATTCCGTTCAACAAGGAAATCAAAGTTCACTATCTTACTCTTGTGTATCACCTCTTCCTTTTCCCAATCATTCAACAACTTCATTAGGCCCCTGTTGCTTATCGATTTGTGGAAGAGATATTATAGCTAAATACAACAATAGGGTGTTCAAGGTACGCAATAAAGCTTTATTAGATACTCTCAAGAAGCTTGAATGAGCCTGGAAGGGCTTTCTTGACATACCCCAAGACCACAGATGATTTTGTCTTGGAAAGAGGCCTGGTTTCTCCACACATAACGACATCTCCAACATTGATCATCCCTTCAAAGCAAGGAGACATATGGACAGAAAAGTTGGTATGCCTTCTTGAGTACCTCTTATACTTCTTACTGTAATGAACATAGTTAACAACAACAACAATAGTCTTCTCAGCCTTCATCTTCTTGACAACCCCCTTGAAAATCCTTCCTCTAACATTAACATCACCTGTGAATGGGCACTTTTTATCAATGTATTGACGAGTGTAAGCTGTTTCCGGCGCCTTGAACCCACAGACCTCCTCGCGAACCTTTCTTGCAGGCTTCTCGTCCTCCGACGCATATGGCTTGGCATAAACACCTGTCTGCCTCGGGTAAACCTTTAGCTTCTTTGTTTCCTCCATTCAGGGTGAAAATTTTGGCAAATATTTCTTAAAGCCATCTCTAACCATGAACGGCCGAGCCTCGATGTTTATACCTGCGTGCACAAGCAGGAGGTTTCATGTGCCGCACTAGTCAAATACTCTTGCATTGTGAATCCGAAACTATATAAACCATTAGGATTTCAAACCCAAGAAAACAATATGGCAAACAAGGGAGGCTTTTCAAAAGGACTTCTTCTCAAGGACTACAAAAGAATCCAGGAGAATCCTAACGAGTATTACAGTGTTGGGCTGGTTGATGGAGACATATATACATGGGAGGTCTTAATCTTTGGGCCACGAGCGACGCCATATGAAAACGGGATTTTCAAGGGGCGAATGGTGTTCCCTATTGATTATCCAGGCTCTCCTCCAAAGTTTCGGTTCTGCTCGAAGATGTGGCACCCAAATATAGATGAAAACGGAAACGTCTGCATATCCATATTGCATAACCCCGGGGAGGACGAGTATGGATATGAGTCCCTTGGTGACAGATGGCTTCCTGTGAGGACGCCAGAGAGTGTGATACTGAGTATAATAACACTTCTCACATCCCCGAACTGTGAAAGCCCTGCCAATGTGGATGCAGCACAGCATTTAAGGGAGAATGAGAAGGAATATAAGAGGAAGGTGATGGAGCTTACTGCAATGACCCTTGATCTTTACGACAAGGAAGGGTGAGACCTTGCAGTAAAGATAGCGAATAAATGTTTTTATTTGACCCAATCTCTCTATTTTCCCTTGATGGGGGATGACTTTGCAAGGAACCCTTCTGGAATGAATTTCAAGAATGAAATGAAGTCAGTGATTTGTTTGAAGGCACTGGGGACAAGCGATAAGGAAGCCTCTGAGTGTATCCAGAGGGTTAAGGAGTCGATAAGGAAAGTTCCTCGTATTCCATCAGTAATCAAAGTTAAAAAGAGATACACCACATTCAGGATTCTAACAGATACTGGCTATGATCTTCTCATTCTAGTGAATGAAGAGCTTTCGAACGAAGAGAGTGAGCTTATCGATGTAGAGATTGAGCTACTCTATGAGTATTTTACCTACAATGAGGTTCTTAGGAAAGTATTACCCAAAGAAGTTCAAACACCCTCTTCTTTTGAGATCGTTGGGTCTATAGTTCATTTGAACCTAGATGAGGAACAGATAAAGTACAAAGATATAATTGGTCAAGTTGTGTATGATAAGACGGGCAAGACAGTGATAACAAAAACGGGTCAAATATCAAATGAGTATAGGTCATTCGATCTAGAGGTGATAGGAGGAGAGGGCATACTGGAGACTATTCATAAAGAAGGAGATATCCTTTTTTATATTGATTATAAGAATGTATACTGGTGTTCGAAGCTTCAAAATGAAAGGCTGGATCTTGTTCAGAAGCTTAGAGATGGAGATGTCCTATGCGACCCCTTTTGCGGAGTAGGGCCTGTATCTCTGGCTGCATTGAAGAAAGGATGTAAGGTCTACTCAAACGACTTAAATCCACATGCAATTAGCTGCCTGAGGAAATCTATGGAAATCAATAAGCTTGATCCAAGGAATATCGAAGTCTTTAATCTTCCCGCAAGTGAGTTCCTCGAGAAGATAGCTGGGAGAAAGATAGACCATTTTTTCTTAAATCTTCCTGACCATAGCTTAGATTATCTCAGAAAGATCAGTGCCTGGGATGACGACTCTCTAGTCCATTGCTACTTCTTCTGCAGAAACAATGAGGATGTAGGCCAATACATCTTCTCAAGAGTCGGTCTCCGGGTGGATCCTAGTATGGTGAAGATAGTAAGAAAAGTATCCCCATCCAAGTGTATGTACAAGCTTGAGATACCTTGTATTTTTCTCAGAAGTGGGTTTTACTGATATCATCGTCTCTAGGCTATTACGGTCGAGAGGTATTCTATGTCCATTCCCATTTATACAATGAGTTTTAAGATCTACCAATGGAGACATGTTCCCCCTTTGAAAAAAATAAAAAGAAAAATGGAAAAAGGATGTGAATGTATGTAAGGGAAGGAGAGGAGGATTTTGTAAATTCCCAAACACAGGAAAGAACCAATGCACTGAAATTCTTGAAGACATTGATTGTAATGGAGGGATTTCTGAAAGTCCTGAAGATCTTAGTCACCCTTACTGTGCTCTTTCTCACAAGAAATGAAAAGTGTGAAGTTCCCTTGAAGCTCTTTCTGCTGGTATACATGGTGATAACAGTAGCTAAGTTTGGAATATTCATGTCGAAGAATATCCCGTTCTTTAGAATTAATAGAATACCGGAATACAGGGAGAACACAGACATAACCCTGTTTTCCAATTTCATAGAAGCTCTTCTTTTGTTCTGGTATCTCATTGGGTTTAATTGGGTCCAGGAATGCGAGGATTGTAGTACTACAAATCCTCTTCTATACTACACAACGGTCGTGTTCGTCGGGCTCGGGTTTGTAGCCTTCATTGCGCCTCTTATAGCTATTGTTTTACTGCTGTTTCTTATAACATTTGTAAAGCCGAAGCTTCAAGAGGTGATGTATAAAGATCAGAATGATGTTTCCGACGATACTTACCACTGTACAATATGCTTTGATAACTATATTCCTGGAATCAAATTGAAACTTCTCCCCTGTGGGCACCACTTCCACCAGGAATGCATAGATGAGTGGCTAGATCTGAAGGATACCTGCCCTCTTTGTAAGAGAAACATCAATTTACTATACGACTTGATTGACCCACCTGAATACGAGGTTTGATTAGTATTGTTTTGGACTAATTAGTGTATTTTTCCCACCAAGAGAAACTCAGAAAGTTTATATGTGTTGAGATTGTTAAATAAATCCCTAGATAAATAAACCTTACTCCTATAAACCAAACAATATTTATTTCTTGATAGGTACTGTATTCTCCATTAGATATCTGTATCCGATTTTTCCCTTCATAAATGGCTCCAGGGTAGACCTTATTTCTTCATTAATTCTGTTTAAATGGCTCACCTCCTCTTCAGACATCATGGAAGTATCTATAAGCCTAAGGTGATATGGGACAAGTGTCAAGTTAGTTATTTCATAGAACTTACCATCAATATCTTTCAAATATACAAGATTCTCAATCCTTATTCCATATTCCCCTTCTTTATAAAAGCCCGGTTCAATTGAAAATACCTGCCTAGGCTTCAAGAGCTGATCACTTGAATAGGAAATAGTTGGTGGAGACTCATGCACACATAGAAAATGGCCTACTCCATGTCCAGTAGCATGGCCATAATCTTCCATCTCATTCCACAGGTCAATTCTTGATAACGAATCTAAGACTGATGGTTGCATGCTAGACTTGAATCTCATTCTCATCGACCTTAGCTGCCCCTTAAGAACACGAGTATAGCTTTTCTTTTCTTCAGGAGTTGGCTCTCCAAAATGCAGGGTTCGTGTGGTGTCTGTTGTCCCGAACATATATTGTGATCCGCTGTCAATAAGGATAACTTCGTTTCTTGATACAACCCTATCACTTGCCTTGTGATGGACAATCGCTCCATTAGGCCCTCCTCCGACAATCGATTCAAAGCTTGGCTGAACATACCCAGAAAATCTCTTCTTGATCCCATCTAGCCTTTCTTTGATGACCTTCTCAGATATTCCTTTATCGAGACTTAGATCCACCCATTCAAATAACTCTACAAGTGCCATCCCATCAAATATATAAGATAGATGAAATCCCTCAATCTCTACTTCTGCCTTCTGAGACTGAAGTAACCTTATCTTATCGCAATACTCTATGCCCTCAAACAGGTCTTTGACATATGCATTACACTCACCAGAAATAACAATCCTACCTTTAAGCCCTGTTGCATGCCTTACAAAATCGTCGTAGGGATAAATGTCCACATCGTCCATTTTGATATTCTTTTCATTGGTGAACAACTTTGCAGAATCTTTGGACACAATTGCATATGAGTAGAATACAGGGTTGTAAAGGATATCTGATCCTCTCAGATTGAATATCCATGCTATCGTGTCAAGTTCTGTAATCACCAATGTTTGGTCTGGCTCAAGAATCGATCTTATTTCCTTTAGCTTGTCCTTGAATGCTCTTCCAACAACACTGGTATCATCACCACTCAGCTTGTTCCTTAATGCTTCTCTGTACTCAGAATCCTCACATAATTCTATAAGCTCCATTTGGTATCGCCGGAATTTCTCCTCTTCAATACTATATACTTTGTTAAAGGCTCTCAGGGGCCTGTCCTTCCATATAATATCCACCAGGTCGTTTTCAAAAGGTTTCAAAGTTATTCCCCGAGACTCAAGCTTATTCTTTAGATCTTCATACTTTCGAGACCGAATGAACTTCTTGCATATCCCAACCTGCTTGCATTTGCACACCTTCTCAAGATACTCATCTATCCCCTCCTCCTCTTCCATCTTCTTAAGTTTGTATTTCTTGGATTGGTTCATTGCTTGGATATAATATCTTGAGTCGGTGTACAAGGCAGGGTGTGTACAGGTTATAGCTATTCCATTCGATCCAGAGAACCCAGTTAGGAATTTGACCCTTTCATCCCCCTCTCCTATATACTCATTCAAGTGCTCATCAGAAGTAAATGTAAGGTATCCATCCACACCATGCATCTTCATTAATCTCATCATATCCTCCTTGTCTTCTCTCCCCTCCATCATATGATCACTCAAGTTAATATTTGCATCCGAAGCTCCAATCAATACCATAAAAGAAATTCTTAGAGCCTTTGTAAGGGCTTCTTCACATTTCATTATTTACAGGGGCTAAAAATCAAATAAAACACCTTTATTCAGGCTTCATCGTGGGGAAGAAAATCACATCTCGAATGTTTGCTGCATTGGTCAAATACATTATAAGCCTATCAATCCCCAGTCCCCATCCTGCAGTAGGTGGAAGACCGTACTCAAGAGCTGTGCAGAAATCTTCATCGTTCATCATCGCCTCATCGTCCCCGGCATTCATGTCTTGTGCCTGTTGAATAAACCTTTCTCTTTGTTCAAAGGGATTGTTCAGCTCCGTATAGGCATTACACACCTCCTTACAATTAATGAACAGTTCAAACCTTTCGGTAAGCCCAGGTTTGGACCTATGGTTCTTGGCCAGTGGAGACATCGCTATTGGATAGTCCTTGATGAAAGTTGGATTCACACATTGAGGCTCAATCACATGTCCGATCAGCTTATCAAGCACTCTTGTCAATGTACGAGGTTTCTCGACATGTATCCCTTCTTTTTCACAAGCTTCTAAAAGCTTTTCCAGAGTTTCCGGGCTATCGAGAGTTTCCCCGCTGAGATCCAATCCAAGACGGCTGTTAAGCTCCTCAATAATACTAATAACTCGGAAAGGTCTTTTGAATGACAACTCCACGGACTCAGATCTTTCTTCTCTTTTCTTTGGACTGTATACTATCGTATCTGTTCCAAACATCTCTTTAACCATCCCACTCATCAGCTCCTCCGTCATCACCATAAGGTCATTATAATCACCATAGGCCATGTAAAACTCACAGGATGTAAACTCGGGGTTATGAGTAAGGTCAATCCCCTCGTTTCTGAACTGCTTTCCTATCTCATATACCCTGTCAAGGCCTCCAATAACAAGTTTCTTCAAATAAAGCTCAGGAGATACCCTCATGTAAAGATCCAGTTTAAGTTCGTTATGGTGAGTGACAAAGGGCTTTGCCGCAGCCCCTCCAGGGATCAGGTTCATCATCGGTGTCTCAACCTCCAGGAACCCTCTGGAATCCAAAAACCTCCTGATGTACCTAATTATTTGTGTTCTCTTCTGGAACCTTTCCTTCGACTCCTTATTGATCAAGAGATCCATGTACCTCCTTCTGTAGATGGTCTCTGCATCCTTTAGTCCAAAATGCTCTGTGGGAACAGTTCTCAGACATGGAGAAAGAATAATGACCTCACTGACAAATACAGAGGACTCGAGGGTCTTTGTTCTCCCAGGCTTTCCAGTAAACCCTACTATGTCCCCCCTCTTAAGGAATTTTATTATTTGGTCTTTCCCTACCTCCTTGGCATCAATCACCAGCTGAAGGTTTTCTCCATTCGAGGTAACCATGAAAAAGCAGAATCTGGCATGAAGCCTTATACTCATTATCCTACCAGCAGATCGAACCACATCATTCCCAACAAACTGCTCGCTTATTCCTCCTATTCTTTCGAGGATCTCCCCAAAACTATGAGTTAGTTCAAACTTATGGGGATACATATTCATACCTTGCTTGATCCCGCTTTTCACAGCACTAGCCCTTTGGACATAGAACTCCTCTTCCGAAAGCTCAACTTCATTGCTGTTCCTAACCATTTTGGGGTCTTCATTCAGCTAGGATTTAGCCCATAAAGATAAATGAACAGAAAAGTATACAAAAAAAACAAGAAGGTGGTAAAGCTACTCTCAAAGATAGGATACAGAATTCCTTACCAAGTCATTGTCGAGTGTGATTTTGTTGCTGCAATGAACAGATATCATCTAGGACTTAGACACATAAATGACCTGTTCAAGTCTCAACCAAAGCTCTTTATAACCAAGTGTGTTTATAAGAAGCTCAAAGAAATTGGAAGGGACCATAAGGAAGGGATCTCAAGGTATCTGGAGATATTACACTGTGACCATAAAGAAGTAAAAGAACCATTGAGCTGTCTAAGAAGAGTTATGAGGAAGTCGAACAAGAACCATTACATCCTGGCTAGCAACTGCACAGAAATCACAGACCTTATTGGAACACAAAGGAAGATTCCTGTGGTTTCGTGTAGAGGAGGAACGCTAGTAATAAGTGCAGATCTTCAAGAAATCCCTATGTATAGTGGATTCAAGACAGAGGCAGATGAGGAGGAGCTCAATAGGCTGGAAGCTTTGTTTTCTACAGAAACATGAGGCCTTGGGAAGAGAAATAGTAATATAAATGTCGAAGCATTAAACTCACTTTATTTTAGCTACCTAGTGTCAGAAGGCCTTCCTCCTTTTTCTGCTTGATCTTCTCCCTTGAGCTTTCTACATAACTCTATGGTTTCAATAGACAGTTTGAATCTTGACAGTACTGCATTCAAGGACTTTACCAGATCCCCTACCTTGCCTGCGGTAATATCCACAACCAGGTATCCGTCTTCATGGGTATATGCCTCTGCTGGTCTGTCAGCGTCTCCCACCTCATTGGAAATTGCTGCAGCAATCATCCTTGGGCTTTCACATGGCAATCTCAAAGAGGCCTTGAACTCCATGGGCAGGAAGGCTTGCAAATTTTGATGCAATACTTTTTGATTTACAAGAGACCTCCCCGAAGCTCATGGGAACTTTAAACAAGCACGTCAGCTTAGCATTACATGCCATGGGGATATATGCATTCTTCCTTGTGTTTGGAGTTTATGGCGAGAAGCTAACAACAACAACATATAATGGCAGGAAGTATGAGTCTGCTTTATTTCCATTGGTCCTTCAGAGCTTAGGAGGCATTGCAGTGGGAAGGACGATGATGAGTTATAGCAAAGAGGCAGAGGGTGCCCCTGGAAAAAGGGTGTTGTGCCACTATGCCTGCTTGGCACTTCTAAGCCTGATATCTGCTCAGCTGGGATTCATCTCACTTAAATACCTTAGCTATCCAACACTGATAATTGCAAAGTCCTGTAAGCTGCTCCCTATTGCCCTAATGAACTTTCTGATATACAGGAGAACCTTGAGCCATAGGAAGTGTCTGTCTTTAAGCCTGATATCTATATCTGTTCTCTCTTTCTCGCTGTTCGATAAAAGGAGCACATCGACATCTGGATTTAGCTTCATTGGGATTTTGATTCTTATCACCAGTCTTCTTGCAGACGGAATCATAAACTCTGCTCAAGATCATTTGTTCAGGACATTCAAGATTTCATCTTTTCATATGATGTACTACACTAATCTGTTCCGGTTCTTGATATCCTTTACGGCAATCCTCCTGACAGATAACTTGAAGTATTCAATTGCATTCATAAAGTCCACTCCAGAGATTGTGCCAGACCTGTTCTTATATTCCACATTCAATATCTTTGGCCAGATCGTGATATATTCGATGGTTCAGTCTCATGGGTCTCTAACTCTCACCACAGTCAACCTTACAAGAAAGATGCTTTCCATCTTCCTGTCACTAATCGTGTTTGGCCACAGGATCAAGAAAGTTCAGGCACTCTCAATACTCGGTGTTCTGGGGTCTATAGCACTAGAGATGACCGACTTCAAAGGCCAAAAGGAAAAGGACGTTTAATAACACATCATCCGAAGTAAATTTTTTACATTGTTAAAGCTTTACAATCCATTTATTAAATAAATCTTCTTGTAGCCCTGGTGCTTTGTGATGAGACACTAGATAGCATTCCGTAATGCAGATTGTCATAGTTACTCTGAAGGCATTTACTTTCTAATGTTTCGATTTAATCTTTTCTCCATAGACCCACTTCCATGAAGCCTAGCAGATGCTTAAAGAAGCTTCTGAAGATAGATATTTCTCCTGACTCCTCTTATTCCGAGATCGAGATAGGGCTGTATAACTTGAAAAGGATTGTAAAGTCTACTTCACAGAAGGAGGTAGTAAGAGGGGGCGTTCGGAAGATGGCCCTACTATTCCACTCAAAAAACTGGATTGCAAGATCCTTGGCCTTGAAGTATTTCTCAAAGATCAATAAGTATGTGGACGAGGTAGACACAAACATTCTTCACATGTTCTATTCCACAGATCCAAGGATCAATGATCTAGCTGTAAAGTATGTGGACATATTCTCGAGGTTTTTTAAGGACAACGACACTGTGTTTTACCACGTTTATAGATCGAGAAGTAAGTACCGCCGGGGTGCCATGAAATCACTGATCTCTCAATCTCCAAGATACAGGCCCTATGAAAAGGATTGTGAAGGTGAAGATGATGATTTGGACTTGTTTAAAAATATTAGAAGAAATACGGCTGAGGAATACTTTGGAAGACTAGCCTTGCCTAAACTTGTAAGGTTATCTTCTACATATCCTTGTCTTATAAAGTATTTCAAGTTTACTGAGAAGTTTCTTATGGAAGAAGTAAGAAAGGCAGATAGATATCCTCCAGATATGCTGCGGCGCCTTGAAATGATTCTAGGGATTGAGAAGGAAGGGAGAACGATGTGGGACGAGTTCATGAAGTGCTCCAGATGGATGGAACATGGAAAGTTTGATAGATCTGTTAGGGTGCTAAAGAGACTTCAGAATCTTGATATAAGCAAGGAGTATAAAATAATTTTCGGTATATTTGCTCGGAAGATGATGTTTTGCTTAGGTTTGGGAAATGAAATGAGTGTGGAGAGCCTCCGTCCTGTGATTTCAGGCCATTTTGAAGCTGAGCTAAGTGGTATTTCCCAGAACGGAGTTTACAGAGTGCTTAGAAGGCTTTTCAAGAATGGGATGAAACGGATGGATACCGGTGACAGGAAGACCAAAAACGATTGAAATGGAAATCATGAGTATAAAAGATACGTTTTCGAGAGGCAGGAAGGGTTTTTAGAGACAACCGTGGGTTTGGTGAAAGAGAGAATGGCATTAAATGGTTTTAGAGAGATTGTAAGAAAAGTAAAGAATAGAAACAGAAATTTGCACAAATGAAATAATCAGGATATAAGACCCATATGAATCAGGACGTAAAGTTTTCTGAGAAAGACTTTAAGCATGAGTTTGTAGAAATGAGTTCTGAAGCAGTGATGTTCCCAAAGTACAGAGAGAAGTATATTGAACAGACACAGAAATACATTATTAAGGCATTGGAGGGGAAGAAGATATCATGCAAGATTGATTTGGAGAAGAGGGTTATTGATGTGGAGACAAACAAGAGTACAAGAGATCCATTTATATTCATCAAGGCAGTCAACTTTGTTAAGCTTGTAAGCCGAGGAGTCGGGGTTGAAGAAGCAATGAAGGTACTGGAGGACGAGTATTTCTGTGAAGTGATTGACATAAAGAAACTGGCAAGCTCCGACAAGGTGTTTGAAAAAAGAAGAGATAGGCTGATAGGACCCAAGGAGATGACTTTGAAGGCCATCCAGATTCTGACGAAATGCTATGTTCTTGTGCACGGGAAGACTGTGAGCATTATAGGCAGCTTCAGGGGTATTGAGGAAGTGAAGAAAATTGTAATTGATTGTATGAACAACATCCATCCGATGTACCAGATTAAAAAGCTTGTGGAAAAAAGAAAACTTGAAGGAGACATCACCAAGGAGGGAGAGGATTGGAGCCGGTTCCTTCCTGAGATCAAGAAGAGTAACAAAAAGTCGAAGAAGAAGATTATCGGAAGACACAGTGGGAACATGCCTTCCGATATACCGAAGAGGAAGGAGGATATTGAGATGGAGACAGGAGAGTACTTTACCGATCGAGAGCTTAGCGGAAGAAAAGAAAGTGGTGGGGAAAGAAAGAAGAGGAAGGAGGAGAAAAAGGAAAAGGAAATAGAGAAGTATGCAGTTCCTGATGAGTGATCCAAGGAGATACCTTATGTTTCTAATGGAAAGGCTGCTTATATATAATGGAGCTTTGTTTTTGTTAAGAGATTTCGGAGTGGATGAAAAACAAAGCTTCCTATCCTAAGGGGATGAGCAAGACAGATGCTCAGGGGCCTAAGATGATGGTTGTGAGAATCAAAAGAAAGGACATACCATTACACAAGAAGAGTAATAAACTTATTTATGAATATAGTGTATGGGATAACAAGGTGACTCTACTCATGAGCGAAGGATATAATAAAGTACTTTATGAATGCAAAAGAATGCCGAGAATATGTCCTGAAGAAGAAAAGGAATTTGAAGTGGAGTTAGGGGAAGATGAGGCCTTACTTCTCAGAACTTCTCCTAGAGAGCCCTATTGCAGTGGTCTCAGGAAAAATATAAAGAAGAAATTGTATACGGCAAGGGAAACATACAGGCTATTTGACCCTGCAACAAATTTAGACTTCAGCAGCGATGAATGTTCAGAAGCCTTTTTCGAAGAATGGGAAAGATTGTGGTGATAATTTATTTTCAAAGCAGAAAGAAACCTGCTGTTAATTCCAGAGCGGTTTCAAGCTTTTTCTCTAACTTGTTCTTGGATGAATATTCGGGAAGTAGAAGTGTGTTGAAGCATGTCTGTGAAGAGGGGAGTCTATCGGTATCGCACCCATTTCTCATTATGACAAGCTTTAGTGATGCAGGGCCTGAGACAGGTATTCTGTCATTTCCTGTAATGAACTGAAGAAGTTTCTTTCTTTTCTTCCTGTTGAATCCCTCGAATATCTCCCAGAAGTAGATAATAATAGGAGAATCTTCTTTGAACCCAGAATATGTAGTGGAGGACCTTATTGCTTTAATGTCAAATGTATTCGATCCCATCATTATCTTCTCTAGTTCCTTTGGATCTAGATACATCATCTTGTCCTTGTCTATTATCGAATAGAAGCCTTTTCGAATAGCCTCAAACTGAGGCTTTATAAGGGTATCTGTATGAAATTCAATGTACTTCTCAATAAATAGCCTCATGTTTTCTGATGTTAGCCTTATGTTCTTCCCGTTCTTCACAAGAGGGTATGTTTTTGTGGTCCCGTCAACATTGTGCTCAGCAACAAACCTTAGATCCAGTTCATTGATCTCGTCTTTTGAAAGCTTTCTCAGATTCCTCAACGATGTGGCTATCCCGCTGGATATCTCCCTCAAATCATCGAGAGATGGCCTCCTGCCAAGAAGCTTCTTGAAAAACAAACTTGGAAATGGAATGTTGAGAACAACATTATTGTAAAGCGCTATTGCAATTATTCTCCCGATGGCCTCGTATTCCTCTTCATCCCCTTCGTGGGGCCTAATCCAGATTCTGTTCTCGGTATGCTCAAATAATCTTCCATCCTCCTTTATCTCTTGGCTTAACAGTTGGAAGTATTCTTTTCTTATTCCTCCAGAATCTACTCCTTCCTCGTTTTTGAATGTGGTTCTAAGTTGTTTTCTTGCATTCGATACATTCATCTTTTTGAATATCTCGATGCTGTCTCTATACACCGTTTCTCTATTGACGGTAATGAACAGATATGGATCCACATGGCCCTCAAACAAAGACTTAAAAAATGAATCTTGTAAGGAAGTTTTCATTCTGTCGTTGTTTTCATACTTGATGAGCTCTGCTTTGATATGCACCGGAAGGATGAATGGGAAGTTGAGAGGTGTCTTCGACTTTGCTCTGAAGTGTTTAAATTCCTCACGAAAGTTCATACGGGAGCAAAAAGCTGTTAGATAGAATCTTTTATAGCTAAGTAGCCCACACTCCTCGTTTATAAGATACAACAAATGTAATATGCCTAATAGACTATCAACCCTCTTGCTCTCTCTGTTATCGATAACCTCCTCAGAGTTAAGGATACCAGCTATATTATCTACAAGCATTGAGAGATCAAGTTTTGTAAACCTAGGGAGGTATATACAAATAGGTTGATCCTCTCTAGAGCCTATCTTTTCTCCCCTGCATGTAATCCCCTCACTAAGTGAAGCTTTCTTAAGCATCTCACTGTACAGACTCCGGATATTGCGGAATATCTTGTACAAAATCGGGTAGTATGCTTCCTCAACATCGTCGTATTTACTTATTGAGCAGTAAATTCTAATAATAATCATTCCAAGAGTAAGATGTAATGAGTTCTCGTATTTCTTGAGTAGTAGCTCAAGAACCCCAACAAGAACGTACCTATTCTCTACAGTAATTTTCTCTTTTCCAGATATCAAGGTGCAAATAGAATGGTCAAGCTTAGATGCTCCATCAAACTCATCCTTCATCTCATTAATCTTTAGGCATCCAAATCTGTTTCCGCTCTTGTTTTTTAAGGAAGGAACGCTTCTCTTTCTAAATCTTCTCTTGGTCCATTCAACAGACTGCATTGCTCCCTCTAGTTTCATGCCGTCTTCATTCTTAATGCAAAGCATTGAAGTCTCACTTCCATCAGACTCGACTCTACTTTCTTCGATGGACATGTCTCTTCTAGACCCTACTCTGCTCAGGCAAAAGAAGAAATCCAAGAATACATTTCCACTTCTACTAAAGTTTACATAAGAGGCTTTCTCTATAGTTTTGTATATGTTTTTACACAAAAACACATCTCCATATCTCGAAAGCACTTCAGATAACGCCTCGGCAGCCTCGTTTTCTAACCCACGTCGGCAGAACACCTTATAGCAGGGCACTTGGTCACAAGCTCCTGTCAACTGCCGTCTATACTCATCCTTGAGGCATGGGTCCATATAGCTAGGGGATTTGTTTTGGCCTTAATATAGAACTATCCCACTGTCCCTTTCTTCACCATAAAGGAGCCTCTAAGGAGACAATAAAGGGAGGCCCTTTATCATATAATTACTAGAACAGCTTGAATCTTTTGAAGTACTCAACAACATCTGCAATTTTGTCCTTGGCATAGGGCCTAAGAGATATGCATGTGGTTATACTTTCTGGCTCCTCAACCCAAACAGTGTGATCTATGTTTTTTGAAACAAGATGGTCTATTATCTCTCCCACATCTTTTCCTTTTATCTGAAATTAGATTATCCACTTACCTTGAGGACTACTTTTGTCATAAGCCTTACGTTCCTCAGATATTCTACTGTATCCGGATGGTCTCTGTATCTTTCAATGGAGTAAACACTTGAGTGGCAGGCCTGAGCAATCAGAGCACCTCTGGAGAAATTCAAGTCGTTTCTAAGCAAAATGTATTGCACGATTGCCATTTTAAGGGCCAAAAAATCCTTGAAACTAGACAGAATCGTTCCTCCAGAAACATAAAGCTGATTTGGCACCCTCCTCTGTCAATCAGGATGATACTTGGAAAACTGTCCAATAGTTGCCTCTCAGGATTCTGAGGCTTTCTAAGCTAAGTCTGCTGGGTCGCTGTGCAAAAAGAAGAAGAAAAATATACCCCGGAAATGAAGCCTGCTACTCAGGGGATTGGGATTAGCAAAATGTCGATGATAAAAACCGTTCTGTTCAAGTATGTTCTTGGATCCTCTGTTGTAAGAGTCATGATTCTTCCCATTATAGTAGCACTGATAGTTGCAGGATATGGAGAAATACTCATTACACAAATTCTAAATGATATACAAGAAAGAGCCGACAATACAGAGATAGTGAATGGGAAGATCAGGGTGTATTTAATTGTTGCTCTTTCCTCATATGTGCTTGGATTGGTGTCTTTGTTTGCAATGTCCAGCTATGTGGAAGCAATATGCAGAGATTATATTATAGATCTATACAAGGAACACATTTGCATGTCATTCCTGCATTTCAAGAAAATAGGCGTTGGAGATATGATTTCGTTCATGAATAGAAAGGTTTTATCCTTGCGATGGATCCTAGAGTCTACCATAAAGTGCTTTATCATGAGCTTGTGCTGCATTATAATAACGATGATTAAGATTCGGGTGGGGGTTGAAAGTTACTATGGGCTACTTATGGGAGGTGTTGTGCTTGCTTATGGGGTATGTGTGATCATCATAAATCATTATAGAAACACCATTAGACTGAAGATGAACAGAGAGATCGACATGACAGAGAGAAAGAGATACAATAGTATATTGAACTATGATATCATAAAGTCATACAACAATGAGGAGCTGGAGGCAGATGAGCTGTATAAGCGTATGGGTGCAGAAACAAGGTATGGGAAGATGTATTGGAGTTGGCTGCAGGCTGGGAACTTTATTGGAGAAAACATATTTATCATGGCGATGTTTATAATGACCATACAATTTTCGAATGGAGATGCAAAGAATATTAGTTTTAAGGACTATACTTTAATAATCTCTTTGAGCAATCAGCTTCGAATGTATTGTGTCGATATAAGCAACAGCCTTGTCATGATACTACTGAACCTAACAAATATATCGCAGAATAGAGCTGAGGCCACCAAACTGGACGCAGGGGAGCCGGGCTATTACAAGAAAGACTTTGAGACAGAAATCAAAATTGAAGGATTAGAGATATCTATTGGAGACATAAAGTTGCTGAGAAACGTAGACATGAGAATAAGAAGGGGAGAGAAGATAGGAATATCCGGGGACAATGGAGGAGGCAAGACCTCATTTGCTAGAGCTCTTCTTGGATTTCTTGATTACAGCGGAAGTATTCTTATTGATGGCATAGAGCTCAGTACTCTAAACAAGGAAGGCCTTCGGAGCATGATATCATACTCTCCCCAGGAATCGCAACTATTCAACAAGTCTGTCCTTAGCAATATAAGGGATGGAAATAAATATCTAAGTGATGAAGAGATTGTTGAATATTGCAAGAGGTATGGGATGGATGAGGTTTTTAGAAATCTTAGCGATGGATACCAAACCTCTGTTGGAGATGGGGGGAATAGGCTAAGTGGAGGGCAGAGGCAAAAGGTTAACCTGATGAGAGCAGTTGTTAAAGATGCGCCTATATATATTTTTGACCAGGTGACTTCTCATTTAGATAAAGAATCTGAAAATGCCATAGTTGACATGATTATGAAAAATCTTTCGGACAAAACTGTCATAATGATAATGCAGAACTCAGGATTATTGAGCAAATTTGATAGGGTATACTACTTCTCAAATGGCATGATATCTAATTAAAAATAAAGTATATTATGAAAGATATGGTATATAGTTCTTTCACTTGGATTCTTTAAGAATTGTTTTGGCACTCCCCTGAAAAACAAGAAGGTTGGATGGAAGGTACAAAGCTCTTTGCCGAGGCTTCAAACATCCCTTTCAGGTTATTACAGGGAGGCATGGACTGCAAAGAATTTGTTGTATACAACGATAACGTGTTTTGCTTGACAGGCAGAAACACACTAATTGCTTTATCTTCGGGTGAGGAATATGAGTTTTACGGAGACATACTGAGTATGGGGATCCATGAGCATTATATATATTTGGTGTTCAACACTTCGAAGGTTATTGTCTTTGATGCAATCTGTAGAGAAGTCGTGGTCAATTTCCGAGAAATGGATGGATGCATCAAGAAGGCGATGATAAGCAGCTCGGGAATATACCTTCTAGGTTTCGATGGGTATTTGTATAGATCGACATTTGAGGACATAAGATATGCCAAGGATACTAGTGTGTACGGAACAAAGGGTGAATCAATTATACAAGACTTCTGGGTTAGAGACGATTCTATCTTTTATGTTACTCATTATGGCCATATTTGCAAAGACTCCGATGTGATATTGAAGGTTTTTGATACGGTGACTTTGATAGTGCCCCATAAGGAATACTTGTATATAGTGACTGAGGGAAACTTACTTCTGAAATACGACGTTGTCAGATCGAGTATTCTCTTCAAGGAGAATATTGGGAATTCCAAAGTTATTGGTGATGGGGTTATAGGATGTAACGGAATGGCAATAGATCTTTACAAAGAGATTTTTATGAAGGTCCCGAAGGATACAAGGTGGGTTAGGCGTCATGACAAGATTATATACATCTCGACGATATCTGGGATTTTCTCTGGAAGCCTTAATGATTAAATCTGGCTGTGTTGTTAAATTTTTGCAGTCGACAGGGTGTCTAGATGGTGAATCCGAAGTTCAATAAGCAGCACGGGCAGCACATACTGAAGAACTTGGGGGTAATTGACACAATAATCGAAAGAGCAAGGATAAAACCAACGGATGTTGTGCTGGAGGTAGGCGGAGGTACCGGCAATCTTACGATGAAGCTGCTTCAGAAAGCAAAGAAGGTGATATGCTATGAGATAGATCCTAGACTAGCAGCAGAGTTAGCAAAAAGAGTAAATGGCGTTCCTGGGATGGCTCAGAAGTTTCAATTGTTTGTGGGAGATGCACTAAAGCATGATTTCCCTCATTTTGATCTCTGCATAACCAACTTGCCATATCAGATTAGTAGCCCCTTTATGTTTAAGCTTCTGAAGTACAACTTCAAGTGTGCATACATAATGTTCCAAAGGGAGTTTTCTGACAGGCTTGTGGCAAGGCCTGGAAACCCTGAATATTGTAGACTATCTGTTGGTGCACAGATGCTTGCACAGATAGATCATGTCCTTAAGGTCTCAAAAAACAGCTTTGTGCCACCTCCAAAAGTCGAGTCGAGCTTTGTAAGAATTGAGCCTCGAATACCAAGGCCACCAATAGACTTTGAAGAGTTCGATAGGTTCCTGAAGATATGCTTTCTTAGAAAAAATAAAACACTCAGGGCAAATTTCAAGAACTCATCTCTGGTCAATAAGATAAAGGCCGACCCTGTATTTGAAAATACCACCCCCGAAGATGTGTTCGAAAGGGTCTTGTCAAAAGCCGATCTTGATGGGGCAAGGGCAGCAAAGATGGACCTTGATGATTTCCTTGCTCTATTGTTAGAGTTCAAGAAGATAAACATTCACTTCTGAGAAAGAACCAGGATGATTAAAAGAATTTACATCATATCCATAGCAAAAGGATGCCTCCGGCGGGACTCGAACCCGCGGCCTTGGCATATCTTAGCAGTATAAACCAAGTGTTGCACAGCTTTCCAGCATATAAGTACCATGCTCTAACCAACTGAGCTACGGGGGCTGTAACCCTACCTCAAGAGGATCCAACTTCAATATAGATCGACCTCTTCAATACATAGAAACATAACCCATAAAATTTGCACTACTAGAAGTGTTTTTCCTATAACATTCTTTGATATTCTTTACGCTTCTCTACATATTAGATGGATAATCCTGAAAAAATTTGTACCCTTGAAATGCCACAAGATAGCACAAAGATTTCAGATAGCATCAAAATTCCAGACGAGTTTGTTAAGTTACTGATACTTAGCCAGGCACATCTCGGAGGGACCTCTACAAACAAGAACTTTTCTAGGTACATGTATGGAACAAGGTCTCAGGACAAGATTAGTATTATTGACATCAATGCAATGTGGGAGAAGCTTATTATTGCTGCAAGGGCCTTCTGCGGAATAAAACACCCTTCCAGTATTGCTGTTGTGTCTACAAAGACATTTGGGAGAAAACCAGTTGTTAAGTTTTGTGAGGCTGTTGGGGCAACACCAATAACAGGAAGGTTTATTCCCGGATCGTTTACAAATTCTGAGGTAAGAAGGGTATACGACCCAAGGCTTCTCATTGTTTCTGACACATATGCGGACAAACAGGCAATTCTGGAATCACAATATTGCAATCTTCCTACAATTGCATTTGTCAATGCAGACAATTCCCTGATAGGTGTGGACATAGCAATTCCCATGAACAACAGGTCTCCATCAGCAATTGCTGCAGGGTTTTTCATTCTGTCTAGACTAATCAATTACATGAAGACTGGAGCTGAGCTTGTTCGAGACATGAAAGAAGTTGAGCTTTTCTTGTTTAGAGATAGTGTTGAGCTTGAACAGCTTGTTGAGGAGCAGCTCCTAGAGTCAACAAACAACATCCTTAATGTTGGAAAGGAAGAAGTTTTAAGTGGTATAGCTGGAGGAAATACCGAAGAATGGAATGGCTTCTAATCGTTGGGATTAAATTATCTTGAGCTATGTTTTTTCTTTCAAGGCTTACAATGATGATCAGGGCCTTTAATAAGTGGGATTTTGCTGTCTCCCCTAGATGAAGAGCATTCATGTAAGCCAGCTGAGGTCTGGGTCGTTCAATCTGACAAGTCTTGTTGAGGAGTTTGTCGACATCAGAGAGGACAACATCTTCCAGACACATGCTAATCTGGTGGAGCTTGTTGGGGACCTTGAAAACATAAGGGAAGGCCTATTTTTCAAGAGAGAAAAGCTCAACACAAAGCTTCGCACGATTCAGGAAGGGCTAAAGCTGGATAAGATTGATGACCTGAACAGAGAGATAGGCCGGATAGTTCTGGAACCGCTTGGGACATCGAGGAATGTGCTGGAAAGAAACAAAGAAATAAATCATCTAAAGAGGATGGAGAAGGCAGTGAAGTATCTAATGGAGATTGAGAAAGGGAATTTCAAGGTTCTTGATAGTCTTATAACAAGTGACAGTGAGGAAGACTGGAGATTCTTATGTTTCCTTCTATACAATATTTCAAAGATTGGTGATGATAACGGAGAACTTCAGGAGTACAATAAAGCAGTCGAAGATAAGATGCTTAGTGTGTTTGAAACAGGGAATAAACAAAACAACAAAACAATGATGCAGTCTGCCTATAATTCCTTGCTTGAAATGGGCAAGGAGAGCTTTCTTGTCCATTCATACATATATTCTTTGGACTTATTCAAAGAACCTGTAAGTATGGAGTACAGAAAGGAAAGCATCATAGACCTTGATTTCCACACAACGAGCCACAGTACGTTTGTAGAATTGATAGATAAGATCAGAGATGCATATGATTCGAAATTCAGAGATATTGGAGATATTTTTGTAAATACAAAAGATGTGTATAAGATAATACACAAGAAGGTGTATGGCGACGTTATTTCCACAGCGCTAGGAGACTACCTCAAGGATACAGGGCCTTGCATGTTTCTCCTGGGGCTTGAAAGCTGCTATAAAAACCTTCGAATACTCGGATCGTTTATTGAGACAATAGATCCGGATTTTGACGGGTCTAATGCTACCGAGGACCTTATTTCTCAATACACCAGAATAGCGATTGACAAGGAAAAGACCTTTTTTGATCAGATTTATGAGATTCTTGTTCTTCAGAAGCAAAGCGAGACAAAATACATCATTCTTGGAGAGGAAGCAGGTAGGGCTACTGATAGCATATTTGTGTATAAACAACTCCTCAATACCATAAGCTTTGCCTTTGAGAGATCCAATAGGTTTTACAGTGATTCCGAGGAAGATGAGCTTATTGATTTCTTTTCTCGGAAGATAAATGCATTTGTTGGGTCTGTTTACGATTCAACACAAAGTAAGTTTGAAGTGATAAGAATACTTCAATTTATATATCTGGTGACAAGAAAATACTTTGGAGATAAGTTCTGGAAGCTTGAAACCTTCCGAGAAAAAATCAATAGGAAGCTCAAGGATGCATTTGAAGATCAGGTAGAAACATGCGCGATGAGAATTGGTGTTAGGATTAAGCAGGAAACGTTTGGAAACCTTGAGGGGTGTGAAAGAGTGATAGAGGTTGTAAGACACGAAATTGTAAAGGCTTCAGAGGCATCGATAAAAGGAGAAAATTTCAGGATCCTGATAAATCGAATTCTCTGCCTCCTCCATTCTGCATTATATGGTAGAATATTGCAGCTTACATTTGACGAGAAGCAATCCAGGAACATGGTGGAATATGTCACCAAGATCTTAGAATTTGCTAAGGAACTTGGGAGTGCTGATGCTATTCAGAAGTTCTCTGACCTTCAGAACCTGGCCATTCTGATATCTATCTCTGAAGGAGATTTCGAATCATTCTATAACTCGTTAGTGGGGAGGATACCTGATGATGAGATTCTGAAAGCACTAAGGTGTAGAAGAGACAAGGAAAGGATAGAAAAGAAAACATCTATATTTGATGGGAAGGAGACGTGATGCCATAGTCTGCTAGTTCACACGAGGTAGATGTAAGAAAAGGCACTATTTTATTCCAAGTAGAAGCTTGACTAGAATATTATCTTTGAACGATTCCAAAGACAGGAGACTTGCTTGTACTGCAAGCTTAATTCTGTCATAAACAGAAACCTTAGTGTATCTGAGCTCAACTGCAGGCATTCTGTCGTAATTTATTGAAAGAGTATATGTACGACACTTTGAGATGTCCATCAGTACAAAGTCTATGAAGTCGGTAATAAATTTCAGACCTACCAGGCACAAGCTCATGAAGCTGCAAAGGATGTAGAAATGCACAATGTTGAACATGATCAGAAGAATAAATGAAAAAATCAATGCGGACATGAATATTTGATCTGTATTAAGAATTACAGAATCTCTTCGTCTTTTTAGAGGATTGTAACTGCTGTTGTTTAGGAGGTGGATGGATTCTATTAGCGATCTTGCTAAGAAAGAACATGCGTATGAGAAGGCAGACAGATACATGGTGGTTGGAACAACAAAAATCTCATCGATGAATACAATTGGAAATCCTAATCTCAGAAATGCACCTTGGATGGAGCAGAAGAACTTTATGTAAGTACCCAACGTTGTCTTTATAGTTATAATCCGTTTCTCCTCAGTTGAGCAATTCACTATGTAATCAACCATGTGCTGTGGAATACCAACAAAAAGATATTCGATAGTCGTTTTTAACAAATATAAAAATACAGGTATGACGAAGCGTCCTATCCTTCTTTTCCTTAGGTACACTACCTCTTTATCTGTAGAGTTAGAAGGCGTCCCCTTCAACCTGGAAAGAAAGTGCTTCTTCAACAAAAAAAAATCGTATGGATGAGGAGAAAGAGTGAGCTCTACAAACTCAACTTTGCTGTCTATCAAGTAAACAGCTTCTATATAAACAATCTTTCCATTGATGACCTTAAGAACCATTTCCTTAGATTCAATGGTTAGCTCGTCTCCATTCCTCTTCATCTTAGTTTCTGGAGACGAATCGCTCCAAGGGGAGTTAAGTACAAGGCACCCATCACACATCACCTGCTGGTTGATTCTATCAATATTTCCATAGCTCAGAAGAACTATATGTCTGATTTCCATATTCCGGCCCTGGGAAAAAATACAAAAAGTTAAAGTATTAAGAGTTCCAAAATGTTTGTATCAGGAATATGACATGTTTATTAAAGTTACGGTGTATTCATCTCGATTCCGTTTTCAAGCCTATTCCTCCTTAGATCATTAAGTGCAATCACAGTCTTCGCAAGCGCAGAGACATAGCAATCGGAAAGATTCTCGTCAAGAGGCTTTTCCAGCTTTGGAATTGAATTGATGATTTCTTGGCAGAGATCAATGATCTCTTGACTCGGGCTAATGTGCCCTTTTATTACATCTTCAAGATAAGATCTTATCTCACCGAGAACTCCCTTATAGACCAATAGTGATTCTTTTATCCCGTTGATTTTAGCTGCAATCGATCCGCTTGCCTCTTCCCTTATATCCCTTATAAGGTGCTCAACACCAACCTCTTCAGCTTCTTCAGCTTCTATACTGCACCCTACATGTATAAACTCATCCTGCTCATCTAACTTGAATGCCTGGATAGGAAGGTCGTTTTCCCCAAGGTGAACGTTGATGATAGTAAGAAATGGACTTTCAACGAACTTGGATAGAGACCTCGTTATGTCCAGATCATTCTCATACATTCTTGGCCCAGTATGATACCATCCCATTATCTTAAGCTTGTGGTTAACCTTATAGAATAGTTCAAACATGCTCCTTATGTATGAGGTGTCTATAAACCATCCATCCTCGTCCTCTTCAAATATACAAGCAAAGCTTTCTGTGATATGGATCTCTCCATCTTCGTTCCCGAGTAATATCCCAGCAACTCTCTTGGTTCCTTTTCTCTTGTAGTGATCAACTGCAGAAAGCAATACCAATGGATGGACTATCACTGAGGCTTCACTCATTTGGGGTATCCTCACCAGGTCTAAAAAAGATAGAAACAAACAAATTCAAATCAAAAACCTAGGAGGAATCTGCCCAAACAACTCGCAACCACAGGAATAGAAATATTGAAATAAACTTCATTTGGATTTAATCTTCCTTATTCTTCTACTCTTCTTTTCTCTTTCTCTATCAATCACAGACTTGCATATTGCTCCCATAGACCCCAAGACTAGGAACAGTGATGCAAATGAGGTCAAAGGAGAGTCTACCCCAATCAATCTTCCAACAACAGCAATTACTATTGGCGACACAAACATGATCACTACAAAGCCTGCTAGCCGCATGTAGAACTTTCTTCTTTCTATTCCCATGAAAGCTTTGGGGTTTAGGTTTTCGTGTATATCATATCTATTCAATGGTAGCCATCTCATCTTTCCTCATAGAATCCAACCTTGCATATCAGATTCTTCTCAAGTTCGAGAGCAAGTTCAAAGTTTTCAACAGGACCTGCCTTAAGGTATTTTGCTATTGCCAAGGCAACCAGATGGACTAGCCTGAATTCCTTATCTTCAAAACAGCACTCAATCTTCTTGTACTTTCCTGGAAATCTGGATAGAATGGATTTGAATAACCTTTCATCAACTTTTTGAAAATCCATGCTTCGCATAAAAGATTCATCCTTTCCCAAAACCCTTTTGATCATAGTAACAGTATGTCCAGAAACCCTCTCCCCATCTTCATGAAGATCATTTATCACCGTTAGGAAGGCCTTTGAGAAAAATTCACAAACATCCCTCACCTTACAATCCAGATAATATTTTAGCATATTCGAGAGGGAATTCCCATCTATCATGGCTTTTCTGAAGAGGTTTTCCGATTCATAGCAAAATACTTTGACAAGCATGGTTCTTATTATCTCAAAGTATTCTACTCCAACAGGCCTTCCATCCTCATATCTTATGGAAAACGCCTCACTTACACTTCTAAAGACTTTCAAATCCATACGTTTTTGTGCTTCGCTCCACTCCCTGCATTCCTTGAGATATTGAGAGACCACTCCCATAGCATGTCTTTTAAGAGGAACTTCCACTCCATTCAAGATGCATCGAGCAGAGGAAATAGAATTTCCTGGAGACTTGCACCATCCTATGCTTTCAAATATATAGGCGTGTTCATCCCCTACTCCCTCAGTGCAGACACCAATATTCTCACCTATTCCCACTAGCCTGAGAACAGCCCTTGTAGAAGGTTCAGAAGTATCTATCCTTCTCCCATCTAAAATCAGTTCGACTAAAAGTATAAAGTTCTCTCTCAGCTTGCTTAATTCATCTGTGAATTTCCTGTTGGTCTTTCTATCTACATCTCCAATATCATGGATGAGTCTGACTAAGATCCAGAGATAGTGCTTCATTTGGATGGATCCCCCACTTATTTTCATTCTAGAGATCTTCCTATTCTCAATCTTGCTAGCTAGTTTATGTATCTTGCCTTTATAACCTCTGAGCAGCTGGCCGGCCATGTAATCTTTTACCTTAATGGTCTTCTTTGTATCTAGAATATGGTAGTAAGCCTTATCATCAACTAGGGTTGAAAGAAAGCTTTGGTAGTATCTAAGAACAGGCATGTCCTGATCTTTTATTTGCCTTATTTCTGCATCTTGGAAACCTTCTGTTAGTCCAAGAAAACCAATCAGGATTCTATAGGCCATATAGTCGTCATCGTTTCCGGCCATTAAATCGTTTTTAGACCTTTCATCAAACAGTTTACTAAGCTTGTATGACAGGGTTCTGTTGAAACTATTCTTACATTTCTGTAAGAGAAACCACAGCTCATCAGTGCCATTAAAACTTTTATTTGCACCGGAGTCCATATCAGAAATAATGCCTTTATACTTAATAAAAAAAAGGATCTCCCGTACAACATTCATATACGTTCCTGGGCTCATAGACTCTTTTCTGCTTAAAATCACAAACGGGCTTATCCTCTTATCACCTAAAACATCTCCTACTTCAATCCTCATAAGAACATCCGCATCTCTCGCCATTCTTTTCTGATTGTCTATTTTGCATTCAATAAGATATCTAGCAAGAACGCATGCCACATATCTCTTCAACAGTAGAGTTTTTTCAGAAATTTTGCATTCCACATCATTTAGTCCTTTATGCCAGTATGCTTCAATAACCTTAATCATCTCCCTTGCCTCTTCGGCCTCCAGGTCTTGCTCGGAGGGAAACTCTTTATCAAGTCCAAGGAGTCTTCTTAGCGCTACCGAAGAAGTATCAGAATATGCCTTTATATCTTTGGCTCCCATCACCCTCGAGTTTTCACAGAGATTGTATCTTATCTCACAACTCAGAACCCGAAGCCTCTCTTTTTCTCTTTCCATCAAATCTCCTTCAATCCTATATGCTTCATCCTCTGGGCAGGAAATACGATCTAAGGTATTTATAATGAACTCAAGATATAACTTCTCACTATTTTCTCTACATTCAGCCTGGCCTATAATAAAGGTTTCCTCCTTGATGTCTGAAAACCTAAGAGAAATACAGCCCAATTCCTCGACAAGTACTGCAGGTGATCTTGGACAGTAGAAATATAGCTCCTTCAATTCTTCATTCATTGATATGGATTTTAAGCGCCTCTGCAACTTGATTACAAATCCAATAATGGTCACAGTCCCCGTTACGAGAGCCAGCAATCCCACAGACATGCTTACTATCTTACTTCTTCTCCTTACTTTCATAAGGATGGCGATTTTGACCTAAAATAAGAAAACTCATTAAGCTAGCATAACCACGTTCAGCCTGAGATATTTAATTATATGCTGTTTTTATTTTCTAGTATATCCATATCCTGTGCAGGTAGTTACATAGGCTATATAAACACCTAAAAGAAAGCATCATATCCATCATTCTTAGAATCTGAATCTGTATGGTGGTTCTCTCCTGACTTGAAGGAAAGCTCTGGGATACTTTTTTCCTGGGGCTTGGAAGCTGATGGCCCATACCCGTCCCTAAGAGGTCCAGAAAGTTCACCAAGAAAAAGATCCATTTCATTGTGAAGATTGAGGTTATTGGGCTTAAATCGAGCCCCGAAGTCTTGGGAGTTTGTCCTAAAGACCCTCGAAAGAATCTCTATAAGCCCGTTAAGGGCTCTTTCTTGCCTCTCTATCCTTTCCTTGCAAGCAGACAATTCTGTATACAACTCCTGATTTTGTACGTATAGGTATTCCACAACCTCTTTTAGAGACCCGTCCCCAATTCTCATCCGGATGTCATTCGACTTTTTCCTCTTGATCATCCGAAGTGAGTCATCAATCCCTAGCAAATCTTCTCTTCCTTTCCTGAAGTTCTTATTATAATATATATCCTCTTCTTCAATGTCCTTAGACTTGACAAATCCATAGCTATTTAGCATGCGGATAAATGTTCCAAACTCTCTAGTCTTAGATATCAAAGGAAGCGTCTCCTTCACAAACACGTCTCGATCATATATATGAATCTTGAGCCCATCAGATGTCCAGCATATTCCCTTGTACTTCTCATCACTTGTGGCCTTATAAAGCTTCATTATGAACTTCGGTATTTTATCGAAGTTAAAGCTTGTACTTGGCTTTTCCATGATCTGGATTGATTAGGGTGTTAATTTTGAAAGGTTTCAATCTAAAAGAAGTCTCATAGATTCTGCAAATATGTTTGGGGCTTTGGGTGCAGGACTTCTTTTCTTAAAAGTGAAACATAACTGTCTAGCCACCGCTCATAGAACCCTCCTCTTTTTCCTTACATCAACTATCAATGGCCATCAAATATTTGAAACAGTATGGGATAGGAAATTAGGTTGGGTCTCAACATAGAATATTATTGGTATCTGAAAAATCCATTCTTCTTAATCAGCTTGGGGGCTCAGAACCGATGCTTGGAGACCTGGTCAATCTATCGTTATACAACACCTCATTGTTACTGCAATCTATTCCAGGGCTGTTCATATCGTTGAGCGGGCTGATTCTTGCAGGCTCGGCACTTATAGATGCTACTAATGATGCTCGTTTGGCAGACGTTCCAATCATTCTTGAAACAAACTGCATTTTGTCATTCAAAGGAAACATAGAGGTCATATTTGCAATGTACCTCTCATCTATGAGTCATTCGCCACTGTTTATATATAAGAATTACTTCATATATGTCTTTGATAACTCCAACCTAGTCTTAGCACAATCCGCCATAATAGGGCTTACAATAGGACTGGTAGGCATAATAGGGACTACTTTGTCTGGGGAACTACACACAGGTCTGGGGCTAGCCATAGTTACTGGATCGCTTGTGTCATGTATATTAACTACAATCTTGTTCATAATTCTTCTTGTAATATCTATAGAGGTGTCTAAGATTCTAGGTATCAACCCAGATAACATTATTCTTCCAACCATATCGTCCTTTGGCGATTACATGAATGTAAGATCATTGATATACTTTACAAAAAAGTTCAAAGATGCTTCAATACCATCATCCCTCATCTGCATCTTCTTGTCCATCTCTATTATTCCTCTATGTCTCTACTTTGGATTGGCCAGTAAAAAGCGGATCCCTGTTCAGCCTGTGGAGGTCTTAACCATGACTTATTTGATCAGCACAGCTACTGGATACGTTCTTGAGGATTTTTCTGCCAGGTTTCCAATTCTTGCACCGTCATTCCCTGTATTTAGTGGTATGTCTGTATCAATAGCATTCATCTACCTCCATAAGATATTCACATCAATTAATAACCAAACAATTCATAATAGCAAAGAGTCTTACATAACACTGGTATTCATTTCTGTATTGATGTCACTAACATACCTTGTAATAGCTATATTAATGGGGCTTCAATACTCCCATGAGTTCTGTATACTGTTCATGATATTTTTCGTCTTTCACGTTACAATCTTGCTAAGAGGTATCTCCATTCTTGTCGAGTACTTAGACAAAAAGGAAGAGGATACGGGCGTTATGGCTCTTCCGCTTATTGCATCGATTTCAGATGTTCTTTCCGCTGGGTTTCTTCTAGTTATAGTTGTCTTTCTAGATATATTTGGTATAAAACATAACTTTTAGCCATTGCTTCATTCATCTTCCATCAACCTGGAAATATAATGAAGTATCCTAACAAGGCTCAAGGTTTTCATGGAGACATTAACCTATCTGTTTACTATTAGAGAATAAAAATATTCAAGACTTCATTTTCCTATTATTCTGCATACATTAAGAGCATGCATCTGTAAGATATCTCAACCTTTCTAGAAGAGGCTTGCCAAACAGGTGAGCACAGGCACCAAACTTCCTCACATTACTTTCTGTTGGATACTTCTTGAGGAGTTCCTCAACCAATGCTTCATAGAAGCTGTCATTGGGATTCTTACAAAGAATCTTTAGTGATAGTTCATATGCAAGATGGAAGGATGGCACACATTCAACCATCTTCCTAACAAGATTGCACGGAAATCTTCTCATTACAATAACCTTCACAAGAATAGGTGTGTCAAGAATCAGCTGATGAATCACTTCTTTTAAGAGACGTCTTTTGGGGCAGGTTGAAAGGATTCTTTCAATGTAAATGGCCTTCATCAGCACATCCAAGTTCTTTTCCTGCCCCAGGGCCTCATACTTTCTTCTTATAAAATATACACAAGCAGATATATAAACACACAACAGCCTTGGCTTGATCGGTATTGAAAGAGGATCCCCAAATATCTTCATCCTGTTGGCATAAGGCTTTCTTGCCCCAAACATCATTTCAGGGTAGAAGTCCATCAGCACATGGAAGTATCTTTGTATTTGTGGAAATCTGGACTTCAAAAACTCTCTCTTTAGGGCCTTAAAGTCCGCACAAGACTCATGAATATACATGAACCCTTCCTCATATGTCATGTCTTTGACTTTCAGGAAATTGATAACTTCTAAATGGATGCCCGAAAGGCTGTTAGTATTCATGGTCTTCATTATTAATATACAGAGGGGAGAGATCTCTAAGAATCTAATCAACCTTGCTTTTTCCACCTCCGAGATCTTCGACACTACATATAAAATGAAGGGATTATCAATATATGATATCCTTCTATTAGCCTTTTCCAGGTTCAAGAGAAACTTCATGACTTCGACATAGTCGTTCTCATCCCATTTACTGTCGTCACACTTCCTAGGCCCATCCCTGGCTTCTAATATTATATCTTTTCCTATAATCCGTCTGACTATATAATTGACTATCTTACTGCTCCTCATGAGAATGGCGAATGGTGCCGGGCATGATGTTTCAGAAAGCATATTTTGAAACATGGCTTGGAGTATAAAGGTTAGGTATGGATTTCCTATTTCCACAAGTCTGGAGAGAGAAGAACAAATGTCCGGATTTCCTGAATTCTTCATTAAGTATAGCCTTCTGATTGCTTTCTTATCTACTTTGTAAGTCATCTCTATGTTATGGGGCCTTGCCACTATAGCCGAATAATAAATATCTGGCTCCGGAAGGGCTTAGCATGAACGTCACCAAAAGCAAAATAGATAGAGCTATAGACAGATACAAAGGGCTTAGAATAGGAAGAGGGGAATATAAAGACATGGTTAGAATACTAACAGAGGAGAATTTTACAAATACATCTCGCTCAAAAGTCATGGAGTTGATTGAGCTTTTCATTTCAGCGGAAACCAAACCAGTTTACTTGAATGAAGTGAAGAATTATCTGTTTGAGAATAATAAGGCTCTTTATGAGCGTTATGCCAGCATGTTTCTGAAAAACCCTGGCGTGTTTGAAGCATTTGGAGTGCAAGGAGAAGAAAGAAATCCAGCGGTGCAAGAGGATGGGCCTATAGAATTCAAGAGTCTAAAGCCAAAATTAAGTGGGATAGGTATTAAGAGAAAGTCAAAGGCCCTGAGAAAAGCAATCCACAGAGAAAGCAAGATGTCTGCACATCATAAGATCATGGAAGAGAAATCGGCCTCTATTGAATATCAGAGGAAAATAGACAAAATGTACAGGAAGGCACGAAAAGAATAGTATAACTTTATTCAGTCTTCCATTATCTTAATAGCTGACAAGGCGACAGAAAAGATTTTTAAGATACATACATTCAAAACCTATGTAAGATTGTACTTTTTCCAGGGCTTTTCCTGTGAAGCATCTGAATCTGTTGAGTGGTCAACCTCGTGTGCTGCCTTAGGCTTTTGAGCCGCTTTGGCTTTCTTTGGGTTATCCATAGCTCTACTTCTGGACTTTGGCTTCCTGCTCCCTTTTTTGACACGTCCACTTAACTCATCGTCGTATTCTTTGACTTCATTTTCAACAATCTTCAAATACTCCCTCTCGAAAGCATCTAAATCCTCAAGCCAGAGCACTTTTGGAGTCTTGCCTGCTAGTTTATTGTACTCCTCAAGCCTCTTCGCATGTTCATTGTTTAGCTTTTCGATTCTTTCTACAGTAAGACTTAGTATTGACATACCCAGAAGGTATTCATAATCATCAACCCTCGCATATCCTCTCGATTCAAGATCAAAGATAATTTCAGCTTTCCTCCTTCTATTTATAATGAGTCCTCCAGTGGAAACCTCTTTTATAAACTTCACCTTATTCTCCAACTTTACCAATTCGTCTTTCATTACCTTCATCATGTTATCTTTTCTCATCGAATAATATCTAAGCCGAACATCATAAAAATCCCTCAGAATATCTTTAGGCGTCGAATATTTCTTAATTCCAAGATTCTCATCAAAGCACACCATGTTGTTGATTGTGATGGTGTTACTTAGCTTTAAGTTACTAACGTGCTTGGCAAGTTTCACGGTAAAGTTCACTGTCTTTTCTGTGTGGTATTCCTTGAAGTCCTTCACCACACCAGCTTGCACAAGAGACTCCAAAAACTCCTTGTAGTTCAAAGTCCATGTACCAACAGGAAGCTCGGTGATTTCAAGGTCCATATCCCCTTTATATACCCCGGAAACCTGGAACTTTCCTTCCCCGATCTTCTCAATACTTCCTCTGAAGTTTCTATAATAGGGCACCATCTCCACAGGATCCTCACCTCTGATCATCCTTCGAATGTTTTCTACTACGTCTATTGGATTGAAGTTGGGAATGGACGTGCTCCACCCAGTTCCAATCCCCTCTGCTCCATTGACCAATACCATTGGAATAATAGGTACATAGAACTCTGGCTCTATCGAAAGATTATCATCATTGAGGTAGTTCAAGATCGCATCGTCATTCTCATTAAATATCAGCCTTGTGAGTGGAGATAGAGACGTGAAGATGTAACGTGGACTTGCTGCATCCTTTCCACCTTGAAGCCTACTTCCAAACTGCCCAATTGGAAGAAGAAGATTTATGTTATTGGATCCAACAAAGTCCTGAGCTAGGTTCACAATTGTGGAGCAAAGAGATTGTTCCCCATGATGGTATGCAGACTGCTCAGAAACGTAGCCCACCAACTGTGCCACCTTTATCTCTGACCTAAGGTTCCTCTTGAAACAACTGAACATTACTTTTCTTTGCCCTGGCTTGAGCCCATCCACCAGGCTTGGAATCGACCGGATGTTGTCTGCCATGGAAAACAAAATCAATTCTTTATTAACAAAGTCTGAAATCGATATGTGTGACAACGACTGGTCTAGAAAGGTTCCAGGCTCAAAGCTCAGAAGCCATGTTTTTCTTGCGTCTGCTTTCTTCTTGTTGAATGCAAGGTCAATGAGCTCTTTGTCCTCATCAACTAATGGGGTAAAGTGTTTAACATGGATAGGTAGGTTGCTAAAGTATTGCTTAGCATCTGCACTTGTAGATGTTCCTAGTCCTTTGTAATATTTGATGTTCCACCCTTCTTCGCTCCTTTTGAACTCCTCATATTCAGGCAAGGTGAAGAAGTCTCTGACTTGTCCTTTCTTTGTGGCTCTTATAATCGGCGTGATAAACTCCTGGAGAAACCCAGGTATCTTCAGCAATGAGGGATAGAAGTGATCCAAGAAGTTGATTATTAATCCCTTTATGTGGCTGCCATCGTGGTCTTGATCAGTCATGATCATAACATGTCCATATCTAAGGCTTGATGTGTCTTCGTAAACTTTGTTATGCTGTAGTCCCAGGATCTTTTTTATGCTCGAAATCTCGGAGTTCTCCATTATTTGCTTATGTGAAGCCTCTCTAACATTCAATAGCTTTCCTCGTAGTGGGAAAACTCCATAGGTGTCCCTTCCAACCACACTCAGCCCTGAGACAGCCAGCGTCTTGGCCGAATCCCCCTCAGTTAATATCAGAGTACAATCTTTCGATTTGTTTGTTCCTGCAAAGTTAGCATCCTCTAGCTTTGGAATTCCCGAAAGTCTGCTTGTTTTTGCCCCATCTGTCTTCTTCAACTGCAGGCTCTGTCTAGCCTTTGCAAAAGAGGCAACCTTCTGGACAATGGATGTGTTTTTTATAACACTCTTCACAAAATCAGCTATGGGCTCGCACTTCGATCCAAAGGCAGAAACTCTCAAGGTAAGGTTCTCTTTTGTCTGAGAATCAAATGCAGGGTTTTCAATGAGGCAGTTCACAAATATAAACATGCATGATTTGATTTGAAAAGGCTTTACAGAAAGCCCTTTCTCCTTCTTTTGTATCGCTTCCGATAGCGGCTCCACAATCCGCTCGACAACATGGTTCACGTGGCTCCCCCCTTTGGTTGTGCATATTGCATTGACAAACGATACTTGCTGAAATTGTTCTTCGCTTGTGGTAAGAGCCACTTCCCACCGGTCATTGATAATCTGGTGCACAACGTTGGTGCCAGGTGGAATATAAAGCTTTACATACTCCCTGAATCCCTTGATGCTGATTCTTTTTTCATTCAAAAATATCTTTACGTCCTTGACAATTCCTCCAAGGTCGTAAACCCTTTTCTTCAGTAATGCTACTATGTCATCATCTAGCCTATCCATCTTGAACCTCCTTAAGTCAGGCTTGAATGTTATTCTTGTAAAATCTCCCTTGGTATATCTGCTGATCTCGGGCTCTTCCTTGGCACCCATATTATTTCTGTACTTTTGCTTGTAATACTTCTTGACTTCGCAATCTGCAGTCTCTACAATAAACTCCTTACTGAATATGTTGCACAGTTTTGCCCCGTACCCATTCCTCCCTCCAGTGACTTTCTTTTCTTCATCATTGTAGTTAGATGATGTCAGAAGGTTTCCAAATATAAGCTCAGGTACATACACATTTTCCTCCTTGTGAATCCTAACAGGGATCCCCTTCCCATTGTTATACACAGATATCTCGTTCTTCTCAGGGTCAATGGAAACCTTAATAACATCCATCTTTGGGTCTCGTATCTTGTTGTCTGCAGCGTTGACAATTATTTCATCGAATATCTTGTATAGCCCGGGAACATACTCAATGTTCCTGCAAACCATTCTCTCGCTCTCTTCGTCCCATATATACATTTGTTGTGCTTCCTTCTCCACTGATCCTATATAAGAATCAGGCCTGAGAAGAATATGCTCCACAGGTGTTTTCTTTTGGTATGTCTCTTCAATCGTCTTCATTTATCGAAGGATGCGGAAGGGTCTATTTTTCTAGTCTGGACCAATGCAAAATAGCTCCTTGTGAAGGGCAGCATTAGGTTCACAGGGTTCATGCATTACATTTTTTACAAAAAGATTATACTTTATTTAATGAGAATCTAGGCTCGCTCTGGCTTGATGTTAGGACTTTTATCTTTCTTCAATGGAGCATTCTAGCCCTCGCCCATACCCGTTTAGATCCCTAGATTGCTATTCAGTTCCCCAAATAGCTCTTCAAGCATCTTATCTCCATCCCCGCTTTCTTTGGTCTCAAATCTCTGAATATCGGCCGTAAGATATTTCAATCTTATAAGATAATGGTATATTTCCAGAGCAGAGTCAACAAGGTTAACCACTCTTCGGGTTGCAAAAAGTAAGTTCTGGACTTCATCGCACTTATCAGATCCCTCAGATCTCAGATACTGGAGTATCTCCGTGAAATCCTCGAGAATTCTTTCTGCATTTGCTTCTATGCTCTTTACAAGCTCAATCTTCTCCATGGTGGATTGTAGATTTGTTAACGTAAAAAATTTGCCCTGGAAATGATCTTTGTGCCAAACATGATAGTTGTTGTAACAAGTGGAAAGAACGCAGGAAAGAAAGCTGTTGTGATAAAGCAACTTGACGAGAGATACGTCCTGACTGCATGTGTTGTCAGGGTTCCGAAGGACTCGGAAGATCACCAGCCCAAGTGGATAAAACGTAGAAACTCTAAGTTCTATGTCGTGCTTAAGAAGTACAACATCAGCCATCTAATTGCCACAAGGTATAAGGCAGATCTGGGGCTATCATCAATTGACTACAGTGGGATTGAGCAGAATGCCGAAACCAAGAGGGTCCTTACCGACAAGACAAAGGATTTTATGATGAAGGCATGGAAAGAGAGCAAGGCAAAATTCCTCTTTTCATCCCTCAGCTTTTGATCATTAAAGTTTTCTGACACTGCTTGAGACTTTAGATGTTTTTCTAGCGATTCAGCATCCATGGCAAAACAAACTCACTCCATCAAATCCTTATGATGAGATGGCTTGCAAGCAAAAGGGGTATTTGGATTCTATGGGTAGGGATGAAATATGAGTTCCTGAGCCACCCTGTCTCCTTTGACACGGCGATGGAAGTGGATATAAGGATTAAAAGGATAGAGGTTCCCGAGGGAACATACGACACTCTGGTTTTATGTTATGATGACGAGAAAATAATCTTTGAGGACAAGGTTGTTGTGACTTTCAAGAGATTCCACAATACAATTATAGGTGACAGCAAGATTCTATTAATGAAGAGATCGTTTCCTTGGAACCTGTGCACGGGATTTGCCTTACTAAATCATTCTTTCCTCAGAAATGGGAGCGAAGAGGAAGAACACTCATTGAACATTTTCCATGAAAGATACCGTGACAAAGCAAGCAGCTATGACTTTGAGGAGAAAGAGGTTGTAGGAAAGCTGTGTTATGTGTTTAAAAGAAGAATATACGGTGAAAGAGGGATGGAAGAGGAAGACGAGATAAGTGGATTTGTCCAGAAGGTGTTTGGATTCTTTTTCAGTAGCGAAAAAGCTGGAACCATTCTGAGTATAAAGAAACTAGTAGATTATGTCAACCGAGGAAGCCACGGATGTAGATTGAATATATTGTTTGGCGGGCTTCTGGTCGAAAAAACTATATCAGAGATCAATGCATTGTCAACAAGGAACATTGATCTTATCTTAGAGATCACCTACGATCGCCTTCCGAGGATTTTCCATGAAATAAACCATAATAAGAAGTTACCTACCGGGAAGGATGATATAAGAAACGCAGGAGACAACGAAAAGCGATTGCTAAGGTTGAACGTTCTTCTAGATCGCTTGTTATGCGACAGAAATGTTGCAGATGAAGGGCCTATGTACATGCCTAGCATATTGTCAAGCAATGGATATTTATTGTGCAGTTTGCAAATGCTTTGGAAGATAAAGAAGCTGTTTTACTTTACAATGGGCTCCTACGCTAATAGCTGGCCCAGCATTTTTCTTAAACCACAGGCACAGGTTGATGAATCCATCGCAGACGATAGAAAGGCAGTGCTCAAACTGATAGGAATAGAAGACAGGGACCTGCTTTTCATGCACTTAGAGCCCTCTGAGGTGGTTGAACACATAGTCTTTTATGATAGAGAGGGAGAAAGGGTTGTAGTTTCATTCAAGGGGACCACGAACTCTGAGGAGACTATCCAGGACATAAATTGTGAGTATGCAGAGTTTGGAACTGGGTTTGTACATAATGGATTCAAGAAGTTGGCAACTTATTTCATAGATAATCACATAAATGCAATTGAAAGGACCTTAACAAAGCTAGGGACCAAAAAGCTTCTCCTGCTAGGGCATTCTCTTGGAGGAGCGATCTCGATGCTGGTTAAGATAATGGTAGAAGAAATGAAGCTCCTGAAAGGGATGGATGTAGAAGCAATAGTTTTTTCAAGCCCCCCTGTGGTTTCCGAGGAAATAGCGTCTAGATTTAGTGATGGAATAACTGTGATCAATTATGGGAATGATATAATACCTCGAATGAGCTATGGAAGTGTTCTAGACCTCAAATTTCTCTGCTGTTCGATTGGAGAAAGACACGGGCCGTTAGATTTCAATGGGGAGATTGATAAGGACATTGATCTGGTTCTGTCTTATCTTAGAAGCACAAACATATACCCAAAGCTCTATTTACCAGGAGAGCTCATACACATAAAAAGAGTCCGATGCTCTCTTAATAAGAATGAGAACCCTATTGTTGTTTTTAGATCTGTGGACAAGAAGTTTTTTGAACAGATTGTCCTCATAAAGCATGCGCCGAAGCACCATACTGTGGGACACATAGCATCTGTTATTGATAAGGGGATTGACATGCTTGAGAAAAAGGAAAGGAAGAAGTGATTTATAAGATGTATTAAAGTACTTTCTATAATACTCATAACAAGGAGCCTGGACAATAGAAAGGGATTTATATGCGGATCTCTGAGATTTGTTGGTTAAGAGATCTTTCAAGATTCTTCAGGTTTAATTTGCGAAAAACAAACCCCTAAAATGGAGGAAGACGAGCTGAAAATCATAGTTGAAAGGATCAGAGACCCTGACCCAGACATTCAGAACAACGCGCTGAGCATGTTATTTGACATAACAAAATCATCGCATTCAAAATCTATTGATACAATTAACTTTCAATATCTTGCAGATAATCTACCTGTTCTTGAAGATGTATGCAGGGAAGTCACTGGGGATACAAGGAGACGACTGTGCGACATAATAAGTGCGATATGTGTTATTGATGACGAGAGAAAGCTTCTAGCGTATAGGGTTGAAGGAAACGTAATTGATCTTAAGGAGTGGGGACATCTATATGTTAAAAAGCTGACTGAGTGTATTGCCAATGCCAAAGGGGGCAAGATGGACTTTCCTTTTGAGAAGACTGAATATGTTGGAAGAAAGTGTATTGACTTTCTATTTAAGCATAATGCAGAATTTGAAGCGATAGATTTTCTGGTTGAAATCGGAGGGATTGAAATGATCTTGGACTATGTTGATACTCATAACTACAACAGAATAGTACTATATCTAGAGGATATGTGCTCATTTATTGAACTTTCGGATGTTATTCTTGGGATCTATCTTAAAATGAATGACCATTCGAGATATGTTGTTGGATTGATAAGGCGCCAAAGAATTAGAGAGGCCATTGAATATGTGAGGAACATAGAAGACAAGGACTATAAGAAACAATGCCTGTACATACTTGCCAGATGTGATCTGTACTACGAAACTTCGGATCGCAAGGAAAGACACATATTGTCTAATGGGCATGTTAAAGATGTTTATAGAAGTGTTGCGGCCGAGTTAGAAATAGATAAGCCAAGCAAGATGGATGGGATTCTTAAGGGCTTTAAATATGACAAAGACATAAAACAGCTTGCATCTATTGCCATTGCTAACGGATTTGTTCATATGGGATATGGGCGGGACCCGATGTTTCTACCGCAAGAGGGGGATCACCGAGTCCCTTTGAATTACGAAACTATCCTTGGATGTGACGTACCCGATCTGATCTCTATTTTTGGATCGATAGGGGTGATTGAATCATGGAATTCTGAAAAGGTGATGGAAACTCTACAAGAGCACATATTTGCTGATACGTCGCATAGGAAGACAGGAAGTCTTTTGGGTCTTGCTCTATCTGGATTGAAAAACTTTGAAGAGAGACCGGCGATTCTAGCACTTCTATCAAACAACTTGCAATCCACCAGTATTATTCATGTCATAGCCACTCTTCTAGGAATTGAGTCCATGTTTTCTGGGACACAGTCGGAGGAAGTTCGAGAACTCCTTCAGCCTCTAATGTTTTCTGACAGTAGTGAAGTCGTGTTTTTTACTGCCTTCACGTTAGGAAGTGTGTTCTGTGGAAGTGCCGATGAGGATCTCACATCCCTTATGCTGCAGACATTTGTGGAGAAAGAGAAAGAATCGGAAACACAGTTCTTTAGATTCCTGATGTTAGGACTAGCGTGTTTGTTTTATCGCAGGAAAGATGTTGAGTGCGGAATAATGGAGACAGGAAGCACCCTTAGCAAGCACGAAGGTATACTGATCAAAGGGTTTCAATATGTTGGGACAGGAGATTCGAACGTCATTGAATCCATTCTAACCGACTCGTTCACTGGGGATACGGATGCGCTTCTTGAGTCAGTTGGATTACTCAGTTGTGCCCTGGTATCAATTGGAGATGAGACATCAAGTCAGATGGTGGCAAGGATTGTCTCTTCCTCTCTGCTACTGGATTCCTCCCACTTAAGAAGTGTACTCCCTTTGTGCTACAGCCTGCTGTATCCATCGAATCCACAAGTAAATGTTCTAGATATTCTGGAAAAGTCCTTAAATATCGGAGAGACAAATTGTATCATATCTACAATCGTATCATTAGGTCTTATTGGTGCTGGCACGTTGAATTCTCGTATAACTAAGATCCTGGACCAACAATACTCTTATTACTACAAGGATTCAAAGGTCCTTCCTATGCTTAAAATTGCACAAGGCCTTGTATCCTTGGGGAAGGGGCTGTTGAGTATTTCACCCCTGTGTTTTGATAAGACAACTTTCATGCCAAAAAACATCATAGGCCTTTTTTCCACAGTATTCATGCTTCTGGACTCCTCTATCAGCCCGCTTGTGTCTTCCCATACATATATGTTCTTCTTACTCCCGCAAGCATGCACCCAAAAATATGTTACATGCTCTGAGAAGATAAACATAAGGGTAGGGCATCCGATAAACACCGTTGGAATGGTAGGCGAGCCCAAGAAACTCTCTTCTGTCCAGATACACACATCCCCTGTTGTTTTAAACGAGAAAACAAGGGCTGAGACAGACGAGAATGTCTGCTCCTCATACATTGAGGATGTGCTGATCCTTAAGAAGAATTAAAAAGAATCCCATGTCTAAAGACTGTATCAAATTCTGCTTTAATTACTTTCTTCTTAATCCTTTAAGAAAATATTTTTTAGGAACTCCAGCTGGACTTTGTTTGTTACAAGGTGGGCCCTTTTACTCCTAAGGCTTAGAAAGACATTCACAAACGCGTCCAAAGTAATGTCCTTCATTCCCTTAAGAATATCGTACATGATAAATGTCCCTGTCCTTCCAACACCAGCAACGCAATGCACAACTACTGGATCAGAACGGATTGAGTCGAAGTATGAGTGGAATGTTTCCATCTCCTCTCGTGTGATTACTGAGAAGTCTACCCAATTGATATATCTAAGTCTTCTTATACTTCTTCCTTGGACATTGTAAGCTTCATCAATGAATAAGTCCTTGCCCACATGCTTTATAACTTTTCTGTTCTGGAGCCATTCTTCTTCAAAATACTTTGGGTCATTGATTAGAGAAACAACTAGATTGGTGTTTGATTTCATCAGAAAATCAAGAAAAACATCTCTTTTTTCGTCCTTTGGATTCTGTGCTGCTATAAATAGTGTCCTGGGTGTTGGAACAAAGGATGCATTTACATATTCCTTGACCCCGTATTTCTCATAAACTTCGTTGTTATATGGAGTACAAGAAGACCTATCATAAGAGGAAGAAGAGAGCTTGAATGTTGCTGACAATGAATCAACCAAATATATGACCTCGTCTAGCTTGTTTTCCCCGATCTTCGATCTTATCTTATCATAGTACCCGTTCAGGATATCTCTCAGCTCCTTATTCACAGTCATTGGGGTGCCTTGAAATATTTTATGAGTAGCCTGTTCATGTCTATGCATGAGAGAAAATTTGAAACGAACGAGTACAGTATGCTTATCTACACAACTGGCCGTGGCAGCATCTTATCTTGTGACAGCTGTGTAGAGCTTATAACACCTGTCCACATAAATTTCCCTAAGGAGTTTATTCTGAAAGAAAACAGAATATTCTGCAAAATAAGAATCGAAGGCTGTTATAGAAGGCTTAAAATTGTTAAGATAGAAAGGATGTCTGGGTCTTGCAATGCATACACAGTATTGAAGAGGTTGATTCCGAGTGTCTTTGATGTCAAGTTCATAAGAAAAGCTAATCTCCAGAGCTATCTACATTCAAACAGAGACCTTATAATGAGGTCGTCTCTAAGGATATTGGGAAGAGAAACTGTTGACCAAATAAATTTGTGGGACAGAATTAAGTGGCAGTATGGACAAGACTCTGAAGCTCCTCTGGACGAAACTAAGGATGTTTCTAGTGACATTTTAATATCGGATTATTGGTAAAGTGATGCATATTCTAATTATGTGGTAATTCACAGTAGATGCAGAAACTTAAAGTGTTATGAGCGAGTCCATTGCAGTAGCTGCAGAACGTGCTTTTGCAGAGCTCGCATTGATATGCACCCTTGTCTCGGCATATTCTGCATATACCTTCTGCCTTTTCAATAAATGGCTTTAGTGGATAAAGGAACCTTAAGGACTTGGAGAGATTCAATGTGGATACAAGTTGGGTGCCACATATTGGACATGAAGTAGGAAGAGAGCAAACCATCGTCTTGCACACTGGGCATTCATATCCAATGCTCTTCATCTCCAGATGGCAACTACATACCGAGGATTCTATTGTTGGCAGGGGAAAGCCTATTTTGACCAGACTGAGGGTTGTCCCATTGAAGTCCGTGGGATGGGACAGCTCCTTCATGATCATAGATAGATGCCCCACATCAACCGGGACATAAAATCTTCCACCAGTGGCCTTAGATATTGATTTATATAGAGTGAGCTCGCCGCACAGACTTATGAAGTGGACCTTTATGTTATACGTCTTGAGCTTATTCAGTACTTCGGTGTATCCATGGGGGTCTCTGGTGGATGTGCTTGCAACAATTACAAGAATCTCCTTTACGTGCATGGTGTTCCTCATGATCTCTATGGATCCCTCAAGTCCATTGAGCAGTGAAAACCATTTGGATCCTGTCTGGCCAAGAAATGCATGAACATCCATATCCATGCTGCTTATATACTTCACACAGACATCTCTAGTACTAAGAAAGGAGAGGGTCGACAGAGGATTCTCATTATAGAATGACGGAATGAATTCCTCAAGAATTCTTGCCACATTTGTCCTGAACGTGGGAAGAAAGTCCGACTTGTCTATTGCCTCTGAAACATCTATTATGACATGAAGATGTCTCACTATCCCCTTTCTATTATTACTATAAAAAGTTTCAGCCTCCATGTTAAACTCATGGACCTTTTTATCGCTTCTGTCCTCCCATGTTCTTTTGTATTCCTGTTCCCAAGAAAACTGCTTGGCCATGAAGCCCTGGAACCCTACCATTCTTACAAAGAAACGATTTTTATTGGAATTCCTCCTGTTTCTTGAACTTATGAATAAACTTAAAAAATGGATTATTTGGGGCCGATGAAAATGGAGGACTTCGTTCGGAGAATGGAAGAAGAGATAAGAAGTGAAGATGATGTCAAGAAGGAAGACCCTGGGCGCCGCGAGCATATAAGTGAGCCCCAGATCCACAAAAAGAGAAAGATAGCCATTCCTCCATGTAGTTTGCAGAAAAAAAAGCATATTGCAGATAACAACACAGTAGAAAAAAAGGAGAGTGGAGTCATGTCCTGTGGGAAGTGCGGGAAGAGATTAAGGCTAACAAACAACTATAGCTGCAGATGTGGGAACACATATTGCATAATGCATAGATTCCATGACCAGCATGGCTGTACATTTGACTACAAGACAATGGCAATAGCAAAACTCTCTGCACAGAATCCAAAGATTGTTGGGAAGAAGATAGGAGAACTATAGCTTGGCAGAAGGGCGGAGTTTCCATAAGATGCAGTATGTATGATCTTTATCTATGCCCATTTATAATTCCAATAAAGTTACTAAATTCTTATTTTATCAAAACAAATAAATATATATGATGACCAAATCAGGAATTGATTTTAGTTATCAATCTTTACTTTGTATTGTTGATTTAAATGGTTATGGGTGTGTCCTAGACCCATAAAAAAACAATAAAGATGGGATGGAAAGGGTTTTGGAGCGAGGCTTTTAGAGTTGCTATATTCATAATATATCCGACTCTAGAGCTCTACATATATTTTGTTTTTGTTGGGCTCTTGTGTTTGGAGGACACAGAATTTAATTCCTGGACGATTTTTGCCTTATTTGTTGCATACCATGTAATAGTGACATATAAGGCAATGTTCTACATGAAATTATTCATAAACGAGGGTGTAAGCACCTTGGAGATATTCCCGGATGTCCCTCAGGAGGGATATGACCTTAAGATGAAGGGGATGAATAAGTTTGTGGAGGAAGAAGTAATGAAACAAACCGTTGCAAAGATTAAGCTGTGTAGCAAGTGCAAAACATACAAGCCACCAAGGGCTCATCATTGTGGAACATGTAAAAGATGTTATCTCAAATATGACCATCATTGTGCATTGTTAAATACCTGCATTGGGTTCCATAACTACAAATTCTTCTATCAGTTCATGGTTCTGAACTTGGTGTCGGTTATTTTTTTTATTGTGACCATTTCTATTTATATGATGCTGCATACTCCTAAGTCTACCACTCACTACGTGAATTACATAGTATCAATATCACTACTAGGAGTCGAATTTATCTTTAATTTGTCACTCCTGATATTTCACACATGGCTCATAGGGATGAATGAGACGACAATAGAACACTATGCCCTCAACGACTATATCAATGGAGACCATTCCTTCAGCCATATATTTCAAGAGGGCCCAATGACAACATTAACAGACTCCACAGATAGAAGAACCTTGAATCCTTACAACCTTGGTTTAAAGCGAAATTGGAAGCAGGTTTTTGGAAATAGCTTTATGGATTGGGTTACTCCTAGCTATTCCACACTAGGGAATGGAATAACATTTGCAAAAAACTACGATGAATACGAGCTGCTTTAGAAATTACAATAAATCTTCAAAATTCGAATGCTTTTTTAGATAATCTACCCCTCACTTTATTTTTTAATCTGCCTTAAAGTATCTTCCTACAATCCTTGCGTATGCCTTAGTTGTGTAGAAGACATCTACAAAAACAATAAATCTATCTTTGCGCTTGAAAAAACAGCTGCTTGGATGTATCCATACTACTTCGTTACTCTTAAGATGCCTGTAGCTTCCATCCTTTGCTCTTTCACAAAGATTATGCTGATATGCAAAGCTGAAAATCCTTTCTACCGTTTCAATATCTCCGCCCTTTTTTCTGTTAAGCTCCAGAAAGATTTTCTTTGCAATATTCATGTGCTTCATGCCCACCTCATACTTTATACAGTATTGTTTCGGGTCCTCAGCCTCTAAGTATCCTTCCAAAAGACATACAAGGAACCCAAGATCTGTTCCCTGGGGCTTATTCTTGTACTTCAGGAAGTTACAGCTATCCTGGCTTATTAGAGACACCAAAATGGAAGCTAAGTATCCGGCATCCCTGTCCAAGCATTGCTGATAGAAATGAGATAGATGGACATCAAAAGGATGCCTAAGCACAAGCCTTCCATACCTTGTTATCCTGAACCTGACGTCATCGGGACTTAATTCTATTGAGTCTAACCCGTTTCTTTGCTGAACCAAGGCTGCACTTACGTTAGAGTTATCATCTTTCTTAATGATGCTTATACATCCTTTCTCCAAAAGAAAGGACAAAGCAGCAACAGCATTTCCACGGGTTGGATAATCTAAGAATTCAAATCTAAGCAGATTCTTTCCATGACTTAGAAGATGTAGAAAGGCTTGGCACAAATCAGATCTACAGATTTCTGGACTCTGATGTGAAGGCAATGCATTATACATATGTTCTGTATATAGTCTATAGCAGGTCCCGGGGCCGGTCCTATTACATCTCCCTAGTCGCTGATCAGCCGATTCCCTGGATATGGCTTGTATCCCCAGGCAACTCATTTGATCATATATTTTCACCTTGTAAAGCCCTGTATCTATGACATACCCAATTCCAGGTATTGTCAAAGAAGTCTCACATATGTTGGTTGAAAGAATAACCTTCCTTAAGCTTGAGGGCTCGTAGATCTTATTTTGTTCTTTGTCGCTTAATGCAGAAAATATCTTATAAATCTTAACCACGGGAAGTTTTCTCAGCAGCACATACAGCTCGTTGATGTCTTCTTCTCCAGGCAAAAAGACAAGAATATCTTTGTTTTTGATCTCAAATCCTTCCCATTCATTCTCCTTTGAGAGAAGTATTCTTTTGATGGTGCAGTACGACTCTACAATGTAGTCACTTGTACACTTGGACAAATATTCTATCTTTACAGGATGTGTTACCCCAGGAATATCTAGTACACTGGCCTTGAAATAATCAGCCAGCTTTCCTGTGTCAACAGTTGCACTCATCAATATCACCTTTCCTTTTATGTTCTTAATGCTATTTTTAAATAGCCCTAGAATAACGTCAGTTCTAATCGATCTTTCATGGACTTCGTCAACAATGATATAATCAAACTCTCTTTCTGCAACTTCATTCAGGAAGCTCCCGTCGGTATATATGATTGTCTTAGTATTGCTCTCGATACATTTGTTGAACCTCATCTTGTATCCAACACCTTCCATGGCACCGGAAAGGATCCTGTGAAGTGATGTAACTGCTATTCTACGTGGCTCTATAATGGCTATTCTGCAGGAAGGAAAAGAAAGAGAGAGTAGATATGGGACATACGTTGATTTTCCACAACCTGTTGCTCCCTTGATTATACAAACTTTAGACCTTCGTATTCCGTCTAGTATTCTATCTCTATGCTCTTCTATTGGCAAGTTATAGAAGTATGGAGACATCTCTTAGGGCTTATCGGATAACCGAATTGATATGGAAAGTTCTTTCAAAATAGGGTTTATAAAACATACACTGTTCTTCCAGAGGATGGATAATCAAGGCCTATAGACGTCTGTGACACAACTCAACAACACTTACATATCCTCTCATAAAGATGAATTCTGAGCTTTGTAACAAGCCCCTTCAAGTCGGTCTTTTGAAGAATACCTCTAATTCCTTGGACAACACCCTGCTCATCAAAAGGAAAGCTGCTGTATTGTAGTAGAACGCCTTTAATCACTTCTCCATAATTCATTTTTGAGCCATCTTCCGACAAATCAAAATCAACAATCTTAAGCCTGCAATCCTCAGAAACGCACAAGCTTTCCAACGAGAATGCTGTAAATCTGCACCCCCTTTCCTCCAGTCCACCGAATATCTCGATAAGCTGGCTTACAAAGTATAATACAATCCCAGATTTCATGGAATTAGATATATCCAAACAGCTTTCGAGAGTGCCAAACACATAGAAGTCATAAAGTAAAAATGTTCTTGAGCCCAATTCCTTTACAGTGAATCTAGGAACGTGATCGGAATCCAGCCTCTGAATCAAATCTATGGAAGACTTTGGCACCTCATGAAGTATAACATCCCCCTTATACATTAGTTCTTCAAAATTTCCATCAGATATGCATATCATCCTGTATCTATTTCCATCCATTACATCTTTGACATAATAAACATATCCATCGATTACTATTTCTTTTCCCACAGACAGAGTGTTACTCATGCCATCTACCGGGTCATTTTCTCCCATATGTCCAATGCCTAGCTTTATTCCATATTTCTTTAAAGATAACCTTGATTTTCCACTATATGTTTTAGCTCTATACTCTTCAAAAGACACCTCTTCTTGGTCAAGAAGAAACAATTTTCTATTGTAAAACAAAACCTCTTGGTAGGAATTCCAAACCTTTCCTAGAGCTGTAAATCCTTTTGGATTTAGCAGCGTATTAATCTCGTGCTCTGGGGAAGGGTTGGTAACCATTGGAATCCTCTGAAGTTCATCTTCTAGAACCTCCCGTTCATATGCATTGCATGCTATTCCCACATTAAGAACTGCTTTGCACACACCATAGCGACCATTCCTCATAAAAAACCTTGACAGCTCTACATAAATCCAATGATAGTACTGGGATATCTTTTTGTACTTCATCAGGAAGAGCACACTTGGGTCGTTGGTCTTATAGTAGTATCTCTGCCAAAGAGATATGTACGATGGATTGTTTCTGAAGTACGGAATGTCTATATAGTTCAGCAAGGCATTTTCTAATTCGTCCTCATCCATGCCATCAAATGTCATCATAGACCTTTATTCAAGGGTTTTAGAGGCATTCATTTATAATCCTTTCCAACCCTAACTTCCGTTAAAGAAATTAATTGAATCCTTAGAATTTACTATCATCCTGGAAATCAACCATATCCTACCCTTCAAAAAACAAGAATAAAACATTCCCATGGCCTTTTCATGCTCAAACGAGTTGAAGGAAGTCTCAATACTTTGCGATAATTGCTTTGTCGAGATGACGACCCTTACATATATAAAGTGCTCTGAATGTGAAATAGATCTATGTCTTTCGTGCTTTGTGAATCAGGTGGAGACATCCTTACATAGTAAATACCATAAATATAGAGTGATATCAAAGATGGATACTCGGATTCATGAAGAGAAATGGACCTTGATGGAAGAGATTTTGTTCATAGAAGGCCTTAGTGTTTCTGGAATAGGAAATTGGTCTGGGGTCTCTAAATATGTTGGAGGAGAAAGAGATGTAGAGGATCATTTCTACAAAGTGTTTGGGTTCCAAAAGGAAGTGGGTGGGTTGCCTCGAATAACAGAAAAGTCCAGCAATCCTTACAGAGGAACCATCAGCTCATATATGCCTTATAGAAAGGACTTTGACATTGAATACATGAATGGGTATGAAGCCCTCATAAAAGACCTTAGCTTGCACGAAGATGAAGGGAAGCTGGAGAAGAGGATGATAGAGGCAGTTCTTGATTCATACATAAAGATAATTAGATATAGAAATAGAAGAAAACATGCTATACTAGGCAGGAACCTAATAGACATGGAGGGCCTAATGAAAAAGAATGAACAGTTCAAGGTTGTAGATAATATTAAGTGGATTGTACCATACTTAACAAAGCCGGACTTCAACACCCTTTTATATGGGATATACATAGAAAAGAAACTCCATGAATTATTAAACAAGCGTAAACAGAAAAATAGTGGTATGACAGACCCTGATGGCATTTTATCCTCAAAATATTTTGTTGGTGAAAGGGAAAGAGAACTATGCGAAACACATGGCCTATCTCCTGATGTATATCTTGGGCTAAAAAGAGAAATGGCCTATTATTTAGCGAAGAAAAAGAGGTTTACAAAAGAAGACTTCAACAGACTTTTTGGATTTTTAAAGGAAACAGACACCCTATACAACCTTTTCTTAGAGTATGGATGGATTCATAAAGAGAAAAGAAATTAAACAATGCAATTGTAATTCCTACTGAAAGGCTGGGACCTTATTCTTAGTCTCCTTGAAAAAAACGGCCATCAGTCCAGCAAACAAAGCCATGCAAATTGTATAGAAAGAGAACACAATTCTTCCATACTTGATATGCAATGGATAAAGAGCTGCAAGTGTGGTATATGCAGAAACCCAATTCAAAGAAACTCCTAGAAGACCTGCAGCACTTGCATATTTTGGCGGGAATATTTCTGCCGTTATAAACCACGGGATGGAGCAAAGACCCATATTGTATCCGGCCACAAATAACAAGGCAGCGGCGGTTGGATATATACCGAATGTAAACATGGCTGTTGCCCCACCAGCAACAAGGGAGCTAATGATGATTAAGGGCTTCCTTCCAATACGGTCGACATATCTTCCCGAAAATGCAGTTATGACAACAGAAGCCAGAGAAATCAATACTGCGGTTATTTTTGGAGAGTACATATCTGCAGGGAAAAGGTCTCTAAGGAAAAGAGTTATGTAGTCCACGCCACAAAGATGTTGAGACACATGGACTAGCATCACAAGGAAAACAGACCTTCTTGCCCTACGATTCTTAATCAAAGCATAGAGGGATATATCTGAAGGCTTCTCTTGATAGAAGGGATCAGTTATCCCAAGAAGCCCTATAAGGCTTAATCCTATCAAAAACAGGGTTATGATCAGTGGAATTTTCCAGGTGCTTTCGGTGTTGAAGCAAGAAAGAGCGTTACCCAAGGTTATTCCAACAGTGATTCCAAGTGGATGAAATGATAATAGGAGTCCTCTGCACTCGATCGGTGAAATAAGCGAGGTATATATGGGCACAATTGCACATGTTATTCCAGAAGCGAGTCCTATGATAAATCTCCCGGAAAAGATGGATCCGAAGCTCTGGGAAAAGAAAAAGGTTATATATCCCATTGTATAGAGAATATTGTTAAGTATTAAAGCTCCTTTCATATTTGGCCTGATGATACTTGCCAAGATGTTTGAAGCCAAGCATCCAAGAAATATATTGCTTGAAACTATTCCCCATAGGTTATCTACTTCTGTTTGGTCCATTGTTTCTCTCCACATCTTTGAGACATATGGATGCATACATCCCATTATTGTAAGTGATATTCCGAATAGTACAGATGACATAGAAGCCATTGCTGCCGAATAATAGGCCGACTTCCGTATTTCTGGAGTCTTTCTTGCATCCATTTAAGGGATTAGAGTTTGTTTTGATTTTATGCTGTTTTATCCTAAACGTACACAAGATGTTAGAACTCACTTGCCAATTTTGGGTAAATTGCATTGTGTTCTGTTTTAGTATGCACCGAGAAAGTATAAAGTAATAGTAGATTCTTAATGCTATGAGGAAAGACGCTAGGCATAAAATGAGTAATATAAGGAAGCTTTCTCCTATTGGCGAAGATAGGATGCTCATGCTTATCGATTCGAAGGCCTATGAAGATATATTAAGAATACTGGAGGAAAGTTATGAGGAGCTGAATATTACAAAGACAGTATTCTCGTGCATACTCAAGACAGCTCTGAGTCACATAATAAGAACACTCCCAAAATCTATCAACCCTACGGGACATATGTATTCCATGATGGATGACATAAGCCGAAAGTATCCTGGGGGCTCGAATATCCACAGATTCGTTAGATTGTTAGTCTGTGTATTGAAAAAGGTGGATAAGGAAATTGCTGTAGATGCACTTACACAAGAAGTTATCATGAAGTTAGTAGAAATGACCAGAACAGAAGATGTGGAGGAAAGGAAGGGGATTTCTGAGCTTTTGACCTGTATCTCTGATTACCCCGGGTGCCTTAATACAATTTTCTTTGGGCTGGCTAATGAATTCATAAGCTTTATAAATAACAACAGAACTCATATCGGGTTGGAAGAAATTCTGAAAGTTGTATTGGTAGTTATAAGGAAAAGAAGCATTGCATACGAAGACATGGTCGTTTTCCACTATCAAGTAATTCTAGGGATGATCAGGACGAGGTTTTGTGGAGAAAGCAAAGAAATATCTAATGTCATAAAGGCTATTTGCAGGAACTATCCCGAATTGATTCCTTTAACTATAAAGCATTTCAAAAAAGTGTTTGGAGAGGTATGGTCGAATACAAAGGTTGTAATTGTACATGCTATGGGGGAGACCTTTAGTGTCATGGGTGATGAGATGTATCTCTGCCTTGAAAATGAGATCTGTGAGCTTATAGGAATGTCCTTTGATTCCAACCACCACCTAGTGATTGAGGATATGGCAGAGATATTGCTTTTGAACTATCGCAGTATTTTAAGGCATAAGGAGACATTTGTTCCAAAAGTTTTTGAGCCAATTTATAGGGCATCCCAGAAATTTTGGAGGATTGAGGGAGTGAACAAAATATTAAGGATCCTTCATGCTATTCTTGAAATGGATTGTAGACTATTTGAGAGATGTTTAAAGGCATATAATGTGAAGAGGTGGAGAAATAGATGGAAAAGAGAAAGTAGTTGCTCCTGAGGGAGCAAAAATGTCCTGACAGGGGCTCGAACCCCGGACCTTCGCGTTATTAGCACGACGCTCTAACCGACTGAGCTACCAGGACTACGACTAGTATTGCTAAGATCTATATTGCCGTTAAATGACATCAGGCGTTAAATCCAATCCCTTATGGATAAAGAAATTCCCGAACCAAAAGATATAGCGTTAACTTCAAATGAGTTTTTGGAATATCTTAAAGGCAAATACAAGAAGGAAGTCAGAAGAGAACACAACAAAATTATTTTTGCTAGAGAACCTTTGAAGTACAGGAAAATGGGGCTTAATGAGTATCTAGAAAAGGACAGAGAATCCCAAGAAGAAATTGTTATCCCTAAAATGAATATGAGTGAGCTGATGATACTAGGCCAAGAAGCAAATGTCTCTATAAGTATTGATAAGTTTAATAAGGACCCAGAAATAATGGTTCTTTTGGTTAGAGGAACGATTACGGGTATCGAATCTTTCAGAGAAAAAATGGAGTACATACACAATAAGCTTCCTGGAAATATCCAGACTGATGGTGAAGTTAAGGTTCTAGATATACCCCCTGAATCAGAAGACATTGTGATAGGAAAGAATGGGGTTAACATATACAAGCTTCAGAAGGACTTTAAGATTATTATAAGAGTGATAGATGGAAACCGCAGTGGGATAAAGGCACTTGTTATTTCGGGAGATGATAAAAGTCAAGTGCAGGAGGCATGTAATCACGTTATAAACCTGATCTATAGAAATGTCAATTAAATACTTTTAATTTTAAATAGCTATTGAGGATATCGTCAATATAAAAGAAGACAGAGAATCTGGCAATTCAAGTGTGTGATAAATGCCTGTCAGCAGAACCTCCATTTGTTCCCACATTCACAAGTTACAAAAGTAGTCATAGGTTCATCTCCAGACCTTGTCTGTAGCTGTCTATAGGAGCACTTTCTTTCTCCACACCTATTGCACTTGAACATATCCGTTTCGGCCTTCTGGGTAGGGATTTGACACTCATAGAGACTAACTTCTATCATCTTAACCTCTTCGTTCCGTAAACTTTCACTTTTCATTTCTTCCGATGTCATGTCAACATATCTCGAAGGAGAAATCTCTCCATCGTAAACCATTCTACAAAGAACTGGGTTGTTTTTATCCTTCAAGTTCAAACACTTGCTTCGTACAAGCTTTGCAATATCTGCTGAATTTCGCTCAAATATTTCATTGGTTATCTGCTTTGCAAGCAGCGCGGCATATCTATTGCTGCAATCAGAAATAGATGTCTTAAAAGCTTCGAAGAACATTTTAATAGACCTATCCTTTTGTGACTCACCTGTTGCCACCTCTTCAAGGGCTGAAGAAGGATCGGCATCATCCCTTGATCCGGAAGATATCTCTTCTCCCATCTCTTTCTCATTTGCGCTCTTCTTTATAATTTCTAGATGTCTGGTCCTTATAAGGGCTTGGATCCTCTTGGAATCAGACAGCTTGATAAGCTCTTCGAGATCAGAGGCAGTTATTCCCCTGGTAGTAGACAAAACAGAATCAAGGGCCTCTAAGTCATTACATTTTATGAGTCTTTTAATTTCTTCCAAAGTCGTTGCTTGAATCATAAGGGTTAGATTAAATTCTACTTTTTTATATTTTTAATGGAAAATATTACTTTACACATTTGCTAAGCAATACAGAATTTAATATGCACTACATACAGCTTTTGAGAGTGATTCTGCTCTTGAATTTGTTCCTAATTTTTGACACCAAGAATATCATCAAGAGAGAAGTTGCAAACGAAAGAATCTCCATCCAGTAGAGGGCGACTGTTGCAAGGAATGGAGCCCTATACCTCCTGAGCCTAATATTTTCTTTGACAGAAACGGAAAGTCTCATAAAGAGATTAATAAGGAAAAACCTCTCGAGCCTTTCCAGGTTGGTGGATCCAGAAAATACCCTCAATGCTGCCCTGAGGCCTTTGAGCTGGATAGTCCCCCATAGCTGGCACTTTTCACAGCTTATGTGTTTCAACAGCCTAGCCATTTCCTCAACTCTCTGTATTGTTTTCTCTAGGTCTACAGATTGTGTAACCCAGTTTGTGGATCCTTGGAATTTTATAGTTTGAATTACAGCTGACAGCCCCTCATCCATTTCTTGTTCATCGATGGTGATGTTTCCAACGCAGTTTCTCACAAGAAGATAGGTCAGGTAAAAGTTCAGTCGATGCTTATCTTGGAACCTCTTTTGGAAAAGAGTAGGGTTTGGAAGGTAAGTTCCAAAGAATTTCTTGTGGAAAGCAGACAGATGTGTAAGTATGGAGAATTGGAGTCCACTCACTAAGATTGGAAGCAATGGGTCCTCGTTCGAAATCTCCCATATTCTCCTCCATATTTCTGCTGATCCGTCCCCTGTCTTAAAACCCGTATACGCCTCTCTAATTTCCAGTAGGTTTATATACTCCTCATTAAAAATGGACTTCTTCGTTATAAGGCAAGAGAGCAATGTACACTTAGATTTGGAGTGGAACTCCCCAAGGTCTTTTGTCCTCACAAGAGAATACGAGTCCTTTGAAACGAGCTTTTCCAGATTTCTATATGTCGTACTGTTGATCTTAGAGATAGAGAGATCAACTCTGTCCGAGATGGATGCCATGATTGTAGCCAAAAGCATTGCTGATGTCCATATCATTGTTTTTATTAAGGATAGATGATAAGATTTTATAAACAATTGCTTTGATTTATTATTTAATCAAACGATAATTAGACGTGAAAATGTATGTAAACAAGTCTTGGACGTGATCATCCATCCTCATTGAAGATGGGAGCTGTGGCATCGAACATTAAGCCTGGCTAGCTCAATAGGTAGAGCGACAGACTCTTAATCTGTAGGCTGTGGGTTCGAGTCCCGCGCTGGGTATTTGCTTTTTGTTCAATAATAAGTTCATTAACCATGATTATAGGAGAGCCAGATCAACCTATAGTCGTTAAGAAACTAGTAAAGTAAAGATAAAACCACTCGTATGTATTTGTTAATTCAATAGTATCTTTTCATCGCCTATGCGGCATCTTATTCTCTTTTTATTGTAATATCTTCCATACATATTCATGAATATGCATTCTCCATCCACAGAAGAGCTGCAGATAACATATATAGAATCCTTTTTCCTTATCACCTCAGTCACACATCCAAACATGCAGCATTCATCTCTTATTTCATCCACGTCAAAGTAAGACTCAAACACCACAATGTTTCCTACCTCAAAAGTGTCATAACCCTCGTTCCATTCAATCATATTAACCTTCATTCTTCTGTGTGCTAAAGGAAAGTTATCCATGGCCAAAGACCTTTCTGGAAAGGACTCAAACTTCAAGACAAATCCATCTTTGTAGGGTCGAAACCCAACAATCTTGTCAAAAACACCAAATATATCCATTATATCTCTTAATCTTATCCTTGGATGTATATTTGATATTGCAACAGCTTTACTCCCACCCATGCAGATAGCGGTGACGTTTCGACAAGTAAAGTATTGCTAAATTGGAATAGTTTTTACGGAGAATAGAAACCCATTATAATCTCGTGAACCATACAAGAGACCCAAATACCTGCAAAGAATGCAGTTAAGTTGAAACAGGCAAATCCCACACTAATCACTCTAATATCTCCATTAACAATGAAACCAAGGATTTCATAACCGAATCCTATATAAAAAAGAATTATGGCCATAATAGTAGATGTAAATAGTACCAAGGCTTTGCTCTTGAAATGCTTAGGAACTCCAAGCCCTACAATAAAAAGACATGTCGACGTAATTTTCAGAACCTCCATATGGGGGTAGTTTGAGCTTACAAACACAAGCCAGGGAGTTCAAATATTCTATATCCAAATAGTCCATGGGAGGGGAAGAAAACTTGTTTGGTAAGTTGAACGAGTCTGAAATGGAAAAGGATATCGATCTGGCAATAAAAAGCCACAAGATACCTGAAATAAGGTCAATAGAAGAATTCATCTTATCTTACGATGAAGTGTTTCAAAGAATTGAGAAATTCAAACATTAGAATAAAATCTAAAAGTATAATATAGACTTCATATTCTTATAATTCAAGACACTACAGAGTTTTATTTTCTCTTATATTTTTGGGAGGTCCCAGTTCCTTTATTATTTGAAAATGATCATTGGATATACTGTCGACATAAAGAGCAAACCTGTCTCTGTTTTTTGAACTTTTGAATTCGAACAACCTGTCTACACTTTCTCTAAGAGGCAAATCCTTTGGCTTCAATACGGACCTGACAAATGACGGATAATGGACTGGAACAACAAAACACAAATGATGAGCAGATACTTTGTAAATTCCGGAGTTATCCGAAAACAGAAGTATGGAAAACTGCTTTCCAAATGCACATCTTATTGGGTTGGAAGTTTTTGTTGTAAACTCGAAGTCAAAGGTATCGCCTATAAAAATCATAAAAAAATTTACCCTCAGAGAATGTCCGAGATAAAGCTATTTGAGAAGTATAGCTATGAGGATGTCAAAGTGGACAACATATCATTAAAGCCTTATATAAATCTATCTCGGCATGGAATAGTTCCGCATGCGGCCACAACTATCACCAAGGGGACGACAGGGAAGGCCAGAATCCCGATTGCAGAAAGATTTGTATGTTCTCTTATGAGACATGGAAGAAACAATGGGAAAAAGAGGCTTGCAATCAATATATTTGAAGATGCTTGTTTCATAATCCATTCCATGACAAAGAAGAATCCTCTTCAGGTTCTAGTGGATGCCATAATCAACTCTGGGCCTCGAGAAGACACGGCAAGAATCGGGAGAGCAGGGTCCATGAGGAGAACATCTGTAGATGTTTCTCCCTTGAAGAGAATAAGTATAGCAATAGCTAATCTTTCCACTGGAATTAGAAGTGCATCGTTTAGAAACAGAATAACCTTAGCAGAGGCGATTGCCAATGAATTAATGGCTGCCTCCACAGGTTCGCAGAACTCATATGCAGTTAACAAAAAGAAGGAGATTGAGAGAATAGCCCAGTCTAATCGTTAAAGCATTTTTTATTTACTTTACGCCTTAGAAGCTTTCAAGCTTTACTATTTGTAATACCCATAAATAATAAGGTTTCAGGTTGGTTTTATCAATACTCTCTTTGTTTTATCCAAAACAACCCTGAAATGATAATGCCAAGCAAAGCCCTTTCTCAAAACTTTGAAGATCTGCAGCCGGTGGTTATTGCAGGATGTGTTATCCAGTCAAGTTATGCACTGGTAGAAAATGGAATCGATGCAACTTTGTCTGATCTTATTCTTCCTGGATTCATGAACTTCTTTGGCCCAGGATTATGTGCTAACATAGTCTATAAACAAGCAGAGTTGTCGAGAATGTCTCTTATATCATACTTCATCGGGATAATTATCTTCTCAATATTTTCCCAGATGAGAATCTTGTGGATATCGACAGCTATATTCCCTGTGATAGGTAGGGGCTTTATGCTCATTACCTTAAAAAACAACAACAAGCCTTTCCATTTGGTTATTGCATGGCTAATGGCTCTAGAAATGTCAGGAGTTCTTATGCAAAAACTGCTTTTTAACAAGAGGATGAAGGTTAGTGGAGATAAAGCAGGGGAAATATTCATTCTAATCTTAGGACTAGGGTTGGGAAGGCTGTATCGCCTTCCTGATTACACAATGATGCTAGTGGTTTTCCTAGTTGCACTTGGGCCTTTTGTCCAATATATGTTTTCACTACCTCTCTTTTCGCAGAAGAAACAGAAGAAGGAAAGGGGTAGATATCCAAGAATCAAACTCCCAAAGAGGAAGGCAGCTCAGAAGGCTCAAGATACACTCAAGCAGGCAAAATGAAATAAAGGTCTTTAATATCCTAATCATAAATCGTGAACCCTATGTCACTGGCGTACTCCCTAAAGCATCGTCTGCACATCATCAACTTCCTTATTATCCCACGAAACGTGTAACAAGACACACAGCTCCTTGATCCCTTTCCAAAAGGCATTCTGTGAGAATGAGGCCCACTCCTCTCATTCTTCTTCACTGGTACATCAAAAAGAACTTCAAAGCTCATCGGGGGTAAATTTTTTCAATACTTTGTCTCTGGGAATCGAACAAGATAGAGCATAAACATAATCGACATCATGGACATTGATACACTGATTTGTTTCCAGAGGTTTTGTTAAATTGTGTTATATCAATAAACAAAATGAGCTTATTCCCTAAAAGAGAGATTGATACCATAAATCCAGAGAGTATGCTGAAGTATCTGGGAATACTCTTTATAGTGTTGCTTGTGACATACTTTTACCAAGAAACAAAGAAGTGGGTAAAAAGGAACATAAAAAACACCATCTTGGCAGAAGAAATAAATAAAGAGGGCCTTAGCTACTAATAAAAGTTGTTAAGCTGGTATCCTTAAATGACAGCTCAAGATACACTGAAAAGAGAAGAAAAGTTCTTAGGTCTCTTTAGAAGAATATGCGTGGGAAATAAAGTAGTGTTTAAAGCTGTGATAGGATTATTTCTAGGAATCGTAAGAACACAACTAGATTTAGCAAACGAAGTATTCAAAGCAGATATAAGTGTAAAAAATGGAGATCTTCTCAAGGCAGAATCTATTTACAAAGAGATCTCTCAGTATTTCAGAGACAATGATGTTTTTCGAAAAAAATACGCCGAGTTCCTTATGGCCAAGGGAGAATATGGCGAAGTAATAAAAGGATTTGGAAAGGATCCGGAAATGAAAGAAAAGGTCAAGAGAGCTAACGAATGCTTGTCCATACTGGTTAGCAATAACATAAGGCTTATTGCTACATTGATAAAAGAAAGCCCATACTCCAAACTCGTCTTGGAAGCATACATCCAAGTGTGTCTAGTAGATGAGAAACTGGAGGAGGCAGAGAAGTTCGTCAAAAAATCAAGATCTTTGTTTCCAAACGAACCTGGATTTGCACACCAGGAAATGCAATTGTATTTCTTGAGGGGGATGTTCTCTCCCGGTATCAAAGCACTGAATAGCCTAGAATACAAGGAAATGGCGTCTTCATTTGCCTCTATTCTGGAGTCCTACGAATGGATAAAAAGGAGTAATCTAAACAGTAAAGATAAGTGCAAGAGGTTGGATAAGTTGGTAAGGACTATTTCATTGATCGAAAGTGACAGTAACTTCTTCCCAAGTATTTTTTCAACTTTGAAGTTGAGTGTGATCTTTGATCTGTGCAAAAGTGGAGTCGAAGGTGGAGTGCAAGGATTATCAAGTAGAGCTCGATATCTTTATTCAAAAAGAAACAATGAGGACACAATGTATTTGTATATCATGGCACTGATTCTTGATGGAAATATCAAGGAAGCAGAGGAGAAGTTTAATCTGTTTAAATTCCGCAATATGAAGCTTAAAAATCACATCTCACATCGTCTACAAATGGTAAAGGATGAAAGAGAGAAGAAGAAAAGAGAGAAAGAAGAAAAAAAATATAGAAGGCGTGGATATACAGAAGAAAACTACGGTGGGATGCCCAGAAATAAAGGAGACTTCCTAGGATATTACAAAACACTTGGATTCAAGGAAGGTGAAAGACCTGATGAAAAGGAAATAAAAAAGGCATATCGGAAGTTAGTTGTTGAGAATAAAAAAAAGAAAAAGAATCCACAAGAAGAAAAGGAATGGGAAGAAAATTTCAAAAAGCTTAATAAGGCTTTTGGAGTGCTTAGAGACAAGAAGAAGCGAGAGATGTATGATAAGGGAATAGACCCCGATAATCCTCAGCAAGCTGCAGCAGGCTTTGGGAACGATCCATTCCAGGAAATATTCAGAGGATTTGGGAATTTCGGTTTTTTTGATTTTCCAGATCAAAGAAGAGGTAGAAGAAGATCTACAACAACATATTTTTATTTTTGAATAAAACTTTTGATGCATATTCCAATGCTTGTTGTAGAGGAACCTTGTAGATATCAGAAATATTATTAGGGGATTTACTATATCTTTTATATAGAAGAAAATAAAACCTAATCGGAGTGAGAAAAATACATGAATAGAGTCATATAGCTGGCATGATGAGGGAAATTGGCTAGAGCTGCGTTAAATTAGACCCTTTAATTAAAGACAGGTTCGGTATCATGTTGGTGTCCCTTATGCAGTTGTATTCCTCACGAGCCCCATCACAAGACCTACCTTGATAGACATGCCGTCATTTTATTATCTCATTCACGGCATCCCTCAGTTCAGGATCCTGGGTGTAGTAGTTCTCCTCAAACTCTTCTTCAGAGGTCCCTATCAGCTCATAGAACATGTACTCAATCCATCGCGGCCCTTCCCACACAGATACATCCTGTCTGCGGCACCAGTAGTCAGGACAAATGCCCTGCTTCTTTCCATTCTCAGGGAAGTACTTGTAGTCATGCACAGCTATCTTCAAGTCGCTTCGTGGAATCCCTTCATTTAGAATAATCTCAGACAAACAGTTGATTGTCTTCCCCGAGTCAAAGATGTCATCGACAAGCAGAACCTTCTCTCCCTCCTTCAGGTTCGAAGGATGGTGAGTCCACCCATTTATCTGGATATTTCCATTTTCTCCTATATCCGTATAAGAGTGTGCAGACACTACAGCATACAGTATCTTACGCCCACACACAGCATTGAAGTACCCACTTATCACATTCCCAAGATAGGTCCCGCCCCGCACTGCAACATAGATCACATCAGGGATAAACCCTTCCTTGTATATCCTGTGTGCAAGCTTGATCCCATTGTTTCTTACAGTGTAGAAGTTCAAGTGTTCCTTTTGAATGGACTTGCTCTTTGTGCTGTTCAGAAGCTTCTTTACATACTCCACACTCGTCCCACCTTTCAAAGACATGTTATCAACCACATTCTTCATCATGTCCTCAATCATCTTGCCTCCTTCATGTCGGGACTTCCATAGATCGTCTGCAACCCCAAGTCTCACCTCCTCTCTTTTCAAAACGTGGTATACATTAACATCTCCACAGATATTTGCCAGCCTTACCACCATACCCACCCCTTTCTTCCAAACAGAGCCCCTGTCTTCATCACCTTTGCAGTTCCATTCATTGCGTAGCCCCTTGATAAACCCCTCAAGTATATAGTTGCAGTCCTCTCCTTTCCCAACGCTTTCGTATATTCTGACCTCAGCTTCCACAGCTGAAAGCCCAACCTCACAAGGGACGACACCTAGTATCCCATATGAACTGACCACCCGGACCATCCTTTTCCATTCTTTGCCACTTCTCCTACGTGCCTCCCTGAGGATGTTCTTCATCAACATCCTCGCCTCTTGCTTCCTCTTGCGACCTGTTCCATTCTGCTCCTTTAAATACCTGCAGAGCATCCTTGCAGCCTTCATTCTGCCTTTCTTATTGTCCAATCCCATAAATATAACTGTAAAGAGATTCTCCTCCGCTAACTTTCCTATATTAAAGCCCTTAGTTTTATATAGCTTGCATAGAACCTCTATCTCCCTCTTCGCCCTATCACTTTCATTCTCCTCATCACTCTTCTCTGTACTAAAACATCTCTTCATGGCCGCCTCATTCCCCTCTATCCCCTCTCGTCCTATTAAGAAAAACCTCTGCCACTTCTCCTCATCATCCCCAAGGACCTTAGCTAAGGTCATGTGCAGCGGAAGTAACTCAGAGTCTATGTATCCAGAACGTTCATACTCTGTGTCGAAGTAGCTTGTGATGTCTCTGATAAATCTGAGAATCCTTGAGTTTATCCTGGCCGTGATCGATATCCCTAGTCCTTTCTTGATCCTCTCGTCATTTCCTCCTATAGTGACCACAACCGATGATGCTCTTCCATCATCATCAAATCTCCATTCTTCCCCTACCTTCGACCCAAGTGACAGTCCCATCAGGGCTGCAAGAAGCTCAATTCTCACTCCTTCATATTCTGGATTGCTTATCTCTTCGTAGATTGACCGCCCACTTCCTATCCTAAACCTGTCTCGGGTCAGTGGAACCTGTCCATTAGGGAAGCCTACAAGGGCATTTTTTCCTACATCCAGCTCTCATCCCATTATTCCAAGCCTAAGATCCATAGGCCCACCGATCCTTGCATCGTGTCTCTCCATTAATACCTCAGCCTTATCTACATTCATAAACCTCCCTTCACTAGGCTCCATAGACTGTGCAGCAACAGCTAGCAGATACGTTACAATCCTCCATCCCTCCATATCTCTCTAAAAAAAATTATATTTATACCTTCACTTATATTAGATATTAAATTGAATTAATTTATGTTGTTTTCCTACTCTATTTGAGCAGGACTTTAGAAGTCTCACTAGCTCGTACAACCGCACATCCAAACCATTCCATAGTCTCATACACAAAAAAAGACAGAGTACTCCAATCATAGCTCCAATACACATTCTAGATCAGATTTGGGATTTGCCCTATATAGAAATGATGTCTTATATAAGTCAATTTAGGTAATTATCCATAAGCATGGACCAGGATGTAATCCAGAAACTTCAGATTTTGGTCAGTAATAACAGTGAAGTCAGGTTGAGTTGTGAAAGTGATTTAAAAAATTTAGTCGTCGAGTTTTATGATGGTTTTAATGATTGTAGTGTTGTTCTTCAAGAGCTTTCCTTTCACCGGACCGAAACTGATTGCAGTAATCCTAAGAATAAAGAGGCCATCACTGCTATTGATAATGCTAAAGTTATACTAAATGATACAAAGGGGTCTTTATACAATACTTTTCTATTTCTTTTTAACAACGAAGGCCAAGTACCAGAGGGTTTTTTGGTAAAATTCATGTCTTACTGGATCTTGAATATTCTGGAAAACTTGAAGACCTTACCATAGCACTTGAGAAGATTGCTCCGTACATTTCTGCGGATAGGAAGGTTACGGCTGAAATCGTTGTTTCAGAAGACAGTCACTAAGAAAAGAGAAGTGGATACCATTGGCTTCTTCTTAAATAACTGCAGGAATTTTTACAAGAGAGTTGTAGAAAAAAGTCTCGAGAATCTTGAGCAATGGAACTATAAGCTCATTAGAGAGGGCTATCTTACAATCTTGAGTTCAATTGAAAAGGAGCTGGATGCTTTACAGCAACTTGTTAACTACCTTCCTTCTGGCCTTCGGGAGCGAAAGGCCCAGAGGCTTCTTGACAAGATAAAGAAGGATATCAATCCTACAATTACCCTTGTAAGTAAAACTTTAGAGAAATTTAAAGACTATATCAGTGGATATAGAAGCCATCCTGAGTATTATGACCAATTCAAGGACTTAATAAAATCAGTGGATGACTCCTCTTTCAGGTTGGCGGATTTAAAGAAGATGATTGATGATCTTAGAGGGATTCTTAATCCCGGTATTCTTAGAGAAATCTTTTACTCCACTAAACAGGTCATTAGAAATGCTGTTAAGAGAGTGAAAGGTTGGGGCATTATCTGGAATCTGTATGCCATTCTGTTGGTTATTCTGTGTATGTATTTTGTTCTCTGGGGTAGTAAACAAAGGCCATTGGGTTGGTGAAAGAGAAGCAATAATGAAGAGAAGGTGGAAAGGGGTTTCAGGTCTTCTGAGGACCAAGACCATTAGGAGAATATGAATGACCTGATGCACATCATATCTTATGATGCTGAAATGGGTTTATTCATTATCATAGGGGGCTGTATCTTATGTTAAGAAAATGGTACTGCGAACTTGAAGCTGGTGTACCATTTATGGGGCATTGAGTATTGGTGTCCTGGAAAGAAACGTGTATTGTGTAGTTTATAAGCTTAGAGAGACAATATGGGTATCGAATAGGAAATTAAATCCTACTTAATCTAAGAGGGTATCTATGTATAATCTTTATATTCCCATTTGTTTAGATAGTGGAGAGTAATCTTATTAGATACATGAATAGGCAGGGGCTATATGCCTGTGAATATACAGATAGGCCACAACTATATTTGAAGGGACGTTCAGAATTCGTTCTACTCTAGAACCAGATCGTTATTGCCTTATCTGGAAGTAGTAGCATGGGTTTGAGGAGACCATTCTAGTAATCATCCATTTCTGTTCTATTAAACCTAGAGCTACTCGGGGTTTGATCACGAACATACTAAAAGAAAACGGAAATTCAACTGGAGGCCCATGCAAGCATTTTCATCGCTTTCAAGAACAAAGAGCCCTTGTCAGAAAAGGAAAAAGCTAGATGATCGAATGGGCCTCAAAGGCTTATGGTGCCTTCATGGAGGCTCTTGGGATCGATTACAAGAGTGCCTGCACACCGTGGACACGCCACTCAGAGTTTCCAGGCTATGGGTCAGCGACATTGCAGCCTCCTTCTATGCGCCTCCTCCACGGATCACCACCTTCGATAACACCCGGGGCTATGGGGATCTACTTTTCCGTGGCCCAATCCCCATCAAGTCGATCTGCTCCCACCACCACTCTCCTTTTGTGGGGGAAGCTTACATAGCGTACATTCCGCAGAGGGAGGGGAGGACAGTCGGCCTGAGCAATCTGAACCGCATTGCAAAGTTCTACTCCCGAATGCCTCAGTTGTAAGGTTTCATGGCTTGCTCAGTAGCAATGGCTTAGATCCTTAGCTGTTTCCCTCAGTCAGTAGAAGTCCGATACCAAGTAAAACGACCCCGTGATGATAATGATTGTCCTTTTCGCTTCTCTTTGATACAATCCACAAGTGCTTCTTCCAAGCTCATACACTCTACAATAAAAACTCCTTCTTTAATCATGCTACTGTTCACTTCATGTTCACCTTCTTTCTCATGCAAGAGTTCAGTAAAGGTCTTTCTTAGCTTTGGATGAGGAGCATGCTTCACCCATTCCATGGACACAGGCCCTTTAAACTCTACAAGGTAGAACCGTCTTTCACCCATGGTCTTCCAATGATCCAGCACATATTGGTTCCTGGACTCTCCATCTTCTTAACAGACCTAGTCAGTTCGTGCATCCCCCTACGTTGTGAGCCCCATCCGCTATGATCGATATATATCTAACTCCCGTTCATCCGATAGCGGAATCCTTTCCCCTACCCCCTTGTGAATGTTGTGCACGTCATCTAGCCTTTCAAGGCGTCCTGGAAGTCGAGCCTCCCCACCCGTCAACAATGAATCTGATGGCTTGATCCTGGACGCTTTCCTTGAAGTGTTCTGAGATTGTATATAGAAATATGCATATTGCTGTAGGAAGGTCAACCTCTCTTTGACGGTCTCCGAGAAGAGGAAAATGCTCGATCTTTATCTGATTTGTCGCCTCCCCATCCAGCCCCTTGATCTCGCATCTAAATTGGTTTCATTGGAAATGCTTTTACAGGTCCTTTCGACATGATAAACAGGCCCGATACCAGAACCCTGATCCTCCCATTGATCATCTTGATTAAGCCTTCTGAAGACTGGGGACCCACAAACATGAGCCTTCGTTTTCTCCCAAGGCGTATCTGTGCTCGACTATATCCTCGACTGTTTCTCCCAAGATCTCTGAGTGGTCTACAGAGATAGCTGTCGGCACAGATGTAATGACACTCTCCTCGGAAAACACATTTGTAGTATCCAGTATATGACCTACTCCTGCTTCTATGACCCCGACCTGGGTTCCGTGGTCCTTGAACAATGTGGTTGCTATCACAACGTTCTTTTCAAATCCAGACAATGCTGGAAAACTGCCTGCCGTATTTTCTAGCATACCCTTTCTTTTTTCATAGTCCCTCTGCTGATTGCCTGCCATCTATTTGTGTCATGTCCCATCGGCCAAAGAGAGGAGGTGATGTGAACACACCCGAGCAGAGCTTTTGAGTTTTTGAGGAATCTGGTGAGTATAGCGGATGGGGTGGTAGGGGGTTATGGGAATAGTAACAATCCTGCACGGCTAGGAATCAGATAGGCAGACAATAAATGCATGGACAGGACGTTCTTGCCTAGAGATTATTGGCAACTCGATTGATTTGAAGGGAAGGAGGAACGGGTGTTGCAAGCGATTTTCAAATATATTAGTGTTGGATAGTTTGATTGGGTGGGT